ATTTTTGCTGGCAAAGCCTGATATCTCGGCTGTGCTTTGATTCTTGTCTTGGTCTTCACGACTCATCTTTTATTCCGCCGTTGCACGACAGGAACGGTGGGGATGCCTCGATTTTAATAGTCGAGAGCGTGAGGAGGTTTACACGCTCATGGGTGTCGGACAGCAAGAGGGCCTACCAGGCAGAGACCACAGGTCCTTGGGTCTGGGAACACGGCAAGCTTTCCACATCCTCTCCACCCAAGTGGGGAACTCTTGAGGCTGTTGATGGCTTCGTTTTGGACAGAGCTTTTTCTTGAGCTTCACTGGCAGTCAGTCTGACTAGGAACTGGACGGGGGGGGGGGGGGGGGTGTGCTGTCCAAGAAAAAAAGTGTTGGCATTTTACGTAGTGCCGGTGACTCATGAATACGCTGAAAGTCTACAGCAAGTCAGGTATATTCGTCCTATACTCTGTGTGCGGTTGTGCTTTCGTCTTTTCTTTTGCTTTTTTTTTTTTGCTTTTTACTTTCTTTCTTTTATTCTTCTTTTCATTTTTACGTCCTGTTTTGTTTCATCTTTCTTCGTTTAGCCTTCGTTCGGCCTTCATTAGGTTTTACGTGGGTTGCACACTAACCCCGGGCCATATCTTGGCCTCAACATCAGGCCTCTCTCTGCCTCGCCGTCTTTTCCTCTGCCTTTGTATCTCTCCTGCCGTGGGCTGGTTCATACATTTTATGAGGCAGCCGTTGACACACCCGGTATCCCATTTTGTCGCGTGTACTTTGACGTGGTTATTTCTTTTTCTTTTTCTCTCTTCCTGCAACTAAATGTGTATTGACGATTTTCCTGTCTTTTCGTAGCGTTCATGTCATTTAAATTTGTAAACAGACCCGTTTTGTTTCCAGATGCGTATTTGCGATGGCTCACCACAGTCGCACGAGAGACACAACTAAACTCAGAAGCTCATATAAGTGTTTCGTACATCGTAGTCCTTCGTACAGACATTCTGGCTGCCTCATACGGATTAGGCAACAGGGGCTATTCTAGTCTCGTGGCACCGATGGATTGAGTGATACTGGACAGCTGCTGCAAGGCTGTCTAGCTTTGCGACGGCCCGACAGTTATTGTCTTGTTGGCGTTTCTCGTTTTCCCCATTTGATATCCGGATTGCGAGATTTACGTGCTGATGCCACAGCCCTATGAGCAACACAAAAGACCAGCATGGGCCCCATGAACCACCGAGTCATAAAGGCACTGGCATACTGCCTGGCGGTCCTGATCCTGTGTGTTTTATGGTGCATCTCTGTAGGCCTTGCGCAAAGTGTGTGCCCCAGATATGTAAAAGTGAGAAAATAAACACTGCAAAACGGCCGGTACATGCAGTCACTTTGCCGTGCTCGCATTTCACGTTTCCATTTATTTTCTCTTTCTATCGGTTGACTTGCCATATCTTGCGACGTGCTCATGTGCACATTAAGGCACGCTAAAGGCAACAGTCATACTATACAACACGGCTGTCAACTAGCCAGGCAACAAGGCGAATGCTCGTTGGCCAGATGTCCCTCTCGAGGCACGTCCACCGTTACCGATGCGCGCGTCACGGCTGGTGGTGGAGGGTCACGCTCCAGCCATATTGGTCCAAAAGCTTAGATACCTCCGTTGTTTATTTTTTTCTTGTTCTAGATTTCATTTGTTCAGCGTCGACCATCACAGAGCCCTCCGCATTCGCCTCGAAAACCATAGGACCTGGAGCCTTGCATCGACGCCGCGATGCCACATGGACCGCCTTACCCTGGACTGACACCGATGACACTGAACACACAAGAGACTTTAACCAGGTTGACAAATACAACCACTCAGCCAACAAAGTTGTAGACGCCTTGCTGTACGAAAGGCGGCTTAGGTTGATTGACTACAGCCAAGAGCCTGCCATTATCAGTTAATGGCAAAAAAAAAAAAAAAAATAAATAAATAAATAAATAAATGACGCATCTATCCCAAACTGTTTGCATCCTCGCTCGCCATCCTTGCCCGTTTTATACCGACACGAGCAGTGCGAAGCCGCCCATGGCCAATACCGACCCCAAGGTGAGGCCGTCCTCGAAGTGTGTAAGTCGCTCCTTCCCGCCATGGCAGCCTAGTCTCTCCCCCCACATTATGGTCCCCCTTCAGGACACTTATTGTGCAGCGACACCGGTTATTCGGTCTTGGGTTGCATTCTCTCTCCTTGTTTCCCAAACGTCTTTCAGAACCAGTAAATTGTGCTCGGCGGGCGCAAATCATGGAAGACATGATACTTAGTAGGTATTGACTTAACGAGAACGTAGGTCAGGCGGTAAGCCAATCATCATTGGCACACTTTCTCATACTTGCCCAAAGAGGAAAGAATGATTGGCCAGCACACGCGGGCCGCTCGAACAGGTCGCTCTTGCCAGATGACTTTCAAACTGTGACACTCCTTCCCAAGTAGTCGTATTTCTGACACGCCGTACTACGTCGTTCTACATGCAGTACAAAGTACTGCCGTGCATTTCTTCTTACTTTCACACCCTCTGTCACCTCTTTCATTTTTCATTCTCGCCGACCCGCCGAAGCATACCACGTTCTAGTCACTAATACGACGAACGCACGGTTAGACCTCAGGCACACTCATGTAAATACCCTGGCGGCTAGCCTCAGATGTGAGGCTGAGCATCGCCCACCCGCGTTGCAGTCAAATGAACTTGCTGGCAAACCGATTGTCAACAATGCCTGGCCAATACACTTGCGGTAAGGCAGGCCTTTTTGTCAAGGTCGTCTATCCCTGTAGCGCGGCTGAGAATATCGACCCCAGAGCGCAAGGCAGAGCAAACAGGGCGGCCGTTTTACTGGTGCTTCTGTGAATTGAAATGATTGGCCATTCAGTCGTGTTGTTGGTTTCAACCCTCCCTGCCTTATGGCTCTGCGGAAGGGTGGTGGAATCATGCCCGGTGAGTCGAACCCGTTGCTTGGGCAGACGACGCACCAGCGCGAGGCTGATGAATAAAGTTGCCACGTTTTGTGACCTCGTGGCTCCGGTGAAGCTCAAAACGGTTTCCATCGCGAATCAGACGACAATACGACTTTTAATCGACAAGGTTATAGGCAAACATCTCAGAGCTTGGTACGAAAGAACCGCGGGAACGAAAGCGGACGTGTATGCAGGACTTGTGGTCTGCTTATAATCGTAAATAAGACTCACAAAACACAACTTTGATGGCGTCATCAGGTTATCGGGCATCGTGAAAGGACTTATCACTGAAACATCATTGGTAAACTCTCCTAGGACTTACTTGCGCAACTTGTCCTACCTATAGCCTTGTTCGACCGGACCTGGGCAGCTATGGACAACTCTGTGAACCAGACAGAAGACATGAAGCGAGAACGAGACGAAATAAAAAAAATATGACGGATTGAAACATGCCTTCAACCAATCGATGACGACTCTGCCGAGCTCCCGTCCCGGCAGAGAGAGCCATTCACAAAGCAGCATTCCGTGTTGGAAACCCGTGGTCTGGTCCGTGCCTGGCGTTCTTCGGAACCATCAACAGACTCTCGCCCGGTGAGATTTCTCCGCACGTGCTGCAGCTTTTGGAGAGTGGAAGCTTCCAGGGGCAGGCTGGGTCGTCGCGGGATCCTATTCATGGCTTCCCCGCTAGTTATAACCCGAAAGGGTAACCGAAAACGGTTCAGAAAACTTTACTCTGAAAAAGGCAGGCGCCAGCGAGGGCAGACTTGAAATTCACAGCCTCGTTGTTGCTTGTGCCTATTTCATTACTTCTTTGGAAGAGCACATTATTTTCTTCCCTTTGGGAAACTGTGCCCTTGTCTCCTTTCCGTCTGTATTGTTTCTCACCTGGTTGCAAGTCCTCTCTAATCTACATGTAAAAGGAAGGAACATCTAGTCGCTAACGATGGCAACCGGAACCTGCCACCTGCACTGAAGACAGCGGTTGCGATAGCGCGCCAATCCCGAATTCCCGCCAAAGCCTAGCACAATGGGTGCTGTCCATGCCGCGATATCGCCGAACGTATTGCACCAAATCATCAAATGCACTACTGCACCACAGGGCCCCCATAAACCACCAGTAGCGGGGAGCGGGCATGCTGACACCTTATACGAGTAACAGGCTACTGAGGCCTCAACAGTCTTCCTAGGCCGCACTCACCTCGCAATTGACATCACAAGTGCCGGAAGGAACCCCACCTTTGGACCTTCTGTGGGGCGGGTTATCAGTCGCGGCTTCCCGTGTCGAATTTGTAACAGCTGTGTCCGCACCTTCCTCGAATCTCTGTCTGAGCGGTGGGAGACGGGAAAACACAGAAAAGAAGCTCTCAATCTCACATCCTCTCGCCTCTCCGTTGTGCAACTAACGTCTCAACAAGAAGAGCCACCATCAACAACCAGACCACAAACTGCAACATCGCCAGTAACCGGCCTTGACTAGTCGAGAACTCTGAGCAAAGTGACGGAACTCCACCTCCGCCAAGGTAGGCACGGAAAGCAGATAAAAGGAGGGGCGACTAGTCACGCTATTTTTTGGCCATTCTCACGCGTGCAGTATTCCGTGGAAGCAGTTGAAAGACACACTTCCGTGGTATTACTACGTCGCAGTTGGAGCATCAGACAGCTGGAAAGCTACTGTTTATAATAAACCCGCCTCCCGAGCAAATCGTCTCCCCCTCTCAGTCGCATTTCCTGTCCTCGCTCCCCTCAAGAATAAAGAACATTTCCGATCAGACATCGGGAAGAGGGGAAACAAACGAAACACGGGACATCTGTCATACTAATTCGAACGGAAGAGGTAATTACGCAATGGATCTCCCATCGCCCACTCTCGTGGTAGATATAGCAAGCTCTCCCGGCATTCTTGCCGAATCTCTACCCTATTCCCTCTGCTGGTGAGAGAGACTTTTTACGTCGACCTATTGTAGCTGACATCCCAGCAGCATTCACACACTCCCGCCAATTGACATCATCGGCTCTGCCAACAAGACTGCCAACATGGCTTCCACAGTCGGCAAGGTAAGCGAGCGAAGCGAGAAAGCAAAGACCAGTACGCCGAGATGAGACGCGCCGGCTGACACGCCGTCGTTTCCACGTAGACAATCACCTGCAAGGCTGCCATTGCCTGGGAGGCTGGCAAGGAGCTGAGCATCGAGGACGTCGAGGTCGCTCCGCCCAGAGCCCACGAGGTCCGTATTGAGATCTACTACACGGGTGTGTGCCATACAGACGCATACACCCTGTCCGGCAAGGATCCCGAGGGTGCTTTCCCCATCATCCTGGGACACGAGGGCGCTGGTGTCGTCGAGTCTGTCGGCGAGGGCGTCACCAACGTCAAGCCCGGCGACCACGTCGTGGCGCTCTAGTAAGTTGAACCTTCTTTTGACATTTTTTGGACACTCGTAAGCGTGTCCAATATCCATACTGACAATTCGTAGCACCCCCGAGTGCGGCGAGTGCAAGTTCTGCAAGTCTGGAAAGACCAACCTGTGCGGCAAGATCCGCGCTACCCAGGGCAAGGGCGTGATGCCCGACGGCACCTCGCGCTTCAAAGCCCGTGGCAAGGACATCCTGCACTTCATGGGCACGTCCACCTTTTCCCAGTACACCGTCGTTGCCGACATCTCCGTCGTCGCCATCCAGGACAACGCTCCCTTTGACCGCGCCTGCCTGCTGGGCTGCGGTATCACCACCGGCTACGGCGCTGCTCGCGTCACCGCCAAGGTCGAGGAGGGCAGCAGCGTCGCAGTCTTCGGCGCTGGCTGTGTCGGCCTGTCGGTCGTGCAGGGTGCTGTCGCACAAAAGGCCGGCAAGATCATTGTCGTCGACGTCAACCCGACCAAGGAGGAGTGGGCCAACAAGTTTGGCGCCACGGAATTCGTCAACCCGACCAAGCTGCCCGAGGGCACCACCATTGTCGACAAGCTGATTGAGCTGACCGACGGCGGTTGCGACTACACCTTTGACTGCACGGGCAACGTGCAGGTCATGCGTGCGGCCCTCGAGGCGTCGCACAAGGGCTGGGGCCAGAGCATCATCATCGGCGTGGCGGCGGCGGGCCAGGAGATTAGCACGCGTCCCTTCCAGCTGGTGACGGGCCGTGTGTGGAAGGGCTGCGCGTTTGGCGGCATCAAGGGCCGCTCCCAGCTGCCGGGCTTGGTGGGCGACTACCTCGAGGGCCGCCTCAAGGTCGACGAGTTCATCACGCACCGCAAGACGCTGGGCGAGATCAACCCGGCCTTTGACGTCATGAAGGCTGGCGACTGCATCCGCGCTGTTGTCGACATGCGGAAGCTGTAGAGATGGATGACTGGGAAAGACGATATTATAAAAAGTGGAACAACCAAAATGGGAACTGCTCTTTTTGAATGAAATTACAAGTGTCAATACGTACCTTTACCACATTGTGCCGACTGGTTGTGAGGCAATAAGTTCCTGGACCTAATACCTGATATCAATCAGCATTCGCTTATAATTGTAGATGTCTGATACAAGGACAGATAATAGGATTTTATGGGGTGTCTGGATGATGCTCTTATTTATGTAACCCGCCTCAGCCCCCCGCGATTGTCATCGCCCAGAGTTCGAACCTTGCGACGAGAACCCTTGTGGACACTGGTTGTTTGACTGTTCATTGCCGTTTTTGCCGTTCCCACGACTGCCATGGAGCCGTCCGTTTTTTGCATGCTTGTATCTTACCGCTTGTAAAACTTTACGAAAACACCGGCTGGGCAAACGCGAAAGAACGGGATACGAATGTAAGCAAGAGTGTAGCACTGTTGATACGAACGAAGAGTACGATGTTAAGGAAAAAGGAATACGAACATGAGTGAAACAACAGGACATGTTCATGCGAGGATCGAATGCCCATTGGCTTTCATAGTATTCAGCAAATGGCAGCGCTCCCTCCTTCACTCGTCCGAGAGACCTTGAATCCTTTGCGCTCTTCACTTGACTCGCGTATCGCCCGGCACAGCGAATACTTGTCGCAAGGCGCCTGACATCATCGTTTATTTTTTTTGCCGGCTTGGCTTGGCTTTCCTCTTTGAACCCGTTCACTCTCAACAGCAAAGACCATGCACGGATTAATTGAACTCAATTTAAGCGCCTTACTTAATCGTCAGTAAAAGAAACGGTGGCAAGCAGCTTTGTCACCGTTTCTCAGGTGGCGTCGTAAAATACAACGTGGTGTCGATGGCAGCGGTTGGGCTTTCACTTCGTCCCAATATCGCATTCTGTAGCGATGGGCAGCCTTCCTGCCACTTTCGGGTCGCAGTCTCACCATATTGTAACCTGCGACATTTTGGTTCCTGTGTGGCAGGAACAACTGTCAGATTTGCAGCTGCCAAAACAGCACACCAAGAGCATTTCTAGCGTGACGGACAGAAAGCGCATGTGACCAGGCTGGAACAGTGGGAAGGCGTAGCCAGGCGACTGCAACAGCTTCAACCAGCCGCAATGAAAATGCACCACGGGGCTGCCGGGCCTGGCCCACCACCCTTTCTTTGATTTGGGGCGGTATTGTCTCACCGTTTTCTTATTCTAAAAATTTTTGGCCCTCGTGTTCTTTTGTGTCAACTAAGAAGCGACGATGTACGGTAAAGACCATGCCCGTCTTGGCCGCCGTGGCCTGTATTAATTACCGTCTTTGTCGTCTGTCTCGCCAGCCGTCTCGTCTCTTTTGTTCCAAATCTCCTTATTGAGCCTGTTTCTCTTCCTGGACACAGCTATCCCCCTTTGGAAACACAGTCCGTGTCTTTCCTCCACCCACTGTGTCTCACATCGAATTGAAAGGTGAAAGGCCTCAAAGACACACAAGCACAAATGCCTCATGGTGCTGTCGGTCCCGCCGGCCACACCGTGTGGTCCTTTCACCAGACCCCGGATGACGACGAGAAGGGTCTTGAGGTATTGCTTGTCATCCACACAGTTGCACTGTCCTGTAAGCACACTCTGTCAGGTCCCTTTCCACGTGAGATTTTGTTGTTTGTCAAGTCTCGACTAACTCACAAAGGAGACGAGGTCAGGAGAAACAAGGGCAATCACGAAGTTGGACGTCTCCACGACATGACACAAAGGCATATTAGATACGCCATTCTCGTTGTCGCTGTCCCCATCGCTAATCGCGAGACACACCATTGGGCCCGACAGCGGAGCCTCGCGGACAAGACAGTGCGTCATCGTAGCAGCACGGAGAGGGCGCTAATGATACGGAGAAGGTCCGTTACAGCAGATTAGGGGAAGGCACCTGGGCCTGGCCCGTTTCAATCGCTGTTTCCAGCAGCTTCCGCGAGCCGCCGGCTCTTTGCGGCTGGCGCGATCCTCCCTGACGGGACCACAGTGTGACAACACATCGGCCAGGCCACAAATGGCGGCCCCAGCACCCGATGAGCGCTATGGACCCTCAACAACCCCCAATTCGCAAGGGCAATGACTGATCCTGACTGATCCTGATGCCCTACCTTCCCTGGTTGGCTCGGCTGTCCTGCCTCCTCTCCACAGGCAGGCAAAAGCACAACGTATCTGTATCCGCCCGTCGTGTTAAGTTACCCACATCCCTTTCAGCCACTCGCGCCCATATCGACTGCAGCCCGCCCCATTCCACGCTGTCCATGACACAAGCGCTACATACGTCGTACCTCCACACCAGGCTGTCGTCGCTGGCCCATCGCCGTCCGCCGCGAGTCAACACCAAGTATTGGCGCCGCCTCCTTCCACTTTGAATACGGAGCGCTTGGCGCCTTGCTCTTTCCCTTGTTCGCCCTTGCGTTTGTCTGTTGCCATCTTCGGCTTCCGTATCGAGCACATTCCCTGACTCCCGGCTCCTTCCCAAAATACACGTCAAACGAGCAAGGCCAGCCAATATTACACAGCCTGGTCGCCTCTTTCCGCCATGGGCATAAAGCGCCCGTTCCGTAATCGTAATCATCAAAGCCCGCCAGCCGCAAGGGCCTTAAACCAGAAGACCGTCTCCATCGACGGGCCTTGCTACCACCACCCCCCCCCAGTCTATTCTCCGTATTACCTGCGAGCTATTTGGATTAGCCCTCTGGTTCCGCAACGCCCACGTGAGGCGTTTCCGACCATCGCTGATTCTCTGACTCCCGTCCCTGTGTCGTCCCTTTTCGCCTGTCGCCTGCTCCTTCCTTTCCCTTCCTTGTCCTTCTCCTTCCTTTTTAATACAACTGCATCCCCCAAGGCTTCCCCTTTCCTTCCCTCCTTCCCAACTTACTCCTTCCTTTCCTTCCTTCTTTCCATTCTTCATTCTCACTTCTCTACATCTCTGACTTTCTCGTCAACCTCCTCTTTCGACGGTCACCACTCCACCACTACCACCACCACCTAACATCATTGTCGCCGCAACCGCCTACGCATACGACCTCGGCCTAACCCGCAGCGATACGAGTACAAACGACAACAGGCAACACGTCCCCTTCTTTTATCATCGAGCCAGTTTACTTGTCGACTCCTCCCTCCTGAAACCACAAAACTTCGAATTTAACGGTTTCTGTCGTGTTTTCGCTCTGTCTATCTCTCTCTGTCCCTTCTTCGCTCTACCGTCGGTCACTCAGAATGGCTCCGCGCAAGATCAAGTGCTCTTTCAAGGAGTGCAAGGAGGCAGCGCAGCGCATTGCTGGCGACTGCGGTTTCTGTAACGGCCACTTCTGCGGCCGTCACCGGTTACTAGAGGACCACAAGTGCACTGGTCTTGAAGACGTATGTTCTCTCCCTGCATGTCCTCAGATTTGTGACGGATTTTTCGAAACTGACTCTTATCGTTTTCTCCCCAATATAGTGCAAGAAGGCAGCACACGAGCAGAACGCTGCCCAGCTTGAATCCGAGCGGACCCACGTCATCAAGGGCGTATAATGGCAGCCCTCTCCGTTTTGCCGCCGCACGTTTCCCTGACGACTCTGAACGCGGACCGAGTCCGTGAAAGGGACCTTACGGTGGCGAGTTTCCGGGCATAGCGATTCTTGACAACCTCTTGTCCTCTCCGACGACGACGTCGACAGATGGACCGAATGACGACGGGGATGGCCAAGCAGAATGCTTACTACAGAACGCAAATGGCCAACAGCGTGGTGACCAGTCATGCGCCGAGCACCATCATTTTATGGGGCACGGGGCCAACGCACAACGTTGTTTCTGTCGTTGCTGTGGTCAGGGATCCGTCTCCTCTGTTCTGCCAGCTCTCCCTAATCACGGACCCCGGACCACCGACTCAACCCGCAGCAGCCCACCAGAAACTTGCACCACTCTGCCACGTATTTTGCAACGCAAAACCCGCAAATTGCATAATACACACAACCCACTCATCCACAATTTCTCAAATTCACACATCCACGCACCAAACACGCGCACACCCTCCCCCCCCCACACGTAACATTAATTTCTCTACTTGACACGAGCGGCTGGTATTACGTGGGATCACCACGTCCACTGCACACCAGAGCCAACCGACGTGCGCTCTCATCTTTCCTTTTTGAGTCCGCTTATTCCCACCATATTTGTTATTTGTCATAATCTGTTTTCCAACCGTATGGCGTCTGGAGCTGGGTAGCGAGGGAGTGACACGAGCTGTCTTTTGTTTCGCCGTCCTGGGGCTTTTGAAGTCATTCTGGTCTTCATTATTCTGATAGAGGCGATGTTTTTGAATTCTACATTTTCACCATAACACCAGGTATTGAATTGCATCGTAAATTAGTAATGTACATTGCTCTCTTTGTTGTTTTTTAAAAATAAAATACAAGTATCTTCAAACGTAATCCTCCTACCCCTCCTTGACTTCGTCTTTGATGACACCGTCCTCGTCTCCGCCGGGGACGTCCAAGCCCAGCTCGCGCCGTTTCTTGCGTCCTTCGTTGACCTTTTTGCGGTTGGCTGCTCGGCACAGCCCGCGCAGGCCCAATGTACAGTCGCCGCACTTGGCGCCCTGGGGCAGGCACACGGCCTGGCCAAAGCCCACCAGCAGCCAGTTGATCTCCTTCCACTTGTCGCGCGGCAGCCAGCTCTGCAGCGCCAGGCGCGTGCCCTCGGGCGTCTTGGCCGCCGCCGATCCGGGCTTCTGCCACCCCCAGAGGTTCGTGATGCGGTGCACGTGCACGTCGACGCCGATGCCCTCGACGCGGTTCCAGCCGTGCTCCGCGGCCAGGCACAGGTACGCCATCTTGGGCCCGACGCCGGGCAGCGCCATCAGGCCCTCGGCCGTCGGCGGGATGTCGCCGCCGTACTCGTCGCGCAAGATGACGGCGGCCTGCTTGAGATACTTGGTCTTGTTGTTGTGGAAGCCGACCTGCCAGATCAGCTGGTTGAGCAGCGTCGGGTCGACGGCGAGCATGTTTTCCAGGTTGAGCCCCGGCGGCGCGCCCGGCGCGTGGGGCGGGAGCTCCGCCTGCAGGCGCGCCATGACGACGGCATTGACCGTGTCCTTGGTCTGGGAGCTCAGCATCAGGGCGACGAGGGTGTGGAAGCGCCGGTCGCGCGGGCTGGCCGACGCGAGGGCAAGGCGCTCGCAGCCCATGGTGTCGACGGCGGCGTTGGCGGCCGGTCCGCCGGGGAGGCGCATCTCCTTGACGAGGTCGTAGAACAGCTCCCAGTCGGTCGGCGGCTCGACATGCGTTGCGTCGCCGCCCTCGCCCTCGCCCTCACGCTGGCTCACGACCTTGGTCGTGATGACACGTGCGGGCTTGCGGGCTTTGCGTGGCGATGCTGCTTTTTGTATGGACGAAAGGTCCTGCCCGCCCAGCTCCTCGTCCTTGATCTCCCGCTTGACCTCGACATAGTCTTCTGACTTGACGGCACCGTTGGCTCCATTTCGCTTCTTGTGGGTAGGCATTTTCGTGACTACGGTGGCCGTGGTCGTCGTGGTCGTCCTGGTCGTCGTGGTCGCTGCTCGTTTTCGTTTGCCTGTCGCAGCAGAGCCTGTCGATGTTTTGGTCGTGGCTGCTGTCGTTCTCGTTCGTGCACCTCTTGTCGCTTTCCTCCTTGGTGCAGACACAGCGTCTTCAATGTCGCTATTGAAGGACAGCTCGGACAGGCTGCTCTCGTCGTCCGAGGGTTTGTGGTCGCTGTCGTCGTTGTCATTGTCATCGGGCTCCTCCGTTTTCACGCCGCTGTCCGAGTCGGAGCTATCGTCCTCGCGGTACCGGAACCGGGCCAGCGACGTCGACGCCATACGTGCTGACCGCCGTCGCTGAGGTCCAGCTGCCGTCGCGGCCGCTGTCGTCATAGCTTTTTGTGTAGTCTGGGAGCCCTGGGTACTCTGAGTGATCTGTGCGTTTCGGGAAATTGCCGACCGAGGAGGACAAGAAAGAGGGGGCAATGGCAGGCGCACGACGCTGTGCACAGCGGTCGAGAGGAAGCGAGGGGAGAGCAAGAGTTGCAATCGCGAGAACATGCAGCCAAAGCCGAGGGACGGCCGTCGTCGTGGCTGCTGTTGTGGCGTTCGTCGTTGTGACTGGACGTCGTAGTCTGTCGTCTCCCCTTTCTCAGCTTCAGGGGATCCTACGGGCGGACCAGTCCGCAGTGCTGGGTCGTTGTGTCTGCACGTCCGATCCACTACCGATATCCGCGTGGAGAGCTAGGCCTAATATGGACTAGCGCATTTGCGTTCAGCCGGAATGTGTCAAAACGGGCAAGAGCAGCGACGAAGCGACCTTCAAGTGTCTCCAAACACCATACTCCGTACAACATACAACGTACAGAGTATGTTGTAAGAGACTGCTAATTGAGAGGTGGTCGGATAGGACGTTGAGCTGTGTATCGTAGCAGGCCGCACATTATCACGGCCAGTTCCTGTTGTCGAAGCACCTGAACTGGCATAAAAGAATGTGCTAGATTGACGGCGTTTCGTATCGACGCAGGACGACGTCCGTCCGTTGAACTCATCTGCCATCATATCTTACAAACTCCTTGTTCGCGTAAGATGGATGGACAGTGGCTGAAGCTGCCATTTTGGCCGATGCAAGGATACGGAAGAATGACGAGCGACCAAGAACGGACTTATGTCAGCTGGCTTAACCGAGAGGAGAAGGTGCGCACAGGCGTGGACGGCAGGCACCCACCGGATTTGCTGCATTCTTAACTCCAGATCCGTCTTCTGCCAGCGCTTTTTGGCAGGAACGTGCCCGCCCTAGCCAAAAGGCTCCGAACTATACACGCAATTAGCGCAACAGGCAGGTACGCTGTACGAGGTTCTGACGCCAGCAAAAATTGACAACAATAAAGGACGTAGAAAGACTGCAAAACCTGCAGCAACTTGCGCCGTCCCACCACCATTCCGCCCTAATTGACCCGAATGCCGTGTCTCGTTACAATGCCGTCGGAGAGTTGTCGCCCCTTGGAGCGTCTTTCAGCTGGCAGTGTTTTATCTTCTGGAACTTGCCCAGAGGAAGGGACCTTGACGGGCCTTCGGGCTGCTCGACCGTCCGCTTCTTGGCTAAAGTCCCCCATTGACGATGTTCGAAGCCAGGGGCGGAGACGTTATTGCTAGGGGTCGATGATCATCTGGTGCTGTGGTCTTTTGTGTACGCGTCCTTTTGTTGTCTACTATTATAAAAACAAAAACTATCTACATTTTGCGAATTGCTTCATTTTGTTTTCTTTTCTAATTTTGTATCGTCACATTGAACATCGACATCTTTTGCGATTTCCGTCGGCACCAGCACAACGTTATTTCTAGCGTTCTTGTCACCTTCTCGAGACAACCCCTCGCCGTCTCTTCCCTCCCCTACATATTTCCGTCACAATGGCAGAGTACAACGGCGGCAGCGCCAAAGCAGACCACCTCTGCGTTCTCGTCCACGGTGTATGTTTACCTTCACGCCCTCTCCATCCGGTCATCACCGACTAACACAGCTCAGCTTTGGGGCCAGCCTGAACACCTGGGGTCCGTGGCCGCCGCCTTGCGTGACGGCTACTCCGAAGACCAGCTGCACATTCTTGTCGCCGGCAGCAACAGCGGCTACTACACCTATGACGGCATCGACACCGGCGGTGAGCGCGTGTGTCTCGAGATCGAAGATGCCCTCGAGGCGGCGGCCGGCAAGGGCGCCAAGATCACGAAGCTGAGCGTCGTAGGCTACTCAATGGGCGGCCTCGTCGCACGCTACGCCGTGGGCCTGCTGCACGCCAAGGGCATCATGGACAAGCTCGAATGCAAAAACTTTGCCGCCTTTGCGAGTCCCTTTTTGGGCGTCCGGTCCCCGACCCGCGGCGCCTTCAGCACCGTCTTCAACGCCATTGGCTCCCGCACCATCAGCGTGTCCGGCCGCCAGCTGTTTGGCATCGACTCCTTCCGCGACACCGGCCGCCCGCTGCTGACCATCCTGGCCGACCCCGAGTCCATTTTCATGGCCGGCCTGCGCCGCTTCGGCCGCCACACGCTGTACGCCAACATCGTAAACGACCACAGCGCCGTCTACTACACCACAGCCCTCTCCAAGACGGACCCCTTTGCCGAGGTCGCCGCCGCGGGCGGCGACATCGAGGACTTGCCGCTCCACTTCGTGCCCGGCTACGACCAGACCATCATGGCCGACAAGGAGCCAATTGCCCTCGACCGGCTGGCGGCTGCCATGAAGCGGGTGCGCGAGCGCACGGCCAGCGGCGGGGCCGCCAAGGCCAAGGCCGAGGCGAAGACGAAACAGGGCATCATGCCCGCTGGCAAGGCAGTGCGGCGCTTCCTGGCGAAGCCGTGGAACCGCGAGCGGCGGCTGCAGCTGTTTGAGGCCGCGCCCATGGTGGCCATTTCGCTGCTGCTGCCCCTGGGCCTGACGCTGTTCCTCTTGAACGCGGTCTACCAGCACGTCCAGAGCAGCAAGCGTCTCAAGCGGCACGAGGGCGGCTTGGCCGGCATCGACAGCAAGAGCTACCGCCTGCTGCCGCTGTGGATGAAGGGTCTGCGGGACACCGTCGAGGACGCCTACGAGGACATTAACACGGCCCAGGACCCCGAGTTTGCCTCGCCCGACGACTCCGACTCGGACCTCGAGTCCATCGCCCAAGGCGTCCAGCAGCCGCAGGTGCCGCTGTTCAAGGACGGCAAGGGCAGCAAGATCACTACGACCGCCCCGGCCGACGGCTCGCTCCTTGCCCTATCGCCCGAGCAGTTCACCATGATCGACAACCTCGACAGCCTGGGCTGGAACAAGTACCGCGTCTGGATCCGCAAGATCCGCCACAGCCACGCCGCCATCATTGTGCGCCACGAGTCGCCGCGCTTCGAGGAGGGCAAGACTGTCTTGCGGCACTTTGTCAATGAGGAGTTTGCCATTTAGACGAGCCACCCCCCTTCCCCCTGCACTCTCTTTTTTTTCTTTTTTTTTCTTGGTTTCCTTTTCATCATACCCTTTTTTAACGTTGACGACAATCTGTATTATATTTTTGCTTCATTAGCAGGGCAGCAAGCACAAACAGGCGTTGTGGATAGAAGCGAGGACAACGCACAGCTTTCAATAACTTGATAGAATTTGAATTTCACACCCAACCAATTTCAATTACAGAGGATCTGCGATTTATACATTATTCATGCTGACGGTCGATCCAATGTCAACAGATCGGCAATTGCTTATGTAATGGCACCTGCCCGCTGTGAGAATTTAGGCCGCTGGCAAGTAAAGTGGCTACAGCGTATCGATAAGCACCTGGGGCGTAGCTTCCTCCGACGTCAGACACGCGCACCTGCATCTTGAACCTCGACCTCATCTGCTACCAAATCGTCGATTCTCTTGCAAACAACCTCCCGAAGCATCTTTGTCACCACCAACATATCGTTATCGCAGACGTATACATAGTGTCATTCTTATCCGGCTTTCGAACCGACGGCATTCCGCAGCCTCGACTACGCGCGGCTGTTGCCGCTTCAGAACGACTGCAAAGACACATCCTTTGCCTTCAAACTCGCATTTGTCGTCAACTTCGCCTGGACGTTCACTTTGATGTTCTTCTAACTGCACCACCTTTGTCACCTATACCCCGTGCGTGTGGAAGAATTGGTGACGGCGGCCCCATTGCTGCTTCACTGCCCCTCGGCGGGCCCGCGCCGCTCGCGTCGTGATGGACATCCCCGATGGCCTCTTGAGCCACATTCCATGCCCAAACGGCGATGGATGCAAGACTGTGCGATGTCTCTTTGGCCATGCCGGTAGCCAACCGACTGGCGCACCCACTGCAGGTTTAGATGACGTGTCAACAGTCGTAACATCGGCTGCCGCGTCGACGGGTAAGCACCGCTCAAGCTTTAGCGACGAGAGCAGCCTCGCCGAGAAACGACCGAAAATCGAGCACATGGAGAAGACGGTCAACGACAAGCGGTCGACATCAAGCAGTCTCTCCAAAAGCTCGTCCTCGTCATGGACCCAGAGATCCTCCAAAGGCTCGTCAGAAAGCTCGACAAACAGTTTGTTTTCTGTCAGCCCCGTTGTCTCTCACGATGCCGACCCCTCTCTCTCTGCACTCAAACGGCCCATCTCACCACCGCCACTGAAGCGGCGACAAAGCAACGTAGCAAATCTCGCTGATACGCCCTCGACGGCCGCCATCACTGCCGCTACCACTGCCACTACCACTGCCACTACCACCGCCGGCCAAGCCCCTACCTCTGTCACGGCTGCCAAGACCTCACAATCTGTGCCTTTGGCACCCTCCAACAACACAACCGGCAGCAAGCCAGTACCACCAGCACAGGAGAAACGGAAGCCAGAAACGCTCAATCCGCGTTATGTGGCCAAGGCGCCTGCCAAGCACGAGATTCGCCTGCGGCTCGTCAAGCTGCTACACCAAGAGTTTTCCCGTCTGAATAAGCTTCTTCATGCGTCTGCAGAGCACCCCGAGGATAGGAAGCACTACTTGCTGAGTCCACAGGGCCTAATCTGGGCGGCCCTCGATGTGGAAGAGCACTATGCCACCACCAAGTCATCCACAATCTATTCGGACACGATCAAGCACCGCATCATGGAGTTCAAGCGGATGACGGTGGTCCAATGGGTCAAAGAGCGGAAGGAAGCAAAAGAAGCGGCGAGACGAGCCCGCCAAGCCGCAGTTGTATCGACTCCCGCGGCTGCGCCAGCGGCGTGCGCCAAAGCGCCACATACCACAGAGCCCGCTGCCGCCACGAGCGGGGCTGCCGCAACGTCCCCACCGCCTCCGATTGTCACAGGCCTCCCACCCGACCAGGAACTGGTCCTTCTCCAAAGGCACTTTGTAACCCCGACTGACAAGCTTGGGAACCAGGGTTATGTTCCGACCGTGCCCTCCGACGAGGACATCCAAAAGGCCCGCGACGCCGAGGACGTCTCAAAAGGCTGGGAGCAATGTGAGCGCTGCACCCGCCGCTTCCAGGTATTTCCGGGCCGCCGCGAAGACGACGGCGCACTGACGTCAGGCGGCAAGTGTCAATACCACCCCGGTCGGCTAAACCGTGCGACCCAGGTGTTCAGCTGCTGCAGTGCATCTGCCTCGGACGGGTCGCCGGGCTGCGAGACGGCGGCCAGCCACGTGTTTAAAGCAAACGACGCAAAACGCCTGGCGTTACTGTGGAACTTTGTCGAGACACCGGCCAACCCCGATCCCAACGTACCGGTTGAGCAGGCCGTCTGTTTTGACTGTGAGATGGCCTACACGGTGTACGGCATGGAGGTGGTGCGGTTGACAGCGACGTCGTGGCCGAGCGGCGAGCTGCTGCTAGACATCCTCGTGCGACCGTATGGCGCCATTATCGACTTCAATTCGCGCTTTTCGGGCGTATGGCCAGAGGACTTTGCGGCGTCTATTCCTTATACGCCTGCAGCAGCAGCCGACGCAGCGACGAAGCGCGGCGCGGCGAATCCCAAGGGAACAGACGAAAAGTCAGCGAATCGGCCGCCAATGCTTATGGCCTCGTCGCCCGAGGCCGCTCGCACACTTTTCCACAAGATAATACGGCCAGAGACGGTGCTCATTGGACATGCACTCGAGAACGACCTCAAGGCCATGCGGATGGTGCACCCACGCATTTCAGACACGGTCCTGCTGTTCCCCCACCCAAAGGAGTTGCCCATCCGGTATAGTCTACGGGTGCTTGCCAAGGAGCACCTCGACCGAGTCGTCCAGGCCGGCGGCCATCTCACGGGCCATGACAGTGCCGAAGACGCGCGCGTGGCCGGTGACTTGGTGCGTTTCAAAATCAAGTCAAAATGGGACGACCTGCGGCGGCGGCAGAACTGGAAGCTCGTCGACGGGGTGATGGTGCAAGACAGTTGAGGCTGGCACGAGACAGGACTCCTGCACCTAGTCGCATTGCTACTGTACAATCATGTTGTCATGTTTTTACTTTGGTGTATTTAGAAGCATAGCGGAGCGTGGATACGAATAGAAGACAACATTGGCTTCACACTGACGCAAGGAAAGCACAGTTGGTAATGTCGTAGTTGTGATTTGAGAAAGTGGTGTAATATAATTGTACAGTCATTGACTAAACAGCCAAACAGTAAAAGCAAAATAACGCCAATAAATAGTGATTTTCCCTTGCCAGGCACCAGAAAGAGCATGCTTCCTCCATCCACCGCTCTTTTGTATGCATTCTCCTCTGTTTCTTTCTTTTTCGTGTCGTTTCCCTTGTCTGTACAAGTCACGTCCCCTTCTGCTCCTTATGCCCGGCCGGCGTTCAAGAGGATGTTGGTGCCCTGCTTGCCGCCGGGGATGTAGGCCACATTGGGGTTCGCGGCCAGCGTCTGGGCAATCTCGCGGCTCGCCTCGATCTTGCGGATCTGGATCAGGCCGTCGCCCGACTTGGTAATGGCGCGGCTGATGGTGTCGGCGCTCTCGGCCTCGCCCTCGGCACGGATGACGTTGGCCTGGCGCTCCTGCTCGGCGCGCTCGACAATGAAGCGTGCGCGCTCGGCGTCCTGCTGGGCAATCTGCTTCTGCTCGACGGCCTTGGTAAACTCCTTGCCAAACGTCATGTGCGTAATGGACACGTCCTCGAGGGCAATGTTGAACTCGTGGGCGCGCTTCGTCAGGTCGGCGCGGATGCGCTGCGAGACGGCCTCGCGCTGCGTAATCAGCTCGGCGGCGTCAAACTGCGCGACAATCGACTTGAGCACCTCGTTGCCAATGGACGGCAGCACGCGCTCGTCGTAGTCGTGGCCGAGGTTCTGGTAGATCTTGGGCAGGGCCTGCACCTCGGGTCGGTGCAGCACGCGCAGCGTCAGGCTGACCATCTGCATGTCCTTGCTGCCGGTGGTCGTGGCGATGTTGCGGGGCTTGGTGCGCACGTCAAAGATGATGCTGCGCTGCAGCCAGGGCACAAGGAAGTGCGTGCCCTCGCTGATGACGGTGTCCTTGACGCCCGACAGCCGGTCAAAGATAACGGCGCGCGAGCCGCCCCGCACGTCGTATATGGACGACTGCAGCACGGCGATGCCGGCGACGGCCGGGATCGATATTTTGTAGATGAAACCGAGGGCGTTGGCCATTGTGACGGGTAGCTTCTGTGGTGCTGTGGGTTGGTGGGTGCTGGTCGTGGAGGTGTCGTCGATTGGGCCCGACGGATCCGAGATGGCGATGTCGTCTGCTGTTTTTTTGCGGCTTCGGTTTTGACAGGCGTACCGGGTCGTACTTGCTTGCTAGCTTTTGAGCCTGTGGTGGTGGTTTGACGCTGCCTCTTGCCTGCCTAGTGTTAGCACAGCTCGTGCTATTTGCTGGGTTGCACCTTCCTGAGAGCAGAAGCCCGGCTCGGATTATCCCATTTCTCCGACGAGTAAACCAAGCCCAATCAGGGAAGGCGCTGCTACTTTGGATGGAAACCCGCGACCAATTGACCATTCCGACAACTCCCATTCGGCCTCCCAGAAATTCTCTCGCCCGTTCTCTCTGAAGCTTGCAGCATCGACTGACTCCATTCTCACGGTATCCCGACCTCGACCACCACCCTCTCTCCACACCCCAAACTCAATCGATCACAATGCGTCCCTCTCAGATGCTCCGCAGCGGCGGCGGTGGCGACACCCCGCTCGGCAAATACGGCCAGTACGACGCCCCTCTCCCGCGCAAGTGAACAGCAACAGGTTCCGATGCGCCGCAGCGCGGCTAAGCTCAGGCCCTGCGGCCGATGCATGGCTGCGGTTGGCATGGAACGGCTGTCTGGTGACGCAGATGTGCAATTGCGCGCATGCAGGCAATGATTTGGGTGTCGACGTGGTAGCTAACGCGTTTTCCTATCTAGCTACATTGGCAACTGGGGAAACTTGGGTAAGTTGATGCTTTTCGACGGCATGGGCGGCCGAGACGACGTGTGACCATGGTCAATGGGCTGGTGCGGCATGGGGGAAGCTCCTGTATTCGCGATGTCCACCGGTGAACAGATGTGTATCGATTTGTCGATATATTGGGATATCGCGTACCAAGCGGATGGCGGGATGCGACGACCGGTCTACGGCTTGCGACACAAGCCAATGCAATGACGACACGAGAACATGCTAACAACGCAACAGGCCCTGCCACCCAGAAGCAGCGCGGCATTGTCTCTTTCGGCATTGCCCCCAACCGCCAGAACCCCTTCGCCGGCGCCGGCCACGACGCCATCTTCAACACCTGGCGGCGGTTTTCCCGGCAAGTCCTGTACTGGGCGCCAGCCTTTATCGGCGGCTACTACGCCATGCAGTGGGCGACCGAGCGGTACGTGCTGGGAGACGGAACGGAGGTGCAGTGCGGTTGTCTGGACACAAACTGACTTTGATAGGAACCACTTCCTGAACTCCAAGCACGGCCGGCCATCGGCTGATGAGGAGGAGTAAGGCGTTTGGTGCACGAGACACGAGAAAACCACCGCACATTTCACAGGGCGCGCAGATGGTGCATAGGAAGTACATCGACGGTACATCTAGACGATTAGGAAGCACGTGTTGCGAGGACGGCTGGCACCTGTTGGCTATAAAATGTACCAATACCGTCTACCGAGGATAACAGATAGACACTACATACATACACGTTTTTTTATGCCAGCCACGCGAACCATGAGTGCTTTGCCGGTATCTATATGTGTTGAGTCAATAGCATTCACTGTATTCACCGTTGCAGCCACACTGCGTTGATTTGAGAACGATCAGCGCTTGATGCGCAGTCCAACCGCAATGCATCGACTGTCTCTTTCGCTGTCTTCCCCTCTCTTCCCCTCTCGTTCACAGGTTTCCGTCATTCTTCATGATGTAGTCATCTGTTTTCCATTTGCAGCATGGTATATTGTACCTACAAACATCACACATACTACTATCTCCTTCTGCGCAGTCGACAGCCAATCGTCCCGTCTTGCCCCCTGAACTTGCCACTTGGCGGCCGAAATTTGCCAGGCAGCACGGCCTGCACGTGACTTGGCCTCCTTTGCGACGGTCCGCCACTCAGACACCCGCACGCCCCCCCAGAAGCGCCGAGGCGATTGCGAAACAATCCCTGATTCGCAGAAATTTCGACTAGCGCATGACAAGACCCACTCTTTCTGCATGGCCCGTGCGTTTCTGTCGGGAGTATATAAAGGACAGCATGTCCCTCCCTCGTTTTTGCTTTCCTTCGCGCGTGCATTTTGACTGACCCCCCCCCCTCTCGCCCACTTTCAGCCACGGATTTTTTTGCGGCTCCCACCATACAGTGTCGCAAAAACGGCTTCGTTTTGTGAATCCCTCTCGCCTCTCTCATCAAGGAAACTGATTTTCTTTGCCTTTCCTTTACCTCTACAACCTCTCGCTATTTAATTATTGCGATCGAGATTAATTGTTGTTTTTTTACCGTTTTTTATCGTCTCTTTGTCCAGCGTCTGATTTTTGCCCTTTTTTATTTTACTTTTTTTGCACTCAAAAAAGCATCATCCTCAAAAAACGACTTGCGTCGCATCGCATCGCTTCACACCGACCGCGTTCGACCCATCCCATCATCGTCTCATCGAGGAGAATTCACTTTCGCCCTCGGTCTTTCGTATTCACAACTCCCGAACCTACGTTCGTCGCTCACCTCGACCGACGAACGCGGCCTCTCTCCTGGTTTCATCGCCTCGTCGCACAGAAACGCACACCCGTCATCAGCCTTCGACCCCGTCGCCGGCTGTTGTAAGTGTGTGGCCTGGTCCTCATCGTCATTTGATGGATAACTGAGCGAAGAGTTTTGTCGTACTGACATGCGCTGAAGTCCCCCCAACTAGGCTGCCGCCCTGTTGTTCTCGCTCCTCTCCCTCTTCCTCTCTCCCGTCTCCCACTCTTCTCTGTCTTCGTCCTCGCTTGTCCTCTCTGCAAACCACCGCAGCAATGTCGTCTTCCGTTACTGTCGTGAACTCTGCAGCGCCAGCGCCTGGCCTGTACTCGCAGTCTTCGATGGACTCGCTCAACTCGCACCCGTCGACCGCCGCACAAGCTCGCGCTTTCACAGCCCCATCGTCGCTCTCGTTTCCGGGAGGAACCGAGACCATGCAGACTCCCCCGTCTGAAAAGGACGGCAGCGTGCCCAACGGCACCGCAAAGGCTGGCTCTGCTACCCCAGCGCCTGGAACGGCAACGGGACCGGCGGCTGCGGCGGCGCAGGCGGTTGGCGTGAGCGGCATCGTGCCGACGTTGCAGTGAGTGTTTGCCCTTTTGTCCCTCGTTGCGCTTGTGAAACAATGCATTTTCTTGTTTTCTATTGTCTCGTAAGAACACTTGTTCATCATCTTCTGTAAACAAAAGGAACATCGTTGCGACCGTCAATCTCGACTGCCGTCTGGATCTCAAGACGATTGCGCTGCATGCCCGCAACGCCGAGTACAACCCGGTTCGTATACTCTTATTCTCCGCCCAAGCACTCTACCTTCCCGCGGCCCACGTCCTGTCCTCTCCTCGCCCCCTCGTCGTCTTGCATGGCGGCCAGATGGTCTGGTCTGATTGGGTTGTTTGTTGGAACAGTGTTTGGCTAACTGTCTTTTGTTTTGCTTCCTGCAGAAACGTTTCGCTGCCGTCATCATGCGCATCCGCGATCCGAAGACGACTGCGCTGATCTTTGCCTCGTAAGTATTCCCAGAGTAGTTTCGGGAGATGGTCAACGATCCATTGCCATCTTGTGGGCCGTATACCAACACAAATCTCTTTTTAGTGGCAAGATGGTCGTGACTGGTGCCAAGTCGGAGGACGACTCCAAGCTGGCCAGCCGCAAGTATGCGCGCATCATCCAGAAGCTGGGCTTCAACGCCAAGTTCACCGACTTTAAGATCCAGAACATTGTCGGCTCGTGCGACATCAAGTTCCCCATCCGCCTGGAGGGTCTGGCCTCGCGCCATCACAACTTCAGCTCCTACGAGCCGGAGCTGTTCCCCGGTCTGATCTACCGCATGATCAAGCCCAAGATTGTGCTCCTGATCTTTGTCAGCGGCAAGATCGTCCTCACGGGCGCAAAGGTCCGCGAGGAAATCTACACGGCATTCGAGATGATCTATCCCGTGCTGCAGGATTTCCGCAAGGTCTAATGCGCCCGTTTCTCCCGTCTCCGGCTGTTGGCAACTGCTGTCGTACGTCTTTCGCAGGATGTACGATGGGCCTGTCGTCTTCAGTCGCTGTAACACCACTCTGTTAATCTCTCTTTTTGCGGCCCCTGCCTTGAATGATCGAGCTAGACGGGCACGTCCGCATGTCGGGCTCGCTCTGTCTTCGACTTTTCTTGGCATGCCGTCTTGTCTGTTTTTTTTTTTTTTGGCATTACGCGGCGTTTGGTTGGCTGAGAACGTTCCGTTGCTTTGTTTCTTGCTTTTCTCTGCTCCGTCTTTCCTTTCTTCCACCTCATCGTCAAACGTCCGGTGGAGGAGAAAAGAAGAGCAATAAAAAACGGCGTCCTTGGGCGCAAGCGATAGAATGATCGTGGACAACGGGGTCTCATCACTGGGTGGATAAAAGGGACTTTGTTTTATCCTCTGCTTTTGCTTTTATTACCTGTTTCTTTTTTTTCGTTTTGCGCGTGTCTTTTCATCTCCCTTACGTATTTTCCTTTGCCTGTTTCGTCCCGTCTTTTCCGTCTGCGCGTGCGTTGCTCGGATCCGACTGGTCACTGTTCGCCACCTTTTGTTTTTCTCGCGATACACCAGGTCATAGAGGATAGATTTCCGACGAGGAGGGGCGGTGGAGCTCGATGCTCAGAAACGGGTTGTCGGTGCTCGAGGAGATGCGGATGATGAAAGTTTGATGATTGGCGATGGTTGCTGCGAATGGGTGTGGCCAAGGGCATGATTGCTCTTTTTTGCGGCCGGCTCTGGCTAGCTCGCTCAGTATTGATACCCAAAATAGCAAAAAATTCATAAAATATGAAGCTCATGTTCGCAAAGTAGTCTCGGTCTCGTTTTATCACAATAATGGGGGCCGTTTTGCCTAGGCAAATTCTTTGAGTAAATTGGTCACGTGTTCATTTTTGTTATCGCACGTGATGATATCGATAAGCTCAGTGTCCAATGAAATCACATAGTAAACTGGTCCAATTTTTGATCTAAACTTTTTTTTCTTTTCTTGGGCTACTGAGCAGACACAGGCGAAAAGGCAGAACCAAAAAAGTCTGGCATCCGGCAGCTTTCTCTCTTCACCAGTTCGCATACGAATTCGAAGTTCGTCCGTCTAACGACTCGCTTGCCGCTGCCGAATTGGTCGACCGCTATTTTTTAACACAATTCGATTTCTCTATCCAAATTAACAAGCAACATTCCATCTTCACATTTATACCCTCGCAACAAACAATGGCTGCCAGCCGCGAGCGCAAGGAGGCCGAGGCCGCGGCCGTGACGGACAAGGTCGACAAAAAGGACAAGAAGGAGAAGAAGGAAAAGAAGGAAAAGAAGGAGAAGCGGCGGTCGGAGACGGACGGCGTGCACAAAAGCAAGGACAAGAGCGACAAGAAGGAGAAGAAGCAGAAGAAGGAGAAGCTGGCGCAGGCACTCGACGCGCACCTGCAAGCGTCGGCGGCGGCATCGGCTGCGGCGGAGGAGGCGGCCGGCGGCGGCGACGATGCGTCCGACAGCGATGTGGCCGACGAGTCTGCGGCTGCACCGACTGCGCCGGCTGCATCCAAGAAGAAGGCCGTCGTGCCCAAGCCGATTGTGCGCGGTGCCCTGGTCGAGTTTGCCCTGCCCCTGGCGGCGGACAAGTACCAGAAGAAGGTGTTCAAAGTCGTCAAGCGGGGTGAGTACTATGTGTCCCGAGAGTTCTGAAGATGCATTGTCTTTTCTTTTCTGTTGATCCATACTGACGTCTCGTCCCCAGCCGCCAAGCAGCAGGCCCTTCTCCGTGGTGTCAAGGAGGTCAACAAGGCCCTCCGCAAGGCGCCCGCCAAGAACCCGTCGTCGACGTCGGCCAACGTGCCCGGCGTCGTGGTCATTGCCGGCGACGTCAACCCTGCCGAGGTCATTATGCACCTGCCCCTGGCCTGCGAGGACGTCAACGTGCCGTACGTCTTTGTGGCGTCGCGCGGCGAGCTGGGCCAGGCCGCCCGGACGAAGCGCCCCACATCGGTGGTGATGATCAAGGCCGAGGGCCGTGCGAACAAGAAAGCGGGCGCCGACAAGAAGGCCAAGGCCGACAGCGACGACGAGGACGACGAGGACAGCGGCAGCAGCTACCCGGAGCTGTACCAGGACTTTGTCAAGACGTCGCAGAAGGAGTACGCCAAGCAGATGAAGGGCATTATCTAAAAGGAGTGCCAAAGAGCACGCAGTGGTTGCGGCCTCGATTTGGTTTCGTTCTATCGGCCCTGTGTTTTGGGTTTCGGGCCGTTTTGTTGTACTACGCAGTCCGTGTTGTTTTGTGTTCGTTTTCTCGTTTATTTTTGTTTCCTGTTTCTTGTTCTGTTTCTTACACTGTTTACTGTCATTGTTTTATCCTGGATGGCGTCATAGGCATGGTTGCTACTTTTACGTCCTATTATATTTACAACGTATGTCGAGTTTACAGGGAGTACCAACATTCTACTCGATACATTATATTAACGAGTAGACCCGTACGTAACGAAAGGTGTTATTACTTTAAAATCTAGTAGTATTATTAACTATAAAGTGATAGTTATTATTATTTTTCTATTTATATAAGCTATATTACACGTTACTTAACATATTATTATTTTTCAAGGTCCTTACTATTACGTACAAACGTATACGTCACTAACTTCGTGATACCAGGTAACGGAACAAGAAAGAAGGTATCACAAGTATCACGTTCAAGATACCGTACTATAGTTATAGGTCTTAAATAATAGTATAATAATATATGTAATGAACGATTATTGATTCTGTAAACTATTTATATAAACTTACGGTCGGAGAATGGGTTTAATATAACCGTTATATGATGTCCTACTATGGCCCCCAGAGCACATCACGAATAGAGCCGTAGAAAGTAAGGCGAGACATCGCGTAGCAAAGGATGCGAGTTGGAAATGACGAGACTCATGTTTTTCTGGATCTGCCAGACCAACCTCCGAGGCCAATATGCGCCAACACGAGCAACAAAGGAAAAGGGTTTGCGCAAAGGATCCTCCGAGCTCCGGCTTTAGCTACGGCTCAGATCAGAGTGAGGTGATTGGCCCCTGAAAGGGGCACTGCACTGGAGAAAGTCAATACAGTGAATATAGCGGGAAGCAGCCAAAAGAACATTCAAAGTACAGCATAGGCAGCCTCACGACTCTGACTGTTTTGACTGTCTCTCACGGAGACCTTTCCGCAGGTCGGGCGCCTCTTGCACACTGTCGCCGCCATGTCTCAGCGCGCGTCCTTCGATGTAGGTTTGCAGCTCGTCCTTGTCCGCGGCAGAACGGCTGCGCGCGAGACCGAGTAGCGGCTGCCCTGGTGGGCAATGGATGCAATAAGTTCGTGCAGAGCTTTGCTGACGTTGTTTTGTCTTTGTCTTTGTCTTCTTTGTCTTCGTCTTCGTCTTCGTCCTTGTTGTGTTCAGTACTACCACCACAGCCTGCCTGGTAGAGCACCTGCAGCCACTGGGGTGTGTCCTCGGCCGCGCCGTAGGCATGGTCCAGCGTGGCCCAGTCCACAGTGTCAAGACCGGGCAGTGTAGGCCGGCGTGCTTCGTCTTCTTGGGGCGTGTTGTCACGCATCGTCGCTACAGTGAGGTTCAAAAACACGGAAATGGAATGTCGAGGTGCAAGCGATCAATTGTGCGTATGTACATATATGTGCATATGCTCAGTACATGTACCGCGCCGTACCAGAATGACCCACTCATGAGGCAGACAGCCGGCAAGGAGACAAGGTGTGGGGTCTGTGTCTCCGCACTTGCACCCTTTTTCTGCAGACACTAACTCTTGTCCAGCGACGTCGTACGTCGGTATTACATCTTGTCAAGTTATAAATCATGAGCCCACGATGCCGATGCTGAAATACAATGTTTAATACCGTCACGAGCATCACATGGATGAGACACTGGGTGCAAATTACTCAGTGTGCCAAAAGAAAAGAGCGGTGAACTCAAAAGACAGAATAGAGGCAAATGTTGCGGAAAGCAGAGAGACAGAGTTCAAAATGTAGAGTTCAAAATGCGCTTTGATTTGCCACCATCCATGCATCATTCTGTCATTCTACTCATCCCAGCCCATTGCATCCCAGCCCATTGCCCCAATGCGCAGTCATCCACGACTGCTATTGGTACAAAATCCACGTCATCCCCGCGCTACCCAAGACAGCCAACAAGCACTTAGCCAAAGGTTCTTAGCTCAGTCCGCACACACAAAATCCCTAGAACCTTGTCGTCTCCGGCGTATAATTAGCCAGCCTCTCGCCCGCAGAAAACGAAAAGCACTTGGGGGGTTTTCAACTTTCGGAACATCGTCGTAACTGGCCGCCCTCATTCCAACAGTCACGCCTCGTGGCCGATGATCATCTCTCGGAATCAAGAACCATGTATCCCTCTTGGATGGACACATTGGACGCTCGATGACTAGATGTGATGCATTACTTTTCGTCGGTGAGAGGCGAAAAAAAGCGGAAAGAAAAGACCGGGTTGTCCCCCCTCCAATGCCCCTCAGCTCAAACTTTAAGATGTCATCGGACGGTTCGGGTCCTCATTCAAAAAGTCTCATCCTCGGGGTCTTAAGGGAAGGTCTCACCTTGTGGGCACCCCCATGGCCATTCTGCAACACCAGAACCGTGTCTTCCTCTGATGAGTCCCTCTGATGAGATGCACTGGACGCTGGATCGCTGCAGTTGGTGCATGGTATCGATCCCAAGTTCTGATGTCATCTTCCGTCAGTGCGATGCGAAAAGTCATAAGAATGAACAATGGCAGAGGTTTCAATCAATGCCATCATCCTCAAAAAGGTATTGGTAAGACTCGCCTCTTGAAAACCCCATCATCGCTCAAACGTCTCGGAACCGGTGTTCATCTCAAGAGGATGCATTAGATGCTCGATGTGTGTGATCACTACTTTCCGTCAGTGAGATGCGAAAAGTAAAATAAAAAAAACCAAAAGGAAAAAAAAAGCCCACAGCGAAGCCAAATCCCACAAAGAACAAGAGCCCACAGAGAACAAGAGCCCATAGAGAACAAGAGCCCACAGAGAACAAGAGCCCACAGAGAACAAGAGCCCACAGAGAACAAGAGCCCACAGAGAACAAGAGCCCACAGAGAACAAATGCTAACAAGAAACAAGAGCCCACAGAGTCCAAATTTCTCAGAAAGTCGTAACAGGTTGTTGAACCTTCCGTCACTCCATAAAAATGGTCCGGGATTTTATTATCATCATTGAAAATAAGGACAGTCTCACCTTTTTTCTGTTCTACATCTCCCAATCATCACCAGAACCAGTGGTCTTGTCTTGAACAGGATTTTGTTGGACGCTGGGGATGTTTGCAGTCGATGCGAGGCAATGTCTCAAAAGCTGAAAGGCACATTTCAGTCTCCAATTTTTTGTCACCAAACCAAAGACACGCAGTGTTGGTCAAGGCCAATGCTGTTGTTGTTGCTTCATCTTTCGGATGGGCACTGGGGGATCGGATGGGCACCGGGGGATCTTGAGATATCGGGGGAACCATCGACCTGACAGAGAGAATGGGTTAGCATGTGTTGGCAAGTGTCAAGACATGGCTTGGAGAAGCACGGGAGAGGACTGTACCTTGAGGCTGAGGTCGAATACTATTGTGGTCGGGGTGGACAACGTTGAGTGCCAAGACATCGTGGAGGCAATGTGCATAGCGAAGAAGGAGAAGGATGAAGCCAGTGAAGACACGAGAGAATGATGAAGGGCAAGGTGAGGGCGGAAAATATAAGACATGGCATCAGGGCGAAGGTAGGTTTGATCAAAAGGAGAGGAGAGAAAGGAGGACGAGAAGCGACGGGGATGAAAGCATTCTGGACGGTATTTATATATTCATTGAATAGACGGCTGATCCGGACTGTTTTGGCCGTAATTGGACACAACTGGCTCCTTTTGCGTTGCGCTTTCCTTTTTTGCAATGTTATGATTTCACGAGACCTTGATGGCCGTTCAACGGGGACGATCGAATGCATCCAGAGGAAGGAACCACCCAATCGCTTCACCTTAGATATCGTAGACCTTTTTTAAAAATAGGAAGGTACAAGGCGCTCATGTTGTGAATTTAGAAAGAGCGATGACGAGAAAACGGCATGCTTACCACCAGAGCAAGGCCACATGATCCATCTCTATCGAAAAAAAGGAAAGAACGAGGCAGATTGTTTTGGTGTGCCCCGGGAAACAAGCAGGCTACGAAGAACGGCAGAAGGAGCAGACGAACAGATACGGCAGTCTCGGTCCAAAAGTATCGCGTGCTTCTGATGTAGGAAGGAACGCATGAGCGGACAAGGCTACAAGACACGACAAAGTTTGCTTGCTCCAAAGACAAGCACAAGGGCGGGAACTGCTTTACGTGCGCAAGATAGATACCGCTCGGCCGACGGTTCATCGGTAAGAAAGGGGAACAAGAATGAAAAGCTCATGCGCAGTCAATAGGTACTTTCGCGGCCCAAAAGAAGTGTATCACAATGGAGAGGAGAAAGAAGCGGCACATCTGCAAGCCCTCTCAGAACTTTGAACAACTTTTGGTACGCAAAAGAAGTGGCAAAGATTCTTGAGGAGCTTACGGGAAGGAGAGACGGAAACTTGAAAACCGACCGGAAGGAGTCCCGAAAGAATCGAATGTTCACGAAGAAAGTCCATATACTCGATAGAAGGAATCATCCTATCATCACATTCACATACTAAATGACAAGTTTGTAGCAAGGAAAAGACCCAATAGCAATCAAGAAAGAGCAATCTCTACGCGTACATATAGATAACAAAAGCAATAATAGCTTACGATTTCAAAAAAGAGCAAAGGTGTGGGTATGTCAGTCTGTGACAGGTCACGTGCCCACTACGAACGTCCTGCTAAAGAGATCTTCTCGTCGAGTACGGAACAAGCCAGACAGGAGTCTTTTGAGTACTAGGAAGACCTATGTTGGGGATCACGATGAGGACGGTAGTCATGAACGACAAGAACCCCAGTTGACACCCGTCATCCAGCAGATGTGCCGGTCGGAAATGAACGTCGAGCGGAGCGTACTCAACAAGACGCTGGAGAATGGAGACGATCATGTCCTGGTACTCAATCGTGCCGAGCTGGTCATGGCGGTGGCCGGCATAGCTGCACAGCACAAAACTGTCCTGGATCACCGACTGTAGCTCGATGCTCACGTCGCCCAAGGGAGGGGGGAGTAGAGACGATACAGACGGCGGCAACGGCAGGTACCGATACCATGATCCAAAGATGGTCGCCGTCCCAGCTGCCAGGGCCAGCTCTGCATCCGTGCGGCGTATCTTGCTGCCAAGCTCAGGCACGGCCGCGCACAGTGCCACCAGCCCGCCGGGCCGCAGCTCGACGATTTGTTGTAAGGCGCGCAAATGGGTACGGCCTTCGTCTGGTGCACACCGAAAAGATTGGCGCGGATAGCGAGCGAGATGACGACGGTAGTCATGCCGACCGTGCCGGCTTCCCGTGTTTTTCCGTTGTCAAGGTCACGCCGGAGCAGGCGCATGGCCTGGAGCAAGTGCCGTGTCGCGTCGAGAGGTTCGTCGCGTCGGCCCAGCAGCTGGCGGCGATGAATGGCCGTGACGGCCACGCCGCAGTAGAAGACTGAGTCGTTAGTATGAGATATCGAATTGGAAAACGTAGTGGGTGGCCTACCACAAGGGTCCGTCATCACAGTCTCGAACCAGCGTGTGACAATCTCACTCGACGGCCGGCAAAAGGTGCGAGGGTACAGATCCTCTGAGACTGCATTGTAAACTATCAATATGTCGGCTCAATATGTCAGCTCAATATGTCAGCTGGCAATTCATACATCGCATGCGACGATCATAAACGTACGGCCATGGAAGGCTGCCGGCTGGTTTCAGTGACCGGCACCGGCGTCGTAAAATAGGCAAACTCGAACCCGCTGAACGGGCGATGCGAGTGGCGTGACCCGCAAGGCTCGCATGACCTTCGCCTGCTTCGGAAGGAGTAGTCTACCATGTCTTTCTGGTCTGGTCTTCCTGGTCCCCTCCGTACAATGCTGGTCGACCGCGCCGTCTTTTCTCTTTCCTCGTCGCGTTCTTCGCCTCGTCTTCGGTGGCCCCTAGCTGGGATCACTTTGCCCGTATTTTTGCCCTTTATACTATGGCTGCGGATCAGTCGCTGTGACCGCCGGTCGGTGAACGTGCTGTTATCGATGAAGAGAAGGGCCATGACCCTTTGAGGGCGGTGGAAGCGACAATAGCTGTGGGGTGCTTAGTGTCAAACCGTTTTGGTGGAGGTGTGTAATGTACATTGGTATGTCGTTCTCAACCCCCGCGCTCGCCCCCAGCCTGGCATGCCGCTAAATTAGTTGCGGAGATAAGGGATTTACAGGCACTCAGCCTTGCTCGAGCCCCGAGTTATCTGGCCCACACTAGGATCACAAAAAGGTCTTTTGGGCGACCAACGAACCGACAACGAACATAGAACGTGTAAGGCGACCACGACAAAAGACAAAGAAAACGATGGGGTACGATTCAGACTCTGAGTTCCACGAACAGCCTTTGGAATACCCGCGTATGGTCCAGGTTCGTTACTTAAAAAGAATCCAGAATACAGCTCGATGTTAGTTTCGCCTCGGCTTCGGCTGGATCCATGCGAAGGCAGACTTCTTCAACACGATATATCCGCACGTTCTCCATCTCACAATTGTGCCGCGGTCCTGGTACGGCCCTTTCCGGCGTTACACGTCATCGTTACCGGCGTCGTGGTAGGCCGTCGTCCGCCGCCTGTGGCCCGGCGCGTTTTTGCCTACGCATGCCGCCCTTACGAAGCTGGCCTGTTCTACGCTGTACCGCACTGAGCTCTTTGACAACGGGATTGCTATGTACAAGCTTTTGTAGGCCGTCCATGGTGACATCGTGCCCCACTTTTATGGCGAAGTATCGTTCCTCGAGGACGACGGACAGCGGAAGCGCGCCATCGTCTTGTCAGTGGTTGATGGCGTAGTGGCCAACCAACAGGCCGTGCCTATCCCCATGAATGAGTCCAAGCGGCGCCTGGGCGTAGCGCACTGGACAATGCTGCAGCACGGCGTCGCCTACGACGATGTGCAGCTAAGCAATGTCGTCCTACAGAACAACGATAGCGGCCGTGGCGACAGTGGCGGGCGTCTAGTCTTCTTTGACCTGGAGTATGCGTACCCTAGCGAGCCCAAAGAGGCCGAGCAGGACGCGAAGGGCCTCGTAGTCGACTACGGTTACCGGTACCGGTCCTATCTCATATATAGGAGCCACAGAGACGGAAAGGGAAAAGCTGATGTGCCGGGCACTGCAGAGGGAAATCACTTGTAAGTAGTTCGTGAGTTGCGGCGGTCCTAGGTCTCCGTGCTTGGTTACGAATCCTTTACAGCATGTTCCCAGCCTAGTAGGCCGGGAGGCACCTATCGCTACCCGTCGGCTTGGCAGCGGAGACATCGCCGTAGTTTTCCCGAGAGACTCGGACCGGTGGTTCATAAGGGACCTAACCTGGGCCCGAGCCTTGGGAGCCGAGGTGTCGGTGACAGGGCCGAAGGTAGTAGTTAGGCGTGTCCCTTCAAGCGACTTCACGGAGGATCTCACCGACCGCGTCGCGGCGCCATGCCGGATCTTATCAGCCCGCCCGACGGTCCGCCGAGGCGATATACTGCCGGCCGAGGCCAGCGTGTGCCTCACGGTAGCTACGCAAGATGACGTTAACTTACTACTCAACGGTTATATCACTATCGGCCACGAGCTCTATTACCCAATTGTTGGTATGATTGCACCGTTGGCGGTGTTGGCTGGTATGCGTGTTATGGCCTGGCCAGAGTGGTGTGGCTGGAGGGAGGGGGAGGTGGCTGAATGCCACCGACCACTCCTGATCAGATCCACTTTATTCATCACTTAGGGGCACGAATTGCTTGACGAGGTGAAGTATTATATATTTCGAGACTATGTAATAAGACAAAAAAAGGTCAAAACACCTCAGAAAGTGCTGTTGCGATAATGCAGTCTATGAACTATGGCAACAGCACCCTACCACGGCACGATCGATCCAGCTCCAGAGAGAGCTTGCTCCATTGTCCACTGGTCGTCCACTGGTCGTCCACTGGTCTTTTGGTCTTTTGGTTCTTGCTTAGATGATGCTCGGCCGCGTGCCCCACCAGGTGAGCAGGGTTGCGAGGCCGACCGTCTCAAGGACGCGGACAACGACGCTGGCGGCAACGAGGTCCAGAGGGCGCTTCTCGGCCAGAATCTCGCTCAGGTAGCCGGGGGCGCTGGTCGCGAAGAAGACCAATGTGCCGAGGTAGGCGGCGCCCTTGTAGGACAGAGTGCCGGTGGCGTTGATCAGAGCACCGACGCCGTAGGAGCGCAGGCCGGAGCCGATGAACGAGGTGCCCCAGGCAACGCCGGCAGAGGCAGCCTGCTTGGACTTGGCGAACTCCTCGGCGGTGTTGGCCTCCTTGGCGCGCTTGAAGGCGTCACCGAAGATGGGCTGGAGCACTGCAGTGGGGATGGTTAGGTCAAGACTCTGTATCAGGCGCATTGTCCATCTGTGCGTCGCCGCATACCAGCAGCTGGTGTGCTAGACGCACGAGGATGGTGAAAAGAATGCAAGATCGATACGTACGGATGAAGTCGGCGCCCTGGCCGAAGATGGTGCCAATGGCAATAGCCGAAGGCTTGACAGAAGGAAGGTCTAGAAGCGAGGTCAGGACGAGGTCAAGAGCACCCAGAGGCAAGCCCAGCAGCTCAACACAGGTGAGCCGAAGCTTTAGTGAGACTGTACATACACTGCAGAGACATGTCGTCGGCTGTGAAGAAGAGAGATGCGATTTGCGGTGAGATTCTGCGGTGACGGTTAGAAACAAGTGGCCAGGTTCGATGTTGTCGATGCTCTGATAGCTTTCTTGTTGTTTCAATGACCACAACCATTCCAGTCCCAAGGACGCATTCTCCCACAGGTGAACGTGGTGGGATTACACACAGCCAAACAGCTCATCAAGGGGAATCGAGGGGTAATCGAGGGGCAACATCAGATGATCCCGCGACAGGTAACAGGTAACAGGAAAGAGGAAACAAGTAGCTGGCATTGGGTAAGGGACAACTCAGTCGTCAGGACGGGGCGCAACTTACAGATGGATGATGGTGGTTGGTTGCGTTGGATGGGAAAGGTTCTTGGGAATAGGAGAAGAAAAAGGAGGGAGAAGTGAAAAAGAAGAAAAGGGAGAAGAGAAAATGGAAGGTGTGTAGAAATAGACAAGAAGGGAAAGACCTGTCGAGGAATGAGCGACGGTGGTGTTGGACGGCGGCCAGGCGGGCAGCACACAGTACTTCTTACTGTCGTCATTCCTGGCTTAATACTGCCTTCCTGCCCTGGTCTTTCCACCTACCCTTTTACAGCGGAGAGCTCTGGGGACTACTTTCCTTGTCTTAGCTCGAGGCGTCCGTTGATGCAGCTCGAAGCCATTGGCTTGTGCCTTCCACAACAGGGAATCGCTGTTACTTGCTCCTGCCCGTCTATTACCGTGAACCGAGCATTTCTCGGGTGCGACTGGCCCTCAATTGGACCCGTCCCACCATCGCCCTTTCCTATTCTTTTGTTCTTTCCAGTCTGCGTGTCTGCCTCTACACTGCACGGTACTTTTGTGTACACTTTGTGGGAAAGCGCGACGAGGAGCTGGGCAGAGCGGGCAGGTGCAAAGGGAGGGAGGGAAAGAGGGGGCGCCGTCGCTCGTCACATCATCGTGATGATGTCACCACTGGGCCAACTGGACCGAAACCATCCAACAGGCCAGCCCAGGCCAATCCAGGCCACCAAAGCAGCCCCCGCCTGCATGGTCATTGCACTCTTCTCCACACTGGAACAACAAAGAGACTAAACAAATGTAAGATACATGTACCTGCTTTGCATGGTGGCTTCGGCTGCGAAATACAGCGCAGGACAGGGAGAGCGGCAAAGCTTCGCCTTCTTTTGTCCCTCTTTTCGTCTGTTCCGCACGCTGAGCTCAGCGATCGGCGATGTACATTGCGATCGGGAAAACAAGCGCGAAAACGAACATGCACGGGATAGACGGTCCTTTCTTTCGATTCGCACAAAACGCAGAAGTGAAGTCTGTGCCAATGCGCTAGCTTCCCTTTTCGGCACTGAGCTGAGAGCAGCTCAGCAGGTACATGGGAAGGAGCGGCCTTATTCACGATACCCACAAGTAAAAAGAAAATGCAGATAGAAAAAGGAGGAAAAGTCAGAAGAGGTAAAAAGAAGGTGGAAAAAAGTGCAACAAATATTCTGAAACCAGATTGCACACTAATAAAAATGCGTAAAATCATCTTACAAGACACAGCATGCAGAATGGAATGTCGAATCGGGTTGCCCCGGAAAGAAAGGCATTCCGGTCTGTTGAAGTCTGTACGACGCACGCCGAATTCTGTTAATCGCCCGGAATAGGGATCTGGCTTCGGCCCGGACCCGTGGCAACCAATTTCAACCTGGTCGAGAGGAACGCACTGGCGGAGTATTAAACAACATGACAACACGCTCCGAGAATGAGACACGGGTCTCTATTATCACCGTGCCGTCGAAAAGCATACAGGAAAAGCGGAAAGTGCAATTCTCTCGATCAACTAATCGTATCAAAAGATTCCTATACGTGTCGTGGCCGATGCAGGTTCGTCGGCCACCGTCCTGGATTATCCTCTCTTTTGCCTAGGGGTGTTCTCTCACGCCGTTTGTTCGTCGTCGCATCGACATGCCCAATTCTTCAACACGCTCCCGTTTCAACACTCGCTCATGCCCTTGTAATGCCTTGTCATGCCATGTGACGTCCGTCCTCACCGCCGCGCAGAGCCAACAGGGCCCGGACATCCGAGACGTACTGGAGACCTTCCAGCAACGGCACGAGGTGCAGGAGATCATTGTCAGTGTGGTCGCTGATCCAGCCCTGGATGGGAATGGCATTGTCTAAACACAACGGGGTTAGAGGAGCTGCACTCTACGCTACCCGGTTGATCAATTGCGTTGCGTGGGAGCAGGGTGCGAGAAACCTACCCTGGTGGAACATGTAGCTCAGCGGGCTGTTGTCCAGGATCATCACCTTGCTCAGATCAGGTTCAACAGCGCTCAGGTCCTTGATGAAGGCGCCGTGGCGAAACGTGCAGTGCTGGCGGTAGTAGCGGGCAGAGAAGAACTTGCGTTCCGACTCCAGCCAGTCAATGACCGGGTCGGCGTACTCTTGCACAGACGCCGTGAACACAACCAGATTGTACCATTTGCATACCTGCATAAGAAGGTCAGTTGAGAATTCATGCCTGCGGCAACGAGACAAAGGAGTCGCACAAAGGGAGTGTTTCGTACCCTCCGCAGAAACTCGTCACAGTAGGGCCGCTTGTGCACGTAGTAGAGGATCGGGTGTTGTGGGCCGGCACTGGGCTGGCCGCCGATGCCGACAAAGGTCGTATTCAACCGAACCTCAACCATATGCCCCGTGCTCATGCGCCCGCCCTTGGACATGCTGTGGATCAGCGTCTCGTCGAGGTCGAGAATGAGCGTCTTCTGGTGCGACTTGTCTTGAGGTTCGATGTTGAGGAAAGAGGGCTGCCGCCGGGGAATGAGTGGCCGAGGCGGCGCCGGCGTGCGAGGGTACTTCGTAAGCGCACCGGCCGGAGATGTCGGGGACTTGAGCTGCGCCAGTATGTCCTTGGCCACGCCACCCCCGCTACTGTCGCCGTCAAAGCTGTCAGCGCGGCTGCCGCCGTTCCCACCCTGCTGCATGGACATCGTCGAAGACGAGGATTGTCCCTTGCGGTGTTTCCGTTGGCGCAGTGTATCGTCGTTCAACTTGATCCGCACGGATCGCCGATTGCTGCTCGAGTTGGTCGCGCCTCCAGTACCTGGCCCATCGTCTTCACCAGACCGGCTGCCTGCCGTGCCCCTCCGGCCCGAACTGTCGCTTGTGCCTTTCCGTCTTTGTTGTGTGCGCTTGGTGTCAAAGTCCGACTCGGACTCGGAGGATACCGCGTACGAGCTTCCGCTCGGCATAGACGATGATGAAAAGAGCCGCCCGCTTCCCGAGCCCGACGTTGCTGACATTGTGCTGTTCCGCTTGAGGAGCGTGTCGCTCTCTCCCGTAAAGTCGTCCTTTTCGTCACTATAGGGGGGCAGTGAAGATTTCCCGTGCTTGCCGCGACGCTGCCCAAACAGGAGCTTAAAGGGACCCAGCGGCGAAAAGCGTCCGTTCTCGTCGTAAAGGCAGGCGATCAGATAGACGCCGGGGGCGGCCAAGGTCTGTAGGACCCAATGGATCGAATTCCACACGGTAACGGCCAGGCGCTTTGGCAGCGAGCGCCACTTGGATAGACGCACACTCCCTGCACCCGTGCTGGCTCCGTGCATATCCTTTTGAGGAATCAAGGGTGTAGTCTCGTCGCTGATGCCAGCCATGGACGTGCTGTTCGTTGTATTTTGTCTCCAAGTCGTTTCCGAGTATTAGGGAGCCAGTCGTGCTACTGCTGCCGTTGGTGCTGATGGCGCGGCCTCCTTGACTGTCGCAGTCAGACGTGATTGCGAGGCCGATCGCGCTGAAGGGGCTGGACCGCAAGGGGGGTGGGCTGCCAACCGGTAAAGACGCATGCGATGAAAGAATGTTACGTGGACTCCTAGTATGTCTGCAGGTATAAGGTTTCGACGTAAGGATGCCGACAGAACACGCCGCTACAAGCACCGGCCAGCCATGAAAGGGGGAAAGGTACAAGGAGAGTTGAGGATCGAGAGAAATGACAGTTGGGAGGGCGCGGTTATCGAGGTCGGACTTGCAGGGGTTCTCGCGTTCGAAACAGTGTCCAAAAGGACCGTCGTTCACGTTCTCTTCGAAGACCGGAGAGTTGATTGCTCAATGTCCGCGTCGTTCGTCGCTTGGTGTCGGATACGTGTTCGTGTACAGGACGACGCGCTGCAGTGTATGAAAATCGAGAGGCAAGAAGAAAGCCGACGAGAACGACACGCGCAAGTAACGCGGAGATCGGAAAGGATGCGCTCGTCGAATTATACAGCGTGGTTGCACGCAGAAACGAGTGACAAAGGGCGGGAGGAATGTCACGAGCGACGGCGACAAGATGGGCTGCCTTGTTTGCGGATTCCGGTATCGAGGTAATAGAATCCGAGGCGAGCGAAGCGACACGCCGAGAAGCAGATCAAAGGGTCAAAATGCGAAAGGGGGGGTGGCGACGATGCAGATGTACTGTCGGAAGCAGAGGAATGACAATGTCGCGATGTATGCGTGCAAGGGGCCAAAGAAAAAGAAAACGGTATCGAAATTGAAGAAAATCCGTCCCACCGCGGTTCGGGGTTGCGAAGGGGCGGGAAATGCGTCTTCCGCTGGCGTGGGCTCTGCGTGGACTTCTCTGGCGAGAATGAGGCGATGTTTGTCTGGCCGGGGATTCGGGCGGAGCAATAGTGGCTGAGATAAGTTGGAGAGGAGACGCGAGGAACAGAGGAGAACAGTGGGAAGACCAAAAGAATAATACGCTGTGAAGCCTGGCCCGGAAGGCACGAAAAGCTAGCAGTTAATAAGCCCACCCAAATACAGAATATGGACAGGGTTACAGTTGGGAAGGGACGCTGTCACTGGAAAATCCAGCAGCCTGGAAGGCATCAACCTGGGAGGTCGGAAGGAGACGGCAAGGGCAACTGGTGAAGACATGCCCCGTCGTAATACAACGGGTTTTGGAGGCTCTGGGCAACAACCGCTGGAGAGCGATTGGGAAGGAGCGGACAACCAAGTCAAGGAATAAATAAAGTCGGTTTAATAAAACACACGTCGTAGGGCGTGATATGCTCTTGCCCGTGTTCGCTTCTGGCTTGGCGCGGCACGTATACATACTCAGCACTGCAAGGGAAACTGCGACGGAGGAATAGTGTCAACTCAAGAAGGAACGGGGACACGTCCTTCAGAGTGCATCTCCGTATTACTTCTTATGGTTCTTTTGTTGCTTTTGTCTACTGGGCCTTCCGAACACAACAAAAGGTGCAACGGCGGGCAGCGGGGACGCCGAACGCTCCTCCCGCATTCCTTCTTCGCCTGATTGCCGCAAGTCCCGTAAAAAAAGGTCCACGTGAACGACACGATTTGGGGACTTTCTCCCTTTTACTCATTTTTAATCGTTTTGCTCAAACATATCTCGACCATTCACAGCAGGCAAGATGTTGCCGACATTGACAGGCCCTAGTGGAAACCAAACCAGACGTCCTGCAGCCGTCTTTGAATTGACAGGAGCCGTTCACTAATGTGAAGTCATTCCTTTCTCTTAGTTGATTTTCCCTCTTGAATCACACCACGTGAGGACAGCAAAAGTCGAGGAGAAAGACTTCTCATCTCCAGACGAGAAACTGTCGAGTCTCTTCAGTCCCTATGTTTCTCCCCTCTAGGTGCCGAGGGTGTGAGACTGACCATGTGCCCTGGCCACCCTGTGCCCAAATCAGTCCCACGTGGGCCTTGTTCTTTCGCAGGAGCAAAACGCAGGCAACGGGCGCCGCAGTGGTCGCGGGGCCATGCCAGTGGCCGGCCCGATCGCCGTCGATATCTTCGGATGAAAAAGCTTAAAATCTGCGCTACTTACAAGGTCGGCGCCTGAAGGAGTAGCTCCGTGGTGCGCGCGTACAGAGTCGTTGAAACTTTGTTGCGAGAAAGCTGCGAACGCTTTTTGGTTCACCCTACGTTATATCCGGTTCGCCTGCATGCATGTCGTATTGTATCTGACAACCTGACTTGTCAATATAGACGGCGAAGCACAAGGCGGTAAACAGCAAGAGTGTCACAGTAGAGCATGGTGGTATAAAGCCCATGCCGCAGGTCGTTATAATATATACGTCTCCGGTGTTGCTGGAAGAAAATACAGACTAGAATACAAAATATTGGCCAGGACACCGTCTCACTTCTCCGCTCGTCCACCATGGGCCAAGCTCCATCAGCATTGCCAGTCTCGCAAGATTCCCTCTCCTCCTTCAAACGTCAGCAGGGCATTTCTCTCGCCGACAACTGGTGCAACGGTAGCCACAGAGATTCCTAGAAGGCGCACGACGGATCCAAAGAACAGACTGTAGAAGTTGTGCAGTGTGCGCATACGAAAGTGCACAAACGGCCACCAAAGCGCCACCAAAGCGGCACTGCCAACATGACGCCCTGTTTCTCTCCGCGTACAGTCAAATCGGCGCAGAGTTAACAATGTAAAAACCAACCTCCATCCGTAAACATTACTATTGGTGAATAAAATGCTCCGAGGAAACAACCTAGCATGGACTCGGACTCCAGACCTCTTCCTCTCGTCAAAAAAGACAAACTTGTGTTCGATCAGAAGAAGAAGTAGGCCAACAGGAAACTCAGAAGGACGAGGATGGCCGTCACCTGCAGCGGCACGCCTTCGGTGCCTTGCCGGACTTGCTGCTGCAGCTGGGCGGTGGGTACATCACCGGTCGCTGTCGAGTCAGCATCGCCCGACTTCTCCGAAACGCCCGTAGAACCAGCAGCGCCCTTGCGCTGCCGCAGACCGCCGTCTTTGCGCAAGGACGAGATCAGCGCCTCGGCCTCGGCCAGCTTTGCGGTGAGGGCAGCAATCGTCGCGTCCTTGTCGTTTGCGGTGGTCGTTGTTATTTGAGCCGCGGCTGGCGAGGTGGTCCCATGCGCAGCGGGAGAAGGAGAGGCCGCCTGCGAGGTTGCAGGCGAGGCGACGTTCGGTACGGATTTGCGGTCCGACCATGCGGCCTCGGGCGACAGAACACCGTTCAACGTGGGTTCTTCGCGCGGCGACACATAAGAGGGCGGGGGGACGTCAGGTGTAAAATCAAACTGAAAGGAGGGCACCGGTGTTAGGTATACAAGACCTCGACAGAGTTGATATGAGACAAAAACTAGGCCGTCTACTTACTCCGTTCGTTGCAGTTTGGCGGGCCGGCGTAATGGTCGGGGCAACTGCGTCAGGATCCTCGGCGGCAAGGAAAGCCACGCGGATCTTGCGTTCTTGAACGTCTGCCTTCTCAACTCTATCCCACTGTTGGTTGCAAAAGAAAAATAATAAAAAACCCCTTTGTCAGTAACTTGATCCTCAGAGCCAAATGCCAGTACCACAAAGCTTGTGCCACACATCGCGTACTCGACGAGCTACCGAGCTCTGGGGACAACATACAATATCTTGGACACTGATAAACTCCTTGTCGCCCGTGATAGGAACGGCCTGCACCAAAAACTTGTCACGGCACTTGTAGTCGGCAGGTGGGTCCTGCTTCATCGCTTGGAGGAGAACTGAGCGACATTATGTCAGAGGATGCTCCAGTAAGACACAACTACAATGTAACAGCGGCAGGCAGAGACGTACCTGTCACCTCGACCTCGCGATCGGGCTCAATGCGCCCAGAGTTTGGACGGACACAGTATCTGCAAAATAGGGGTGTTATCAACATTGCACGTTCTCTCGCAGCGCAGAGAAGGAGAGGCGGTGCGCGCAGACGTACTGCTTAGGTGCTGTGGTCTTGACCTTGAAAGCAACCGGCGTCGAGTTCGGGTTCCGGATCCTCAAAGACTCAGAGACCTCGACGGTGAACGGGCCTAAACACAAAACATAGCATGTTAGTTCAAGTTTTAAGCAGGGCTTTACAAACTCAGCCAGGGTGTGAACGAGGAGGGAGTACGCACGGCGAAAGCCGAGCTCCGCAGGCTCGATTTCAACAGACATCGCGACGTTTGGGAGGAGCGGTAGCTGAGGTTGGGCTCGAAATGGAAACAACGAAACGCGTGAGTCGTGGTTCAATTGAGAATCACGACAGACCAGCGCAGCCGAGATTGAGCAGGCGAACAGTCGGGGGGGGGTGTCGACGCGAAAAGGGGCAGGATTGTCGAGGTCGTCCTTTTCCAAATGCGATTTTTGTCGTACAAAAAAGGGATGCTCAGCAGCGAAGGAAACTGGCTGAGGGAGGCTGCACAAGCAACCAGAGTCGATAACAAATGTAGTCGGGGAGTTCGAGCGCGTAGTCGTTAACTTGTCGGATGCAGGAGAGAGCCGTCGTTTGGGTGATGTTGTTCCTGGAGATCGGAATATCGAGGACGTCGATGGCGATGGATTAGTCAATAATAAATATTCGCTCCAGGAAAGCACAAGACGACATCATATGGCCAAGTTTCAACTGGCACCGGGTCCGCTGACAAAATGGGACTGGCGCGGGCAGGGCAGGCGCGATGGAAATGGACGCGGAAATGCCCCATAATGCCTGTGACAGCGACTCACTCCTGCCCATCTGGCCTAATTGACTAGCACGTCCGTGCGTTGGTCCGTCGTTCGCACCTGCTTTCTTCAGTTGGCGGTGCAACGCGCCTGGAAAGGGCGATCGATCTCTACTGGAGGCCGTCGGCACCTTCTAAAACCAGCGAGGCGGACTCACGCGACAGCGCGCATTAGGTGCCAAGTACGCCTGGCGCACCACAGTTTAAGGGCTGATACAGGGCACGGCCTAATTCAAGCAAGTTCACAGCCAGATGACGACAGCGGGAGTTACCTGGGGTAAGCTTAGTTATCAGCTCGAATTCTACTTCCCCTCCATTGGCAAACGCTCGTCTTGTACATCACTCTCATACACTGTCTCCGTTTGCACTCTGTCGCTTTTGGATCTTGTTTTCACTTGCTATTCGCAGAGACTTTCGACTTCGAACCGATTTTTCTTACGAACCTTCTCGGAAACTCAATCTGAAAACCCCTCGCTCTTCAACAACCTTTCTTCACTACATATACAAAACGTTCTTCCTTCGGCTCCAGCCCTACGTCAACAATGGCGCAGTCGGATCTCGATGTGCTGCTCGACATGGGCTTCGAGAAGGAGCGGGCAGAGCTTGCCGTCAAACGCTCTGGGGGTCTGCAGGGAGCTTTGACGTGGCTCGAAGAGACGCAAGACACGCCGCTGGAGACGCTCAAGGCTTCCAGTGCCACGGCCGCAGCAAAGGACGGCACCGACGGCGAGCTGGACGACGACGAGGGTGCAACAGCGGCTGCCATCAGTGCCCTCGAATCAGGCCAGGAGGCCAAGTCGCTCGTGTGCAACGAGTGTGGCAAGAAGTTCCGGAGCCAGGCCACGGCCGAGTTTCATGCCTCGAAGTCGTACGTGGAGTCCAATCCGTGGCGGTTTCTCACATTCTATTGCCCACTTCTGTAGTGCCAGAGGTTTCGCCTGCTCAAACATGCTCTAACAATGCTATGCATATTTATAGTGGTCATACAGACTTTGCAGAGTCCACCGAGGAAATTGCACCGCTGACGGAAGAGGAGAAGAAGGCCCGCCTCGAGGAGCTCCGGGAACGGCTCAAGGCGAAGCGTGCCAACCAGGCCATTGCCGACCGTGAGGACCAGAAGAAGAACGAGGTACGGAAGGCAGTCATTGAACAAACCTCCCCCCCCCCCTCCCTCCCCTCTTGTCTGCAGAAAGCTAATGTCGACTGCCAACACCTAGAAAATTCGCATGAAGGCCACCAAGGAGACTCAAGATTTGAAGGAGGAGCTTGAGCGGAAGGAGCGAATCAAGGAGGCGGCCAAGAAGCGCGCAGAGAAGGTTGCCGATGCAGATGCCAAGAGGTTGGTCAAGGCTCGCATTGAGGCTGACAAGGAAGAGCGTCGCCGGAAAGCGGAGCTGGCCAAAGCGGCCCGCGAAGGCCGTGCACCAGAGACACCTGCTGCACCGTCAGCTCCGGCGGGCGGCGGACTGGCAGCCGCGGTCGCAGCTTCCTCGTCCTCCTCGTCGAACCAGGCCCGTCTCCGCCTGCAACTGCCGACAGGAAACGTCCAGAAGACTTTTGACGCCGAGGCCACGCTGTTCGAGGTGGCACAGGCTCTGGAAGCGGACGACGGATTCAAAGCCAACAAGTTCGAGCTGACGTTTCCGCGGAAAACGTTTGAGGGCGCAACCGACATGAGCAAGACACTCCGGGAGCTGGGCCTGACGCCCAGTGCTGTGCTCCGGGTGCAGTAGGAAGGCCATGCCGGGACAATATTGCAGGGCACAGGTGTATGCGCGGATAGGATGGGCAGCGAAAGATGATGATAGTTGGACAGCGTGCGAGTAAACAGTGAGGACATCAGGCGCATAGATGGGCGGCACTGTCCTACACAGACACTATCTTACGAAAACTAAGGCACACATCGCCATGTCAAGGATTATGCACAGATACGATTTTGATTCAGCCCATCTACCTACAAATCTGAGGCAGTCAGGCATTGGACATAAAGCACTATTCCATTAATTCCACATGGATATCGGCCCAGGCTGCGCGGTTCCGCCTGGTACGTCATAAGCCGCTTGTTTGCTCCAGTACACGTCGACCATTTCGATTTGGATAGACTTTTTTAATTTTTTATCACTTTTTTCTGCCGTTGTGAAAAGTACAAAAACCAGAAGGGCGCCGGGAGGGTTACCACCAATGATACCCCATCCGTTGTAAGATTCCTCCTCTCCGCTCCAGTTCTATTTTGAGTTTTTTCATTTGAAAAAGAAGGGTCGAGGCATAGTCGGGAAAAAATTCGAAACACACAAAGATACAATGCGCTTAGTCGAACAGACCGAAGCCCATGTCGTCGTCGGACTCCTCCTTCTCTGTGCCGGGGGTTAGCATATGGTTCTGTTTTCGCGTTTGCCTTGCACGGCCAAGTCGCAGCCAGAATATCGTCGTAGACGTGGTGGTACGTACCCTCAACCTTCTCCTCCTCCTTGGTCTCCTCGGCAGCGGCGGCAGCACCGCCGGCAGCACCGCCAGCAGCCGGGGCGGCAGCGCCGCCACCGGAGCCAACGTTGGACAGCAGGTCCTTGACCTCCTTGCCCTCAAGAGCCTGTAGGTGTGGGTTAGCCAAAATATCAAAGGTACATCGTTGCATGCTGGCGTCGGTAAAGCGTCGAAAGGGAAGATATTCGGCATGGCAGCAGAGGCCTCCATTGTCGTTGTCCTCCCGCTCCGTAACTCCTCTCTTTCTGGTCTCCTGTATCCCACATCGCCGAAAACCACGCGCAGTGGTCGGCTGAGAACCCAATTGCCTCGAGTTCCGTGCCAGTACCGATCCTCTCCCTTTCGACGTTTGCTTCCGCTCCAATGTGCGGGGTGGCGGTTCGTTATCGTACCTTGGCGAACAGCTGGGCCCAGATGGGCTCAACCTCCTGGACACCGGCGGCCTTGATGAGGGTGTTGATCTTGTCGGCCTATATCACCAAAAAAACCAGGTTAGTCTTCCGTCGAAAACGTTGCAGGAAACGAATAAAATGCCGGCCAAGCTGCTGTGCCTGCGGAATCGGCACGGCTCGACACCTCGGATCCGGTAAGTGTAATCTCCCCGTCCCCCTGAGGTCGTCTCGTCGTCTCATGCCGATGGGCAGCAGCAGCAGCTCGGCGTCGGCAGGTTGGCGGTGGGATGCAAACGCACCGTGATCTCGACGTTGTCGTCGGCCAGGATCAGCGCCGCGTAGGACGTAGCAAGCTCAGCGGTAGACATCTCGAAGGTGTTGTAGTCGTTGTTTCGCGGGGATAGAAACAAGGTTTCGATGGTGGTTGTTTGTTGCGAAATCTACAAAATGAAAAGCTGCGTTGCGGGTTGGTCGAAATGGGACTTGAATTTTTTCGAGTTTTTTTGCCTACGGGGGCTCTCCCAGCCAAAGCCGACTAGTCCACTAGCAGCAAAAATGGCTCTGGAAAGGGTTTGTGTGCGCCAGTGGAGAAACCCTCACCTACTTTGCAGCCAATAATGGCCTCGGCGCCAGTTTGGAGCAATATTTCGGTTCACGGAAAAACTAATTTGCCGTCGTTAAGCCGAGCACCACAAATATTGCGATAAGCGATAACGTGAATGTCTCTACGTGAATTATGTAATCCATCAACGGACCCCTCCTTTTTCCAGCTTAAGGCGAGTCCACGCCAACTTCCCCCAATGACGTTTAGAACAATAGCAGTAGCGGCAAATAGCGGTTGCCAGCAGACATCGTTTTGCGGGACAAAGAGAACGACCTGCGGAGAAGGCCATCACAGGCTACGTAACGTGCATCCACAGCCTGCAGAAATAATTACTGCAAGAATGAACAAGCACGGCTCTGCATCCAGATACACACAGCAGCTGCAATTCACTCGTAATTCACAGCTAGAGCACGTTCAATTAAAGCGTATGGAGTGAGACTGGCGGCAGTACGTACGAACAGTACTCCTTCCCAATCTTTTGTGCAGCACATCCTTCTTTCCGTGGCTGCTCAATTAGACTGGACTAGGCCCGTCCGAGGATCGCTCCTGCTCAAAGAGAGCCCCAGCCGGCGCTGCGATAACCATATGACAAACGAGCTCAAGTATGACAGAAGAAGCAACAGTTCGCTGTCGCCTTCCAAATCCACTCTTTCTCCACCTGAAAGCAAACAACACATCTTCGAGCATCGGCTATCATCGTCCTTCGGCGGCAATTCGTGATAGCATTCGCCCCCATCCATCGCAGATACCTAATCACGAGAACAGCTTGGCTTGCCCGCTGCTTGTGCGCCGCGTATCAACGTGTGGGTACCGTCTTAAAGCATCTCCCCAAACCCCACCTCTCCTCTCTTCTTTGGACGAAGCCGCTGGCCAGTCAAAGCATTTGACGACGTTTGAGACTGCATTCATTCGCTTTTACCTTTGATTGTTATTTATTTTCATTTCCTTGTATTTGTCAATCGCAGTATTCTAACCCGTCTCTGCTGCAAAGAAAAAAGAGAAAAAGAAGAGAAAAAGAAACGGGACCCAAGAATGGATACACCGGCCATTCCGGCGCCGCGGGACGCACAGGAGCGTGAGATCCTCGCCAACCTCGAGTCCATTCGGGACCGCCTGCTGCTCCTCAAACAGGATCGCACCAAGTACATCCGCAGCCAGGATGTGCTCGCGGTGCACAACGAGACGATCGAGCAGGTGCGAAGGTTGCGCGAAGTGCGCGCAGGCCGCAACGACGGCGAGAACCGACGTGCGTCACAACGCTTCCCAGGACTGCTTGGTCCACGGCGCGCTTCTGTTTTATATTGTTTTGCTTTGCATAGCCGACTGACTCTTTCCTGCCAATGCTAGTGGACCGGGTGCTCGAGAGCTGCTTCCAGCTGCTTTCGCTCTTCTTCATGACCATCGGCCGCACCAGCGAGGCCCCGGCAGCCTATGCGCTGACGTCCACCATCCGCCGTCTACTCGACCACCTGACCGAGGCGAACCTGTACTCAGCCAAGGACCTGGAAAGCATCACGCACACGCTCGAGCGGCTCTCGTCGATTGTCCACAACCCCGACTCGAATAGCTCTCCGTACCTCACCGAGCTGATGGTCCACCGGGTGGACCAGTGCAAAGAGTCCATCAAGAACCTGCAGGAGAAGTTGGAGAAGCTGGAGAAACCGCTGCCGGCAGTCCACGAAAAGCTCATATCCATTCTGCGGTCCATGTCCCTTGCCAACACAAAAGCTCGGGTGCGTTCCAGCCTTGCGGTGGCCGCCGTCGGTTTCTGGTGCTGCTTGGAGCTCGACCATCTTTGCTAACATAACACGGTGCAGTTCCCCGCACACGAAGTGCAAAAGTACAAGTCGCAGCTCAAGGAAATCGACGAGCACCGCATAAATGGCGACTATGCAAACGACGAAGGCAAAGTGCCCTCGGGTATCGAAGAAGTCTCACAGCTGCTCAGCAGATGTCTGCTTTGGGCGGATGTTGTCCTGGAGCGCAAGGGTGTCATCCCGGACGAGTTCAAGCCAATGTACGAGACGCTTGTCGGCATTCGCAACGAGCTCGAGAAGTTGTCCATTACACAGGCCTGGTCGCTGCGCGAGACAGACCTGTACGACTTCCAGCGCCAGCTGGACAAGTTTGACGAGGCGCGCGTGGACGGCAACTGGGTTGACGAGGAAGGAAAGCCGGCCGAGCTTTACGTTCAAAGGGTATGTTTGTTATAGCCCCCACCTCCTCCCCGGGCCCCGATGTGGTATTGGCATTGCTAACATCGATCAGACATGTCTTTATCTTATCCGTCGCAGCTACGGCTTGGTGTACTCGCTGATGATTTCGTCGGAGCCGGTCTCGGAAGCTCTTTTGCCGGTATACAACCAGCTGCTGACGCTCAAGCGCTGCCTGATTGAGGTCAAGGAGTCCGGGGGTGTCTCGTCTCCACGGGAGCTGTACCCTTACAGCATGAAGGTATGAATGGACGGATGGACTGTGATGCTTTACTGAACAACGCACGTGGGGCAGCTACTGACACGGCAAACAGCTCAATTCCATCGACAACATGCGTGTGGACGGAAAGTTCATGGTCGGCGGCGACATCCCCGAAGGCCAGGGCAACGTCACGGAGCTTCTGGCAGAGTGCTTTGAGCTCAACTACGAGCTCAGGATAGCCGCCGAAGACAAGGCTACCGAAGACAACGACTAGGCGGAAAGTGATGCTCCTGCTGTTGCGAGTACCGGTAATATCTGTAATTTTGTGCTTTAGTGCCACGTTTGGTTTATTTAACTTGTTTTGCTTGGGAGGCATCTGTCACCTTAATATGGTTTCATCTTTAGCTTTTCTGTGTGTTTATTCTGCTGGTTCATGGTGTGATCTTGCCCGGTCCATTCGACAATCATTGCATCCTTTCTTGCCCTTGTATTGTCAATCGACCTTTTGATATCTTGGATTTCCTACCCCTTGGCTTCTGTATGTCGTTTTGGTTTGCCCTGTTGAACGCACTGCTTTTCCAGAGGAAAGTTGGTTTGAAAACTGTGCTGAGGATGGCTTGTAATGGCCAGACGAGGCGTTGGTGACCACATGGTCTGCGCTTTATTTGCGTGGATCTGAAGCATGTGTACCGCTATGGGCAACATATTTGGTGGCAGGACTACGGGATTTAGATCCATATAGGGCAGCTGAGATTTGCCCAGGAGGTAATGGCATCGACATTGCAGACACATGGCTTTCTGCTTAGAAGAAATGGTATTCAAGAATTGTTCATTTTATGACTTTATTAGACATTTGTGATTTTCAGCCGCAAGCTTGATACAAAGCAACCCAGCTGCAAATCAAGAGAGCAATCTCCGACTATTCACCACATCACCCCTATGGTACACGGAAGGCAGTCTTCATCGCATAGATCTGGGCCTACAACGACACGTGTTAGCAGAGGAAGAGCATTGAGACAAGAAAGGGACGCCGCAGCAAAATAGCGGCTCAACTCACATTCGCAACGTCCCAGACACCGGCCTCGACGTAAACGTCCTTCTTCAGGAACTCAATGACCTCCTGCTTGGAGTCGGCTAGCACAATGAAAGAGCTGCCGGCAAAGTCAAAAGTCTTGGGGTCGGCGGGGTCAGAAGGCTTGTCCTTCAGGATGGCACCTGCACTGGAGTTAGAGACGGAGAAGGGGCAATTACTTGAGTAGATATCTGGGGTGGAAAGAAGACGGAAGAGAAGAGAAAGAAAAGGAAACGCAAGAAAAGAAGCAAACGAAGCGACCAGAAAAGACAGGAGCAATCTGAACATACCACCAAACTTGAGCCTGCTCTTGGACGCCTCGAGGTTGGCGAAATGGGTGCTAGAGCAACAGTGTTAGCTGTGAGATTCAACACTGGTGCATGAATTGAAAGACCGCCTCGTCTCGTATGAGAGACTGTCTCTATCGTAAGAAGGACAAAGGCAAACATACGGACGGATGTCGAGACGCTTCTGGATCGTGTTGGGAAAGTCAGGGACGACGACGAGCCACTCGGTTTGGGGTGCAGAGTCGGCCATGGTGCGCTGGAGTTGCTGGAGGCGGATGAGGCTGTTGTGGTTGCGATTGGTCAAAGGGCGAGCTGCAGAGAGAAAAGGCGAAGTGGAAGAAGAGGAGATACGGAGGAGGCGAGAGGCCATTGGGGCGTTTCTACGAGAATATATACGCACGAGTCGTCGCCCAGTGAAAGAAGGCAGGAGAGGAGGGCGGTAATAAGAAGAGAGAATGGCAGGTGCAACTACTACTTCGGGTTGAACAAAGCCGATATGGCAAGTGCGGAATGGCGTGTCACGTAGTTTGGTCTCCTCGCTCTTTCTCGCTGTGTAGTCGGATTGGCTGCGCTTTGTGTCGGGAAAGGTCACCGTATCGGAGGAAGGAGGGGTCAGTAGGGAAAGCGCGCGTGTGCGGAGTTGTGCGCCCTTTTGAGCGGCAAGAACAACAACGCTCTCTGGGTGTTTCCTTCCAACTTAACCAACACTACATACAAACCTCAAACCTCTTGGCCTAGATGCTCTAAATTCTAAGTGAGACCAATAAATATATCAAGTAAAACTACATCGAAAATAAATCAAATTAGGAGTAACAGCTCCCGAAGTGGTTCGACTGAAAGACCCCACGGTTCTTCTTCGGTATACAACACCTTGTTGGACTTAAAACGGTTCTAGTCGCCAAAGTATCATATCGTAAGCTGAAATATTCAGCAAAATATAACAAAATTAACAAAAATTAGCAAAATTCAGCAAAAGTATGCCACCTTTCAGTCTCACAACCTGTGCGACAGGCAATGGTGAGCAACTCCCATCGTCTTGTCGCTTGTTTGCTCCATTCGGGAACTCGCATATCTGAGAAGGGAGTTGGCCTGAGGCAGCCACCAGAACAGCTTCAGCGAGTCACATGATGCGACCAATCGAATGCGCGGCTTTTTGAGCTGACAGGCATGGACCCAGTTTTCCCTCCTGCCGATTCCTTGACGCTCGGCCTGGCGGGATTTTGAGGAAGTTTCGCGGGCAAGAAGTCCAAACGTAAGGTGCCTTGAAAAATAACGACACGAAATTGAAACCACACCACCACCACCACCACGGTCCACGCATCGCGCATTCGCATTCGAATTGATCACCTCGCAAACGGCCCACCCACCACAGCTTCGAGCCAACGCGCCTTTTTTGTCACACCAATTGGATCAATTGAGAACCAACGCACACACAATGTCGTACCTGTCGCTCGCCCCCTTCGTCCGCTCGCAGCCGTGGCTGAACAGCCTGCTGAAGCCCGTCGCCAGCTGGTACGTCGGCCTGGCCGGTTACCGCCAGCTCGGTCTGCGTGCCGACGATCTGATCCCCGAGGAAAGCGATGTCGTCCAGGCGGCCATCAAGCGCCTCCCCGCCCAGGAGAACTACGACCGCATCTACCGCATGCGCCGCGCCGTGCAGCTGAGCATACAGCACAAGCTGCTGCCCAAGGAGCAGTGGACCAAGGCCGAGGAGGACGTGCCGTACCTGGGCCCGCTCATCGAGCAGATCGAGGCCGAGATCAAGGAGCGCCATGAGCTTGACAACGTTGAGATCATCAAGAGCCACTAAGCGGTGTGTGTGGCGACGAAGGGGAATATGGGGGAGAGAGACAGAGGTCTGAGTATTGGAAGAGCAAAAGACGATGGCAAACGGCCCCGAATGACGACGACTGCGAAAGTCAAGCAGCAAACAACGACCGGCCCCATAACCCGACAGCCAGGGCAAAGGGCGCCGATGCCGAGCACTTGGTGAGCCATTTGTTCAGCAGAAACTGCAACCACCGAACCCGCTTTTGCCTCTTCTATTCCACTCGCCTCTGATGGAAGTGTTCATGGAAAGCGAGAGAAACTACCCGCCGGGCGTTGGTGGGCTAGCTGTGCATAGATATCCGACGCTGGATAGACCGTTGGGACGGGACGGGATGGATTGGACGACAACCTGCGTTTCCTATCTTTTGTATCATATACGCACATAGGCGTTCCTCAAAAAAAGACAAACTTCTAATTACACTTCTGGACTTGCGTATGCACAATGGTCGGCGCGAAATACCGAGTCGTATGCACTCTATGTAACAAGAACAGTCCTGTGCCTGGTTGGACTTTATAGTTCCGTCGACATCGACATACAAAAGGATAGAACGCACGAGGGCCCAGAACCGATTCTATAGCAACTAATACGCCAAATAATAAACACAGGATAGACAAAATGGACAAAAGCAGACCGGAGGACAGCCGTGAGCCAGCAGGCGAAAGAGCCGGCACGGGCACAGACACAAACACCCCAAACAAGATCCACCAATCTCTTCCTCTCCGGCCTCAGCCCGTCCTCCCAATTAAGTGCACTGCTGTGCACAAACATTAAAGGCGGAGAACCAAAGGTGGCATACCCATATAGTTATGCTGGTTTTCATCTCTCGGTGTACAGTTGTCAAATGCCTTTTGAAAAAACAATAAAAATAGCTTGTATGACAAAAAAAAAAGCAGCCGAATTAGAAAGAAGAAAGTAGCCCCAGAACACCGTAAAACGCCTCGTTCAGACGAACAAGTCGCATGTCATATGTGATAATAAATATATAGTAGTGTGCTTCGTGAAAGTGGGAGGGATGGGGGGGGAGTCGAAGTAAAGAAACGAAAAGCGACGAGACAGGTGGACACGCTATTATGCGTTGCCGCTTTTCTCTTCCGTGTCAATGTGCCAGACCACGTAGTTGGGCAGGCCGTACACGCCGTAGCCTGCCCGCTTGGCCATTTTGGCGAAGCCCTCGGTCTCGGCCTGGTTCTCGAAAGCGTAGCAGGGGAAGTTGATGCCGGAACGGTGGACGTCCGCCTTGACGAGAATGTTGACGCCGCCGACACCATCAAGCTCAATCTCTTTGTTCTTGTCGTCCCGCCAGTCGCCCATGCGCGCCATGTACGTCCGACCGGTGTCGTACTGCTTATAACCTGCAGTTTATTAGCGAAATGCCACTTTGCCATCATGTCTGTATGTGTACTTCTTGGGCCCTACCCTCTGCAAGAACGACATCCTTGTCAAGGTTTTTGGTCAGTTTCCGGCCCTTGTCTGATTCGACCCAGGAGTTGTAGTCAACTGTGTGCAATAGTCAGTATCACAAGTACGGAGATATATAAGTCATGGTTCAGTGTGCTCCAGGGTCTGTCTTACATCGTCCCTCAATGTCGCGGCCGTCTCTGTAACGGTGGAACCAGATGTCTGTGACATTGTGTTAGTGATGAGCCTTGCGCGACAAAAATCCAAATATAGAGTGCGCATACTGGGGACAAGGACGTCGCGGTCGTGGGCGACAAAGTCCTCGATGATCGTCTCGGGACTCTCGACGATGTCAACGTCGCGCCAGTACACCCAGGAATGGGTGGGCTTCAGCGCGGCCGACAAAAGGTAGTTCCGCGCACGGCCCAGGGCCTTACGACGGGGACCCTGTGCCTCGAACGAGTGGCGCTCTGTGACGTCCTGGCTCAGGTGAAAGTCAAAGTCCTTCTCAACAACCATGGCGCTGTTGAAAGGAATCTTGTCCGGGCGCTTCTGGATGCGGTCCAGCTCCATGGCCAGGACAGCCAGCGTCTCGTCCGTCGAGTCGGACACGAGGAAGGCGAGGTCAATGAGATGGTGTGGGTAGGTGAGCTCCGAGATCAGCTCAAAGTACTTGGACAGGTAGCGCGCAGCATCCTTGATCGGGGTCAGGATGAGAACGCGTTCCTCGTTGGCGGCAGCCTTGCGGGTGGAGCGGACCGGGTTCAAGTTAACGTGCTCTATTGTCGTCGAGTTAATCGTCACGGGAGCGTGGTGGTTGAAGATCACCGGAGTCTTCAGCCGGGCGTTCCAAGCAACATGCTCATTGGGTGTCATCTCCATAGGCGACTTATTTGGGCCCCAGCAGTAGAAGCTACATCGGGGAAGGAATGTCAGTCATCTTGATACTCTGTGCCTCACAATCGCCGGGGGGGGGAGAATGAAGTAAAACCCACCTCTGCATTTCCGACGCAGACGACCGGATGCCACGCCATAATAATAAGATTATACTAGCAATGGCAATGAGAAGCAAAAACCGCGTCCGTGTCAGGAACACAATGACAGCGCGCGATGGTGGCAGGTTAGCCTTTGCGGCTTTCCAGTTGAGACCGCCTTTGGGGAGTAACATTTTTGAAGGTATGTGTAAGTAAGCGGCGCAACGAAGCGCAGCTAGTAGACAAAGGAGTGAAAGAGAAGGAAGAGAAGAGCGTATGGGTGAGCAGGGACAATGTATACACACTGCTAAACCGCTGCCGCTCGTGTAGATGACGTCGAAGTGTCCTGTTCGTCCTAAAATCGTCGTTATGCTGCTTCGTCTCGGTGGCGACCGTGGATTCTCGGCTCACGACAAACGTGTTGTCCCGTCCGTCGATGGTGGTCAAAAAGCCAAGGCAGGGGATACCAGCCGGACGAGTGAGCAAAAGAAAAGAATTCGCGTGCACTGGGAGACTATCGTCCCCCAAAAATATAAAAATGTAGAGGCTATCGCCAACCAGAGAGAGTTCGTGTGCCACGCCGAAGAGAAAGAGACAACGTGTCTATGTCAACCGCAGGCGACGGACAAAAAGTCGCAATGCTAACAAAAGAAGGACAAAAGAGCTAAGCGATGGCTGTAGCAGAGTTTGAAAACGAGTGTCGGTGCTTAGAGTCGAAGCGAAAAACGTAAAAAACGTGACGTAGAGCCAGTCTTCCGGCGATCCTAGCAAATTAGATCACAATTCGTCGGATTCGGAGACCGAGGAAGACGCAGAAGTAGACAGTCGTGGTGCTCGTCTACTCTGGCACGGATGGATGCGCAGACGATGTATGCCAGTCGACGGGGACGGGAAGAAAGTGTCGTCAGGTTGCGAGGCAAAAGGAGATGCGAGAGAGTTGAGACGAGGGAGGAAGAAAACGAAGCAGCACAGCTTAGCTGCAAAGAAAACCCACAGCAGGCGCGGTCGTGCTTGCATTTACTGCGAAAGATAGCAGTTTCCGTCCACGTCGTATCGAGACTGGGGCACTTTTCCAAGTTCTGAAGCAAAGTTGGAAGGAGCAATCGGATGGGGTAGGTCTAGGCCCGCTGTGCCTAGACCAAACGGGCTGCTGGAAACAACTTACAGTGGGTGGACGCGTACGAATTACCATATTATGGAGCATTCGATCACACGTCGTTTGAGTTGGGCGATTGGCATTATCGCGTTCAGGGAGGGAAGGGGCTAACGACAGGATTGGGGAAACGGGGACAGACACCTATGCCAATCAGGGGCAGGCAAAGGGGCAGACAGTGGCGTTTGGTTTTTCTACACAACACACCCAACGTTATCCCTGGCTTTCGACAAAACTAGACCTTTTATCCCATGCGTCTTTTCTGCGTTTCCCCTCCATAACATTGTCAGTTCCCCCTCGCCCGCATGTGAATCTGGCAGCATCATGTTAACAATAAGGCGGCGACGTTGATCTGAGCAACAGTTCAACATATGTTTCTGTAAGCGCAGCCAGGGTCGTCCCAATGCAACGGCATGACATCCCGCCGGTTCCGTGTGAGAGAAGACGTATCTCTCATGCCACGCCAGTTCCTGTTCGCCAAGCTTTGCGGAGAGCTCTCACTGGCCTTCTTACCCGCTCGCTGCTGAAAATCGTATATTTCCATCTGCTCGTTTCGAGATTGCCTCGTAATAGCCCGGCCGCCAGTCGCACATGCCGTCTATTCTCGTAAATTGCTGCGCCATCATCCAAGGAAGGAGCGAAGATGACAGATGCTCTAAAAGAAAAGACTTCCAAGGGAAGCAGCAGAGACCACATTTTGCGTCGCCGTTGTAGAGCCCTGAACACAGCCGGCCGGAGTTCCTGGTACTCCGTACAAAAGTGACCGCGTAATACGTCGTAGGGTGAAAGAAATTGAAGGGCCCCACTGGGCCGGCCGGTCAAATGTACCAGATACCTCGACAGGAAACGCCACATTTCCATTCTTTGGCGCAATTGTACTTTTCGGGGACCCTTAGGGACAGTGAAAGGACAGCCCTGGCCTGCACTGTGATGAAAAAGAAATGCCAAAATACGACATAGAAAGGACAGGTCTTGGTAGGCGCGTTGATAAGCCACGAACATGTAAATGGCAGTTTTGCAGCAATCAAACGACACTGGGAGCAGCTGGTCAGATCGCATCAGTCTTGCAATCACAAATGAAGATAATGAGAGAAGCCAATTGCTGTCGCAGAACCCTGAGCCGACAAGCTCTCTGCCGTGCAAAATCAACATTGGATAACTTGGCGTACTGTGTAGCAGCTTTTTCGTACAATTTTGTTCATCCACTAGCACTATCAACGCATCTTACAAACAAAGGAAAGCGTCGAACAAAGGAGGAGAACGGCGCGAGAAAATCATTGCTTTCGCCGCGGGAGCATGTCCGGCGAGCGTTGATACCCTGCCACCAATATTAGGTTACGATACCCTTCTGTCCGTCCGCGTATCAACTCATTATATTATTCGAAGAGAAGCGGACAAAACAGAGAGAAGACAACTCACTAAATGGAAATGACGCATTTGAAAACAAACGGCCGTGCTGTTTCTTTCATCCCATGTCGCGCACACGACCATTGGGAGGTAGATATGGGGCAAGCACCGTCCTCACCCCAGCGCAGCGTCCTCTGTAAAGACCCCATTCAGCACTCACAGTCATCGCGATCCGCCAGAACTCTCTCCATACTGAATCCGCCATCCGTGCCTACAGGTACAGAGAGCAGGCGCAACTATTTTAAAATTAACATCATAAGCTTCATCTAACCGGACAGGAGAGAGGCAACGCGACAACACGGCTGGTGAAGACGTTCATGCAGTGTTTCGCTGCCAGCACCGACTCAAGGCGCTACGGAACGGCTCTCGATATTCACAACAGTCGCGATAGAGACCGTCGAGATGATGTTCCTGTTCCCGAATAGTTGGCACCCTCTGCCAAGCTCCCTTAGTGGCCGGTGCCCTGTAGCCAAGACTTTTCGAGACAGTTAAATTGATCACGTGATAGGGCGACAGAGGTTGGCGTCCGGGCAACGCGGTAGCCTACCAAAAACGCGTGCGGAGGTAGTTTGGTGGACGAGCCAGCCGCTCTCTCCTCTTTTGTCGGCCACAAATCGTTGCTTTTGAAGTAGCTTCTGCCCCCATCCTGCTCTTGCCCTCTTCAGGTGACGTTTCTATCTCCGGTCTTCATCTTGTAGCTCAGAGCCACAACCCACAAACTCGAGAGGCGCCATCAACAACGACTCCCATATCTCGCATTCCGAATGCTCGCAGGCTTACAGACCATCAAGCATCTGCGTATCGGCGGCTTCAGCTTTTTATTTCCGCCTCATTTTCCATCCTGGGCCAAGTATTACTTTCACTCGCTGTGCCCTGTCCCTCTCCAATCTGTGGTGCGTTCCACTTTGTGCAGCACGACGACGTCATTTCTACCCCACGGACCGCTCGAAAGCATGGCCTTCATTGGATCCATTGGGTCCATCCGGCGGTCGGCGCGGCTAAGCACCGGCAGTACCTCTGCCAGCCCTGCCCCGGAGCCGGCAAAGTCAGTCGCAAAGGCAAAGACAGGACCGACTGCCGCCTCTCGGAAGCGGAAAGCCGTCGCCACTTCTGAAGCCGTTGCCATCTCAAAGGTCGTCGTTACTACTGTTGCTGCCCCAGTTGCTGCACAGGAGGCAGATGTGCCTGCTCGGCCATCCACGCCGCCTCCTCCCAAGAAGCGGCGCGGCCGCGCTTCTGCCAAAGACCATCCTGCTGACCAAACAACTCCATCGCGGCCAACCACCGCACTTGCGGCACCGCCGGCTACGCCCAAGACTCCGCGGCCAAGGCACGCTGCTGTCAACCGGCTGGCAAACCCGGACATAACAAACGCCCCGCTCATCTCTCCCGAGACATCACGTATCGTGTCGGCTCTGCCGCTCGACGGTCTCAGCACACCGTCGGCCAAGCAGAAGACGACGACCAAGAACATTCTGGAAGAGGCATGTGCCCATTTGATCAGCGTGGACCCGCGCATCAAGCCGGTCATCGATGCCCACTACTGCAAAGTATTCAGCCCGGAGTCTCTGGCCGAAAAGGTCGATCCCTTTGAGAGCCTGGCCAGCGGCATCATCAGCCAGCAGGTCTCGGGCGCCGCCGCACGGGCCATCAAGAACCGGTTTGTCGACCTGTTCGAAAAGGCCAAGGACCAGACGTTTCCGCACCCGTCGCAGGTCGCCGTCCAGTCGATTGAGTCGCTGCGGTCGGCCGGCCTGTCGCAGCGCAAGGCCGAGTATCTCAAGGGACTCGCCGAGAAATTTGTCTCGGGCGAGCTGTCTGCGCAGCTGCTGGCCGACGCGCCGTACGACACGCTCGTGGAGCGGCTGGTGGCCGTGCGCGGCCTCGGTCTCTGGAGCGTGGAGATGTTTGCCATGTTTGGGCTCAAGCGCATGGACGTCTTCAGCGTGGGAGACCTCGGCGTGCAGCGCGGCATGGCGGCCTTTGCCGGACGGGACATTGTCAAACTCAAAAAGGCCGGCAGCACTGCCTCGAAGAAGAATGCAAAGTGGAAGTACATGACGGACAAGGAGATGGTGGCCATGGCGGAGCCTTTCAGGCCCTACCGGAGCGTGTTTATGTGGTACATGTGGCAGGTTGAATCGGTGGACGTCAGCACGATGGGGTGATCGATCGTACTGGGCAGTCACGGGTCACGGGTCACGGGTCACGGCACGAATACCTTGCCGGGCAGGGTGCTGGCAGCGGCCTGTTGCCGGAGGAGGAGGGGGTAGACACGTATGTCTTTGCCGAGGAACCAGTCGCTACCTCTTTTATATCTTCACATTTATGTTCCATGGTAGTTGTGGTTGATTTGTTCAGTCGGAAATATACGTCCACCGTAGCCGCTCGTTGTTTATCATGCAATATGTAGTAGTCGACTTTAACATTCGCCAGCCCTGGCCATCTGTTGCGGCGATGCAGTTCGGCCCGGTAACAGCAACAGGATGTATGAATCTATTGTCATCCAGCTCGAGAACGGCAGGGCACGCGTCATACATTTCTGCTGGTAGTAAAGGGTATTAGAATCTGGTTACAGTTACACGACCTCATTATGCTCTGGGGCATAACCAAGTATGTGCCTTGTGGAGGTCACGCCGAGGTTGGAGAGTTGACAATGCTGTGCAGTATCGGTGTGTATGACAACACCATTGTCGTCAAGTAAATTGGTAACATTGATTCTCAGGTACGTTAATGTCAGCCTCTTTCATGTTTTGGTTGCTTCCTATTCCGGTGCTCTCAAAACAGGACGTTGAGTGTCAACCATTGTACGGACAGAGTAATACTGTTTCAGCCCTCGCCCGGACCGAGTTGTGGCGCCGGCCGGGCACATTCCAAGCATATGCCTCATCTTGAAAGTAACACAACAAAACACACCTTTGCAGCACTCCTGGCATTCCGCAAGCCAGTTTGCCGTTGAAGGAAAAAGTAATATGGGACCTCGTCGAATATGTGACGTTCGCTGGCCGGGAAGCATGTTCATTTTTTGTTTTTGCTAATCTAAACATTCACGAGTGTATAATGAAACTCGTTTAAAAAATAAAAAAATATACAGTTATATTTATCAACGAATAAAACAGGCAAATAAAAAGTTACGTGTGGGCAGAAGGCCCTCGGCGTCGAAATTTAAGTGCCGCAATTTTTTTCCCTTTTTTTTTCTTTTTTTTTTTTTTTTTTTTTAAAAAAAAGATAAAAAGGAGCGCTCACACACATATAATAAAAACTCAAAAGTTCAACGATAAATAACAAGCGAAACTCATGTATGCGTGTGGTTGGCAACTCAAGCCAGGTATAGTCAAGCATATGCCACCACGTATGGATGCAGATATCAGCAATCAACACCATCAAGCCCTTCTCAACCGAAATGAAAACCACAAGCACGTGAAGCTCCGAGGTATTGAGACGAGGCACCGGGAAGCAACCAGGAAAGCAATGCACCATGCGACCAGGCCGGACCAAGCGTCGTATCAAACGACAGCCTCGACAGCAAGCCCGGATCTACAAAACAAACAACCGAATTGTAAGGCGAGAGAATGCCCTCCCCGGACATTAAAACTACACGGAAGCACTCCCGGCCGCCAAAAACAAAGTAGTCTGTCAGACTGCCAACTAAGCCCATCGTCCCGCTGGTTGCAGCGTTCCCCATGCTGGGAATGCGCAATGCCACGTCTCTTGGCACGGTCTCGTCTCAGGTTTCAAGTGGTATGTGCGATGAGTGGAATGTCTGCAACCCAGCTGCCCCCGCCAACGGATTCCGATGTATTCCTTCCAGAGCGAATTTGTTCCTTGATATCCCCTGGCCAGAATTCTAGAACCATGCAGCCATTTGATGCAACCGAATGCCAATTTCATCAGGATGCAAGACCACGCTGGCGATCGTAAGTCGTAGAGCGCTGACAATTTCTGCATACCATGGACTTACCTCTTGGAAACGCCTTCGACTACTTGCACCTCGCAGTCCTGTCCCGTGTCCCAGCTGTGGTCTGAAGAGGCTGGTAATTTTGGACCATGGCAACGGCACTTGGTCGAACGCTGGGCTGGCTGGAAATGCGATACTCGTTTGTTCCGCACCTGACAGCAGTTTAGGCTACATCGGAGCCGTCTGTTGGCCAGGCCGTCTACGACGCAGATGCCATGACTCAACACCTACTCCTAACCCGGCCACCCAACGACGTCCAACGGCTGTTTGCAGAGCCCGTCCCTGGCTATTGTTTCTAATGACCTTTGCTTGGTGACTGAAGGCGGCACAGAAATGGCATCGATGATAAACAAACAACATCAACAACAGAAACGTACCGATGGCGCAACGAACGCAGAGGACACAAAACATTGGATATTAAATTGGAGTAGTAGTGTGGGTGCGTATCGGCTTGCGCATTACTCTGAGTCGTCGCGTGTCGCATGTCGCTTGTTGTCGAGGACATCATCACCAAAACAAAGATGAGAAAAAATATGTGAATATTCCTCTATCCGTCTGCGGGAGGTTTCCTTGGCTGGAATGGCAACAACCAAGATGCAAAAAAGTGGGCCACGCACAAACCTCGAGTTCCGTGTTCCTATTCGTGAGCAACTGCCAAAAAAGCTGGAACTGAAAACTGGAGCAGGAACTCGAACAGGGAACAGAGACGCTCCTTCCCGTGAGCTGACGCTCTCTCGGTCCAGCAAAACTATTAATTGCATACCAATGAAACACAATGCGAGAAACCTGCCCAGAAATCTTGAATTTGGCGGCATAGGTAATGCTGCAGATGTGCTATAGGCCTACCCAGTGAGCCCGTACAAGATATCATGTGCATTTTTGGTACGGTGCCAGAGTGCGTCGACCGTGGACAGAGATTATGACTGTAGCGGGTTGACGAAGATGAAGCATCTTCACTGATAGTGCATCCTGCGACAGCTCTTGCCCTAATTAGGCCTGGCCTGCCATTGATGAAGCAGGAACGGCGATGGAGCTTGAGCTCGTTCCTCGGTGCGTCTTTCCCACAAAATGAGAGACGGTGCTTTCCTGCTTTGGCGTTAGTGTGGCAACGGACCAGACCAACCTGCAGTGAGGGGTGCGATTTGCTAACGACACGCCCCAACAACCTGCCGGTGGAGCACTCTGAAAAAGGACGATGTACATACACTATTTCTTTTTATGAGATTTGGCACGCGGTAAATTTGGGAAAATCTCAAAGCATATTTTCACAAGTCGAAAAACATATACAATAAGACCACAATAAGAGCTTTTCATATACATGAGCTCATTATCACGACGTCACCACTATCGCATCTTGGCCGAGCGCCGCGTGAGCGAGCAGGGCGCGATGTGCTTGTCAATTGGGACAAGGCAAAGAGCAAGGGAACACGGCGGCTGTGCACCAACAGGTGGGGAAGGAGGAATCGCAATGGAGGGAGGGACCTAATAAGCAACGACACACACGAAAGAAAAGAAAGCGAAACAGCCCAGATTAGAACGAGGACGCGCATATGCTGCACCTACTCCGTGCATACAGAGACACTTCTACGATTTATGGCTTCGTGATCTCAGAGGGAGCCGAGCGGTTTGGGAGTAGCTGACGCAAACAGCAAGCGACGTAAAGCGCAATTGGAAGATGTGCGCACGGCGGGTGGCGGAAGAAAAAAGATAAAAAAAGAAACAGAAACTGCCGACCAAATTTGGAAGCTAAAAAAAAAAAATCTCGACAGTCCGTGGAAACACGGCACGGGATAGCCCAGTTGGTTCTCGGGTCCTATCTGTGGACAGTCGATGCTCCAGCTTCTCATGGATGGTCTGCTTCGCAAATCGAAATCGAACGCGTGACAAGGACGTGGCTCTTTTTGGGTGGGTGTAGTTCTTGGTTCCTCTGGTTCTTTTCCGCTTCCTGCGATCGGATTTGCCCCATCGTGGCGTTTTCCGGCCAAGGCCTGTGCCCTTTATGTACTGAGCGCGTCAAGGACATGTGTACTTTCTCGACTCTGTATGCACAACTTGTGCGACCATTGGACGGACGGCGTTTGCCTTGATTTTCACCAGGAGGGAAACGGAAAGAGGCCGCCCCATTCTGCCCTTGCAAGCTCGGCATGTGCTTTCATAAATAACTTTTGAGATACCAAGAGTTAGGGCCCCGATCGGTGCCCCCGGTATTTTCTTGGTCGAGCCTTGACTCCCTTCCATTTTTTTAAGGCGATCTCTGTCGCGCCGTCTCATCTTGTGCCTTTTTTCTCCTTTTTGTTGGAACGCCGGAGACCTTGTTCACTGTTTGGCCGAATTCAGCAAAGAGTTGGTTCTCCCCCAAGTCGAATTCGGTCGAACAGCGAAGACGATGCGCACACCTGGTCTGCTCATGCTAACAGACAACCATGCAATCAATCCCTCCTCTTTTTCTCGCGGCCATCGGTCCACAAGCCAAGCATTGCTAGAGTTTGTTGCGGCGTTGTTCACTGTTTTGCTAGCGAAGTATGCACATAACCGGTTTTGCCGCACAGAGCGACTCGGAAAGGGGCAGAGAGGGTGCTAATTTCCTGGTGAGATTTACGTGGAGAAGGTGGCCTGGGGGTACATGGCTAGCGAGGCCATCCCCATTTTGTGCGCCGAAAGGGGCCTTTCCTCGTGATGAGGTTCCTTTGCAAATTACGTCGTATCATCTTGGCGGATGAAAAAGCGAAAGAGGCTGTGGACTTTTGGAGTCAGACGGAGTAGATACCCTGCCATGCAAGGGAGAGTACAGAAGGAACGCACTGTATCTGTCATGCCATGCTTCGGTATATGCAGGACGGAAGTAATTCGTACTATGTATGTACTCCGTATGATGGCCCGGCCGTAGCCACGTTTCTTTCTGTGTCAGTCGCTTCCGCGTCGTGCGCCGGTGGTAGCGTGCGCATCTTTGGGTACGTTGGCGCGGACTACGCAGCAACAAGGCTGTTGGAAGTCGACGGAAGCAATTTGTCGAGGCCAGACGACGCTTGGCGGACGTGGAGAGACATTCAGCTCACCTCGAGTGCGTGTACGCTTGTAAGGACGGAGCGTGTCTGGCCAGCAGCCTGTCTAGTGGAGCAGGCGGCGTTGCTTTACGCGACACCTGACGACAGCTGCAACTGCAACGACGTGCAGCATATATCTTACGACGCACACGGCGGCGAGTCTTCTTTTCCTTCCAAGTGGCTTTCGCCGTCGATGACCCATCGCAGCTGCTACTCTGGTGTTTTGTGCGCCAGCTCCGGAGCCCTGGCGGAAGTGCGTATCTCTTACAGGTGGCGACTCGCAGGGTTTCGGCCCATCGCACGAACTTTTGTCTTTTGGTGAGTGGGCAGTTGTCCTCGACAGCCAACAAAATCCCAGGGCCGTGGTTTGTACTTGGCGTGTTTGTTGGGCTTGTATGTCGTACTGTGTAAGTCTTACTGCTGCTTGTTGGCATTCTTGTCAGTTGGCAGGTGATATTGTCGGGCCAGCTCAGTCGCTGTTTGCGCAAGAGACGGAAAGTGCGACGCAGAAGTGCAATTGAAACACCAATGACAAAGCCACCGACACATGTCGCTCGCATCCCAGTTCAGAGAAGGAAGTTACAAACCAGAACAGCAAGGAACAGCCACAGCCACCACAACCGCACCTTCCCTGCTCATTGTATGCACAACCTTACTATTTTGACAGCCCAGCAATCGCAAATGGACGGTTCTCCAGACGCCACTTTGCCTCGTAGATCGCTCTCAAACCAAGCGAACCAGCTCCAAGTCCTCCAAGTCTACATTGTATCTGGCGATTCAGAGCACATAGTGCACTGATGCGCAGAGCGTGCGACAACCTTGGTAGGAGGACCAGAGGAAAAGGGGGGCGTGGCTTTATCCACTTGTAGCAGGTCCCACCCTGATAACCATTAGCTCCCCCAATTAGCCCTTCCCCTGCTTGTCCTGTTTTTGCAGTTGCGTGTGTCGGTCGCTCATTCTCTGCTTGTTCCTGTTTTCCCCTTCTTTCCTGCTTTCAGTCGTGCTCGTAATAACGACTTCGCGCTAGCGAAGCCCGTACCTGTTACCCCCCTGGCTCCCCTGGCTGGACTGTGTTTTCCTCTTTTCTCGTCGCTCCTCCCTTTTCTCTCGTCTCCCTCTCTTCTCACTCCTCTCCCTTCTTCTGGTTCCCAGGTCGTTTCATTTCGATTCATAGTCCATCGTTTAATCGACATCGTCGTGTTTCCGTTTTACTTTTTTCATACTTTTCTCTGTAATTTTTTTTTTTACGTGTTTACCTGTTTGCATCCTCCAGGTACGCGTCGACTCTCGCTTATCCACAACACAAATAATCGACGCCTTTCTTCCTTTTCCCGGACCTCCCGACTTTCGTTTCAGAAGCTTCGCGATCTCATCATCACGACGCCATCACCAAGGTACGTATTCGCACGCGACGAAAATAAGGAGCCAGTGAAAGGCCAGCAGCAGCAAGACGCGCAATGGTCGACAAACACTCATCTTCGGGTGCCTCAATGTGTGGCCCCATTGTGCAATGATCGCGACGTTTCACCTCGCCGACCGCCCACTCAGTGCGGTTCACCAATATTGGCACGACCGACACGATGGGCAGCAGACGCAATCGCCCGCCTGTGCGGCCTTGTCACCCGGAACGCGTGTGAAATGAATTCAATGGCGCAGCAGTGGGATAGCTGAAGAATGCTCGACGGTCGTGGCTTGGCTTCCTCCTGTCGATGCAACTGTATTCTGCCCCCGTCCTGCCGTGGCCGACGTTCACATCGCCTCACCAAGAGCTGCCAATGGCCTCCCGCAGTGCCACTGCATTAGCCAATGCGTGTGGAAACAAGACCGGAAGAAGCCAGAAAGTGAGAAGCAAGACGACGTCGCGCTGCCAATACCGCTCACTCTAGCGGAGCAGCAACAACGAAGACAACATGAGCACAGACAGCAAAGGGAGTCAGCGGCCCCTTTATGACGACGAACACAATGCATCTCTAGCTGCCTGTCACACAATCAGAGGAAGCGACCAAACACCAAAGCGCACGCACAATCTTTGTCTCTCTCACTCACACACGCACTACGAATGCACAGACCCAAAACCATTGCAGCATCTATTATTGAAATCGCCATTTACTGTCTTGGCTTGGTTCGCCACCTATGAGAAGCACCGGAACTTGCGTTGTCGCCAGACAGCAGCAATCTCTTTTGTTCCATCGGTTTCATGGCGCCCTCTGCAAATTTTATCTCAAAATCCCAGACAGCTACCACATTCTTGCTTCTCACTTTCGAATGGTTCCTTGTTGCTTCTTGTTCACGGCTCTTCACAACAGGTCACGAGGCATTCGCAGGACCTCTACGAGGTGTCTCTGGCGACTTTTGCTGGCCTTTCACTTTTTCTTCTCGTTCATTTTCATTTTGCCAGGCCCAGTCGACTCATCGCTAACTAGCTTTTCTAGCAACATGTTCTCCAAGCAGGTTCTGCCCGTCCTTGCGGCGGTTGCGGGCGTTGTCTCGGCAGCGTCTTCGTCCTCCAACATCTGCAAGCAGGACACGTTCACCGTCAACTCCCAGGCTGACATCACCAACCTGTTGTCTTGCTCGACTCTTACTGGCAATGTCGTCATTGGCAACCAGACCGATGCCACTCTCGACTTCACTGGCATCAAGGTCATTGACGGCGACCTGATCCTGCTTAACAACAACCTGGTCACCACGCTGAAGAGCGACACCACCACTGAGATCTCGGGGAATTTCCACCTGCAGAACCTGACCACGCTCTCCACGCTGTCTTTCTCTGACCTGACCTCGGTCGGCTCCATCAACTGGATTTCCCTGACTGCCATCGATGTCCTGACCTTCACGGCCGGTATCAAGACCGCGAAGAGCATCGTTGTCAGCGACACCTTCCTGAGCAGCCTCGACGGTCTTGATGTTGCCTCGGCCGACACCATCGACATCAACAACAACCGCCGCCTGGTTTCGTACACCTCGTCGCTTGGCAACCTCACCACTCTGCTGAATATCAACGCCAACGGTCTTGACCTGAACGTCAGCTTCCCCAACCTGATCTGGATTGCCAACATGACCATCTCCAACGTTTCCAGCTTCAGCGTCCCGTCCCTGGCGACCGTCAATGGCTCCATGCGCTTTGACTCCAACTTCTTCGACTCGTTCTCTGCTCCCAACCTGACAGAGACCTCGACCGGCGATGTCTCGTTTGTCAGCAACGCTCAGCTGTCCAACATCACCATCCCCAAGCTGACCAGCATTGGCGGCGGTTTCCTCCTTGCCAACAACACTGCCCAGCATAAGGTGAACGGCTTCAACAAGCTGAAGACGGTTGGCGGTGCTATCAACATGCGTGGCAACTTCACAGAGTACGTTTCATCAATCACCTATGCGACTTGGTCTTGGTGATTTTTATTTGAATTTGTAGCAAACCACGTGACTAACACTTCTGTCCTTTAGCATTGAGCTGCCTGCCCTCAACGACGTCAAGGGTGCTTTCGACATTGTCTCCACGGGTGATATCTCCGCCTCGTGCGATTCCTTTAAGAAACTGGCTCCTTCCTCGCAGGGTGGTGGCGGCCAGATCCAGGGCAAGTTTACTTGCGAGAGCAACAACGCTCAGGCCAACTCGGACACCAACCCCACCTCGACTGGCAGCTCGAGCGGCAGCAGTCCCACCGGCAAGGGCAACTCGGCTGCTGGCATCAGCGTCAACTCCATGGCCGTTCTCGGCCTGGCTGGTGTTGCTGCCTTTGCTCAGATGCTGTAAGGATCGAAAACTATTTACATATTTTACTACAAAAATGGGGGTGTGACACGATGGAAGGCCTGGCTATTGCCTTTTATTGCGTTGACTGCTCATTCAGGAGGGCGGTTTTGCATGCGTTGCGTTTCCGCGCGGAGAGACATTCGAAGTAGTATGAAAATGACGGTTTTGCCTCCGATTTTGTCTCTTTCCTTATAGTCCCACACTTTTTTCTGTGTTTTGCTTTACCACAATGCTGTTCCGCACAGGATTTTTTATTTTTGCTTTGTTTACCATTCTTGTCTTTTCTTTGTTGCACTCGACCAATCGATGTCATCCTGTCGTATCCCACGAAATAGCCGATTACGTACACAGCTACCATAACTAATAGCCCTTTTCTTTTTTTCAATGCTTTTATTTGTAACTGTTGCGTACACCGCTACTGACGCGACACGAACTACTACTATGGGGTGGTCTAGTCACGATTTTGGTTACGAGCCAGCTGATAGTCCACAGCACAATTAGCTTGATGCATGTGTCATTTTTGTAAGTCATGATAGTTCGTCCTGTCATTAAACGGCTGTCGGGTCTACTCGTATATTCCCTCCTCGAACTTGTCGGCGTCGTAGAAGCTCGGGACGATGGCGTTGCCGTTGAAGTTGCGGCCGTCGAGCGCACTGACCGCTCGCAGTGCCGACACGGCTTCTGTGAACTTGATGAAGACGAGCTGGCCGGGCACGTCAATGTACACGCGCTCAATGCGTCCGTACTGCGCGCCGCACTCCTCGCCAATGTCCTGCACGAGCTGGCCATCGGCGACCTCGGCGTCCAGATCGGGCAATCCCGTGACCATGTTCCGGAGGACGATGACGGGGGATATTTTGGGTTCGCTGCTCCCGTCTCCCTTTCGAGAGCCTGCGCTGCTGCTGCCACCACCACTGCCACCTCCTCCTCCTCCTCCACCACCAACAATGCGCCCGACGGCTCCGCTCTTGCCGACTTTCCTGTGCCGCAGTGGGTTGACGATGCCGCTCTCGTCGGCACCGAGGCCGGAGCCACGCGTCCAGCCGTACTTTGACATGAGCCGGGCGGCAAAGCCGGCCTGGCCAGGCCGATTCGTACGCAGCTGCTCTGTGCCTTCGCTTCCCTCCTTGCCATCCGTGCCTTCTGTGGTGTCACCTGCCAACCCCGACAAAGACGGCCTGTAGTCGTCTTCGTCAGCTTCTTCTTCGCTGTTGCCCTTGTCCTTCATGTCGTGGTCCTCTTCTGCGGCTGGGGCAAAGCGGATAGGCGCTTTGGAGACGACTAGACCGTCTGGCCGTGGTGGTGGGGAGGACGGCGTTTGTGCAGGTGAAGGTGATCGACCGACAGCTGTTGCGGCGGGCCGATCGTAGCTGGCCGGCGGTGCAAAGGCGGCCGGCGGCGGCGGTGCAAAAGCGTTGTTGTTCGGATGGGGCGGCCGGCCCCTCCCTTCGTCTCCCGACGAGCTGCTGTCGTCGCTTGCCTTTGGTTTCTCCGCCTTCGCCTGCTCCTGCCGCTGCCTCTTTCGCCGGTCTGCATAGAGTACGCTCTTCCACGCGTGCACGGCGTCCAGGTGCTCGTCGCTCTGCAGGTACGCCTCAATGTTGGTCGGCCGTGCCGGGTCGTACAGCTCGTCCCAGTCGACCATGTACGCGTCGCGCGCCGCCATGCGCTGCTTGTCCTCGAGCCGCTTCTTCCTGCGTTTCCGGCCGCCCCGCTGCGGCCATTTCCGGCCGCCAGGGCCGTCATAATCATCGTAGCCGCCGCCGATGCCGGCGTAATAGTCGTCGTTGTCGTTGTCACCGTCGTTGTTGTTGTTGCCATCACCGCCGCCCGAGGTCCAGTCGGCAAGGAACGTGCGTGCTGGTGTGGGGGCAGGAGTCGAGGTAGTGGTGGAGACGGATGGCGTAGCCTGAGAGGCGGGTCGCGTCGAGGAGGGCAGGCCTGGCGTCTTTGCTTTTGGCTTGCCTTTGGCGTTCTGCTGTGGCCGACGGATCATGGGCTGGAAGCGGAGGGCTGTGAGAAGAGACACGAGACACGAGACACGTTAGTTCTCACCGCTGTGCGCAGCCTGCAGTACGGCATTGGGGCATCATTTCATCTCGTCGCACCTGGGTTCTTCGCTGCTTCGGGTTTCGCTGATGGCGACGGCGAGGCGTCGTTGCTTCCATCGCCGAGCAGGTTCGCGTACAGCGACATGGTGCCGCGTGGCGGCGGTGGTGGAGGCGCAGCCATGGCGTGCCTTGGTGCTGGCGGTCCTGGAAGCAGGGCGTGCTCGGTGTTGTCCAGGGCAAGCTGTTGGTTTGAACTTGTCTGTCGATAAGTTGGCGAGGCTCGGCGATGCAATTCGGCTGCACTGTGTTAGCGCCTATGCCACCACGCTATTATAGTGGAGCCCTGTATTTCGACGTGGAGCCTTAGAGCTGTAGCTCTCCTAGAGAACTGGATGACAGCCAGCAATCTAATTCTCCATGTCTCTTAATTCTATTATTTTCGGCGCACGTACTCTCATGTCGTCACTCCCTTTTCTTTCTCTATGTGAATTATTTTGATGAAGAAACGTGCTACTCTGCTGTTAAGCAGTCTCTTTACATTCTGACTCAACAACTACACTCGGATCGTCGTATCCTTCTGCTTTACAGCTTCGTAGTTGCCCAACGCAAGTCGTACATCGTCGCATACGACAGACTCTGCCTTCACTCAAGACTTGTCTCCCACGAGTCCTGCTTTCCTCATCAAAACAACCTGAACTCCAGCTCTGAGACGACCGCAGATTCAGCATGGATATATGTGGGGCTACAGGGCAGCTTTGTGCTGCGGAAACGGGGGAAGGAGACATGGCGACCCACTTTTTGGCTCGCACTGCTCCGACAGCTTGCCGCACACCCACAGCATCTCCTCTTCTCGTCTCTCCTCGTCTTGGCGATTGGCCTTTCTCTGCTCTGTTTCACTTCTCCTCTGGACAGGTTCTGCAGAGAATTTCGCTGTATATCTTTTCATTTTGTTTTGTCAATCATACTCTGGCATTATCGCCAGTCGTGCCTTCCCATCTGGTCAGAGACCTCTCGCATTGTGTCACATGACCATCCCCAAGGCGTCATCATAACATCCGACGACCGCTCTCCACGATCTCTCGACCTCCATGCAAAGCATCGCGATCGATTGATACGTCCGCCCACACCCATACTGACCAGCCATGTCGTTGACGCTCCGTTCGGCCATCAATGGCGCCTCGTCGTCCACGGCCGTGATCGTGCCCGCCGCTGGCCCCGGCGCCCAGCCGCTGGAAGTGTCCTATCTCGATCTCGTTTCCGAGGTCTCCCGCTACCAGGCCAAGCTTGCCGCCCTCGGCATCGGCCGCCGTGCCCCCGTCTCCATTGCCACCGTCAACTCGTACGAGTTTATCGTGTCGTTCTTGGCCGCCTCCTGGCAGCGCGCCGTCGCCGCACCCCTCAACCCGGCCTACAAGCAGGACGAGTTTGAGTTTTACATTGAGGACGTCCAGTCGGCCATTGTGCTCGTGCCCAAGGGCGCATTTGCCGCCGATGCCCCTGCCGTGCGGGCTGCCCGCAAGTTCCGCGCCGCCATTGCCGAGTCCTACTGGGACGCCGAGCGCGGCGAGGTCGCGCTGGACGTCAAGGAGTTTGGCCGCCTTGAAAGCGGGCCGCAGCCGACACTATGGCCAAAGCCGCACGACGTGGCCCTGGTCCTGCACACGAGGTGCGTTTTCTGGCAGACTTTGCCTTTGGACTTACTTACTTTTTTTTGGAGCCGAGACTGACATGGGACAGCGGAACAACATCGAGACCGAAAGTGGTGAGTCTTGGAGTTTTTTTCTTTTCTACATTCAGAGCGCCCCCTGCCCTTTCATATATGTCCTCCTTTTTACCTTTTTCTTATTTTACATTGTATGACGGTCTTGTCTAACATACGCTCAGGTCCCATTGACGCACCGCAATCTCACGGTGACGATGAGTATGTCTCCCTTGCCTAGCCTACGGTTATTCATCACTGTACCTACTTTCGCTAACAACCCCAGAAAACATTCAGGACACGTACAAGCTGACGCCGGCGGACCGGTCTATGCTCGTCATGCCCCTCTTCCACGTCCACGGCCTGCTCTGCGGGCTGCTCGCCCCCCTCTTCTCAGGCGGCTCGCTCATCGTGCCCCCCAAGTTCTCCGCCACCGAGTTTTGGCGCGACTTTGTCGGCCACAAGGCCAACTGGTACACGGCTGTCCCCACCATCCACCAGATCCTTCTCAAGCATCCCATCCCCAACCCGCGGCCGCCCATCCGCTTCGTTCGCTCCTGCTCCTCTCCGCTGTCCCCCACCGTCTTTGCCCAGCTCGAAACGGCCCTCGGCGCCCCCGTTCTTGAGGCCTACGCCATGACTGAGGCAGCCCACCAGATGACCTCCAACCCGCTGCCGCCTGCCAAGCGGAAGCCGGGTGCCGTCGGCCTGGGGCAGGGCGTCGAGGTCCGCATCCTGAACGACGCGGGCGCCGAGCTGCCGCAGGGCCAGGAGGGTGAGATCTGCGTCAAAGGCGACAACGTCACGTCCGGCTACCTCAACAACCCCGCCGCCAACGCCACCGCCTACACCGCCGACGGCTTCTTCCGCACGGGCGACCAGGGCCGCAAGGACGAAGACGGCTACATTCAGATCACGGGCCGCATCAAGGAGCTCATCAACAAGGCCGGCGAGAAGATTAGTCCCATTGAGCTCGACAATGTCCTGACGCGCCACCCCGAGGTCGCTGATGCCGTCAGCTTTGCCATAAAGGACGACGTGTACGGCGAGGACATTGGCGTCGCCGTCGTGCGCAAGCCGGGCTCCTCGCTGCAGCCGGAGGCGCTGCAGCGCTGGGCCGCGGAGAAGCTGGCCAAGTTCAAGGTGCCCAAGAAGGTCTACTTTACCGACGTGATGCCCAAGACAGCCACCGGCAAGATCCAGCGCCGCATTGTTGCTGAGACCATGCAGAAGCAGGACAGCAAGGCGAAGCTGTAACTGTGGGGAGTGCAATTGTGGGGCGTAGCTGGTGGGACGCAACAAATATGTGACACACATTACATGTAGCACATTGGATGGCAAGATGCACGAATAGATATTGCAAAGAAGGACAAATAGAATCATTGACTGCTTAAGCTACACACAAATCGAATCAAACCAAATCAAATCGTACTCTTCATACGCATCAAATCCCGCTGTACTCCGCAGTTGCATAGCCCCACTAATCCTCGTCGGCCACCTTGTCGGCGACGGCCTCCTTGGACTTGTTGACCACACGCTCGGGTGCCCACTGCTGCTGCAGCTGCGCCCCTGACGGCGACGACGACGGCGACACCGTCTCGGACTGGATGCGCGAGTGCGTCCGCGAGTGCGGCTGTGATGTGACTTGCGACGGTGGCTGGGACGTGTTGTGCGGCGACGGCTTGACCATGCCGCCGGATCCGACGGCGGCGACGCTGGACCCGGCCGGCGGCAGGGTCAAGGGTTCCAGCGCCTCCGGCGGGCTGCTGGTCAGGCCGCCGCCCTGGATCGGGCTCATGGCGCCGCTGCCGCCGGTGCTCGTGGCGGCGCCGCTGCTGCTGCTAAACGTGAGGAGCGGCGATGCGTGGCGGAAAAAGACATTGTCGGGGCTGCTGCTGCCCTGCGACGGAGGCATTTCGAGGCCCGGGATGTGGACTATCTTGGCCTCGTTCTGGTACGCCGCGGGGATGATTTCGATAATCTTGTTGCGCGGGAATTTGAGCTTGGGAATGTCCATGGCGCTGCAGTGCATCAGGTACGAGTACAGCACGCGCAGCACCGACTCGTGGGCAATAATCAGCAGGTCGTTCTGCTCCCGCTCCAGCTCCAGGATGATCGGCTCCAGGCGCACTGCCAGGTCGTGGTAGGACTATGCGGGGCGGGCAGGTTAGCGATACAACTGTTTGAACAAAATCGAGGTCGGCTAGGAGGATGTGCATACCTCGGCCCGCGGGAACCGGTGGTGATAGGGGTCTAGCTGGTGCAGATCGACTTCCTCTGGATACAGGGCGCGCAGTGCCCGGTCCGACAGCTTCTCGCAGACACCGGGGTTGATCTGGCTCATCTGCGAGCGCTGCCGCACCTTGTATCCGCGCTCCTTGAGGTAGTCCGCCGTCTGCACGGTACGCAGACGCGTGGACGTCCACACAGTGAGCGGACGCAATGGAGGGGGATCTGTGATGCCGGCGGCGGCGGCGGCGGCTTGCCGCTCGTACTCGCGGTGCGCCAGCAGCGCCTCGGACATGAGCTCGGCGTAGTGCAGGCCCGCGGGGCCCAGCGGCGGATCGGCGCGGTACGACTCCTCCTCCTCGGGCACGTCGGCAGCGATGCCGGCGCGAGCAAAGTAGGTCGTGCGCGACTTGATATGCAGGTTGGTGAGGTAGAAGACGATGCGGTGCGAGAGGTAGTTGAAGGAGACGTTGTTGTAGAAGAACTTTTGGCCGGCGTTGATCATCTTGACAAAGTTGAGCTCCTTCTCGTCCATGGTCTCGAAGACGGGGATTTTGGCGCCGATGCGCTTCAGGTACAGCTGGGCCGCCTCGTCGGGGTCCATGCCGGCGAACTACAGAAGAGTCAGAATGGCTGTGCGCGCGGACAGAGGGCAGCATGACAAGAAACCTGCGTACATCAGGAGACGAGATCTTGACGTTCCGGGCGTTTTCTGTGAGAATACGCTGGTCGTCAACAAACGACTCGAGGAAGAGTGTCTGCACCGGTTGTTAGTGCTGTTGACAGAAGGAGGAAAAGACAAAGTATAGGGACAAAGGATGTGAACAACGGATGATGTCGCACCTGCACGTCGTGTTTTGCAAATTCCTTGGCGAGAGCTCTCCGGCCGGTCGCCGTCGGGTTAACAGCGTCATATATCGCGACCTGGCCATTCTCGTGGTTCAGCCAGGAATAGATGTCTTCACGGCAGCGCTTGAGGATCTTTTGGCGCAGCATGATGGATGCCGGCGTGGCATTGGGGAAGAAGTAGTCTTCGGGCACCGCGCCGCCCGGAACAGTCGCACGGCGGTAGTCGCCCAGGTGGAAGATGCGTGTCTTGACGCCCAGCCTGATGTTGGATGTTAGGATGTTGCAGAAATCAAAAGAGACCTAAAGGGAGTGAGTACCCACCACTGGAGATACCGAGATAAGGACACGCAGATGTGTCTGTGCAGCAATTGTTGTCAGTGTTGTGGTCATCTCGAGATTCTCACACCAATAACGCTCGGGGAACGCACGTCTTGCCGCGTGCCGGCAGGCCGACCATTACAATCGCAATACGTCCAGAGTGGAAGAGGCGGCCGGACATGGTGCTGTAGAGCTGGGCTGGGGCCATGTGGTCCGTGTTCGTGGAGACATCGTGAATGCCGTCGATGAAGGTGGAGCTCTTGCGCCGATACCGTGGCGCATTGGCCGCGATCTCGGCCGTACTGTCGGAGAGTGTTAGTAGGCAGGGTCACAAGCCATGAATGCCGGCGCGTCAATTGACACCGGGTGGGAACCCTTGTGCCGTTGTCCGGCGCCGTTCTCTCCGCAGATCGTGCACGGTCCGGTTCGGATGAATCACATGCCAAGTCAGACTGTTGTCTTCGTGACGTACGACTCGCCCACACGGCCAACAGCAGGGAACCCAAGGCCGGCAGCAAGCACACACTGAAGAAACCAAAAAGGACGACTCACAGCAGCGTATCCATTTTTGTATCGAGCAACGCGGACAGGGTTTCGTTTCGCAGCGGCCGCGTAGTGTGACCTGTCGAGCCAGACGCCCGAAGGAGGGGTGGTAGCAGGTCCCAGCTGTGGAAGTGGGGCTGATGCGACAAGCTGTTGGAGAGAGCTGGGTCTGGACCGCCGTGACGGGTTGAGTAGAGATTGTTGGTGGTGCAGAGAAAGGAGTAAAGAGGACAAAATGACGAGAAGGCAGAATTGAGGCTCGAAATGGAAAGTCACGATGATCAAGCTGTTGTTGTACGAGCTTGAGGGAAGGTAGGGCCGGCGGAGGCGGACGACAGGGAGGAAGGTGCGCTACAGGTGGGCGCTGGTGCCTTTCGATTGGCGGGCGTTAACAGACGAAAACACGCAAGGCTAGTGAAGGATATCCTCGGAAGAGGCAAGGCCAGCCGCCGGCAGACAGTGGGGACACCTGGTGTAAGCTGTAAAAGAGGAAGGAGCCGACTTGACAAAGAACTTGACGAAGAGATGCCATAATCTTGATGAAAGACGCATAACCAGAAGCTCTGGCTTAGATGATGAGGATGAAGCGTGCACATAACTCAGATTAGATGGAAGCAAAATACGGGAATGGTGTGCTTTAGTGACTGACCGTGGGCGTCGAGGTTCGCGTTTACCATGGCGGCGCCTGTCCCAGATACAGCGATTTCTGCTCCGACAAGGCGTGCTTGGTTTGGATGATTCGAGATAGGAACTGCGGGTGGTAGAGAGCGATAAGATGGCCTTAATGCTGCTACACTGGGCAGCGATAATAGGTGCTGGGCGCTGATGAGACACACGTTGGTTTACATCTAGACGGTGATTTTATCTACCACGCCGGTAAGTCGGTTTCTGAGAGGCCCTTCTATAAATACACTCTCTCGCTCTGCTCGGATTCATGACCTTATCCTGTTATTGCTTGACAATACATTCTCGGATCGTCGTGTTGCGTCTAATCCTAACCAATCAGAGAACAGCATTCTTACATCGCCAGATCGGATGGCCTTCGACATACTCTCCGTTGTGGACTGTCGGCCACACACCATGTTGCAATAAGTTAAATATATAGAAGAATATCACAGCCTCTCACACGGCAAATTGCGTGTTCTTTTCTTACATTCTCCCGCTGTCCTATCGCGGTGACGTTGAGTTGCTTTTCTGTTATTCTGTCCTGGTCACGTGCACATCTCCAGGCACGTGCCGTGTGTTCCAGGCGATGAATAGCGTTTTTACCGGGGGAAGCCACCCCAGGCCTTTGTGCGAGAGGGAAGGAGCCGTCGAAAATCCTGTCTGCTCTTTCCCGGTCTGTGACGTCTGTGTTCAGAACAGCATTTCAAAATAATGAAAATAAATATAGGAATAAAAAAACATCTACAGAACACAAAATAGATTCAATCCAAACTGAGGTTCAAGAATACCTGAACCACCGCAGAATTGCACGTCATCGACCGCCCTCCATACGGTGGGCGCCCAACAGTGTACAGGGCAGTCCCAATCCCCAGTTTTCTTTTTCATTTTTTTTCCGCGCCAAACTCTCGCCGGACAAGTTTTTTTCCTTTATTCCCAGTCTCCATTCGGCGTCAACGTTCGACGACACCATCCACACCACCACCACCCCTCCCTCTCTCTGCAGCCTCTCTCTCCCTGCCCCTGCCGCCTCCGTCCTTGCTCAGCACACCCCCCGATCCGAGCGGCCGAATTGAATTGACGATTGGCGAAGCGCGCAGCCGCAGCCACACTCCCCGTCTCCTCCGCTCCTCCTCCCCTCCTCTCCTCCTCGTTCTCCCTGTTGCGCTCCGAAGCGCACCTCACCGTACACTCCGTACTCAGCAATACCTTCAGCCCCTCCTCAAACAGCACAAGACACAGCCGCAGCAATGGCGTCGGCAACAGACGCGCTGCAGTCGTTCCTGCAGACGAACCCGGTGGCGGTGTCGATCACAGATGCGTGGCGGTCGCTGACGGAGCGGCGCGACAAGTTCGGCCTCAGCAACCCCGGCACGGTCGAGTCGCTGGCCAAGGAGGTGCAGCGCGATGTGCTGCTCAACAACCACATGTTCACGGGCATCAAGGCGGACCTGACGAAGCCGTTTAGCGTGTCGCCGCTGTTCCAGGTGTCGCACCAGTTTGCCCTCGGCGAGCGGTTACAACCATACACGTTCGCCGCACTCTATGGCACGAACCAGGTGGGTGTCCTGCGTTTTTTTCTCTCTTTTTCTCTGTGTCCCTCTTTGTGTGTGCGTGTGTCTTTGCTAACCATCCTAGGTCTTCTGCCAAGGAAACGTCGACAACGAGGGCCAGCTGTCGGCCCGCTTCAACTACCGCTGGACCAACGCGCTCGTCAGCAAGGCGTCGCTGCAGCTGGCGCCCGGCGACGGCCAGCAGATGGCCCAGTTCGAGCACGAGTACACGGGCCGCGACTTCACGACGTCGCTCAAGATGATGAACCCGTCGGTGCTCGACGGCGGCCTCACCGGCATCTACATTGCCAGCTACCTGCAGTCCGTCACGCCCAAGCTGGCGCTCGGCCTCGAAGGCGTGTGGCAGCGTGCTGCGCTGTCACAGCCGCCGGATGCTGCTCTGTCCTACTGCGCGCGCTACCAGTCCAACGACTGGGTTGCGACCGCCCAGATGCACCCGCAGGGCGCCATCAACACGAGCTTCTGGCGCCGCCTGTCCGAGAGCGTGCAGGCCGGCGTCGACATGACGCTGTCCCTGGTGCCGAGCGGTGGCGGCGGCGTGATGGGCGGTGGTCTGCAGAAGGAGGGCCTGACGACCTTTGGCGCCAAGTACGACTTCCGCATGTCCACCTTCCGTGCACAGCTGGACTCGCGGGGCAAGCTGGGTGTGCTGCTGGAGAAGCGGGTAGCGGCACCGGTCATGATGACCTTTGCCGCCGACGTTGACCACGCTACTGTGAGTTGTCCCGCTGCTATCTGCTCAACGGAAGCCTACAATTCTTTCGGGAGACACCACTAACAACTTGTAGCAACAAGCCAAGATTGGCCTCGGCATCTCGATCGAGACGGGCGGCGAGGATATTGAGCTGAACCCTGACGGCTCGCCGGTCCACACACCTCCCAACAACGTGCCGTTCTAAGCTCGACGTGAAAACAAACGACGATCGAGGACGACAGCGTTGAGAGATGCACAGACATGTAAACAAGCAATGGATGAAACACGAAACAAAAACCGCTGAAACGCAGAGACGCTAAACCGCAAACCGCAAAACCGAAAAGCCGAAAGGAGGTAAAAGACGACACGAGACGAAACAGGGACGAGCATTCTAATGGGTCGACATGTATGTGCATATGTGTGCGCTGGGCTTGGTCAGGGATAGAAAAATGCGCAGGGTCTGTTTTTTTGCGGTTTGTTTGCTTTTTGTTCTTCTCTCGTTATGTCAAGAAACAAAGACGCAACATCAGCAATGGAAGTCACCATCTCAATTCTGTCACACCTTTGCCCATTTGTTTGCTCGTTTTCGCATGTTTCTCGCGGTTGTTTCGCACGCCTTACCTTTACTTACCTCCTCCACTCCCCATATCTTGCATTTTGTACCCTTTATTTGCTTTGCTTTTTGTACGTTCGTCTTGAGGTCCGGCTGTGGCGTTTGATCATTCTTCTTTCCATATCTCTGCTTTCATGTCTTGTGTTATTACCATACACTTTTTACCACATATATAGAGAAAATCATGATGAAACAAAAGTCACATAAGCACACATCGGACTGCCCGTTCCTAGTCCGCCTGGACTTTGAACCAGAACGTTCGGCAGTCATGTGCAAACCTGCCGAAAGAGGAGAACCTGTCATCGGGTTGCTGTCGGACGGCAGACGGAAGTATCGGCACAGTGGTGCTTTCTTTTTTTCTCCTTTTTATTCATGTATTACGAACGCGTCACCTCACTTTCTTGCATCCTCCTTACCTCTATTTTTGTTTACTTGGCACATCCGTGAATAGTTTGCCGCCTTGCTATGCTTGCTATCCTGGTTCGTCCGATGGTCGTGTCGCTTGATTTCCTGTTTTCACGAAACCATTTACAACTTACTTTTCGGGCCCCCTCCTTATATTTTGATCACATTGCAAAGTCAGTAAATTTGTGACCCGGCCACTCGCCTTGGATCGTCGCCATTTTGACTGGTTTGTATATGAGACACGCTGTTCATATGCGTTCTGAGTGGAACTGTCGCTGACTGGGCAATATTCTGCTGTAGGCGAGGCTGTCGATTCCACGAACGTATGAACACAGACCACCTCATTTTATCATTACGCCATTTCTAGAAAGCTGACGGGGTGTATGTCGACGTTCGTCATCTTTATACTATAACGTTGCACCTCTATGCCACCATACATACTGCTATCATAATTTATCGGTTGCTGGAGATGCCGTCGCACCATGGCCTCTCACCTGTCGTCAAGTCGTGATAGATTGGGGGCCACGCTCGCGTGTGAGCGCCAAGCCCGGTCAAAAAACTCGGCTAGGTGGTGTTTCTATTCCTATACGTCTCTATGTATAATGCAAGCGGGATGACGCCGCCTCGCTGTTGCGGCTCCTCTATTCTCAATTTGATTTTCATTTTCAGTCTTATGAGGGTTGGGGTAGAGAGGGACTATATACAATGGAATAGACACCTTGGCGATGATGTAAGGAGGGCGTCTCCCTGCATTTTCATCTGTTAGTATTAAACGTGATATTAAGTAAACCAGAGAAACAAATAAACAGAGAGCCGACTTGGGATGAGCTATTGAAGAAAGAGTGAATGAATACTGCGCGGAAAGAGGTATGCTACCAGGAACAGGAGAATTGTATGCCATTGTTGCGTAGCATCACACACACTGAGACGACCGCAACGTGGGATGGGAGCTGTGTGTGCTTGTTTGTTTCCGTTTGGTTTTTATGGTCCGTCTATTCTTATCTTGGCAAGTCTAGGTTTCTTTCCTCCTATCATTGTCTTCAACTGTCCTCCCTTTTTGGCATAATTGGCACATGTCTCGCTTACTGTGGCCGTCCGTCGCTTGCCTCTGTTGCCAAGAAGGGGAGGTTATGGCGTGTTTTTTCTCCGTTCATATTGCTTTCTAGATGTGTAATATCTGGTGTCTAGCAATCAATTGCCTCGCAGCTGCATCGCCAATTCTCGTGTTGTGCTTGTTTGAATCGTCGTCATCATGGCACATTTTTGTGCCGGATTTCCGTCTCATACTACACTTTGATTCAGATTGCTCTCCATTGCCTTTTGTTTTGTTTTAAATTTTGTAAGTTTCTTGGCCCTGCACATTGACGTTAGGTCGAAACTTCGTTTTGTACCGTCAATATTATCTTTGGCAACGTCTTTCTTGGCATGTTTAAGCTTTTGTTGGTCTTCATTCTATGTTAAGAGTTTCTTCAGTCACGTCTTTCATCTCTGTTTTCAAGCTTCTGAAGATGGAGAAGCTTAAATGAGCTCAAGACAGGGGCAACAAAAGAAGCACCAAAAACTGGCCAACGCAAACAAAACCGCATTGTCAAGAGACGGAACCCCGAGCGATCATTATGGGCGTTGCAACAGAGCTGCTGGTAATGTACGAGTTTGAGCAAATAGTCGTATGAATGCCGTATGGCTGATGCGGAGGTAGGCCACGTAAGAAGCACCTCTGTAGCATTTAGCCAGACTTCACCCAGCGTTCCACCGTTTGTCCAACCGCGTCACCGGACCCAACCCTATGACAGCACCCCGTCTTTGCTGTTTTCAGATATTCGGCGCCGAAATGGCGTAATAGCAGGGGCCACAAATCAAGTTCGCCGGGACGGTAATATCGAGCAAGCAAGCGCGAGAGCCTCCACTGTATGCGGTGCATTACACACCTGACCCAACGTCCACGAGCATTCTGCCGCATCGACAAAGACTGGTAGAGAGAAGACGGCTGCGACTACACTTTGCACGATAGTAGGCGTGCGTGGCCTCGACGAGTCCTTGATATAGCAGCATTGGGAATGAGAGCACGCGAATGGTAGAGCGAAGACGGTATCGGTGTGGATTTGGCAGTAACAAGCTGGGCAGGGCTGCACGCAACGTGCATTATACCGTCGAAAAGGCGGTAATATATGCAAACCGAATGTGGGTGTTATGATGCGATGTTGTCGCCCCTTTTTGGTCGGACGGAAACGCCAAGTCTATTTTCTCCGCCTCTGGGAAGGTGCGCACAACACAGACCTGCGATTCCTATTTCGGCCAATTCAACAACACAACCCGCCATTAAGCCTCCGAGGAAGGAGCAGCGCATCACGACACATCTTTCCTCAAGCGTCCATCGACACGTGATGCGGGTGAAAACATATTCGTAGCCTTCCCTCCTTTTGCTTCTCGTAGCTGTTCTCTTCTTTTACACCCAATTTCATCGACGCGAATGCACGCCGTACGCCGCCCACGCCGCCGACTGACCTTCCCATAGTCGGTCTGTCGTCATCGTTCTCAGTGCCCCTGGTATCGGGGATGCCTCATATTGTGTCCTGCCGTCCTGCTTTATTCCGCTGTCGACTTAAATAGCAGCGGCAACGGCTAATCTATCCACCACAAACCACCTACGGAGGACGGAGAAATAAGACATATGGCTCTGTGCGCGCGGCGGGCGGGGGGGGGGGGCGGGGGGGGTGGATGGCTTCGTGCAGACCACCTTCGTCGACCTTACACCATCCCAATCCCAACCGCGTAAGTGGTTATATTGAGAAAGCAGCAAAGCAACGACGCGACTCTCCGCACCGAGAGATGTTCATGCGGACGTGTGATGCACTGAGTCCGTTTATTGCACTTTGGACAACGCCGCAGCATAGACAGATTGTCCACGACGCCCTATGCATTTGTTGCTTGCTGTGGAGTAGAGATTAGGAGAAAGAGGCCCACACTTATTTTGGATCTACGGCGGCATACATTACGTGCGGGTTGCCGTCACCGAACCCTGCCCATCCTCTTTATGATTTCGTGGTGAATGAGAATGGAGGGATGACGAAGACAAGCGCCATATGAAGACGTCTTATTGCCTTTGCTTTTCGCTAACAGACCTTCACCCAGGTTCATCATCCTCCGTCTTGTCGATAGATTGCCAATTAAAAGCGGTGATCGCTGCGTCTCGCTATTCCGTGCACATCGCAAGCTCATCAACAATGGCTGACGTCGCCCACTGTATAACCGACATGGGTCCGTGGCGGTGATCCCTTGAAGAGCACGGGCGGCGGCAAGACAAGCAAACGAACAGAGGCGTCTATGCCTCCAGAAAGAACGAGAATGCAAGGAGAAAGGGTGCACAGAAAACAGGTCGAGTCGGTCTACCTTCGGCGAGTATAAAGGCCTCGTTCATCCTCATCCTTTGGCCAGTCCAGAACTTGAAAGAAGCCACTCTTCTTCAGAGACACACTCATCTCCATTATCTAGTCGACTCTTCCCCTCATCTTGCATTGTACTCCTTTATATCTTGAAGACCAAACATCAACATGCTGTCCAAGACCTTCCTTACTGCGCTCCTTCTGGCGCCCGGTGTTCTCAGTGCCGTCCTGCCCAACGTCAATGTAAGTAACGTACAATATACTCTCCCTGAGGGTTGACGACCCCGGATAGCAGAGCGAATAGTTAACGACAATATAGGCTGGTGCCGACCTTGCTACCCGCTACGCTTCAGCCCCGACCGTTGATGCTACGGACGCAGATGAGTTCCGTAAGCACCACGGCAAGAAGCATCACCATAAGGGTCATAAGGGCTTTGCTCCCCGTGATACAGAGGAGGTCGATGCTCAGGACGAGGACCTCCGCAAGAAGCACCACGGAAAAAGCAGCACCACAAGGGCCGCAAGCATCACGAGCATGGTCCTCGTGATGTCGAGGATGCCGACGAAGCGGAGGACGCAGAGTTCCTGAAGAAGCACCATGGCAAGAAGCACCACCACAAGGGTCATAAGGGATTTGCTCCCCGTGACGTTGACGAGACTGAGGCGACCGATGAGACCGATGCTACTGATGCTGATGCCAAGCACCGGCACCACAAGCATCATAAGGGCCACAGGGAGCACGAGCACGGTCCCCGCGACGTTGAGGAGACCGAAGAGACCGATGCTACAGATGTTGATGCCAAGCACCGGCACCACAAGCATCACAAGGGCCACAAGGAGCACGAGCACGGTCCCCGCGACGTTGAGGAGACCGACGAGACCGATGTGGCCGACGTCGATGCTAAGCACCGGCACCACAAGCATCACAAGGGCCACAGGGAGCACGAGCACGGTCCCCGTGACGTTGAGGAGACCGATGAGGCCGATGAGGATTTGCGCAAGAAGCACCACGGCAAGAAGCACCACCACAAAGGCAACAAGCACTTCTAAACTTGTTGTAGCAGATGCTCAAAATTAAGGTTGGGATGCTAAAACTTACAGATGAGACAATGGGGCGGGCTTTGGTGTTATTTGTTTGACCACTGTGGTTTGGCCGCCCCTTTCCCTGTTCTTCTGATTTCCATCGTTTTATTTACATGGGTAAAACAAACCGACATTCTTCGTCGTGTATCTACTTTTACCATTCATCATTTCTGGGTGCCACTTCACTTCGACACTGTCCATATTCCAACATGCAATTATTTGATTTATCTCCAATATTGTGCACTCGTTTTTCAAAAGGAGACGACTGTTCATTTGAACAAAGTTGCTAAATGAAGATTTCACAGCCACAAAGAACACGAATCCGTTGTGGCGTGTGCTTGCTATATCACAATAGTTGAGTCAATTTTCGGTCATCATTGAAAAGGTTTGCCGGAGTTCGTTTATTCAGCCGGAAAATACGTACGTTTTTGCGTGAAGAAGTATGCATTTGTCATTCGCCGCGTAATGCAAAATAAATATGCTTTCCTCAAGTCCTGCAGTTCACTCTCACCTTCCAACCCGAACGTCTCCAATTTTTACCGTTCCCAGGTATCAAGTGGTATCATTTCATTACCCAACAATATAAAGAAGCCAACACGAAGCCAAAAGAAAAGAAAAAAAACAAAGATGATAAGTGGTCAAAGGTATGACAACCAATGTATCGCGCAAGCTATGCTCCGTGCCTTTATATATACATATAAAGGATGACAAGTAAAGAACCCAGCCGTATTTGTAATGCAACTCCAAAATGAAACGCATGTTTGAAACAAAAACACCAAAAAAAATGAGACCAAAGACGCATATCAAGATGCTAGGCGGAGGGAAAATAATCAATTGCAAAACGATTTCGTGTATTCATGACATAAAAAGAGGCGGTGTCGGCGTTGTCGGCGTGGTCGGCGTGGTCGGCGGCTGGCCTACATCACCGAGCACTCGCGTTCGGGCAGGCCCTTGGTCTTGGCCTTTTCTTTGTCCTTGCCCTTGTCCTTTTTGCCGCTGCCGCTGTTGCCGTTGCTGTTGCCATCCGCTGCGGTGGCGTTGTCGACGAGGTCGGGGGCGCTACCGTCTGCCGGAGCTTGACTTTCCTTGTCCTTGCGGCGGAAATGGGAATGGTGATGATGGTGGTGGTGGAGGTGGTGATGGTGGCGACCCGCGTCGTCTTGGCCATCCGGCAAGCCACTGTCGGCCGACGGTACCGTCTCAAGGGGCTGGCCAGCGATTGTGTTTGGTGAAACGGCTGTCGCAGACGCGGCCGGGGCAGTGTGCACAGTGGTGAGAGTGGTATTGGAGCCGAGCGCGTTCGGAGTAAGAGGAATAGTAGCTGTTGAGGCATCAATGCCGTCCTCGGATAGACGGAGGGGCTCCTTGCTGCTCCGGACAAGACCGCCGAGGCGTGACATTGTGAGACTCATACGACCCTCGCCAGCCTGGCTGGGAGGCCGACTGCGGTTTGTCTTGCCCGTCAAGCGGGCGGCGGCTCGGGAGAGCCGCTGTGCCGTGGACGGTTCGTCGGACGGGTTGATAACCGGCGAGCGGCCGCCTTCCGGTGTAATGACGGGCGTCCCGCCAAGGGAACTCGTAAAGCCGAGACTACCGCGGCGCGAGGCACTTTCGGCTGCTCTTCTCTGGGAGTTGGCAATCAACGAAGAGGACCCGACAGACTCATCGTCAAGACTGAACCGTGGAGGGCGGTCCATCTCGGAGGAGAAGCGGATACTGGGACCAGTAGTCGTGGAACCGCCCAACGTAGCCGAGTCAAAATAGCTGCTACCATTTGCGTCCAGGCGATCGGCCACGAGCGGTGTGACTGCCGCATTCGTGGTTGAGGCGTCGTACGAGGGCGGCTCGTTTGTCTCGTTGATGGTCGTTGTCGACGAGTTCACGTCCATTATGGGAACAATTTGGTAAAAGAGAAGATACGGCATCTCCTCTTTCAACGCGGCCTTGATGTCGTCGACAGCTGACACGCGGCGTTCGACGTCAAGGTCGTCAAACTTGACCCATTGCTGCTCTTCGTAATCTGGAGGCGGATCAAAGTCGTGGCAGCGGTTGTCGGTGAGGAGCTTGGGGTTGACGCGAGCAAACGAAATGTAGTGGCCGCTATGCAGAGATACACCCCGGTGGCAAACAACGGACTGCAGAACAAGCTTGTAGCCATTGCTCAGCGCATTTCCATCCGGTTGCTGGCCATCCTCGCCCATCATAAAGTAGGGTAGACGGAGGCTATCGGGGATGTCGATGTACGTATTGTGCCGCAGAAACTGGCCGTGTTCGTTCATCAAGTAGCGCTTGAGGCAGATGCCCACAACGGGCCGCTTATTGAACTGGCGCATAACCTCGACGTCGCTTTGGGGCTCGCTGTTTGATGTCGAGTGCCAAGCTGCGGTGTTGTTAGTTCTCAGAGTCGGGGGATATAAGGGGGTTCTACAAAGGAACATACGGATCAGGCGAAAGAACTGCCAAGCAGGAATAGTAACAGCTTTCATAATGGTAGATCCTTGCTTCTTAAACTGCTGAAGCAAGGTTGAAGCTTCCTGCGGCTCCGACGGCTTGCCGTCTTCGATAACAATACGCTGAATGATGCTTGCTGACCGCTGTCGAGGACCTGAAAGAGCAGATGGGCGGCGTCCGGCGGCAGATGATGATTCGGCAGGGGTTTCGGAAGTATCTGTATGTGGTTCCGCCATGGTCCACCGGCGGACCACGGGCGCAGGATCTCGGTCAAACGCTTCGTTCGTCGGGTCTCCCTTGGGGGACATGGCAATCGGGGAGGCAGTGACAGCACCCGAAGGAGCGAGCGCCAGCCCGCTGGTTTCAAGTTTCGCAGCAGCGGCAGTAGCATTTTCCGTAGTTTCTGCGGTCGTCGTGGCCGTGATGACATCGGTGGTCGTCGTATCGGCTGTCGAAAAGGACCCGTGAGTGCTCTTCGAGCCCTCGGAGCCGGGATTTCCGTTGGCGGTGCCGGCTTCGTCGTTTGCCTCGACGACCCCAACAGCCTCGACGGTCTCGACGGTTCCAACAGGCCCGTTGGCCTTTGCCGGGGCATCGGCGGAGGTATCGGCGGGGGATTCTTGAGGCACAAGGAGGATGGTCTCGCTGGGTCCCAGGGCGGCCTTTTCGGCTCCTTTCTTGTCCTCTGCTCTGTCGCGGAGCACGTCGACTCTCGTGTTGAAGTAGTCCTCGAGGCAGTCCTCCAGCTGGACGCCCTTGTTTTCAGGATCGGGCGGCACGGCCAAATTAAGGAGACGCTCGTAGACAACTTTGTGGTCGTCGGCGTCGCGCTCGCCCTGGTGGAACAGGTCGACCTGCAGCGTCAAGAGGGGCAGCTGCAGCGTCTCTGTGATGAATGCAAACGCCTCCGACGTGTCTTGTTGCTCGAGGATGCTGGCGTCTTGCCAGCCACAGCTGGCTAGGGCGTTTTGAATCGTTTCAGTCTGCAGTCGTTAGCCGTACGTCCATCGATATTCTGTAGATATGCTATTTTCGTAGTCCCCTCTTATCTACGCACCATATCTGTCCGGATAAGTTTCCCCGTGCGCAGCATGTTGACCCAGAGGCGGAGGAGGGCGGCCAAGTTCCGCTGGTTTTCGTTAAGCTCTTCGTTTTTCAGCATGCAGTCAAAGGCCTCGAGCTTGGCATACATGGCGAACAGCAGCGCATCGAGGTAGCAGGTGACAAATTCGCGGTTCTCGGCGCCGACCATCTCGACATTGGGATTGTAGGGCACCAGGGTGCCAGAAAAGGCCTGCTGCTGGAGCTGGATGAGCTCGATGGCCTTGTCGACATCGCCTTCGGAGTATTTCGAGAGCAGCGCAAAGCGGATGTGGTCTTTGTTGATGTTGTGGAAGCGCAGTTCGTCGCAACGGCTGGCAATGATTTCGACCTGGACAGTAGCGAGAGAGGTCATGTTAGTAACGAGCGCCGGGGTTTCAGACAAGGCGAGAGCATCACAAGCGAACGCACATTTGCATCCAGTCGCTCTTTTTCCTGCTCTTCTTTCGCGGCCTGTTTCGCAGCGTCGCTCTTGAAATAGGAGAACAGGACGTCTGTGGACAGCGGCCGGTTCTAATCACGAAGAAGGGTGTCAGTTCTATGCTTTGCCGCTCAACAGATGACGATCAGCCTCTTCACGATGTCGGGATTTGGCGCATGTCCTACTTTGTGGTTGCCTGGTTCCGAAGACTTGCTGCGGCGGTGTGTGCCGTTCTTGTCGCGAAGACTCTTGAACTTCTTAAGGGAAGAGGACTTCATGACGGCGGTGAAGGCAAGGAGTGGGACGAAGGGCTCGAGGAGTTCAATCAGAGCTTTGATTTGCCGTGGATGACAACGAACGCCGGGACGTGGAAAGGCCCCGAAATCTCGTTGGGGAAGCCGTCGTGGATGCGTGGAAGAGGCGACGATCGGAGGGGTAGTGAAGTCGCAACACGTCGTATGCGATATTCTAGATAATGCGATGACGCAGCAAATGCAAATTGCAAAAAAAGAAAAAGAAAAACGAGACAAATAAACAAGAAAACAAAAGGCTGAAGTAATAAGGCAAAAGGATATCTAGGAATCGGATGCAGCGCGTTGAAGGCGTATTATGGGGGTGGAAAGGAAAAGTAGAGGCGACAAGGCAGCGGCCATTCGAGCAGCCCACCGAAGCTAAGAATAGAGACAAGCGGGCTGAATCGAGGACGCGGGAGGCAAACTGGATAAAGCTTGCGGTCGCGTCGTAGAGGGCGTGGCCCGTGTTTGAAGATGAGAGATGATACAGACAAGAAAAAATGAAAAATAAAAACAGGGGGGAGGAAGAAAGACGTGGAAGGTGAGGTGTGAAAGGCAGGTGACTGCGAACGGATGGGGGAGGAAGGAGCTCGATGGTGGAAGCTCCTGTATTTCTTCTTTCGTGCAGTGGCTGTCCCTTGTTCGGTCTTTCCTAGTTGCTCCAAGGCGTTCTTGCTGTCGCGCGGGCCTGAGATAGCGACGGCGGGGCGGATTTTGGCGGGCGGTGAATCCTTTAGGGAAAGAGCGAGGGGCGCAAGTGGCAAGGACAGCAGGAGGGACCTGGGACTTTCTGAGCTTCGAGGCTGTGGGCCTGGAACCTGGCTGGCAAACGCTCTGGTGCGACGGCGTATTAGTTACCGTCCTACGAAAAACGACGTCAGCCTTTCGTGAGCTAGGATGGTCATGAAATGCCCCTGCTGTGGCAGCTCAGTGACGAGATATGACGCCAAGACGAGAGGGATTGAAGGCGTACCGTTTCTCAGCAAGGCAGGCGCATTCTGGGAAGGCTCGACGAAGCTACAGCACGAAAAGGCAACAGCGAAACAAACCCTCGTGCTTGGAATTTTTTCTTTTTTTTTTTTTTTTTTTTTTTTTTTTTGGCGCGCCTTGGTCGTATGTCACCTTTTATTTCTGCTTCTAGAAGGCCACAGACGAAGGCCAAAAAAAGTCTGCTGCAACGGCGAGGCCGACAAGGACAGATTGGGCGGGTGTGAATCATCGCGGGCAGTAACGAAGGGCGAACGGCGGCTCAGGCACCCCGAACGGGCAGTACCCTCTGTCCAGCGCTGTGGAGGGACTGCTGCGTGTCGAACGACGTAATTGGACCTTCCATCTTACACATCCTTCCGACGGTGGCAGGTGCAAAAGGGAAACTAACAGGAACAGATGCGTTGGCGCAGCCTTGGCGATGTCAAGGGCACACAGCTGGACAAAAGGACAAATGGACAAATGGTAGGGCCACATGAGATCAGGATGGGTGGGAACAAAAAATACATGACGAAGAAACACGCGTTTTACATCCACCGGCGGACTCTTCCCAACCAATCCTGCGTATTGTTTCCTTGTTGCTTTTGGTATTTTCCCCAGCAGCCTTCGCCTGCAAGGCGGCGCCATTTGATAACCATCCTGCTTCTGCGGGCCATCGCACAAACCCTGGATGCATAATATCCCATCCCTTCACAACTGGAGGCAAAGACATATGGCGTACGACATACGGTGCAGGCAAAGTGCATTCTCGATATCGTCTCCACCATTTGATTTATGCCGTTCACAGACACCTTCTCGATTTGGCAACTGTCACTTGCGCGCTGTACGTCAGCCTTCTAAAACAGGAAATGACAATGCATAGAGATGGCTGTCCGGTATCGCTGCCAATACGGAAGGTGCCGTGCAGGCCCGTCCTTATCTCAAGTCGCAGCTGTTGAGTAGTGAGAAAACACCATCTGTCGCTGCGCAGTAGGGCAATGGTTTCATTGTGCCTTCTTTTTCTGAAGAAAGCCCTTTTTTAAAGTTCGTCATACAAGGATGTGGCCGCAATGAAAAGTTGGAGACTGACGTCGTACGTTGTACAGACAGTACTGCGTTGCTCGTCTTCACCTACTCTTCATCTCCAACCAGTTCATCGTTGAATCCCATTCTCGCTTATAGTACTTGTTGTCCAAAAATGTATTCAAACTCGCTAAACTAAAGACATGTTCCTGTTCTTCGGACCTCTCGTACAGCATCTGCTTTCGTCATTCATGCTTTTATGTATGCTTCCGTTTCGTGTCTCTTTTTGCGTCCTTCCATCAACACGCCCTCCTCAGTGACCAACACCGCCGGCTAGCCAATCAAATTGGCCAGGGTCGCCAGGCGCAGGGAACATGCCGCCTGCGAAGCCGTTTGGCTGTTGTTGCTGTTGCTGCTGCGGTTGCTGTTGCTGCAATGGCTGTTGCCGTTGTTGCTGCCGCTGTTGCTGCCGCCGGTTGCGCTCGTCCTCCTCTTGCTGCTCGCGCGCCCGCTGCGCCGCCTGCTGCCGCTGCTGGCGGTAGTACAGCAAGAACAGAATGGCCATAATCAGTCCCACAATGACAAACGGCTCGAGGAAGCTGAGCTCGTCCAGCTCGTCAAAGCCGTCGTCCAGCCCGTCGCCGTCCACGGTCATGTACCCGTCGTCGTCGTACAGGTCGTCGTACAGGTCCTCGTCGCCGTCCGCATACCGCCCGCTGTTCACAAACGTGTCCACCCACTGCCGGAACGACCACGACCGCGCCGGCGCCGGCTCGTCCTGGATCGAGTTGATCGACCCGTGCGTCAGCGTGTTCCACGCGCTCCGGATCCGCAGCTTGAGCAGGCTCAGCGTCACGGGCAGGTACGCCTCCTCGTTGGTGGCGAGCGCAATGTCGTAGTACCGCTTGGCCAGGTGGAAGTCCTGGTCGAGCCCGACGCCGTTCTCGTGCATCCACCCCAGGTTGTACAGCGCCTGCGCGCTCTGGTGGTACTCGGACGCCCCCGTGTAGCACTGCACCGCCTTGTCAATGTTCTTGTCCGTGCCAATGCCGTTGAGGTAGTAGTCGCCCATCTTGACGAGCGAGTCCACATTGCTCTGCCGCGACGACCGCGTAAAGTGGATCAGGCCCAGTGCCGGGTTGTCCAGCAGCCCTTGCTTGCCACTCAGCGACGACGTGGACGAAGACGAAGACGAAGACGACCACGACCACGGCCACGCCAGCCACGAGTGCAGCCGCAGGCTCGACTGCTGCGGGTCCAGCATGTAGCCGATGTTGTTCTGCGCCTTTTCGTAGCCCTGCTCGGCCGCGACCAGGTACTCCAGGAGCGCCAGCTCGTAGTCGCCCGACTCGTACGCCTGGTTCGCCTCGGTCCACGACGACACCAGGGGGTCTGCCTTTTCTGCCACGCCCTTGTAGTACGTCAGCGCGGGCGCGCACGCCTTGTCGCGGCCCACGCCGTGGTGGATCATCTCGGCCAGGTAGTAGTAGGCCTCAATGTTGGCATAGCGCGCCGCCAGCTCAAAGTAGTCGTTGGCCACGCGCAGGTCGTCGGGCTGGCCCTGGTCCAGGTGCAGCACGCCCATCTCCACCTGGGCCGGCGCGTAGTCCTGCTCGGCCGCCGCGCGGAACAGCTCCGTCGCCTTGGCAATGTTCTTGGGGTTGCCGCCGTAGCCGTGCAGCAGCATGAGGCCCATGTAGTACTGCGACTGCGCGTCGCCCTGGGCAATGCCCAGCTCGAACCAGCTGCGCGCGCGCTCGTAGTTGGGCTCGTCGAGCCCGTCGCCGCGCATGTTGATGCGGCCCAGGTACCCCGCGGCCTTGCCGGCCGTCTTGTCAAGGCCGACCTTGGGGCTCTCCACGGTGCGGCCGTCCTTTTTCCAGAACTTGCTCGCCACCATCAGGAAATACTTGCGCGCCATGGTCATGTCGCGGTCGAGCCCGCGCTGGCCCTCGTAGTAGATGCGGCCCACATTGAGCGCCGCCTTGAAGTCGCCCTTTTGCGCCATGAGGTCGAGGTACTCGATGATGTCCTCAATCGACGTATAGGCGCCCGAGTGCGGCTGTGCGCGCAGCGCGTTGATGCCAGAACTGACAGCGCTCGCGCCCTCGCCGTAGACGCCGCCCACCTCGTCGGCAATCCGGTACGGCTGCTGCACCCAGCCCATGCCGCCCGGCGGGCCCGAGCGGTACCAGGCAATGGCCTTGTCGGCGACACGCTTGTAGTACTTGACGGCCTCGTCGCAGCTACGGGGCGTGCCGACGCCGACGTGATGGCGCGAGGCGACCGTCATCTCGGCGCGGGTGTGGCCGCGCAGGGCGGCAAATGTGTAGTAGAGCAGGGCGCGGGCCTGGTCGGGCTCGACGGCGCCGCCGATGCCAGTGGAGTACATGAGGCCGACCATGTACATGGCGGAGCTGTTGCCGTGGCTGTCGGCGAGGTGGAGGTAGTAGTCGAAGGCGGCGGGGAAGTTGCGCGGGTGTGTGTAGTTGCCAAAGTAGTTCATCTGGGCGAGAAGGTAGAGGGCGTCGGGGTTGTTGTAGCGCGCCGACGACTCCTCGAGCAGGCCGACGGCCTCGCCCAGCGGTGCAGGGAGTGCCTTGCTAGCGGACGCCGACTGCTGGTGCTGTGACGACGACTGCTGGGACTGTTGTGGCGGTGGCCCCCGCATCGAGAAGCTCGGGGCGGCTTTCAAGACGAAACGCAGTGCAGCCGCGAACATGCCTGTCTGTCGTCGCTGTTTGTGGTATGGTTGGCTGGGGATGGAGGAGAGTTTCGCAAGCGCGGCGTCGACGAGGTCGGCTCCGGGTAACCGTTCCCGGGCATTCTGACTCGAGTAGATCACATCGTCGGTGGTCACAGGATCGGCACAGTTGACTGCAACGCCCTGCAGCAGCACTGGAGGTTGGGTTTGTCAGTATGGGCGTGGGAGAGGGGATAAGGAGTTGGGAGAGGGGATATGCAATGGCAGACGTGGCACGTACGGAGCGTCCAGAGGAGGGACTGCCGCATGCTGAGAGGCTAGCAAGCCAGCAGGGTGACGAGTAAGGGTTGTTTCAGCGGGGAAAAGGCAGATGCAGTTCTTGGGGCATGAAACGGCACAATAAAGAAACAAGAGAAACGAGTCGTCAAATCATTGCTTCCGTCGACGAGGAGGACAACGAAGACGTGCGCGGACGGTGCGCCACGGAGTCGTGTGGCATAAGAGAATACGGGCAGAGGAGACCAAGCGATACTAATAGTAAGTATGAAATGCTTGGGTGCAGTGTTGAACAAGACTTGGTTCGGGGTAGCTGGTAAGTTTGTTGGTGAGATTGTGGTAGTTGCGAGATTTGCGAGATTTGCAGTGTTGTGAGATTTGTGAGATTTGTCGTCGTGGCCGTTGGGTCGTGCGATCACCAAGCAGGAGCCAGGGACGTACAGGAGAGCAGGTGCGATGGGCGGCGGACGGACTGCAACAAGGCAGGAAGGCGCAACGCAACTGGTGCAAGCTGGCAAGATGGAAGCCGCGCTAGTTCATTCAAGCTCCAGTGGCTCCTTCTCGGCCGTACCTCTCCTTGTTCTGCGTTGCCCCTGCCGGCTGGCGTTAATACCGTCCGACCGGTAATATTGGGGAGCCAGTAGCGTTGCAGACAGGGGAAGACGACCCGCTTTTATTTGACAGCGACCAGTCGGCTTAGTCATTTTGACGAACGGTTGTCTATGAGAAGCTTTTCACGATAGGCCGACCGAAGGAGTTTTGACACGATATTCATGACACTTGGGGGTACATTCACATATTTAACGGCCGGATGAGCACTCTTTTTTCTATTTCTATTTATTAATTGTTGTCTCACATCGTCTTTTGACCGTGTTCCTCTCCGCGCCGTCTACACCCATCACAATGTATCTTCTTGCTGTTGCCGACGAGTACCAGTTTCCGGGATCGACGCCGCCGTACGTGCTCGATCTGATCCCGCTGGCGTCCGGGTTGGCGTCGATCTCGACCGACGGACAGCTCTCTCTCTTTGATCCTGCGCGGATCGGCGCCGGGCCCAAGCGGTCGTTCGCCACGTCCCACGGCAACCTCACAACGGCAAGGGCCTTTGACACGGCAGGATGTGTGTTGGCGACGGCGGGCGGGAACGGCACAGTGGCGCTGTGGGATCTGCGGGACGCTGCGCAAGGACCACAAGCGAGCGTCAAAGTCGGTGAGTCGTTGGCGAGTCGAACGCACTGCAGGCGCAAGACTCGAGACGAGCTAACCAATAGGCTCTGCCGATGCAAACATCATGTCGCTGGCGTGCGACTTGTCGACACAGTCCGTGGCCGTGGGAACCGAATTGGTCGACTACCAAGCGTCGATTGTCTTGTGGTGAGCCGCAGTTCGTATGGCATTTTGACAATGTTTTTCCCCCTTGCTCCTTGCTCACACTCGACACGCAACAACCAGGGACATCCGTGCTGGGCCGACACCCAAAGTACGGTACAACGATGTGCACAGCGACGACGTCACAGAGCTCAACTTCCACCCGACCAACGGACACATTCTGCTGTCGGGCTCGACGGACGGACTTGTGAATGTCTGCGACACGCGCATTGCCGACGAGGATGAGGTGGTGATCCAGGCCTTCAACCACGGCGCGTCTATCCACCACGCGGGCTTTTTGAACGACACCGAGGTGTATGCGCTGTCGCACGACGAGAAGCTGGCGCTGTACGACCTGGCCGAGGCACGCGAAGCAGGCTCTGCGACGCGCGATTTTGGCGATGTGCGGCAGACCCTGGCCTGCCAGTATGTGGCCAACGTGCTGCCCAAGTCTGGGGGCCAGGCAGGCGCCGTCATCGGTGCAGGATCGCAGGAGTACGTCCAACCCCCCTCTCCCTCCCTCTCCCCTTCGTTCTTCGTCACCTGTCACGCCGCCCCTAACATGTCAGCTTGGAAATGTTCCAGTTGGTGCACCTCACAAAAGGCGACAACTGGGCCTTTGCGCTCGACTCCGTTGTCGGTCTACCGGGCGCGCACGGCGCCGAGATTGTGCGTGGTTTCTGCGTGTTTGACGAGCAGCAGGCAGTCTACACGGGCGGCGAAGACGGCAAAGTGCGCGCGTGGCGACCGTCTGCGTAATGACGACGGACAAAAGAAGAGAGAGCAAAAGGCCAATAAAAATAAAAAGGGTATCGTCTTGCTTCGGCTGTCGAGCTGTCTGTTTTCTTGCATATATATCCCGTCCAAGCCAATGGAATCCGTAAACACCGTAAGCCATGCACATCCCGCTATGCTCCTCACGCGTATGTGTCGCTCTTGCCCTTGACTTTGAGGTCCAGCAGCCGCTCGTGATAGTCGCCGTCGCGCCGTGCGCGCTTCAGCAGCTTGACCTCGTCGTCTTCCAGCCGGCGGCCCACGGCCGTCTCGAGTTCCCGCCGGCTGATCTTTTCGCGTGCCTTTTCCTCCTTTGACGCCTTGATGCGCGGCTTGAAGCGGGCCTGCATGCGGATACGCACGCCTGTGTAGACGCCGGGCTCGGCCGCGTCGCCGCGCACGTCCGGCACGGCGTCGGCTTTGGGGGCTTTCGCGGCACCCGCTGTGCCCTTGTGCGGCTGCACCGACAAAAAGGTGTTGCGGAGCGTCTTGATTTGGAAGACGTCGGGCTCTTGTGCTGCCTCGGTATCTTTGTTTTGGGTCGCCGACGCTGCTGCTGCATCGACCAGCACAAACGACTCGAGCGGCGACACCGCAATCGATGTCGCCGAAAACAGCCCGTACTTGTCGCACCCCAGGTACTTGCCGTGGTGGCCCTTGAACAGGAAATGCTCGGTGCCCACCACGCGGCTCGCCACCCAGACCTGTCTCACGTCGTGCGGCTCGGCGCTCGCCGGGTTGCCGTCCACAATGTTCTCAATCGCCATGGCAAACACCTTGCCGTTGGCGTCGCACGCGAGCGCCGCCGGCTTGGTGTCGCCCGTGCCTGGCAGCACAATCAGCACCGGCCCCGAGACGTCTCCTAGGGCTTCGGCCGAGACCCATGTGTCGTCGTCGGCCACAGTCTCGTCGCCGCCGGCCACTTGCACTGCTGTCCGCTTGCGTGCCGCGTCGTCGGGCTCGCGGTCGCGGTCGCGGTCGCGGTCGCGGTGCTTGCGCTTCTTGACCTTTTTGTCGCCCTTGAATGTGAGTGGCTTCACCATGGTGACGGCATATGATGGGGTGAAGTGTGATAAGGTGTGGTGAGGATTGGGTTGAATCTGTGTTTGTTTAAAGTGGAAAAGGCAGCAACGGTCTGCCTCCTGCGGAAGGCGCTAGCCAATCAAAGCTGTATAAACTAACTTCACTGCAATGGGACCATGCGAAAACTCTCCAGCCTCGTTGGTATATAGTATGCCTTCATTCCCACTACTCTTAACATGCAATGCCACAGTTTCTTGAAGCTCTTAATTTAATAACACTTTTTTCCCACCAAATTTTGAGATATCTCTGCTGGTGCTGGGAAAGCCACCCTCGCTTGATTGATTACATAATACTCTGGCCCCCTGGCAGCTAGTGAGATTCGTGGGAAATCCTCACTAAATGCACTGTAGCGAATTGGACGGCTTCTCTCGCCTCACCTCTCTCAAACCATGGCAGTCTTATGAGCTGTTCCCACACTCCATTCACCCTCAACAGTTACCATGACCTTCTGGTCTACCTTATTACGGCCGGGCCCTGGCCGTGTGTCCTCCATAGGGGCCATCCGCCGGGCTTTTGGTCCTTCTTCTCGTTCCTCCTCATTGCACTCACAATCGTTCTCCGCATCGCCATCCACCTCCTGCTTCTCCTCTCCATTTCGCTCCCATACTCCCTCTTCTATTCTCCTCCGCTTCACAAGGACGACTCTCGCTAGAAAAAATGCGCTCCCAACACCGCGCTGTGCCTCGTCCACAGTAAAGCCGAGTGCAAGGCGATGTATGTACACTTTCGTGACCTTCCACTCGTGTCCCCCGAAAACGCGACTAATTCGTGTCCAGTCCCCGAGCGGCTTCTCATCTACCATGCCGGCACGGGCCGCACAACGTTCTTGGCCTGCCTCAAGGTCACCACCCTCTTCGGTCTGGCCTTTTTCACCTTCCTGGTCGCTCCCGCTTACATCGCCGCCGGCAAGCCGCTGTGGCAGATCCTCGGCGTCACCATCTGCGGCCTCGTTCCCTTTGCCGTTGTCTTGTACACCTCCTCGCCCTTTGTCGTCTTTATCCATCTGCGTCTCCCGGCGTACGCCCGCCACCCGGACCGCGAGCTGTTGCGCCGCTTTGTCCGCAATATCCCTGCCGCTACCCAGATCGACATCACCACCATGAACCTCGTGGGCCGTCCTCGTCTCGCCACTGTGGCTGTCAGCGATCTGGTGCCGGCGCACGAGCGGCTGCGGATCGTCAACTTTGTGGACACCCGGGCATCATCCGAAGCGGCGGCGGCGGGCATTGGCAGCCGTTCTCCCACGGCATCATCCCGGCCCCTTCCCTCCAACTCCGGCCAAGCAGCGACCGCCGCCGCACCTAAACGGCCGTCCAAGTTCATCTCCACCTCGTCCAAGTTCCCCTTTGTCCATCTAGCGCCGACCACACGCTTCGGGGCCCCAGCTGGCGGCAATAGTCGCGGCGTGCAGTACAGCTGGGCCTGGGACGATTTGCTGGCTCTCATTGAACGGCGCGCTCGTCAGCCGCAGAGCAAGGCTCCTTAGTCTGTACCAAAAATCGATCCAAATGGTTATAGTGTGACAAAGAGATTGATATCAAAAATAAACTGTGTTTTATGTAGAAAATTTCATTGATGACAATGGCGCGTCTTTGCTTTGACTCGCACAGCTTTTGCTTATATTTTCGCTGTAAGGCCCAGACAAAGAAAAAAAAAACATTCCCAACGAATCAAATGGCGTAATGGTAGCTCCAAAGAGGTATATAGGTATCCAAAAAGAAGTGAGAAGGAAACATCAAGACGGGATCCAAATACTAATACATGAAATATATATGCACCCAATGCAAGGTCCCCAAGAAGAAAAAAAACACTCCCCGAAGATAGCACACATTCTGCCATGGGAAACAATAGCTGTGTCCAAAGAACACCCAGAAAATAATATGCATTTTGTGTACATGTCCGTATCAAATGTTCCAAAAACGAGATGCAGTATACAGAATCATCGTAGACACAAGACGTTGTCGAGAAAAAAAAAGGCAAACCCAAGAAGAAACAGATGGGGATATGGGAACGAAACGAAGCAAAGAAACGACGCAAAGTAACGAGTCAATACGTAAAAGGAGTGACGGTGAAAAACGGAAGGGGGCTTGGGGAAGAAAGAGTATCGTTCTGTCGTTAACATTCTGGAGTGCATGAAGAATAAACATTCAGCGTACCAAAAAAATCGTAAAGAAGGGGTGGTCAGAAATAAACAATGGAAAGTATCGTTCGAAACAGGATAGTCACGTTAGGTTCTGATAAACGGGTTGGCTACCCGGGAGGTGCGGGACGTAGTAGTGAAACGGGACAAAAGGCAAGATGAGGAGGAACCTTGCGGACCAGACTGAATCGTTGCATCGAAAATCCTAAAACCGTATTAGCCCCGTCGTCTTTAGCCCGCCATATGGTGGGCGTGGCTGTTTAAGAGTCGTAGTCCCAGCTGCGTTTGAGGCCGCCCTCGTACACGCTGGCGACGGACTCCTGCCACATCGCTGGCGTAACAAATGTGTGTTGGGCGGGGATCGGCGCTGTCGGGTAGGCGGCGGAAACGGTATTGGGATTCATGGTGAGACCGGCCTGCGCCGCTTGGATGTCCTGGAGGGTGGGGACTTCGGCGGAACCTGAAGACGAAGGGGCACTTAGAGCACTGGTCTGCGAAGTAGCGGAATTGTTTTGGGTAGCTTGGGGCGTACCGAAAGTCGTGTTCCATTGGCTGTAGAGAAGTTATTTGTCAGTAGACGGACCTAGAAATAAAGTTGACAAAAAAAAAAAAAAAAAAAAAAAAAAACTTAACTCAAAGATCCTTGCTGGATTCCAGCCCGGCGCGCTCGCCAGGTTGAGGCTGTTATCCAGTCCGTGGGGTTCCTGGGATTCTGTGACAGCAGAAATCATTCCAAGCGAAGCACCCGCCAGAGGCGAGCCACCTAGAGACTTCATATCGGACGCGCCAACCGAAACAGGCGGCGAGATCGGATGTCCAACAAATCCAGTCGGCTGGTGACCTTGTGACAGAGCCGAGGCAAGCTGTTGTTGTTGCTGCTGTTGTTGCTGCTGCTGGTGCTGCTGGATGATCTGATCCACCGATTGTTGTCGCAGGGTGTCAGGCCGGAAACTCGCCGCTGTCGGGGTCGTCACATCACTGGCTCCGGTCGGTTGCTGAGGGGGGCTGGGATGACTCGAAGACGGCGACGGGCTGCCGTACGGGAACGTTGGCTTCAGCACAAACGGCTTCCGGACATCAGCCGAGAATGCTTCGCGCATCGCGTCAATCTGTCGCTGCATATCTGCCATGGGCCACGAGCTCATGCACTTCTCAAGAACCCGCATATGTCTCGTAAAGTACTCGCGGGCATCGGTATTGAAGTCAGGGTCAGGTGATGTGAGTGCGACCTGAATGGTTAGCTATTTGCCTTGTCTTAAGGCGGCAAATCTGGACAGGTATATCAAGGATTGCGGACGTAAACCTCGCACTGCAACACGAGAACAAAAGGAGAACTTACCAGATGGACCAAAATGCAGGTCAGAACCGAATAGATTGTGAAGTTGATACCACGTTGCATATTCTGGAGTCCGTTCAAGCCAAACGATTGTAGAATCGATTCTTCCAACCGGCAGAGAAGTTTGGCCGACGAGTAGCACACCATCATGTGCTGCTTCCACCTGCCGTCGGGTGATGACGGGGGGAGGGCCTGGAGCTGTGGCCGGTGTAACAAGAGGATACTGAGGTAGTAATATGAATGCATGTTGCCGATAAAGGATGACGGGATCCATGGTGGCGTCCCGTCGGCAGGGAATGTGATGGCCAGATCGGGCGGCAACTCGTTGGGCCAAGCATGAAGAAGAGGATTCATCCGCGTGAACTCGGGATCCGCTCCCCAATCCTTGTTTCGCTTGATGCGGGCGTAGATACGGTTCATGCGGGAGACGTTACAGATGATGCGCGTCATGTACACAAAGTTTCGCGACACTTGCATGTCCGTGTCATCAACGCCGGGCGTCGGGGGTGGCTCCCGCACGTCGACCGAATCCTCGGTTACCGACAAATCCGTACGGCCCTGAGGGGAGCCGATCATGACCTCACAGACAAAAATTGTTTGCCAAATGCGCGTCTTCATCAGGCATTCCGCAGGGCTGGAACCACACGACTGTCCGGCTTTGTGGTCGGCATAGTGTTCATCGAGTCCGAGATCCTTTGCCATTTGCACACATTGAACGATGGCCATCCATGACCGATAGTAGTACCCGCGCTTTGGGGCCGCTTCGCGTGCTTTCAGCATGACCAAAAGCGCCTGCAGCGTGCTAAGACGGGGCACGTCCATGAAGGAGTCCGCATGCCGTGTCGCAAGCGCAAGCCACTGCTGTCCTTGCGCCGGGTCGTCCGCCAGGCGGCCACCTATTGCCAACAGAGCTTCGATCAACAATGGTGAGATGGCCTCCCGGTTGGTCCGCCACTGCTGGTAGAAGATGTTCTTGTCGAGAACCGGAACGTACGGGTGCACATTGGTAAAGTAGAGATCAAAGTACTGTAGAATCGTGTCGTCATCGGGCATGAGCTCAGGAGGGATGCGAATTTTAAGCCCCGGCCCTGACACTAGCGGGGGCAGGGAGCTCTTGTAGTCGTCGTCATCGTCACCGACCACGGGCGTCTCCTCGCTGCCAAGCTTGCTTGCAAGCAAGCGGTTGTTCAAGTAGGGCGCTGAACCAGCCTCGTTCATCCGGAGGTTGCCGAGCAGATCTGCCAGGTCCCCGCCGGCATAGCTCGCCTGGTCATCGTTTGTCACGTATGCCGAATCAGAGGGCGATTGTGCGTGCGAGCCATGCTGCAGCGGAGGCGTTGGGAACACATCTTGCTGGCTGGTATATGTAGTCGTGTCTACGAGACCGAGAGACGGAGGTCCTGTCGTATACTGAAGCCCGGCGGTCGGACCTGGATACGGGACCTGTCCGTACACACCCAAATTTGGCGTGCTCCCGTTTGGCGTGGAAAAGTTGATCGTCGGCGCTCCGTAGATGCCTTGTGGCGGTTTCGTGTCATCGGAAAAGCCCACGGGATCAAGCTGCTGGTGACGGAAATCCAATGGTGCGTTGTACAGCTGTGGAGGTTGTTGAAGTTGTTGTTGCTGCTGCTGCTGCTGCTGCTGCTGAGGTGGCAATATTTGCTGCCGTTGCGGCTGCCGCTGCGGTTGTAAACTTGGAGGCTGTTGCTGGTTTTGTTGTGGCTGCTGCATCTGCACTGGTTGCTGCTGCTGTGGCTGCGGCTGGTCTTCGTAGCCTTGGCCGTCGGTCGCACCGTCGTATCCTGTCGGGCGTACACATTGCAACTTCAACCGGATGCACGACGAGCATGGCCAAGTGTTTGTTGTAGCAGCATCGCATTTGATCTTTCTTTTTCGGCAGCCCTCGCAAGCTCGCATCACTGCCAATGCCGGGACGGCGTGGTTAGCAATGTCTGTTCGGCTCATCCTCGATCGTATGCTTGCCTTACCTTTCAGCCGTTTATGGCGGTTGTGTTCGTCAACAAAGACATAGTCTATAAGAAACGAAAGAGTAGTTAGAAAATGTGAAACTTTTGCGCCCCAGGAGCCTCATCTCATCTGCCCCTCGCGCACGAATTGCTCGCACGCAGACGGAGACAGCGACACGCGTCGTCTTGCACACGCTGCGATAGTCGTTGCGTTCTTCCCAGCTGTGTTTCTCAGGTCGACTCACTTTTTTGTTGAGTTTCTGGTGGTGGTTGCTGATACGCAGGGGGGGCGAAGGAAAACGAGTTCATCTGCGAGCTTTGCGGCAGGATGCGCCGCTCCGAGGGGTCGCCGTTCGCCATGTTTGCGTGTGGCCGTGGTGCGCGGCGTCGTGGTCGGGTGGTGGGATGTGAATACACGGAGAACTGCCCTCGTTCCGTTGAGGTTCTGTCTCTGTTGCTGTTCGGGGAGATCAAGCGCCTGGCGTCACGCAATGCGCCGGCGGGCCTACACAGAATCCGTGTCTCTTATTGAGATCTACATCCACAGGTAGATAATCGAGAGCGCGATGGCTGAGCCGCCTTGGTGTTGAGGTAAAAGTGAACGCACTTTAGGTCGTAAAATCAATATGCGAGGCCGAAGAAGTAAAAACGAACATGAAAAAAGAAAGGAAAAAGGAATGTGGAAGGCAAAATATGGTCAAAAAGACAGGAGAGAAAGAAATGTAGCGTCGATACTGACATAGAGCACAATAGGCACGTCCGCTTGTAATTTGGTGTTGCGCTTCGACGGCGAAATAATATGCAGTAGAGAGTTGGGCAGGAGGGGGGCGGTCCTAAGACGATCTGCTAGTGCAGGAAGGATGAGGCGAGCGAGGGGGCGAGGGGGTCTGGTCACTGGCTGGGTCGTGGTCTGTTTGCTGTCTTATTATCTAGCTTAATGCTCCCCTTGGCTACTGTGTAGATGCAGGTCACAGAGAAGAGGGTCGCATTACACCGCGGTTCTGCAAAGAATTAGTTAGAATAGCGGAACAGGGCGGCAGGAATCAGCGCAGTCGATGCGCGGCGGGTGCTGCAGTAGTAATGCGAAAGGGGCTGTAGCGGGAGTTCAGGCAGGTTTGAGATGGCGTACGGGGTAGTCGGATGGGGATGACGAAGAGAGGAGGGGAAGGGGGCGTGTATCTTGAACTCGAGCGGCATAGAAGATTTGTGACCCGGGTGAGGAGACTAAGAGCAATTGCGTAGGGGGGAGTGGATTGGCGGCGTGGAGTTGCGACAGCCAAGGTTAGCGCCAAGCGAGCGACTGAAAACTGCCGACAAAAGCAGCAATAAAGCAGAAAAAGCAAACATGGCCCATAGCCACGGGACAAGCAAGGGAGCATCCAGGAGGATGCACCGTACAGAAACAGAGAAACAGAGGAGCAGGGCACGATCGAGAGGTAGGCACAAAATTATTCACATCACAATGCAGATGTCCCGACATACCTAGGGAGGTTTTGTGTAGAAAGGCGCTTGCAGAAATATAACAAAGGCAAAGGGACGGAGGATCGCCAGCCGCTGGTGAACGATGTACTTCGTAGGGTATCGAGGGTGTCTTGAGTCTACGCAACCAGTGCGCAACCACAACTGTCGATCAGTCCCGGCGATTATTGGAGCACTCACGAAGAACGGGCCAATGCTGTTTGTTAAGGATGGCCGGTATAATACTCTTGTTGGACCTGAAAATCAGGTTGGGAAACACAAAAAGGAGTGTTGCACTGAGGGAAATTCCTGTATGCACGACGTCTTGTGAGTTGGCATATTTTGCACTGGACACAGACAAAGAAAAGAACCGAGGCAGCAAATTGAAATTGAACAAAAAAACACAGGCAGAAAACAGAAATTAACAGAGAAAGAAATGGTGGTAGCACAAAGGTGTGAGCACGAAAGGATGGAAACAAAAAGTAGCAAATTGTCTTGGTGTGTGCAGGGCCGTCCCGTTGATGAAAGTCTGGACAGGGGTGTGAGAAAGAAGTCCACTCAGCATTGCAATGCCTTTCTCCTCGCGTAAAAGAAGGTGCCGTTTCTGTGCGCCTGTGAATGGGCAAACAGGCAGGATGCACGAAAGCAAACAAGCAAGAGGAAGAAAGACAATGAGCTCTGTGTGGGTGGGTGGATGTGATTGCGTATAAGTCTGTGTGTTCTTGCAGACGTACAAATGGGCGTGGCCAGAAAATGTTGGATTGGGGGCGCAGGAACTGGGCTGCATATATGTGCCGGGGTGAGGTCGAACAAAGGACAGCGTGGATTGGCGGATGCAGTCGAGTCAACTATCACACGCACGCGATCTGGATGCGAGGCTTAGGTAGAGCCTTGCGCTCTGCTCAAGCTTGAAGCGGACCACAGTGATGTTCGATACGGAGGTAGGAGGTCGATGGAGATTGCCCGAGTAAGGGCTGTCGTTTCACTGCAGACAATGCGGCATACGGGAACGAGGCCAACTACGACAGCGATGTCGTCCGAGAGAGGTTGAGCCCGTGTCCCGGGATGTGGGAAGCGGTGGGGATTTGTGTGGAGGGGAGTGTGGATAACAGGAGACAGGACGAAAGATGAGATGAAGCAAAATAGGGGGGTCTGAAAAATAAAAACAAAGGTGAGATTGAGATATGCTGCTTCGTCTACTCTTTCCTGAACGGGAGCTTCGCAATCGACCATAAGATGGAAGGAGCAATGAAAGAGCAGGAAGGAGCTCAGGTAAACGCGGGGAAGGATGTGTTTGGGAAGCTGCAATGGAGTTGCAGGGGCGGTGGGGGTTGTAAGATACGTTTTTTCTGCCTGTGGAAGGCGCGCCCGAGCTAACGGTACCTTTTGAGTAAACATGACGAAATCAAGTAAAATGGCAAGTGCGTGCCCCCATGGGCCTCGTAAGTATTAACACTCCGTAAGCTGCTTAAAAGTTCGTTACTGGCAAGATGACGCGACAAGGCTACCAGCATCGGTGACCGCTTTTGCTAGAGCGACTCGGCCAAAACATTAAACCCAAGAGCTCGCGTAACGACTGCTGACTCGTGGCATGCAGCGGCCGTCGCCTGTGACGGAATGGCAAGAGGACTCTCACATAAACGGAAGACCGTATTTTGCAATTGTCATACTTTGGAAGATTACTTTTGCGGCTGCACAAGGAGCTGGGACAGAGCCGCAGAGGTCAGCACGTGGTAGGAAAGAAAAGAAACATCTACAACGAATAGCGAGCTCCAAGACGAGATGTCTAGACTCATAAAATAAAGAATAAAAGAACGCAATCAGCGCCTCTCACGTCCTCACAACTCGTCCCCACCGTATCGCGGTTCCAGACCATACATCTGAGTGGTTTAGCGACGAGGAAAGCCGCCCAGGCGGCTCCAGGCCAGAGGCCTTTCAGCGGGCCTTGACTCCGTCTCAGAGCACAAAGGAAGCACGTTCGATGCTTCGATGCTAGCAGGGATGCCGGCGGACGAAAGTGGCCGTTCTCACCTGAGGAGCAAAGCGCCATCGGCGGAGGCAACAAAGACTTGCGACCGGTCCCAGATCATTTGCCTTAGCTCGTTTGGCTATCTGTGGTGGCACAACACTGACCTGGTCTTTTGCCTTGGCCTTCACCAAAATTCCTCAGGCATCAGATAGAAAAGAAAATTGGACCTCAAAAAGTGCCAGTTTTGCCCACATACCAGACTGCTCATAGGGCGGGTGCGTCACTGCAATTATGACCCTCCTCCCTTCGCACAAAAGCCGTGCCCGCTTACTGATGGGCAACCTCTGCACCTGGCCCACGGCTGGATGAGAAACATCTGATTTCCAGCGATTAGCTCCGATCGCCTTCTAAGGGCGCCGTTTCGGCATTCACAGTCGATGCAAAAATGCCGTCGGGAGGCATTCAAAGTCGCGGCCGAGATGCAACCTGTTCACAGATGTCTACTTGGGCTTATTGATGGGGCGTGCCAACCAAATATGCATCTCTGGTCTTGGATGGCGCTACTGCCAGAATATGTAGCAGGATGCATCATACTTTGTGAGCAGAACCAGCATTGCACACAGGGCTGGGGTAGTGTCTACGGTCGTCCCGTCATTGGTCAGAAAACGGGATCGTAAAAGTAACCTTGAGACGGAGAGGACGAGATATGAGTTGGACGAAATGTTTGCGACGAGTCGTCGAGCCCGTTGTGAATGGCCTTGCACGTTGAAAATGGGACTGCAGACTGTTGTCAAGGACCAGTAACACCAGCACAATGCAAACCTGGCCGACCGGCCGCAGTTTCCGAGTGTTTGGTGAGCACGACACCCAATTTAGGTGAGACGGTGATGCCTCATGAGGTATCGTTACGAATACCCTGTCAACAGCATTCCCCGCAACTTCTGATATCTTGTATATCGAATCCTTGGGGGAGTCGTTTCATGGAAAGTAGGCGACTTTCCACCTCGAAAACCTTCTGTTCGGTTCGTTTTCATTTATATTTAGGGTCCTTCCCTCTATTACTCACGCAACTGCCACTGCATACTTTCCCACGCGGAAGAAGCCGCCCTGCGCCTTCCCCTGTCGTTTTCGAGGCAGCAACAGGGCCTGGCTGCCCGCCGTCGCATTGCACATTCACCATTGTACGGGATGTAGCAAGGGGTGTTAACCGTGGAGGGGAAGGCACTGTTCGCATCGCAGGCGGAAAAGAGGGCGCAAAGTCGCATGTCGAGACAGGAGACTCGTAACTTCCTTCAGCGTGGGACTCCCCTTGCTCAGCGATGTAATATCCACTCTAGCTCCAGTGGAAGTACCTGATTGGTGGCCTTACCTCGGACGAAGTGTTCTAGGGTGTGGAAAAGAGGAAAGAGCGAAACGGTCAGGACGCAGCGGCCGGCACCAGGGCTTCGACGATATGCTCCAGAGTAGGCTTCGGTCACTCTTCTTTCTCTTCCTTAATTCTTCCATGGCCAGCCCCAAGAACATCGAACCATAAAAACGAACCCCTGGGTCTGTGCACATATGCACGCCGTTTCCTAGAACACACCCCCCCCCCCGGTCGACGTTGCAGCCATGGTGCGCGAATGCAACTCAGCGGTTGACGCTGCAGGCCAACTACCACCATTAACCGAAGTCCAGGACCTGTGACCAAGGGACAGGAGACAGGAGACAGGGCAGGAGCGCAGGCCATTCCCCAGGAAGGCAATCGTTAAGAAAATAAAGGCAGCGTCCAGGTAGGCAAACAGAGGATGCCGTACATCGTAATTACGTGGTATTGTGCGGCGTGCTCCCGTCCACTCCCTAGTAAAAGAAAGGAAAGAAAGGGCGCTGGCAGAGAAGCTCAGGAAAACGCTTCCCCCCGTCACCCCTGTTCTTCTTCTTTAACCGTGCATGGGCCGTTGCCCTTGAAATAAGGTGAATGCGCAAGTTTTTAACATGTGAAAGACGACTGCCAAGCAGCAAAATTATTATCCTCGTCCCAAATGATGTCCCCCCCAATGCAATGCACCAAGATCAAAACTGCAAGAGAGGGCAAAAGGGCAAAAGGGCAAAAGGGCAAAAGGGCAAAAGGGCAAACGAGCAAACAAGAGGACAAGACAAGCTCAACGGAAATGAGAGCAAAGAAACAAAACGCACTCAACCTAAAAAAGGGGGCCGACGTAAGACACATCAGTGTTAGACAGACCACAATGCAAAAGACCGGGCCGGGCACCATTCGAGCGAGGCGACTGACTACTTCGTATATTGTTCCGCTTTGCCCAGGCACACAAGTGCTCGCTGTAAGCTATCCGCATGAGGAAGGAGCACAACTGTCATCGCGTCGCCCTCTGCATTGCCCTGGAGGAAAGTGGCACCGTGTGGAGCTGTGCGAGCCTCACAACTTGGTCGTGAGGAAGAAAGGAGTAAGCGGAAGGGGAAAAGCTTCCCACACTAACGGGCCGTGGGCAGGCGCGGGAGGCAGGAGTCTGTTGAATTTGAAGTAGCATTTGCGACTCGCGCTGTCAGTACGAAATACAACGTTTTACTTTGCATCTTTTGTTTACGAGATGGAAAGACAAGGTGTGAGCATCGTGGCAAGGTGTAGGGGGCGTACACAGGAGACCGCTGTAGCCACAAAGCCTCACTGAGAAATGCGTCGAGCGAGAAGGCCCCGGACTATGGTGGTCGTCATCGCCATGCAGCCGCTGCCTGTTGCGATGTTGTAATGCTGACGAATACGGAGTCTCCGCCAGTGTGTCCCGTTCAGCCGCGATGTCGTATTGCAGTCGTACTCCGTATACGTATTTTGTCCTTTTTTGTCTAACATGCTCGATACCTTCTCAAAGACGAAAAGAGAGCGACGGTGTTCACGGAGAAGAGCAAATCAACGAATCCACACCGAACGAACGACCACACATGAAGCTCCGTTGTACAAGTAAAAGAGACATTGTAACGACTGTGTTCGTTCGAGGTCAGCTGCAGGAGCAAACAAGTAGAGGCTTTTGCGGCCCCTTCTTGGTACAAAATAAGCAGAAGCCGGCGACGAAAAGTGACATGGGATGTGATTAACGGCCAGGCCACCTATATCTCACGAGTATGGGGTGCAGCATCTCGCGTAATGTTCGCAATCATGTGAGCTTCTTGGGAATTAAAAGGCGGAGCTTGGCACAAAAAAAACAAATCTTCTTTCTCCTAGGAGAGATAAGATGAGCATGGGATGAGATAATCTGCAAGGCTGTACGAGGTACGTCGTACTATTGAGGCGGGCAATCAACAGCGGGCAATGTTGAAGTACCACTCCCCACGATCGAGCTTTATCAAAGGGCGGCTGTTCCTTGCAGGGCCGCCCGGTAACAAAAGCCAGCGGAGCAATGTACGAATCGAGACCATCTTATTTTATTTTTGTATTGTTTCCGGGACTGGTAAGAGCTAAATTACGGAGTAAAGTAAGGATGTTTCCAACAGGCGGGTGATACAGTGCCGAGGTGAAAAGAATATGACTCCGTTACAATACGAAGACAGGGATGGCCCTGTACGGCATACGACTGATAAGATATGTCTCTTACACACATTTCGCACACATGGCCTGGCTGGGAAACGGGAAACAAATACCAGCCATGCATGAACACTGATTTTGGCAGTGTTTTTAAAATTACCGTTTTCTTTTCGGTTCTTTTTACGTTCTAGTTTCTTTCTTTTGTCTTCTTTTCCGTTTCGTCATGCCTTCTCAGGTCCGTTCACCCGCGCTGGCTTGGTGCATGTCCTTCCAGAGAGAGCAATACGCCTGGGGCAAGCCATCCGATGCAATCCATTATGGCCAGTCGACAACGTGCATGTAAGCAACTATGATGGCTCGCTGTCTTTGGCGCATTGTGGTTAACAGTGGGCTATTGGCAAAGTGTGGGGCGTCGACGTCAGTGGCGGTGGCTTCCTGTTTCAACGACTGTTAGCCACTGGGACCTGCCTGTAAAATATCGTCAGTGGCGCCTGCAAACAAGGAAACTATGGGAAGGCGAGTTCGCCTGGCACAAAGAGCAGTCACTCTGCCACCTTCGTACCTTCCACCGCAACTGTCGCTAGTCTCTAGAACTGTCCCTATCACAACCTTCACTTACTTTTCGACAAAATCACTGGTCGGCAGTTGAACGGCCACCGCTCACGGTACCAGGCAACAACAACCAGTCGCGGGCCTCGATGGCACTGCCAATACGCCGCTGGGCCGGATAAACGTAAAACCTAGGCCGCATGTCAAGCTAAAGAACGACCGGCTGCGGACCTGAATCTGACAAATTCGATATCGACATTGGAATCGACATCGCCATCAACGACAGAGTTTTACGGCACCGCTTCTCAGTCTCGTGTTGTTTTCAAGTCACCCATTCCCGTGTCATACAGCATACGTTCGCCATGGCCGAGCTTCAGAACGCCAACCCTGTGATCCTCAACGCCGCCCAGCTGCCCAGCCGGCGCTTGGGCAAGGACACGGCATCGAACCGGGGACCCGAGTTCAAGTTTGACGACATCCTCGCCCCCAAGACAAAGTCGGCCGGTGGTGCTGCCTCGTCGTGGGCCGCTCCTGCTGTGGCTCCGCCGTCCCCGCTGTCGTCAGTGTCGTCGGGTGATGCCTACGATGACGTCGAGGCATTCGGCGGGGATGACGGCGATGTTTTCACCGAGGAGCCCATCGACGAACAGGAGATCTACGGTAAGTCTTTTTGTACTTGCGTTAAATTGTCGTTCTGTGCGCGCGTGTTGTCCTGCCTATGGTGGTTCGTTGCAATTTGTCCTGATATAACGGCCAAAAGGCATATCAGCCTCGGCGTCAACGTTTCGGACAATTGCAGATATCACATTCCAGCAGCGGCAACGATACAACAGCATCCCCTCGTTCTGCGTTCCCGTGAACTGTGTTTTGTTTCCTCATCCTTTGTGTTAAGCTTTTGCGTTCCATGCTCTCGCCTTTCACCAGGAACAAGACGCCCCTCACACCTATGTATAGAGCGATGTGAGAGACAAAAGTGCGCCCCGCTAACGTTTCAACCCCGTTTCTTCTCACCCCCCCGGCCAACCAGACTTAATCTCCACGATTTCAGATCCCGAGCACCCGCACACGCTGGGCCAGCTTTCTGTTGTCAACTTGCCCGACATTCGCATTACACCTTCGCCCACCTCCGCCGAGGCCAAGGCGGCCGCCAACGACCCCAATGCGCTGACGCAGGTCCTCGTCTACGTCACCCCAACCATAAACCACTGCTCGCTCGTCACCGTCATTGGTCTCGCCATCCGCGTGCGCCTCGAGCAGACGCTACCACCCAACTACCGCGTCGATATCCAGGTCAAGGAGGGCGCCCACGCCCAGGACGACCAGGTCACCAAGCAGCTGTCCGACAAGGAGCGCGTGGCTGCGGCGCTGGAGAACGACACGCTGCGCGGTGTGCTGGACAAGATGCTCGAAACGTGCCAGTGATGCAACCATGATTCGCGTAAGATCGACTCTTCCGTTTTGACCCTCCACCTTTTTCATCCCGCCCGCCCTACCAACGTTGGAGAATGCCAATACCCACGCCACCCGCTGCGCAGTTTTGCATATTGCAATGGTCCTATTTTTACCTGCCCTCTACGATTTACCGGGAAATATTGATCCAAGGCAAACCGCATGGTCAGCCATGAACCTGCGTCTCCCCCAAGAAATTCAAGACCTCGTGACAAGGTGAAGGCCAGGCCCAGACCCTACAGGTACTAAGTACTCAGATAAGCATTGCAAATGCCGGGTTCCTCGCAATGGGCTTACTATGGGCTGAAGCAAACGATCGTCGCTGCGCAGCCCAGGTCGATGTTCAGTGTCATGTGGCTGTCGTATGTACGAATCGCCTTCTGTTGCGAAAATGCAAGAATGCGGCCGATCTGTTCTGCATTGCAGTTGTTGTCATGCACGTAACAGTGCATAAAAGCAGAAAGGGCGAAACGGGGCCAAGCCACGTGCCCGAGCACGATGTCGACAATAACTTGTGGTGCACAAGGGGGGAACAAAGGACAAGAAAGAGAAGGGAAATCCGGCGTCCAGATGCCTGACGAGAGGTGGGCACGGACAGAAAATACTGCCATACTAAGAACAATCAACGGACTATATCATGAAAATGAACAAGGATTTGCAAAGTCGCAAACGCGCACACAAATGCAAAAGCACAGCCGCCCAAATGTCAAGGCGCCTGCCGTAGTTTGACGATGCACTGCCCGCCCTCGCCTTGTTTTTCATATTATGCCGACAGCAGACCCGGAATGGCTACGCCTCTTTGTTTCCCGAATTCTTCGTGCCCCTGGAAGCGGTCATGGCAGAGGCTGTTACGAACGACGACGGTCGCAGGCGCGGGACAATACATTAGTGATGGGGACATGGCGGCACAGTCGCAGCGCTTGCGTACGTCCCACATGAAGGCGACGCAATTACGTCGTAGACAAACTCGCCGGAGGTGCAGGGGAACGGACAGAGCAAAACCCTAAATGGTCAGAGTGGAGTGCGGGCTGTTGAAGGTTGTTAAAGTAGGGGTTGTTGTTATTTTGGTACAAAGGAATAGACTATTCAAATGCAGTTTTATTTTGAGTAAAACCATTGTACCATTTTAATTTATTTGGTGGGGAATAATCCCATATCTGTATTTCCTAATAATCAATAAGTCTATATTGACGTTTGTTTTATGTTGTATTTTATTTAAAATCAAATATAAAAGTACGTGAAAAAAGAAAGAAACTGTAGAAACGAAACGAATTCTAACATAAATTCACCAACATATCGCCATCCACCACACGATACGACATATAACACGACATATAACTGACACGCGTAAACGCGTACGCACAACCCGTAGATTGCTCCTCACAAGAGGCTACCCATGATAAATTATACTCACACAGTGGCTTATTATCGTTACATTCGGTAAACTTAAGAAACAATGTAGCATCAGCTGCTTGGAATGTCCGGAAAACAAGAAACAAAATATAATAGCAGCTACGGAAAAGAAAAAAAGCATGGTCAAAAAGAAAAGAAGATGACGAGAATACGAACCCCCCAAAAGCAAGGAACAAAACAACATATTGTTCCTCGGCAAGTCCCGCTTTATTATACAGGGAAGATGACAGACAGACAGAATAGGTCATTTGTTATCAGATATAGTGACAGGGCCAGATATAAGCCTCTAAATCGAGCCGAGGACCGTATCATCCAAACCATCTATTGGCCTGTGTATTATTTACACATCCGGACTAAACTCCGTAGGTCGTTGCCGCCATATTGGGCCAATCGCAACTGTCTGCCAAAAACGAACGCCTGGCGAGGCCGACCTGTTTGCTGGTACTGGCACTCTGCACCTGCACGGCAAAGGAGAGAACAAAAGACCTTGGACCAAGCCTCATGGGATGTTGGCATCCCAGCCCTATATTTGTCGCTTCTATAGTTTAAAACAACCCCTGAACTAGCGGGAATAAACGTCCCAAGACTCCCCAAAAGAGATGAGATGGGAAACGTCCGACTGTCGAACACATGCGTGGAACGAAAACAAAAGGTGTAAATTCGCCGGGATACATGCATGACCTTGCGCGTTCGTATCGTAAAGGAAGAAAGGAAAGAAAGACGTGACGAAAATCAAGGAACATCAAGGAACATCAAGAAAATCAAGAAAATCAAATGTGACCCTCACCATCGCTCCGTTTTTAGAGGAACATAGACATAGCCAATGACCATCAAGAAAGAAATTAAAAGGGTGTTAAAAATAGTCCTCCCCATTTTATGAGCCCTCCTCCAGCGTCCCGCTCGATACCAGCTCGCTGTACAGCTCCGGCTCCAGGAACTTGCCAATGGACACGTCCTCGCTGAGACCCTTGCGCTTCCGCGTCTTGAGCACAAAGTCCCGTGCCGTGCCCTGCACCGGCGCCATCTGCATCGGCCGCAAAATCACATCGCGGTCCAGTGGGTCGCCCGGCACGACCTGCCACCGGTCAAACACGAGACTGACGAGGCCTGTGTTGTCGGACGAGATGCGGAAGTCCGTCTCAAAGCCAAACGAGTCGATGACGGGCAGCAGGCCGACGGTGCGCGACAAATTGGTGCCGGGAATACCGACGTCCGTCAGCACGTGGCCGCGGCGCTGCGACAGGATCTGGTACAGCTTGGAGGACGCGGCCTCCGGGCCGGTCATCGAGACGGTGTAGACGGGCTCCATAAGTCGCGGAGACGACAGCATAAACGAGCCGTAGCAGGCACGGCGGGCCGTCGGGATAATCTGGCCGCCGCCACGGTAGATGGTCTCTTGCGCGAGCGTGACGTCTGTGAGCTTGAACTTGATGTTGCGGATGGCTAACATATGTTAGCACGTTGGCGAGCACGTATAAAAAATCAAATCCAGATAAAATGACAAAAAAAAAGAAAGAAAAAGGAAGAAAAAAAAGTGCCACGGGTAACTCACGTTCTTCACAGAGAGGGCCTTCCCGCGTGGCCCAGCTAAAGCCCTGCCGGATCGACTCCTTGACCGTGTTGAGCATCTTCTTGTCGACCTCGCCCGGCAGCGTGTCGTCCTGCAGCAGGTTGGCGCCCATCTCCTCCGGCCCAAAGGCCCAGACGCTGCGCGATGCCAGCAGATCCCAGTCGTACTTGTCCTGCAAGAACTTGGCCGTCTTGCGCACGGGGTCTTTGATGCGCACGGCGCCCGACTCAATGTCCCCCGCCAGGCCCTCCTCCAGCGGCTCGGCCACCATCGTCAGCCGGTTCTTCTTGTTGGGCGTCAGCGTCCAGCACCGCGTGGCCGACTCGTCCACGACCGTCTCGCAGAACCGCGTCAGCGGGTCCGACACCTTGATCTCCATGTCCGCATACTGCAGCCGCAGGTCGTGCATCACGCAGTCCATGTACATCTCGCCCGTGCCGATCAGGATGTGCTCGCCCGACTCCTCGACCTTGGTCGTGATGAGCGGGTAGCTCTTGTTGATCTTGCGGATGCCGTCCAGCATCTTGGGCAGCTCCGACGGGTTGACCGGCTCCACCGCAATCTTGAACACCGACTCCGTGTAGTGCGTCACCGGCTTGAAGATGTACGCGTCCTCGTCGTCCGCAAAGTGCCGCGCCACCACCGTCGCCGACTTGACGATCGAGTTGTCCACGCCGCCCAGCAGCACCCAGTTGCCTGCCGGCACGCCGTCGGTCGGCACGTTGTAGCGCGTCTCCGGGATCCACACGTCGGAAATCTGCGCCGGCGCCATGTCCTCCTCGTCGTCCAGCGAGTAGCCCTCCCCCAGCACGCGCACCTCCGTGCCGGGCCGCGCAATGCCGCTGAACACGCGGCCCAGCGCGTGGAAGCTCTTGGCGTCCGGCGCGCTGTACAGCTTGGTGACCTCCATCACCAGCGGGCCGTCCTGGTCGCAGGCGCCAATGGACTCGGCCACCTTGGTGTCGAGCGGGCCCGTGTAATACCGCTGCAGATGGCGCGCGGACGCCTCGACGGGCGACGGGACGTGCGCCACGACCATGTCGACAAAGGCGGCGGGCGGGCCGAAGAACTGGGCGCACACCAGGTTGAGCAGCACACGGGCGTCCGCCTTGTACTGCGACGGCTTGAGCGCGATGCCGAGCGGCGCCAGGAACGCCTTGAGGTCCTGCGGGTTCTCGCTGATGGTGTGCGTGAACAGCTTGTAGATGGGCTCGAGCACAAAGTGCACAAACGAGCGCTTGGCGTTGTCCTCGACAGCCTTGCGCGTAAACGACCGCTTCTTGGGGTTGAAGAAGACGTCGCCCCACAGCCGCTTGGCAAACTCGCCCGTGTCCATGGCGCCGAAGCTGTCGGCGTACATCTTGGCAAACGACGCCAGCGTGAAGCACCACTTCATGTCCGTGCAGGCAAAGAGCACGTTGCCCTTTTCGGGGCTGACGCGCCTGCGGTCGTCCGCCTCGCCCGGCAGCGTCTCGAAAATCACCTTGTTGACCGCCTCGATGGTGCTCTTGAGCTTGTAGTACGCGTCCGTCGGCGGCAGCTTGAGCTCGAGGATCAGCCGGTCCACCTTGTTCACAATCAGCGTGAGCGGCAGGCCCTCGAGCATCGCGTGCCGCACCACCATTTCCGTGTGCAGCTGCACGCCCTCCACGACGTCCACCACGAGACACACGCCGTCGACGAGCCGCAGCGCCGACGCCACCTCGTCGGCAAAGTCGACGTGGCCCGGCGTGTCGATGAGGTTGATGAGGTGCGACTTGCCCTTGGTCGACGGCAGCACCAGGCTCATGGGCGCGCTCCGCGTCGACACGCCACGCTCCCGCTCCAGCACGTGCACGTCCGTGTACCGCAGCTGCTCGTCGCGGCTCCGGCCGGACCGCTGCTCCAGCCGCTCGCCAATGTCGTGCGTCTCCAGCACCAGCATGTCCACAAACGCCGTCTTGCCGTGGTGCAGGTGGCCCGCAAAGGCCACGTTTCGTATTTGCTCGGGGAAGTTCATGAGGTCTGCCATGAACCCGCGGTCGAAAAACACGGGCGGCAGGTCCGCCTCCTCAACGGCAAACTTCTTCTGCTCGACCGGCGCCACAATCGGCTCGCTCAGCGGCTGTGCATCCTCCTCCTGCACCAGTGCCTCCACCTCGCTCCCGTATACTTGTGCGGCAGTCGGGTAGTACTGTTTGTCTTCGTGCAGGACGACGGCGTTCGACGGTCCTTCGTCTAGAGGCAGCGAAACAGAAACATGTCAGCAAACACATTCGGCCCCCTCTCTCTCCCACTCTCCCTCTCCCCATTGGCCGGGAATACGGGCAAACCTACCGTCCACCTCCATCAGTTCCTGCCCCACGCCATCCTCGCCTACCTCCTCGTCATCCCCGTAGACGTAGTTGTCGGCATCGGCGTCGCCCTGCTCCGACCCCTCGTCCGAAGCTTCGGGCTCCTCGCCGATGAAGTTGCCAAACCTGGTGGGCGCATTAGCAATGGGAGACGCATGGTGTTGGAGGGCTGGGCTACTTACTCGTCGTATAAATCATCCATCGCGACAGACCAGCGTGTTGAGATCTGACAAGACGTGGGGGTTGTGCGCGCACGCTTTTGTGCCTGTGCCTATGCCTGTGCCTGGGACGTTTTGGACGCGCCACGCTTCTGCGAAAAAGCTTCCAGCGAAACTCGGCGCTAGCGGACAAGGCTGACGTGCGCTGTGAGTGGCCAGTGTGGGAGGAGGGGAGCTTTCAGATCTCGGTCGCACCTTCCGCCCCAAGTGCGAATTCTGGCCTGCGCACGTGACCAAGTCGGATCCCGGTTTGGTCCTCCTTGCAATGACTTAGTATGTCGTACCTTCCTCCGATCTTTGATCATGGGCACTGCCAATTTGATTTGCCAGTTTGGCAACTGCGGCCCACAGGCGGATGGTAAACGCCCAACCCGCACTGCCATAGCGGGCCAAATAGGTGGAGAGGCACTACCGTCGCAGAAAGCCAGCAACCCCATTCAGTAAAGCTTGCGAGCAAAGTTGGGGGCCAAAGGCCCAAAACTGCAGGCACACATGACAAGATCGTCTCGCCGAGGTTCACATGCTGCTGCTGTGCTGATTCAAGCGTCATCATAGCATACCCCAGAATGCCGAACGGGGAAGGATGGGGGCTTCCCTGCCATAACTACATAACTAAACGTAGTTTCCCCAGATCTATTTCTTCTTGCCCCTTTCCCTTCCCCCTTCTTCTTCCCTTTCCTTTTTTGTTTTATTTTCAACCTCATTTCATCCCATCCAAACTTTTGTATTCCCAGCCACCGAGCTCGACTGCATACTTATCTGTCTCCGCACTATCCGCATTTTTTTTGCATCGTCACCGTCACACGACTACATTCAAAATGGGTATCTCCAACGGTAAGTCATTTGTCGTCCTCTCCATTTCGCAAACGTTGGGGGGTGGTGGACGATATTGCGATGCGCCGCCGATGGCGGTGAGACTGCAGGCACTGCGCACCCTATTTTTTTGCGCAAGAATGCAGCATGCTGACATGCGTCCCCGGCACATAGACAAGTTCCCCTCCTCCGTGGCTTTCGATGCCATCAACGACGTCCTTAGCAACAGCGAGGCCGATCGCAAGGATGCCATCAAGAACGGCAAGGCCGTGTTCGGTATCACCCTGAAGAACCCTGCCGGCGAGACCGAGAGCTGGTTCATTGACCTCGCCAAGGAGGGCAAGGTCGTCCAGGGCCTCGACAAGTCTGATGGTAGGTCCTACCCCCGGATCGCTTCGGATACCCGGGGACTTTTTTGTCGCCGGCCTTTTGTTTTACCTTTTTTGTCTCGCTTTCGCTAACACATCCGCAGTCGAGCTCCGCCTCTCTGACGAGGACTTTGGCAAGCTCGTCATGGGCAAGGCCAAGGCCCAGGGTCTGTTCATGTCCGGCAAGCTCAAGATCAAGGGCAACGTTATGAAGGCTGCCAAGCTGGAGCCCATTCTCAACAAGTCCCGGTCCAAGGCGAAGTTGTAAATCAGCCTTGATTCCCAACATACGAACACGGAAAAAAGAACAGCATCTCAGCGTCTCATCCTACAAAGACGCCAAGACAGACAAGTGGACTGTTTGTCCCGGCGTTTGGGTCAGATGCGACCGGTGACGCCTTGCCCTGAGGGGCGGATTGGGAACGGGACGGGTTTTAATTGCCTGCCTTTTGGGCGGTGCCTGTAATATCTTTATTGTTACCATGCTGAGGCGGAAACCACCGCCGACAGCCGTTGTATATTTTTCGAGTATCGTTTGCTAGACCTATCAAAAACAAATACCTTGCACCTACTCTGTATATGAATGCTTCGTATCTTATTCTGCGACGGTGACCGCTTTTGCGATTATGCGATGACGCCGCACGTTGTCGCAAACGGACTGGTTGCTGACAACAGCGAGCAACTCAGCGATCGTGTCTTGGAATTGACGCTATGCGCCTTTCTATGCGCGTTTTGACGAGACTCTTACTTGTGAGAGTGGGGGTCACATGGCTTTTGTACAGTGCATATCACAATTCAAACTGTGTCCGTAATTGACAAATCTCCAACATCCGGTACACTTTTCCGCTAGTTGACAGTTCTAAACGGCAGAGGTACAGTGCCAGATTCAACGGTCTTACTGTTACAGTATCGGCGGCATCCAATGTGCACGATTTTCAAATGCAGAACGGTTGACTGGCTTTCGACAGGCCACTCAAGCACCGCGGGATATTGATAAACGGGATCAGGAGAATTCTGCAAGGTAGAATTTCCATTATTATTCTTCATTGGTTTGATCCCACAAATATATGAGTGAAATAGAAAGGATCACTGGGCCTTACAGAAACCGCCAATAAGCCTGGACACACACAAAAAAAAAAAAGGAAAAAGAGCAAAATTCAGATAAATGCCTCTTTTCTTCCTTACAGCTGGCCAGCGGCGCCAAAGTCCTTGAGGGCCTCCTCAACACGGGCCTTCATGGTCTTCTCACCCTCGCGCACCCACACGCGGGGGTCGTACTTCTTCTTGTTGGGCTTGTCAGCGCCCTCGGGGTTGCCGACCTGGGTCTTCAGGTAGTCAATGTTCTTGGTGATGTAGTCGCGGTGGCCGACCAGGTAGGCCCACTGCAGATCGGTGTCGAGGTTGACCTTGACGACGCCGTGCGAGATGGCGTCGCTGAACTCCTTCTTGGACGAGCCGGAGCCGCCGTGGAAGACGAAGAAGACGGGCTTGCCCGACTTGTCCGAGAGCTTCTCGGAGACGTACGCCTGGTGCTTGCCCAGCAGCTCGGGGTGCAGGCGCACGTTGCCAGGGTGGTAGACGCCGTGGACGTTGCCGAACGCAGCGGCAATGCTAAAGTAGGGGGCAATGGCGCTCAGGGTCTGCTGGATCTGCCAGACGTCCTCGGGCTGCGTGTACAGGGCGGCGTTGTCGACGTCCTCGTTGTTGACACCGTCCTCCTCGCCACCGGTCAGACCGACCTCCATCTCGAGCCACTGCTTCCACGGCGCCACGCGCTTGAAGTACTTGGCAGTGATCTCAATGTTCTCCTCGAGCGGCTCCTCCGACAGGTCGAGCATGTGGCTGGAGAACAGGGGATGGCCGTGCTCCTTGAAGAAGGCCTCGTCGGCGTCGAGCATGCCGTCGAACCAGGGCAGGAGCTTCTTGGCGCTGTCATCCGAAATTGTTAGTCGACGCACGACCGGGCAAAAAAAAGACAAAATAGAAACAAAAGTTCACAAAAACAAACGACCTACCAGTGGTCGGTGTGCAGAACAACCGGGATGCCGTAGATGGGGGCAATCGAGCGGATGAAGTGGGCGGCAGCGACGGCACCAGCAACAGACGCCTCCTGCTTCTCCTTGCTGTTTGCCACGCCCTTGCCGGCGAAGTAGGCAGCACCGCCCTGCGAGGTCTGCAGGATGATGGGCGACTTGGCGTCACGGGCGCCCTCGAGGGCAGCAATGACAGTCGACGACGAGGTGACGTTGATGGCCGGGATGGCGAACTGCTTCTCCTGGGCGTACTGGAACAGCTTCAGCACGTCATCGCCGTAGATGACGCCCGGCTTGAGGTTGAGGTCGCTGAGGATGCCCATGGTTGCGGTGTTGGAGCGAATTGGGGGTGGTGGTGCGAGGGCTGCTTCGGTGATGGGAGGTGTTGTTAGTGTTTGTTGACCAAGGGAGAGAGGGGTTAGCAGGTGCTAAGAGGGGCACGAAAATATATATAGTTGACTGGATCTGGAGATTTCGCTGGGGGTGGGGCGGAGCTTCAGCAGCAAACGATACGTATTTCAGCGAGAAACGAGGGATAAAAAAGAGACGATATGGATCGAGGCAAAAAACCGTCAATTGGAGCTACGGAGCAGCGAGCGGATGGCCGAAGCTCTTTATAACAACCTTGCAACAAACACGACCCAAGACCCAGTGCCAAGGTAAGAAGGACAAAAGGAGGGGCTTTGTCTGACGAAAAGAGGAAGAGCACTTCCAGTGACGAAGTCCGGATTAACACGCTCCTGCCTCTTGTCTTCCCCCCGAGTGCCGCTTGTGCGTGCCCCTTCTGCCCCTTCTTGTTTTACTGCGTCATGCGCCTATCAGGAAAGACCGTCCCAGAGCCGGAGGCTGGACGCACGAATTGCTGCCAGTGGCCAATCGTAGGGCATGCCAATGCCAATGCCTGTGGTGATGCCCGAGGCTTTGCGAAATTAGCGCTTGTTCGGCGGCATTGCCCACTACCATGTCCCGAAAGTCCCCTTACCAATGGGCTTATTTTTCCTGCTTCTCCCTGCTCCTGGTCACCTGTTACTGCGAACTTCTCGTCTCCCTGGCCCGTGCACGACTGCTCTTTCCCAGGTTTGGAGAACAGCTACCCGAAGACCCCACGCGCGCCACGATCTGCTGCGCTTGCTACTGTGCACATGGCGGTTTCCCTTCGTCCTGGGAAGGGGAGGGCAGTAGCGTTCCTTCTTATTTTCGTGTCGTCGCTTCATAGTTCCGTCCAGTTGCTGCTCCTGCCTTCCTGGGCAACGACCGACCTGGACGGGCAGTTGGAAGCCGAGCCACCTGCTATACTGATGCTCTGCGGATGCATTTCATGGATTCGGGAAATTACGACGGAACAATGCTGTAGCCAGCGGTGGCTCGCGGTTTGTGGCTCGTGGCCCATAGGTCGTCGCCTGTCGGCACCGGTCTGTTGCTCTTGCTCGGGGTGTTTCACGAGGCAGGCGCCACCGGCACATCAACCGCTGGCGCCCGTCCTGCCCTATTTGGCTTTCTCTGACACCAAACATAAAGCATCCGAAGCTGTGTTTCCGGTCGCAGTTTCCTTCTAGTAATCGTTTTACCGTGGTGCTTCGCGAACTGAGGCAAACGACCAGGGAAACTGCGATACTAATGTTTACATGTTCACACATTCACTATTCTAGAGAAACAATCAGTGAATATACCGCGCCGATATTCATTGGCGGCTAGTGAACGACGTCCAGTAGATAAATTGCCGGAGTCAGACACGCTGCAGCTTCCGTAAAGCAAAGCGCGTGCGCACTGCGGAGGGAGCACGTCTGCCGCAGTCGCACTATGGCTTTCTTACATAACTATTTCCATGCAACTAAGCAGACGTACTGAAGCTCGTCCCAGCCCAACCGATTGGGCTGTCCTGTTCCTTCCCTCCACACAATTCTTAGTCCACACACTGGTTAGCGCCTTCTCTTTCACTGCGCGTTCCTTCCACTTTCTGTCAATGCCCTTGTTCGCTCCTTCCTTCTTGTAGCGCCCCCCTGGTGCACTGCACGCGCCACATCATCAATATTTTTTGGTCTCCAAATTTTTTCTCCCCCAGTCGCGACTTTCACGCATCTGCCCATCGCGATATCCATCAACGCGACTTTCCCCCTTTCTCCTTTTCGTCGCCCGTCGCCACGCATCAACAGGCGCATCCTCTCCTTTTGAATTTTCATTTCTCCACGTGCATTTGTTTTTGTTTTTCTTCTTTCATCGCACCTCCTTTTAATACACGCAGAGCTCGCGCCACAGTGTCGATGCATTCCATTTGAGCTTCATTTTCTGCCTGCTCTGAAGCCTAATTACCCTCCCAAAACCGTCGCCGTCATCGATCGTCCCAACGGAGCAGATCAACCATCATCATGGAGACCCCTCAGAAGCGGCCAAAGTCTTGGTTTAGCAGCCTGACGGGCCTGGTCAGCGCCGGCCGCAATTCTTCTCGGGAGGCCACAACCACATCCGCCGCAACGCCGACCCCGAAGACGAGCACGAACCTCATGAACGGCGATCGTGCATCGTCCCGCATCCGCCTGGCGCGGCCAGACGAGCAGGCTACACCAGCACGTTACTCGGGCACGTTTTCTGCACCACCTGTCGAGTCCCCCGAAAGCCCTGCCAAACGCGCCTCTCCGACGCAATTGGCCCAGCGGAAAATCCATGACCGCGTTCAGGGCCCGTCCGGCCGTCTCGGCACGTCCTCGAACACTGCAAGCAGCAACCCCTCCAACACCTACTCCTACGGCAACAGCCACAACCTCTACTCGAGCAGCAGCCTGGGCAGACCGACCTCGACACCGCGGAGAACCAACTTCTCCTCCGCAACGACACCACGCAACATGTTCCGCGACTCAATGGCCCGCGACATGCCCGCCTTCACTTTCACACCGCGCGTCCCTGTCAACACGCTGCGTGGCAGCTTTCCCGCAACGACGCCAGGCCGGTCGCATCGCGCTCCTGGTGCTGAGCTGAGCGCGCGCGAGATGGCCAAGGTCACGTCGAGCGAACTTTTCCAGCAGAAGATCCCCGACCCCGACCCAAAGCTGAGCGCCGAGGCGATGACCGACATGCTCCCGAGCGATCTGAGAGCCGGCGGCCAGTCCGTGTATGCCAACGAATTCTTGGCGCACCTGTGCCCGCCCGACTTCAACGAGGAGCAGCGCAACCAGTTCTTTTGTATCCTGGATCTTCGCCGGCTCAAATACGCTGCCGATGAGGTGTTTTTGAAGAAGGACTGGAAGCTGAACATTTCAAACTTTGCAAAAGAGTACGAGAAGAACCGGAGCCTTATCATGCTCCGCTATGGTCTGTACGAGTTCAAGACGGTCAAGGTGTCCAAGGACACCTTTACAAAGTGGAAACAGGACCACAACATCCCTAGCGTGCCTGGTGAGGAGGACGAGGAGGAGCTCATGGTCAACCCGGCCGACTTGTCCAAGTCGGCGAGGTCGTCGTCGAAGCCCAATGGCACCGAGGGCATCCTACGCACTGGAAAGCGCAAGGCACAGGACAACATTGACCCGAACGCCACGACGTCCAACGCGTCCACCTTCCAGCCCACCAAGAAGCGGACACGTGCCGACGGCTCCAAAGTGGCCGCTGACCGCGAGCCGCTCCTCGAGTCAAGCACCCCTTCGCTCAATAAGACAAAGCGGAAGGCTACGAGAGCCGAGGGCGTGGACCAGCTCCAGCGTGCCAAGCAGCAAAAGCCGACACCCGCCGGTACGCCTTCATCTACGCCATCGGCTACCAAGGCCTTCTTCGAGAAGGTTGCAAACTCCCCTGCCAAAGAGACTGCACCATCTTCGGCAGCCGGTACCCCTACGATCAAGGTCACCCAGCCCTCGCTCGATGGCCCCTCCGGTGGTACCAAAAACACCACTTCACCATTCAAGTCCAGCGCCCTAGCATCGTCCACGAAGCCTTCTACGAACGGTAGTTTGGCTCGGTCGGTCCTGGAGAGCGGCTTGAAATCTGCGTCTGGTGCTGCACAGAACAGCAATATCTTTGGTTATCTGTCAGACGCCAGCTCCGCCAAGGGCAGCGGCAACGATAACGCGGATGCGGATGGCGAGGATACGGACGATTCTGACGCCGATGGCCAGGACGAATCTGAAGCCCAAGAGGGCAGTGACAACCAGAGTGCTTCCGTCAGTGGAAGTGCATCAGTTGCGCAACCCTCTGCGTCTCTTTTCGCCCCCAAGTCAGCCAACCCCCTGCTCGCCGCTTCTTCGCAGAATGCCTCTGCCAGCTCGTCTGAGGCTTCGGATGCCACGCCTAGCCGCAGTCTCTTCGACCGTGTGAACAAGGGCTCGGACGGACAGCCGATCCGTATGTTTGGTGGCAACGATGGTTCTTCCCCGTCTTTCCAGTCAGCACCTGCGGCCGCGTCTTCGGCTACACCCCTCTTTGGCAGCAAGCCCACTTCTGAGCGTGCCAGTCCAGAAAAGGAGCCGGCAACGTCGTCGCTGTTTGGCGGTGCCAACAAGACGTGGACGCCGGATAGCCCAATCAAATTCGCTGGCGGTGCCTCGACAACGCCAGGCAAGCCTCTGTTTGGCAGCGCTCCTTCCACCACACCTGCGGCGGCAGGCGGCAGCACCACCATTTCGTCTCCCTTTAAGTTTGGCACCGCGGCCGCTCCCGCTAGCAGTGCGACGGCACCGGCCACAGAGAAACCTGCTGCTTCCGAGAAGCCAGCTGATGACAAGGCCGCTGATGACAAGGCCCCGGCGGACAGCTCCAAGGAGTCGACATCCGCTACCCCCGCAGCTGCCGCACCGCCTTTGTTCGCATTTTCGAACAAGTCTGCTGAAACGGGCTCGTCAACGCCGTCTCTTTTCGGTGCATCGGTCACAAAGGCACCAGAATCTTCTTCGACCGGCTCTCTGTTTGGTGCTGCCGCCACGCCGGCGACTGGCCCATCGACCCTGTTCGGCAAGGCTCCATCCACCACACCTTCCTCTGTACCTGCTTTTGGCGCCTCGCAGACGCTCTTTGGCAATGCTACTAAGACAGACACGCCCTCCTTTGGCCAAAAACGGTCTGCTGACGAGGACTCTGCGCCGAAGGCTGCACCGTCTCTGTTTGGAAATGCGGCGAAGAGCGGTGACTCCAACACCAACGACGAACCGCAGGCAAAGAAGACCATGTTTGGCGCTTCATCAAGTGGCCCTGCGGCGCCTGGATCCTCGACCCCTCTGTTTTCCTTTGGTGCTCCCAAGACGGACGGTGATGCGGACAAGTCTTCCAGCAGCGCGACATCGAAGGCGCAGGAGAATAAGCCGCTCTTTGGCAGCGCCCCCGTTGGCGGCGCTACAGAGGCCCCAAAAACGCAGTCTCCCAGTCTGTTCGGCAACTCCACGCCTTCTACGGCACCTGCGGCACCTGCGGCCACCGCGGCGTCTACCCCGTTGTTCAGTTTTGGCGGCAACAATACCACCACGCCTGCTGCCCAGCCGTCTGGAGATGCTATCTTTTCATTCGGCGCGTCTAGCTCCCAGCCGCAGCAGAGCTCAGCTCCTGCTCCCTCAACCGGTTTCAGCTTTGGCGGCGGTAGCGACGCTGGCTCTGTTGGTTCGGGAGGCTCGTCATTCACTTTCAACGCTGGAGGCGCAGGCGGTGCCAGCCAGCCTTTCCGCAACCCATTCGCACCAGGTGCTGATTCGTCCGCTGCCAGCCAACCGCCATCGTCGTTCAGCTTTGGTGCCGGTGGCGCTGACGGCCAGTCGTCCACACCAAGCACGTCCATGTTCCAGTTTGGTGGTGGCGCGCCGGCTGCCACTCCGACTGCAAGCACTGGCGGTGCTGGTGGACTCTTCTCTTTTGGCGGTGGCTCCCAGACCACGGAGCCTGCGACGACGCCGGGCAACAGCTTCGGCGGCGGCGCAGCCTCTGCCGGCAACGGCTCGGCAATCTTCAGCTTCGGCGGCGGAACGCCGGCCCAAGCAAGCGGCACGCCGCTCTTTGGCCAGCAGAAGCCTGCTGGCGCGCCAATGTTCAATCTCGCCCCACCCATGGGCGGAGCATCATCAGGTACTAGTAAGTTTCATATCAGACCCAACCATGGCGTATCCATGAGGAGAGGAACATCCGTTGACCGTCTGGACTTAGACACCCCCTTCACCAATCTCGGTGGCGCCTCTAGCCTGGCTACTACACCGGCCTCTGGCACTCCCGAGCCTGGTGCCACGCAAGACAATACGGATAATTCTGGACACCAGGCTGACGGAGATGAGGCCCCACAGGAACAAATCAGTTTAACCGACGGCGGGCCGGGCGAGGAGGACGAGGCCGCCGTCCATGAGGTGCGTGCCAAGGCCCTCCGACTCTCGACCGGCAACGACGACTCGGGAAGCGAATCGCCCGCGGCCAAGGAGAAAAAGAGCCCGTGGAAGACGGAAGGTGTGGGCCCGCTGCGCGTGCTCAAGAACAAGACAACCGGCCACATTCGTCTTTTGCTGCGGGCCGAACCGCGCGGACACGTGGCTCTGAACCGAGCGCTCCTCCCCGACTTTACCTACAAGCCGGAACCCAACGCCAAATACGTCAAGTTGACAACGTCAAACGAGGCCGGCAACGGCCTGGAGACGTGGATGCTCCAGGTCAAGACAAAGGAGGCGGCCCAGAAGCTTGCCGAGGTGCTCGAGGAGCACAAGGCGTCCAACAAAAAGTAGTCGACAACGATGCGCATCGACGACCGGTTTTTTTTTTAGTATCACCTGCCTCTCCCACCCCTTACCATTTCCCCCTTTCCCCCTCCATTTTTCGTCTATATTGTCTCACCTTGTACCTTATTCCCTACACTATTTAATGTTGCGAGACCTGCATATGTTTTCTACGGAGTTTTCTGTTGTTCTTGTATGTTGCTCTTTCATTTTCGTTCCTTTTCATTTCGTACCTCCGTTTTTATAATTTGGCTTTTAGTGGAGTTTCTTGGAAGGCCGGACCAGCATCATCTATTTCACACTTGCGTTTTATCGGCCCCATCACTGAGTTATTTGCAACAGAGCTGAGCTGTGCGTGCGTGCATGGAAAAAAAGAATCATCGGAAAGGAGCATACATGGCTTGTTTGTCCAGAAAAGGGAGGCCCCGTTTCGTCATTTTATTCAATAAAAGAGGATTTCAAAAGAGAAGTCATGGCTTGCGTTCGTTTAGCCAGAGGGCATCCGTGTTCGTTATGTGTTGTCTTGTGCTTCGTTACTCTTTTGACTCGTCACTTCTGTCATCGCCGAGACTGTATCTGTGCGACAAGAGCCAACATTCTATGTAATTAATTTCTACAACACAAACCCAGCACTTTTCCAATCACACGTTTTGGATTTCTCCTCTTTGCCCTGCCTGCCGCATGCCTACGGCAGAAGGACCTGCTTCTCCTTCTTGAGCTGGTTGACGAAACTCAGAGGCACTTTGAGGGTCTGGGAAACGATGTCGGCGGGGGTCAGGGCCAGCCACTGGGTCAGCGAAATGTCGGCGACGCGGTCCGACTTGTAGATCTCGATCCAAACGAGGTCATCGGTCTCGGAAGTGTTCTCAATATAGTGGCTGCGGAAGTTAGCATCGACGACAAGCAACGGGCAACAACGGCAACAACGACGACAACGGTGACGACGAAAGAAGCACTCACCCCGAGTTGTCCGGGAAAGCAGCGGTGTCACCAGGCCCAAAGTCGAACGTGCGGGCATTGCCGCCGCCAATGAAGACGGTGGCCCTGGCGGTGCCGTTGTGGAAGTACAGCCATTCTTGGGCCTGAGCGTGTTAGCCAATCTGGGTCGACGTCGGTGATAGCCCAAAACGAGAAAAGAAAAAAAAAAAAAAAAAAAAAACAAGGAGACACAGAGAGCGAGAGAAAGAGTGAGCTCACATTCGGGTGCCAGTGCATCTCGCGCAAACCGCCCGGCTTGAGGGTCACGATGGCGGCAACAATGGTCTTGGCAATGGGAAACTTGGTTGAGTCGACCTTGTACAGCGAGCCGCCGCCGCCGGGGGTGGAGTCAGGCTCGTGCTGGTACGTGCGGTACACGTATGTGGTGGACGCGTTGACGTTGCTGCCGAGCGAGGGCGGGTTGGCGACGGAGTCATTGGCCGCCGAAACAGTGGCGTTGATAATGTACGGGTCGGTGGTCGGCACGTTGGCGAAGACGGACTCGTTGACGCCAAAGTTCTTGGCCAGGATGCTCTTGGGCGTGTGTGCGACCCAGTCGTCGACCATGAAGGTGGTGCCGACCTTGTCAAAGTCGGCGTCGTCAAAGACGAGCAGGTACTCGTTCTGGTCCTCGAGGCCCTGGACGGTGTGGGCGACGCCTTTGGGGAAGTACCAGATGTCGCCGTACTCGAGGCGCTCGACCTGGTACTGGCCATTCTCGTCGACCGCGGAGAGGAGGATGGCGCCGGCATAGACGATGCCCCACTCGGCAACGCGGTGCCAGTGCAACTCACGCAGCGAGCCCTTGGTCAGGTGCTGCTGGGCGGCGGCGACGGTGTTGCTCGAGGGCAGGTCGGTGACGACGGTCTCGCGCGTCCAGCCGCCCTTGAACAGCTTAGTCTTGGAGTCGGAGAAGCTCCACTTGAGGTTGGGCACGGTGCCGGCGTCACTGGTGGGCAGCTCGCCGAGGTTGTCCGGGTTTTGGGCGTCGAGAGCGGCGTTGGTGCCACCGAGTATCGGGGCGCCCTTTCCGGATCCGTCTTCAGGCTGCGGCTTGACGGACCGGGCCTCAAGCGAGCGGGCCACGACGCTCGATGCGGCAAGAGCGATGGACAGCACGTTGAGCTTCATGGTGAATGAGGAAACTGGGGACTGAAAACGAGTAAAGCAAACAAAGGTCTATCAGAGGGCCTACAAAAGAGAACGAAGAGGTTTTGAGAGCATCATGGCCAAGCCACCAGGAGAGGGACAAGCTGATATTTATATATCTGTTTGCGGCCCTCGACCATGCCTTTATTTGTCAATAAGCTTTCCTACGCCTTCGCAAGCTCCCGTCAAGCTTGTTCGTCCCATCCACCGCACCCCTCCTCGCGGCACCCCCATCACGGCTTGCAGTTTGCAGGCTAATCTGCACCTTGGCCGTGCTGGACCCCGACGAGCGAGCTGTGATTTGCCGGCAGCCGGGTGGCGCAACGGTACGTCTTTACCTTTGTGGGTTGCTATTACGTAGGTTGCTGCTTCTCAATCATTCTGTTGTTCTCCGGCGCATCTACCAATTCGTGTTTGGCGTCCGACTTGAGCAGCTCGCCGACCATGTAAAGCTTATTTCTGCTTTTGATGGGACCTGCCAAGATCGCACATCCTTCCCAAACCGCAACCTGGACACCGCATTCCCCATTTTAAGCCAGTATGAGGTCACGGCGAAGTGGCTGATCCCAGAGGCAGGACACAGAATTACGCGCAAAATACACAGAAATGAAACCGTGCGGAAATGACGATGCAAGCATTGCCTCTTCGCTGACCTGGATTGTGTCATCGTGCGGCTGTCAACTAAGGCGTGCGAGCAAGTGGAGAACGTGGGATTGATGGGGGACCTTGCAGCAAACACACACAAGACGACAAACGACATCTTGGGGATCGACGCAGCCTCGCGTCCGAATCGAGACAAAGCGCGGTCGATGCGCAGTCTTGGCATCACACAATCGAGGTGTTTTGTCAGGCCTAGAGAGCTGAAGGTATGGAGGCATACAGGGATACGACCTGTCGGTCGACGGCAAGAAAGCGTCTGCCTCTCTTTGTGACCTTTGGCCGTCAAAATTTCAAGCATCAAAATGTCAATATCAACAAAATATTCGAGATCGAGGCGACCGCGAATCAAAATTTCCTGTGAAGTGCGCGAGAGAAAGGACTACCACTGCATGGGGTATACAAAATGAAAACAAAAGTGCCAACATATTGGAAATTAACGGGAAATACGTCAGAACAAAAAGAAATCGGATCGGACAAGAAAAATATAATTTCACACGCAAATGGCAGTCTCTCTCTGTTGCATTGAGCCTGTAGGTGAAGTGGAGGTCGCTTTGGTCGCACCTGCCCAGTGCCAGCCGTCAGCGCCTTAGGCAGAAACCCCTGTGTTCTTGCCTTGCGCATTGCAACGCTTCGTTGTGCCCACCTCCTTCTGTTCCTGGCAAAGGGGCCAACAAACAACAAGCGCGGCTGCGAACTGTGGGTCAGTCGTCCCTTCTGCCACCAGGCTGGGCCACCCCTCACTACTCTGGCGCAAGTGGGAAAGTGCGACCGTGGGGAACACCGCCAGACCACTCGCTTTGGCCAATAATTTTCTGTTTAGGCGGGTTTTGGCAGCGTTTGCGCCAGAATGTGAATTTTGCTGGTACTCCGTATGAGTCAAAACGCATCGCCAAACCGAACCTCGCAACGCATCGTAACTTTTCGTGCAGCCATTCGTCTCCAAACGTGCTGCTCTGCGCACATTTTTGCTAGCCCACCAGACCGTGGCCGACGTTTCTCCGCCCGCACACCCGCAAACCCCTCGAAACCGCCGCCATGCCGACCATTGGCGTCGACAAATACCGCCTCTTCAAGGAGTTGGGCCAGACGTGAGTGGATTGGGTCCTCACGAGGGGACAAGGAAGACCAGACACGGCGCTAACACAATCCACAACCCAGCTTCACGCCTGATGAGTTCCAGGACCTGGCCTTTGAGTTCGGCGTCGAGGTCGACGAGGACACCGAAGATGACCCGGCACGACCGGCCGACGAGCCGCCGGAGCTCAAGATTGAGATCGGCGCCAACCGCTACGACATGCTGTGCTTTGAGGGCATTGCCATGAACCTCAACGTCTTCCGCGGCAAGATTGCCATGCCCAAGTTCCGCCTGCTCGACATCCCCGAGTCCCAGATGCAGACCATCACCGTCAGCAAGGACACCTCGCGCGTGCGGCCGCTCGTTGCTGGTGCCATTCTGCGCAACATCAACTTCACCCAGGCCACCTACGACTCGTTCATCAGCCTGCAGGACAAGCTGCACCAGAACCTGGCCCGCCAGAGAACACTGTGAGTGGTGGTCAAGGCGGTAGGAGACGAGACATCGTTTGGGCTTGCATGAGGACTCGTAGCTGACAAACCATCCAGAGTCTCCATCGGCACACATGACCTCGACACGATCAAGGGCCCCTTCACGTACGAAGCGCACAAGCCCGAGGACATCTCGTTCATCCCGCTCAACCAGACCAAGGCGATGAACAGCACGGAGCTCATGGCCTTTTACGAGTCCGACAAGCACCTCGGCCGCTACCTGCACATTATCCGCGACAAGGAGGTCTACCCGGTCATCTATGACGCCAACCGCGTCGTCTGCTCGCTGCCGCCCATCATCAACGGCGACCACTCCAAGATCACGCTCAACACCAAGAACGTCTTCATCGAGATCACGGCCACCGACGAGACCAAGCTCGATATTGTCTGCAACATGATGGTCACCATGTTCTCCGGCTACTGCGCCGACCCCTACACCATTGAGCCCGTGCGTATTGTCTCCGAGCACAATGGCGCCTCGCGCGTCACGCCCAGCCTCGTCACGCGCAACGTCGACGTCGAGGTCGACTACATCAACCAGTGCTGTGGCCTCGAGGAGTCGCCGGACGCGCTGGTCAAGCTGCTGGCCAAGGTGACCTTTGCGGCCACGCCGTCGGCCGACGGCAAGATCCTGCACGTGGCCGTGCCGCCGACACGCGCCGACATCCTGCACCCCTGCGACATTATGGAGGATGTCGCGGTCGCGTACGGCTTCAACAAGCTGCCGCGGTCGTCGCCCAACAAGTCGGCCACCATTGGCCAGCCGCTGTTGATCAACAAGCTCGCCGACATTGTGCGGCTCGAGTCCGCCATGGCGGGCTGGATCGAGGTCATGCCGCTGATCCTGTGCTCGCACGACGAGAACTTTGGCTGGCTCAACCGCAAGGACGACGGCAGCACGGCCATCAAGCTGGCCAACCCCAAGACCACCGAGTACCAGGTTGTGCGCACGTCGCTGCTGCCCGGCCTGCTCAAGACCATCCGCGAGAACAAGAGCGTCGCCCTGCCGCTCATGATCAGCGAGGTGTCGGACGTCGCCTTCAAGGACGACTCGGTCGAGCGCCACGCCCGCAACGAGCGCCACTGGGCCGCCGCCTACTCGTCCAAGTCGGCCGGGTTCGAGATGGTGCACGGCCTGCTCGACCGCGTCATGGCGATGCTGCGCAGCGCCTTCATCACACGCGAGGAGGGCCTGGAGGCCGCCAAGGAGACCGCTGCGGCCATTGCCACGCCGACATCCTCCAAGCCGGGCGCCCAAGACGGCTACTACATCCAGGAGATCAACGACCCGACTTTTTTCCCCGGCCGCGCGGCGGCCATCTACCTGCGGCTCAACGGCAAGACCCAGCGGATAGGCGAGCTGGGAGTGCTGCACCCAACCGTGCTCGAGGCCTTTGGCCTGAGGTAGGACCCTCTCTGTGTGGTTTTGGTTTTGTACTGTGCTGTTACCAAGTTGATACTAACATGTCCAGATACCCCGTGAGCACAATGGAGATCAACCTGGAGGTTTTATTATAAGAGACGAGAGGCTATTTGTGGGGTAGTGAAAAGTGGCATTAGCAAGACTAAAATAGATATGGAGGACATTAAAAACGAAAAGGGGAATGTGACAGTGATCATGTCAAGCAAAATCCAAAAAAGTACGCATTTGAACAAGTAAACAGGTGGTACGACGGGTGGAGCAATAAAATGAAAGTGATGCCAGGTAACGAAACCGATGAACCGAGACTTGTCTCTCCATTTTATCAGTGAATCATGTAGTCCTCATCCGAGATGACCCTCGTCCTTTATGCTGTGTCCTCCGTAGGACTGCAACGCTGACTGTGTGCCGTGTCACTCTCACAGCATTTCTTAACCCGTGTAAGATACAACGTATCGCTTGCGGTAATCGTATGGTCGTTGAGTTGTCTAATTCTTGAGGCCTTTGCCCCACAGCTCCTTCCTACATGTCAATTCTTCAGGGACTCTCCGTCCCCACCAACGGCAGCCAAACGCACTAACGCTCCGCGCCTGCCAATACCAGCCTCTTCTCACCAACGAACAAGCCTTGTGCCTTCCCTTCCCGGCAGTTCCGGAGCCAAATCGTAACGCCAGACCCTCTTCGGCACACCATCACACTCAGCAAAAACGGAAGTAACCCCACCAAGTCCAACTACCAGCAACAGCGTCTGCCACCCGCGCCTGCCGGTCTTTGTGCCACCGCTGTATGCACACGCGGTACAGCGCATTTCGTTCTAAAACGGCAGGAAAGCTCGCAAAACGACAGGGGGCAGGTGCAGAGCAGGGGATAGCTTTTGACTAGTTTCTTCTCCATTGTCAACCGTCACCAACTCCCCATATCCATCCTTACACCCCGAGCCTTGAGACATGAACGCAGGAGCCCATACCTGACTTTGTGCAAGGAGAAGCACAGGCACTCCGTATCTCGATTTTCGAGACGTCGCCCTTGCTGTGTGTTGCTCTCGTCGGCCTCTAAAGTCATCAAATACTGCCCTCTCCCCATTTCCTTTCTACTACTCTGTTTCACCTCTCAGCTTAACCTCACCTTATATTGGCCTCGACCGGGGCAGTGATGGAGATGCGTGTTCCCGGCGCCTGAAGATCGTCGCCAGTCCCGGCCCGAGCACGTTTCCCTTCCAGTTGTCGCCGTTCTCTGGAAAGCCCATTCTCCCCAGCAAAGGCTACGGCACGCTGACGAGGGCAAGAAAGGCGAGAAAGGCCAGACAGAAGCACGGCATTTCTGTGCCCTGTGTAACGCAGCCTCCTCCCGGCCAGTGCTCCTTCGGACTGACTTGCCCAACCTGTCGTGAGCCGACCACTTCTTTGTGACGCCTATTTATTCTCTCCCGAACCGCATCGACGACTGGTTCTTTTTGTCCTTCCTCAGCTGCCCGCCATCTCGAACGACGACCCCTTTCTTGTATCCATCTGTCCCGTTCTCCTACTTGACCTGTCTCAACCCGGAACAGAGAGCTATGCGCTAGCCCATCGTTTTCTCCCATCCGACCAACGTTGCAACACTGCGCACATTGCATACGGCTAACTATTGGGCGACAAACGACATCTGGGATCACCCTGAACTTCGGTTCTGTTTGACCTTGACGACCTATCAACTCCGTCTCCTTACTACTTCTTTTTAAAAACACTCTGGGAGTCTATTATAACACCGACCACGGGCGGACCACTCAAACCATGAGCTATTACGGCGACGATGACGGGGACGTCCAGAGCCCCTTGTTCTCCCAGAAGACGTGGATTGGCGTTGCCGTGCCCCTCTGTGTCGTGGCTGGCATCATCTTCTCCTCCGTCTTCTTTTTAGCCCGTCGGCAGAGGGCCCGGCGGCGCCGGAACGGACTTTCTCTCAACCAGCAAGGCCGCCTCGCGCTCGAGCGTGACATTCTCGAAGAAGGCTACGGCACGGGGCCCCATGGTACCAATGAAACTAGCGAGCGTCGTGACATACGAGCTTCACAGACCGGCCCAGGGTCAAATACTCAGAGCATCTATCTGGGGCGGTATTTCCGCACCAACAACAGCACTGCTGCCAATGGCCGCGGAATAAGCGCAGCGCCGCGTCGTCCTGGTGACGGCCGGCGCCGCCCACGGACTGCCAACCGCTGGGCATGGGCGCACACGACAGGCCTCGCAAACACCACCCGCGATGCACACCGCATGGAAGGGCTCAACGAGCTGGGCGAAGCGCCGCCGCCCTATGAAGCACCCAAGAAGGCGACCATGACGGGTAGTGGCGAGGATGGACAGCATGACGAGCGGGCGTCCGTCGCAGAAGGTGTTTCTGTGCCGGCACCTGCGCACGTACGGCCAAGATCTGGCTCAGGCTCGGGCACGGGCACGGGCTCAGGCACGAACACGTCGGCCATCGCGCCGAACAGGAGCTTCGAAGAGGGGACGATGGCAGCAGCAGCAGAGACATCGTTACAATCTAGGCCGCATTCGCCTGCGTCCAGTGAGGCTGAGGGAGCGGCAGCATCACGGACAGCCGGGTCACCTTTGGTATCGTCGTCATCGCCCTCGACGCCGTCCGTCGCAGTCGCCTCACCATCTACATTACCGCCTGCCTACAGCGAACGAGCAGCTTCGAGCCGCGGGGATCGGCGATGATGCCGGGGGCTCGTCTCTCTAATTAAATTACTACCAACTCACCATTGCTCTACATACTTGCTCCGGCATGTCTGCCCAAGCGGCAGGGCACAACCCCATATCTTCGACGAAGAATCACGACCCACGACACTACATACCATTCTGCGATCACGATACTTTTTGCTGTTCTGTTCTTTTCTGGTATTTATTTCTTCCATGGCTACATCTTTGGGACCATCATAGGAGAATCGGAGAAACCGGGAGTTAAGGATCACAAAGGCGTTCCTGCGAACTGACGGAGCCAAACGGTTTATCTTGTTCCTTTTAATTTCAAGATGCTCCTAAGAGGCATTTCTCGGGTTGGAACACGGTTTGGGACACGAATCTCTATGTCTCAGGGGTATTTCTAGATGTTTTATGTTTAACCAGCTCATAATCATGATAATTTCATGCATGGCCCTTTTCCATCTGCAAGTTCCAGTGGCCAACTTCAGCATGTGGACACTACGCTGTATGTAGCACACGGAGTAGACGCGTATTAGCATGTGAATGACTGGCGGCTGAAATATTTGACCCACTTTTATGCCTCGTCAGCCTCATCCACGCTGAAAGCAAAGCTTCTGTTTCGTAGCCTTCTTCCCCTCCTCGTTCACGACTTCATCACTCGCTCCCCCAACGACACACGACGCCCGGCCTTCGCTCGCAACCATGGTGCGTGCTATCCGCGGCGTTCTGGTCGAGTGCGACCCGGCAATCAAGGCCATTATTGTCAACATCGACAGCGAGCGTCACGACTTTATCATTGAGGACCTCGACGAGAACCGCCTTGTCATCAACGAGAACATGATGGAGACTCTGAAGCGGAGGTTGGGAGAGGTAAGATGCTCTCGGTGATGCTCTAGCAAAGGCGTACTTTGCATGCTGACATGTCCAGCGCCTCAAAGAAACCCAGCAGGAGGAGGAGGCGTCCGACTCGAACTAGAACAAAGGCGAGAGATGCACATCGGACACAGACGGCGTTTTGGGCTACAATTGTTTGCAAAGGGCGTTTGGCAGACACGAATTCAATACTCTTGACAAAGAAATAATCGATTGAAACATCTATAAGCTTTTATGCATGGTCCCCATATCTATACACAACCCGGTGGGTGGCTTTCCTGCGACAACCGCCGCCTGCCTATAACTTGGAAAAATGTGGCTTCGTCTTCTGCATGCCCGACATCAGAGCTACCTGGACGTCGTCGCACTGGATGGCTGACGCGTTCCATACGGCCGTGTACTTGAGGGCTGCGTGTGTGTGTCAGTATGGAAATCATATCCGTGTAAAATGGGGGATGGGATGGACATACTATCATCAACGGTGTGGTCCCGGCCGTGGACCAGCAGCTCCTTGGTGCCCTGCACGGCAACGGGGCTCTTGGCAGCGATCAGGGTCGCCATCTGCAGACCATAGGCCAGCGCGGCCGCCTTGTCCGGCAGCACGCGGCTCACAAAGCCGACCGCCTGGGCCTCGGCGGCCAAAAAGTCGCGTGCCGTCAGCGACACTTCGGCCACCCACGACTGCGACGCCACAATGTGCGGCAGCCGCGCGAGCGAGCCCAGGTCGGCGGCCAGGCCAATGTCGACCTCCTTGACGGCGAACCGCGTGTCGCTGGCGCAGATGCGCACGTCAGCACAGCATGCCACGTCCACCGCCATGCCGAGGGAGATGCCATGCATCACACAAATGACGGCTACAAGGAGTGCCAGCAGAGTTAGTGGGTGGGAGCCTTCGAGGAAACAAAATGAGGAAAACACAGAGAGAGAACGAGTCAGGACGGAGCGAACGCACGCTTCTCGCACTTCTCAATGGCAGTCAGAGAGTCCTGCATGCCCTGAATGTGCCGACGCATGTAGACCGTGCGGCGCGCCGTGTCCGGCAGGTTGCCCATCTCGCTGAACCACTGGCCGGCCGAGACGACGTCCAGCCCTGTCGTGAACGCGCGGTCGCCGGCACCCGACAGGACAATGGCACGCACGTCCGAGTCCGCCGACAGCTGCTTAAAAGCCTGACCGAGCTCAAGCCATAGGTCCGGGATGAAGGCGTTGAGCTTTTCGGGGCGGTTCAGCTCGACATGAGCGACGTACTCGGCCGGCTTCGTGATGCGGATGTACTTGAACGACATGATGGCGGTAGGTGGTGGTAGGCGTCGAGTGTGTTTGAGGCGACCGATAAGACGACAAAAATAGAAACAAAGACGGGAGAAACAAGAGAAACAAGAGAAACAAGAGAAACAAGAGAAACAAGAGAAACAAGAGAGACACAAAAGCGCAGACGTTGCAAAGGCGACGAACTTAAGGCAGGCAGTCCGGGGAAGTCCAACTCGGAGAAGGGCCTTGATTAATAGTATTAGCAGGTGACATGCCGAGGCTCGTGCTAGTGCATTCTGCGGTGGCAGGAGCTGGCGCCAGTGTTGGCTAGCGTCTACACAGTGCTGGCCACGACGACTGCGAAGAGTCCGTAATTACATTATATCGCAGAGAAACCTGGCCCAGCCCTGGCCAGACAGTGAGCGTCCTGGCGTCAAGAAAAAGCTGATAGCGGACTCGCCTATGAATAGTGACGATTTGATATATGCTTTTCTTTTTCTTTTTGTTTCTGTTCTTTTAGTTGGCCTTCTGCTTTCCACGGTGGAGAGAGCAAAGGAGCATGCCACAATTTCGATGTCTACTCATAAGTTCGCTAAGCAACCTACGCTTTGTCTCGGCTGGCCTTTTGTCACGCGTGTCTCTTTTTTCTTGGACATTACCTGTTCACTATTTCGTACCTGATGAGAATATGTCACTATTTAGTCTCACTTATGATGTTGGCGGTTCCTTCCCGTGGCTCGTCTTTGCTCCTTCCCGGCATTCCAATTCAGTACAGAACCAGCAACAGCGCCCCACACGACAACTCCACGCTATCGCAACGCCAAAAGGAAAGCACGGCCCTGGTCATCCACGCAGGTAACACCCACTAATCGGTTAGACGTCACCCAGAAAGAACCCTGCGATGTGTGTCTTAGCCGACTCGCGAACGTCGCAAAGCGCATAGCACAAGGATGCTCTTCTGCCTTTGCTTGCCGCATTGGGCTCTGTGTGCGTGGTTGCTGAGTCGTTTGTTGCTTCCTCCACTGCTTCCTCATTTGTTTCGAGCTCCTTCCCCTTTGCTCCTTTGCGGCTTCCCTGTCTTGGACACGAGGTATTCTCGCTCCTTCCTCGCTTCGTGTCTCGTAACTTCTCGCAACCAGCGACACATATCCGATACTCCCACAGACCAGACCAGGTCCTGGCTTGGCCGGCCCGTTTGCGGTCTTTCTGTGCCAGTCTGCGCCCATTATGCAGCCTCTGTTGCGTCCCAGGACCCTTCCCGCTACACCGCGTCCTTCTTAGCATAATACATAGTAGTGCATTATCATGGGCGTCCATCCGGTCGTTCTTGCCACCCAGCTCCTTCCTTCCTTAACCGCTTCGGCCAGGCCACCATCGTTCGTCGCGGTCGTACCTGCCCTCTCCACAGCCATCTCGCTGCGTGCTGGTCGTGCATGAACGGCTCCTCTTTCCTGCGCAACGCGTCCCGGTGTCCCAATGCTTTCGCCTCGGCCTCCTTTTTCTGCTTCCTCTTTTGTGTCCTTTGTGTTCCCGTCTGTTTGTCTTCTTCCACAGTATCTTACAACGTACTGCTCGGCCAACTTTACCATTTCATCTCCTTTCTCGGCCACGGCGCCATTCCTATCTTTTTCATTCGTTCTAGTGTAATTTTTGGTTATCAAGATACTCCCACCACGCCCACTCAAACCCTCCCACAGCAGCAGCATCTTGGATCTAAACATTGCGAGCCAAACAACTCAACAACAGCAAGGCGACGAGGCGACGAACCAAGGGTAGCAGCAAAAGAAGCAAGAAGCAAGAAGCTTGACGACCCCACCGTATTTGCTTTTACAGTCCGTCGAATCCTTGTGCGGGCCCGCCCTCACCGCAACACAGGCCCAGGTGATGGATTGAAGAATCGCGGTCCTCCGTCCGCAAACGTTGATCCTAGCCGCTTTCGCAACATCCACTGTGCACACGCGCTCCCTCCCTGGCTTGTGCTATCGGCTGGCGCCAGTCGCCTTAGCTCCATTTCCTGTCCGCCCCTACGCCTTTTTCTACCCGCCTGGCGGCCGTGTCTCGTTTCTTATTCAGACTCCTCAGACTGGTTTCCCCCAACCCCAACGTGCATTCCACCCTGCATTTTACCTTGTTTCTGCTTCTCATCTCATCTCAGGCACGCAGTGCTCAGTCCTCTTTGTGTTTTGCATTCTGTCTCTCTTTTCCGCGTCGATATTGCTATTTTCTTTTGTCATTGTTTTGCTACAATTCTGCCACTGTTGCCCTTTGACCTCGCATGTTTCCGTCCCCCGGATCGACCAAGAAATCTTCCACGATCGACAGACAGCAGGCAAATTTCGGTAACAAGCACCAGGGAACCTAAAAGTCCAATACAGCGCAATAACGTCCCCAAGGGCCCAACACACACCAGTGTCGACTCGTCGACTCGCCGACTCGCCCCTAACACCATCGCCCCTGTGCCTTCTCCGCCAAATAATTACTTCGGACTGGCCTTTCCCGTGGGTCCTCATCCTGGCGTCCTACCTGCTCGTGTCCCTTAGGTTCCCTTCGACTTTTCTCGCACTTGTATTTCCTAGTCTTGACAACTTTTGCTTTTACCTCGAACATAGTATCTCGCCATTATATCATAATAGCCGCCGCGGCTGGCTCAACTCGACGTTCTAGTCCCCGCCTTGATATTTTCTTCTTTTCGTTTTTTTTCTCTCCCGACACACTCTCTCCTTCTCCGTCTGGCTGCCCGCCTCGTATGATACGCCATTCTCTCATCGTATCTCACTCTTTTTATTGCTCGCGCGCGCCTCAGCCCGACGCTTCACATTTCGACCCCCTCTCTCACCTTCGTACGACAGCGACTGCGCGGCACCACAGACCACAGCCATTCTGCCACGAAACGCCCTCTCGTCTAGTGGATGCTATAACACCCGTCCGTCGCTTTTGCTTGTCGACCTATCGTCCTCTCGCTTGATTTGTCCCTGACGCCCGACGCAATTTTCTCATTCGACACCGTTTCTCCGACAGCCAGCACCCGCTCTCCTTCGCGCTGTACTCCTGACGAATCTCAGCTTTGACACTGTACAATCGTGACGCTTCAATCTCCTTTTTCTTCTCGTCGACGACATCATCGACATCCCGTGGGTCGCTGTTGATTTTGCATTCGCCTAGGTGTCCGCAACTGCGCGCGCGACGACAGCACTCCTCGGGTCTTCTTTCAAGCTTTCATCTTTTTTTTTTCCCCCCAGAAGTGAGAGATACAATCATACCGCCCACTTTTTGCCCCCCTCGAAATCAATCGTCGAATTTACTCTCCCTCCCCCGTTCTTCTCTCTCTCATCCCTCCCTCCACTCCACGCACGAGCTTTCTCCCCTTACTTCGGTCCTTTTGCGCACTACTGAGGTTCGCACCTCATCTTCGCCGCCACTATGGCTGCAGCACAAAATCCACGACCCGACGTGGGCGACATTCTCGTCGTGATCCGTAAGTCCGACCCACGAGAAGGCGACACGAAGCATGTGGTCTGCGATTCGTGACTAACCACGGCCCTCACCGATACAGACGACTTTCAAGCTAGAAGTTCAGATGAATTGACACTGGCAAAGGGCGACCGAGTTGAGCTGTTGGAGCGGGACGACGAATTTGGCGACGGTTGGTTTTTGGGAAAGCACATGGTCAGCAGCAACACTGGCCTGTTCCCTGAAGGTACCCCCCCCCCCCCCCCCCCGATCCCCTTTACGCTGGCTTTCGATTTGACGGGTTTTATGTTCTTATTATTTCATGGCTAACGTGTTCGTATCCAGTCTACACCCGCCCATCTCCAAAAGGCTTCCCCACCGGTGCCAGCGCTCTCGCCGCCGTAAAACAAGTTCCCCTGCCGAGTCTACCGACCAGCCCAACCACCGAAGAGAAGCCGCCTCCGCCGTATACGATTTCAGATGACAATGCGGCCGCAACCGCATCCTCGTCAAATGGGACGGCCGCCGTGTCGACATCTTCCAACGTAGCCGAGCCACCGGCCGCTACAGCTGCCGCCTCTGTGCCTGATTCTTCTGCTCCAGCACCGGCGTCGAATACAACTGCCCAAGACCGGCCACAGTCCCCGACGACACCTACGGCCGCAACGATCCCCGTCTCGTCCCAACCCCCAACGTCGATTAACGTGGATTCGCCTGCACCCACTTCGTCGTTCAACCAGTCAACACCTCCTCCTGTATCTGCGAGCACTGGCTATAGCGGACGCCTGGTTTCAGGACATGACAGCCAAGTCCTGCACGAGACACTCAACGTCATCGACGAACACATTACCGACCTTCGGTCTCCATCCGGAAGCAATGGCACGCACCTGCACGCACCTACCGACTCTGGCAGTGAATACAGCTCCAACCTCGACCACCGCATGTCCTACATCCAGGGCGAGGAAACGGACGAGGAGGAAGATGGCTTGCACACCCGCAGCGAAGTCGAGGCTTGGGGCCCCGACGATGTCGCGGAGTACCTTTTTACCGTCGGTGTCGAGAAGAAGCACTGCGAGGTCTTCCGTGACCAGGAAATTACGGGTGAAGTCATCTTGGAGATGGACCAGGCGTCGCTTTTTATCAAGGCATTTGATTTGGGTCCCGTGGGGCGCCGCCTGAAGACATGGCAGAAAATCAAGGCTTTGCAGGACGAGGTGAATGGCCACGGATCCGCCACAGGAAACAGGCGGCGGAGCAATTACGGTAGCGACATTGCTTCCGAGGATGCGAGACGGTCAAATCGCAGCCGCACAAACACTCTAACTGGTGCCAACAACCCGCCCAACATGCAGCAGCGTCTGCCGCCTATTGACGACCGCCCGATCTCGATCCAATCCCGTCGCCTTTCTCTCAATCAGACGCCTAGAATGGAACCCGCCCAACCCGTCTCTCCCATCTCGCCCATATCGACTCGCGGCTTTTTGGACGGTTCTGGAGCACCCCTGTCGCCAAGGCGATCGATCCTTCACGAGAAGCGCCCGTCTGCAGCATCTATCCGTGACCTGCACCACTCGCGGCGCCATTCATCAACGGATTACCGCGCATCCATCACCTCGTCCATCGCCCCACGCCTTACATCAAGCGGTACATTTCCCCTGGTCGACAACACGCAGCAGCACTTCCAGCCCGAGCCACAGTCACAACAGGGACAGCAGCAGCAGCAGCAACATAAGAAGCACCCCTCGTTTGACCGTAACTGGACACTTGGCAATGCTAGTTCAAATGCCCAGCAGCCTCCCCCGGCGCACCAGCCGTTGTTCCACCCCCGGCCGCTGTCGTCGGCTGGCATCCAGGATGTGCTCGCTTCCCAGGACCTGGACCAGGGCCTCACTGCCGGGCTGAGCGAGCCGAATGTTGATTTTGACAGAGGTTATTTCTCAGGCACCGATGCCGATCCCCGCCGTCGTTCACTGCTACAGAAGAAGAACCGTGACAGCTTCATAAAATCGGCCCGGGGTGGTCCGACTGTCTCTGCATCGTCCTATGCGGAGGAGCAGCGCGTCAGAAGTGCTACTGCTCTTTCTCGGCACTCACGTTTCGGTAGTGTTGACTCGGTGCGCGACCCATCCGGCTTGTCATCGGCAGCCCAAAAGTACTACGGTGTAGCGGGAGCCAATGGAGCTGCTGCCCCGCACCGTCGGACCACGTCTTCAAACACGACTGATTCCGTGCGCATGCGCCCTGCCCTCCCGCCCAAGGACAACCCCGCTCCCACGGTCACTAAGTTGGACGGTTCAAACAACGCACTGGACAAGCCGCGCCCGTTGGTTGCTTCGCCAGGTCCTGCTTCGCCCCATCGCCAAGGTGATTGGTTCTCGACCAGACCTGGCTTCAAGACGCCGAGCTTTGGTCTCCGTGCGTTGTCGGATGCTGTCGTAGGACACGACCGGAACAAGATGGCCTCGCCTGTCTCGCATGCGGACTCCTTCCCCAAAGACTCACCGATGCAATCACCGTCTCGGACCGGATCTAGTACGCCTTCGGCTGGACCGAGCTTTGAACTGGATTCTCCTGACCCGCGGAGCCCGAGCACCACGGCTACCGTGACCTCGGCCCGGAGCAACAATACCGGCGCCGCTCGTAAGAAGGGCAAGAAAGAGACGAGCGCCTACCAGCGCGGCCTGCTGAAGATCAGCCCGCGCGAGGCGATGCAGGATGCCGACTACAGCGGCTGGATGAAGAAGAAGAGCTCCAACCTCATGGCTACGTGGAAGCCGCGTCTCTTTGTCCTCAAGGGCCGCCGCCTTGCGTACTACTATTCTGAGGACGATGACCAGGAGAAGGGTCTTATCGACATTTCTTTCCACCGGGTGTTGCCGGCCGACAACGAGCGCCTAACCGGCCTCCATGCTACCCTCACGGGCGCCTCGACGACGCCTGCCGTCCCTGCCAACAGCAACATGCCTACGCTGGCCTCGGCCGAGGCGGATGCCGAGCCGACGTCCTCGCTCAAATCGGGCTCCTCCCAAGACTCCATCTTCATCTTCAAGCTAGTGCCGCCCCGTGCTGGCCTCTCGCGGGCCGTCAACTTCACCAAGCCCATGGTGCACTACTTTGCCGTTCCCAACGTCAAGCAGGGCCGGCTCTGGATGGCCGCCCTTATGAAGGCCACAATCGACCGCGACGATGCCGTTGCTATCACCACGACATACCAGCAGAAGACGATCTCTCTTGCCAAGGCTCGGCAAATGCGCCACCGTCCACCAGCGCTGATGAACCTCGACGAGAAGGTGGAGGACTCGCGCATCATGGGCCGGGACGACCAAGCCAAGGACGACGAAGACAATGATGACATGAACATTCTGGGCGACGACGAGAAGCGCATGCTGGCCGCGGCTTTGGCAACCACCAACGCTCGGAAGGTAGAGAAGCCCATCAACGGCCTAGGAATCACCTATGACAAGGACGGCGTGACCCCTCTCACCACTGCCTCGTCCTCGACCGCGCTGCCGGGCTCCGAGAACGTGGCCAGCAGTGCGAACAAACTGCCCACCGCAGGAGGGGCGCCCTACAAGGTCGAGAGTGCCCGTGCGCGGCAGTTTATCTTTGAGCCCGAAAAAGACGAAGACCGGCTCCCAATGAGCGCTTAATAGAAACGGGCACACTTTCCATTTTGCATGACAGCTCGAACGTTTTTATATACCCCCTTCTTTCACTGCATTTCACACTCAATTCACAGTCTCATTGTCCCCGCCCGTGTCTGTTATATCCTACTTTACCACAGTTTTTTTTGTTTAGTTTTGTACGTCATATATCCTAACCCTCCTACCCGCTATACGCTCCACCCCCTCCCCTTTCCCCTAGGAAATCACAATCCCGACCATATACACAATACTGGTGCATCGTTTGGAAAGAGGAAGTCTGTCATGATGGGTTTCGTTGTATAGTTTTTGTTAGCGTAGGGCAGATGAATGGAGTTGCCCTTTGAGGGCATGGATCATGAACGTTGGCTTTTCCATGCATGCTTGCCCCATGACACTGATATTATGACTCGTACAGTTCTTCGTCGGTGATGAGCAGATACTGCCGGACGGGCACCCAGAATGCTTCGACGTCACCTGACTGCCGACGTGGGATGCAGTGGCAGGCTTGCCCGTCCGCGACGGTGGCTTCGGTGGGCACGCCTCCTTTCTTCTTAGTGCATCCGCCACCCGAGTTGCATTTGTCGTCCACTTCGTCCTCCCCTGCCAAAGACCGTGCCAACGGCCGTTCAAAGTACGCCTTGTACCGCAACAGTGTCAGGGAGTAGTCTTCGGGCGTCTCACTGTACTCGGCCGGGGCTCGCATGGGCGTCGCGGGTGTGGGCGTTGTTGGTGTTGTTGGCGTGGGAGGCATAGCGGGGAGAGACGCCGATGCACGCACGAGGGCTGATCGATCGCAATGGTCCTCGGCAAACTGTCGGCGGCGCCAGCATGGCGTTGTCGGTGTGACTGGTGAGGCGATCGGCCCATCCCTGTCGAAGCTAGAGGTGGGCAGTGAAGCAGTCGAGGCGGTGTTGATGCGTCGCACGGGAGAGGCATTGCGTGGGAAGAGCGTGTGCTTCGTCTGCGAGAACGTGACAGGTGGCGAGGCAGGGTTTGGAGAAAGCGAAGCGTCGGCTTTTGTTAGCATTTTGACCGAGATGCTTTCGAGGGCTTTGCCAAACGCCGTCACGGGGGCCACAGCAACGTTGCCAACACCTTTCCCTGCCGTATTTTCTTGGACCTTTTCTTGACATATGGTATGAATCTCTGAAACGTTTTCCGGCATCTTATTGAGCCTATTTTCCGTCGTCCGATTTGTAGTCTGCCCATCATCCTTGATGATCGAAGACTCGTTTGCCACGACGGCCGGCCGGCTGGAACCTGGCGGTCGACAGTCTGGCGACGGAGTCGGGAAATGGGCCGCAGCTACACGTCCAGTTGCGATTTTCCCACGAACACTCCCACCGGTCCTGTTTGCCACATCCTCGCTACGACCCGACTTTTCGAGCCAACTGACAATGGCACGAACCGATGAAACGGACGTGGACGGCGTCGCAGGCTGACGGCTGCCGCTCGGTGGCGTTATCGTGGTCATATTGTCGTGAAGCGCCATGTTTGGGCATTGTTTCGGAGGAAAGCCTTTCTTGCCCATTGTAGCTTAAAAGAGAGCAGAAATACATATCAGGGGGACGGGTGGTTTGTGTCAAGACGGGGAAGGAGCGACCGGCCAAATAGTGGCGAATACGGCCGAGGTCCTGCTCGTTGGGACACATCGGGCAGGACGAGCAAGGCAAACGGATACACAAAAAGCGGACTCGTAAAGTATTCCTGAAAAAGATAATCAAGGCAAAGGAGTAGATCGTGTGCGCCGAACCATCTACATTGTCTATGAAAAAATGTGTATGTAATGTATGTACAGTAATGTGACGAGTGGGAAATGTGGGATCGTGTTCGTAAACGGCAGTAGCGTTACCATTGCGCCTTCTCCAAGCTCTGCCATGTGCTCTTTCCTCGCAAGGTCTCTGTGTTTATCATTTATCACCCCCTTTTTTCTTCTCCGCTTTCAGCAGCCGCGTCGTCTCGTTGCTCTTCATCCATCATCTTGGCAATCTCGGCGACTTCGCCCTGCAGCCCTTGGAGCTCGTCCACATCGTTGGTCAGTTCACGATGGTTCGTGGCCGCACCGGAGTTTCTTGGCCGCCCAGCGCCATTGTCAGCTCCGCGACCCACGTTGGACACAGCGCTTTGTTCAGGGCGAGAGAGAAGAACAGGCGACGGGGCCTTGTTTATGGCCTCGGATGATACAGGCACAGCAGCATCCACGGCGGTCCCGGCGACACCGGCTGCGGCATGGACGGCGTGCGCTTGTCGCAATTCTAGTAGTTTGACCACGGATGCCTGGTCGTTGAGGTACGAGAGGCCACGGTAGGTAAAGTCGTCTGGCTTCTTGCCGGTGCGTTCCAGACGCTCGAACGTGCTGATTGTGTTACCAGACCGCTGTGCTCGCGCATAGCCAGCCAGTAGTGTGTTCCAGGTGACCAGGTTCGGCTCGACGCCGCGCTCACGCATCATGTTGAGCACACGCTCGCCTTGCTTGTACTGACGGTGGAACATGAAGCCGTTGATCAGGATGGACCACGTGTAGACACTAGGCGGCGGGTGGTGGCCACCTTGGACTGACGTGGCGGCAGCGGCAGATCCCCCCTCAAGAGCAGCCGCCGCATCACGAAGCATATCGCTAACAACATCAAGGGCTGCCCGCAGCATGCCCTCAAACTCCGTCAGAGCCATGATAACGCAGTCGTGCACCTGCGAGCCCTGGTCGTGTACGAGACGCGTGGCCATCGGGTCGCCCGTCTGCAGCAAGCGGCGGAAGTGCGTATAGAATGTAATCACGTCATACGGATTCGAGAGGCCCTGGATGTACCCGAGCACCATCGTGGCCAGGGTGGAGCCCGTTGGCTCGACCAGCTCGACGGGCGACAGCTTCGGCAGACTGTGCACAGTGGGTGCCAGCTGGGCCGCAAACTCCCAATGTCTGTTCGATGGGATGTTGGTTCCAGCGCCCAGCCGGCTGCTCGACCCGTTCCTGTTGGCACCAGACGGACTGGAGGCAAAATCGGCGGCCGCGAAAAAGTCCAGGTTGACATCTGGCAGCAGCTTGCGCAGCGGTGCCAGCTCGAACACGCGGGCGTACGCCTGGACCATGAGCGGGAACGCCGGAATGACGCGTGGGCGTTTTGACTCCCGATCCCTACGCGCCTCGTTCAGTGCAGTCGTGTAGATGGCCTGCAAGAAGTCGTTCCACAGAAACGGATGGCGCACGCCGTGCGCCGCGGCCGACTGGGCCACCTGCTGGATGATGGGGTAGTTGCAGCCAATTTTGGCGCCGTTCATCAGGATGGAATAGACAAAGGCGTCGGGCTCCGTCTTGGCTTCGCTGAGCATGAGCTGCAGCACCTGGAGGGCGGCGTCGAGCTCCTGCTTGAGACACAGTCCGCGGAGGATGGTCGTGTACGTGATGAGGTTGGGTTCGAGGCCGCACTGCAACAAGAGCTCGAACAGTTCCGCAGGCGTGGCCGCCGGCGTCGAGGGGCTGGACCCAGTCTCGGCTGCCTCTACCGAGTCACCGTCGCCGGCCGTCAAGATAGCCGTACAGAGCGCGGCGCCCTGCGGCGTGTTGATGTCCAGGTCCGTCTCGGCCAGGGCCCTCTGCAGCACGTTGACAGCGAGTGTCTTGTGCTCTGGGCGCGGGCTGCCCGCCAACCGGCCAGCGATCTGCAAGCGTGTATTCTTGTGCATCGGGTGCTGGTACCGGACGAGATCGTGATACAGATCGGCCACATTGTCGAGCGAGCTGGCCAGCATGCGCGTGAAGAGATACAGTGATGATTGGCGCAGGCGCAAGTAGTCGGGTGGGCTGTTTTCAAGCACATACCGCAGTACGGAAAGCAGATCCTCGGCTGCAGGGGTGTCGAATGGAATGGTGGCCTTCTCATGCATCTTCGGACTCTCACGCATGTGAAGCAAGAAATTGATCGTGTCTTCGGCCATATACGACGGCACCAAATCCACATCAAACGTGGCCTGGAAGATGAGATGCGCACGGCCCGGGTATGTTCGAAGGGCTGCCAGCATCAAATGCGGCCATTCGTCACACTGCCGCTTGGTGGACCAGCCCAGGCCCGCCCACGCGGTCCTGATGCTGTCGACATTTGGGCTGCTTGCCCCTTCCGTCTCGGCCTTTCCCTCCCGGTGTGCTGGCTCCAAAATGGACTGAAGAACAGAGCTTTGGCTTCCCTCATGCGGTAGCCGTCCGTCCTCCAGAAGCTTCCAGGTCTCGGCCACGGCACTCTTCCATCCCCAGAACACAGACTTGGCCTTTGTAAAGTCGACGCCGGACCGCTTTCGCCACAAGCCGGCCATGTGACTCTCAGGGCGCGGCAGCCATGCTGGCGGCCGAAGCTTCATCCTCTGTCTCTTGGGGAGAACATATCGCCACGGTGGCACATCGCCTGTCTGTGTCGAAGTGTTTTCTCTTGATGCGCGTGCCGTTTGTGGTTGCTGCTGCTGCTGCAGTGCAGCAAATGGATCTGTCGCCTTCCTCGATCGTTGCAAAGACCTTTGTGGTATTGGATCCGTGCTTTGATGTGCTGAAAATCCCGGAGCGCCTGTCTCGCCCTCTGACAAGCCAAACACAGCTTGCTCTGCGGCGGTCCAGAGGCGCAGATGCCGAGCCCGAGCCCGGGACTTTTTCTCTGGTCGGTCAGAGGTAGCCGCAGAAACATCCGTCGTCATCGGCCGTCTAGCTTCCTGCGCTTGGCTGCGCACACCCCGGACAACTGTCGCCGGCGACGAACGCCATGTCTGCCAAAGCTGCTGCTGTTGTCGCCAGAGCTGCAGCCGAATGCAAGGACACGGCTGCATAGCGGCCGTCTTGAGGTTTCGCTGCAAGAGAGACAAAGATGAGAGAGCCTCGTTAAAAGGCACTCTGTCGTGCACTGTCCATGGGGCCGTTGTGGAACGGGCAGTCGCAAAGTCGACAAGTCAAAGTCGGGGTGGTGAGGTTCAAGAAGGGTCGTCAAAAGTTGAATCGGCCGTGGCTAAACTTGCAAAAGAGTGGCGCTAGCTGTCTGCTTTTGGCGGCTGCGGCTGTTGCAAAATTCTTGCGCGCTGTAACCCTGGCGCTGTGTCTGGCGCATTTTCGAGCCAGAGGCACTAGCGAGCCAACGACCAGTCTTGACATGCACACCTTCGCGCCTTTCTGAACTGAAGGCAATCGCAAGAACGACACCCACATTTGCACACCAGGACGATATCTTCCCCCTTCCCGAACGCCTTCACCACCCGTGTTGTCGCCTGTCTACACATATCCCCATCGCCTTTCCCCAATGTCGTCCCACGCTGCGCTCAGCGCCGCTGCCGACGACCGCAAGGCTCGGCTCGCCAAGCTGCGATCGATCAAGCGCAAGCAGCCCGGCGACGAGATTGTGCCGCCAGAGTCGGACCGCGCGTCACCCGCTGTTGTCACGCAGCCGAAAAGCCATGGCGACGAGACGGGCGAGGAAGGGAATACAGGAGAGATTCGAGAGACTAGCGAGACGGCCGTTGAGCGCGACGTGTCTCGACTGCACTTGTCCGGACGCAACTACGACCCAGAAACCCGCAATGCTCGGCTCGGTTTCGAGGTCGAGCCCAATCTGGCGGCCGGCAATGACACAGTCGAGGCCCAGGCCGCCAAGCTCGAGGCAGATGTGCGGCGGGAACAACACGAGGAAGAGGGCGGGGACGGCGAAGGTGCAGATGGCGACGCACGACCGCGCGACAGCGGCGGCAAGCCCATCGACCTCTTCAAGCTGCAGCCCAAGAAGCCCAACTGGGATCTGAAGCGCGAGCTAAACAAGCGTCTCGAGCCGCTGAATGCGCGAACCGACAATGCCATTGGCCGGCTGGTGCGTGAACGGCTGGCCGCCAAGCAGCAGCAGCAGCAGCAGTCGTCCAACCAAGCCGCAGCCTCAAACCAGCCCACGGCATCAGCCACCACCGGCGAGGCAGACGAAGGCGGCCTCGATGGTGCAGCTCTCGTGGAGGGCATCCGGTTACGCGAGCAGGAGGCCGAAGAGGAGGAACGGCGCGAGCGCGAGCTGGAGGATGAGGGTCGGGCATAGTCGGGCCGCAGGAGAGCGCAAACAGGCATACTACAGGGCGTTTAGGGGAAAGGCGAACAGCACATGTACGATACTTGTTTTCGGTCCTGACTTTTACGTTTTGATTTCACCTCTACCGCAAGAAATGCCAGCCATATATGTGATACCCACTGCTTGGGCCCTTACTGTGTATTGTCATCTTGTCCAACCGCCACTGCCGTTATTCACTTCCCCGGCTTCATGTGTTTGGTTAGAGCTAAGCGCTTGCTGAACGGGCTGAGACTGCGTTGCCGGCCATTACGGTCGTCGTCACGGTTCGTCTGTTCCCGTCCACGTCCCGCGTGCGGCTGTCGATGCCTGTCTCTGCGATCACCGTCGCCGCGCGTGTCGGCATCGCGCTGTCTGTACGAGCGGCGATCGTCTCTCTCCCGAACGGGCGACTGCGAGCCGTGTCGGAAGCGTCGCCGGTCTATCGAGCCCCGGTCCGCCCCATCCTCCTGGCCGAAAAAGTCTGACGATTTCATTCTGTCATCGTGCGGCCGCACCGGCCGCTGTTCTCGTTCACGGGGAGGAGACGATACCCGACTGGCCGGTGGCGGAGACGGCGATCTGCTGCCGCGCGACGAAGAATACGACGACGCCGAGCGTGAGCGTGAGCGTGAGCGCGACGGTGACCGGGAATCCACCGAGGCTGATCGTCCGCGGCCGCTCGGTGGATTCGGAGCTGCTGCAGCCGCTGGCGGAGAGCCACGGCCCGACGCCGAGCCGGAATCGGGGTCTGCGTAGCTTGGCGACCGACGCCGCCGGTGGCTGCTCTGTTTGCCCTCGGGCCGTCGCCGGCGCGCTGCCGCAGAGTCGTCGGATTCACTTCCACTGCTGCTCAAGCTGACGTTTTTGCTCGTCCGCCGCCGCTTCAAGGCCCGCTCGGCCTCTCTCTTAGCCAGCTCCTCATCGGCCACGCCTTTTCTGCAAAACGTAAGTCAGCACACAAGGAAGACAGTACACCGGATGAGAAAGCAAGCACTAGTCCACCAGACGACATACTTCAACTCCAGCGCATTAAATGTTTCTTCATGCAACTTGGGTGCCAGCTTGGGGTTTCGCAGCTGCTGGGACCGCGACGGCCGGGCCTTGTACGGGCGGTCCTGCGGTGCGACCTTGCACTCGTACGAGTAGTGGCGTAGTCCACGTCAGCAAAAGACCAAACAGCGCGTGTGGATAAAACAACATCAACTTATCTCGTTTTAAGCATTTTTGGCAGAGGACGTCTGTCGGCGTCGTTTTCGGCGGTCCACGGCGTGGATACATTGTGATTATGGGCGTGTCAAGCTGGCTGAATCTAGTAGCAGTTGTTGACGGATGTTGGGAAAAATTAACGTTGGATTTTTCTAGGCAAAAGCCGTTTGATATTGGGGTTCTATAGCTCAATCCCAGTATTCGGTGATCGATGTTGCGCTTTGTTGCTTGATGCACGTTAAAGTGGTGGAGCCTCAACTGTAAGGCAAAACAATAGGAGCGGACGTGCCAACTGGTTTCGCACGTGACTCGATTTGAATTGCACCAAGGAAATTTTGGGCGCTCGGTCCCATTTGCCGGGCAGAAAACAGGAAAGTGGGGCCCGGCCAGGATCCCCAAGACAGCCAAAGAAAGAAGGAGCAGACGACCGCCTTCTGGAAAGCAGAGGTTCCACCCTTTCCAATCCAACGGACGTGCTGCTCCTTCTCTCTTTGGCTTTTGGCCTTTACTCTTTCCATTTCATCCTCACATCCACCAAAGCCCACACAATCTGCCTCCACAAAATATCCAAGCATCGTCTCTTTGCATCTGAACCATCACCAACACTGCATCAGCACAAACAATCCACCCGCGACACCCGCCCTGCAACCTCCTGGTCTGCAGCAGCTGCGGCGTTTCCCTACCCCGTCTACAGCCAGCTTTTCCTTTCGCACGCTCCAGACGGCTGCTGGTCCAGCGGCATGGCATAGCTTCCAGCGGCTGACGGCTGCCCGGATTTTGTTTCTTTTTTGTTGACTTCTTTACGACGATTCTTTGCCCTCGTCTCATTCTTGCATTTTCATTCCGTATCATCTCGTCTCTCTCACGGCACACTACGGCCTGGCACCTCCTCTCCCCCAACGACTGGCGACAACGATGACCTCCTGCGTGTGCTTCCCCGTCTCCGCTACCTTTATGAATTTCGTGCCCTGAAATCTTGTCTCCGTCCTCCATTCTCTGCATCAGGTCTTTCGTAGACGTTACGTCCATCTGGCCTCGTGCTCGGTAGCGCCGCAGCTCGCTTTCACACCAAAAGTCAATTCCCAACAGCATCATTCGCCCTTGTATCCGCCGTCTCCGCTATCATTTTTATTTACTTCTATCTTCTACTGTCCTCGTTCCCCCTACTTCGACTACTATAACTATATACTTTGGCAGCGATTCGCATCGGCGGTTTATACGAAGACGACAACGGCTGTAGTATTTACAGGCGCCGTTGCAAACTGAAGACGAGTTCGATTGTTTCTCGTTCTCGTCACCAATCTCAGCAGACTTAATGATGGCGACAGAAACGGGAAAGATGTCTTTTGCCAAGGTTCGTTTCGGGTTTTTTGGTCAAGGACTCGCTGGTGCATCTTGGTCTGGACGGGAAACTAACTACATCTGCTCTACTGCTAGGTGGCCGCGTCTGCATCGAAAAAGGATCTGCCAACGACTACGATGTCCCAACAGGACTCCTCCAAATCCCGGCACGATAGCGCACCCAATGCCGTCAACGGCAAGCCTTTCCCATCGACGGGCAGTGTCAAGCCGCCAAAGAAGACAGTTGCTGTCCCAGAAAAGCCAGCAGCCTCAACACCAGCTGTCCCAAATAAGACAGAGGCAGCAGCGGCAGGGAATTCCGTCGCGGACGGCTTAGCGGGGCTGCAAATCTCCCCTACAAACCCAGGCCTGGTGCTGGATGATGCCACCCTAGATGCAGCTGCCGACGGGCAGGCAGGCACAGCTGGCACTTCGAGCACCGCTGCGAGTGCTGCCGTCAGTGCGGCTGCTAGCGCCACAGCCAGCGCCAACCAGACCACGCCGTCTTCGTCTGACGATGTGTCGCAGAAGGCGGATTCCAGCTCCGATCTGGGCACGAAGCCGCCGAGTCTGGACGGCAAGAGCATCACATCTGGGACGACGTTTAATGCTCTCGACGAAAAGGAGTCGCTGCGCCCGGACGACAGCGCCAGCGTGAAGGCGGCCGCCGACGAGGACGACTCGTTCTCGGTCCGTCGGTCGTTGCTTGTGTCCTCGCGCATGGGGTCGGATGTGGCTGCGCGCGTCCAACGCATCCAGCTCGGCGACATGCCACCCCGCCTCGTCCCGCTCACTAGCCAGGAGCCCGCGGTGTCCGGTGTGGCGACCCCGCACAGTATCTCGTCGGAGCAGCAGCCCGTGACGGAGGCCCGTGTGCAGCTGGCCACCAGCACGTCCACGCCCGGCGGCCTGAACGGCCAGAACCCAGACGAAAAGCTGCTCGATGCCATGGCTTCGCAAAAGAACCGCGTCTTCCTCCTCCGGCTCGAGAGCGAGGTCGTCGATTTCGTGCAGAACTCAAAGGAGCCCTTTATGGACCTGCCGCCGAGCAACTCATTCTGCCGCATGCTCACGCACAAGCTGGCCGACTACTATCACATGACGCACTCCTTTGAGGCTGTGGCCGGCTCGGTGCGCATCTACCGCACGCCGTTCTGTCGCGTGCCGCCGCCTCTGGCCAGCTTCGTGCCCGTCAACACACCCGAGAGCACGAACGCTCCCCCACAGATTGTCAAACCGAGGAAGATTATGCGGCGTGGCGAGGAGTTCGACCAGCCGGCGAGTACCGGCCCCTCCAAGCCCACGTCTGAAGACGGCAGCGACTTGAAAGAAAAGGCGCCGCCTGCCAAGGAGAAGATGACGCGCGAAGAGCGCGAGGAAGCCTACAACAGGGCCAGAGAGCGCATCTTCGCCATGCCCACCGAATCGTCCACGCCCGAGAACGACGACGGTACCGGCATCTCGCGCGCCAGCTCCGTCTCCGCCAAAGACAAGGCTGCCCAGGGCAAAAAGGCCAAGACGGCCAAGCAACGCCGCGACGACTCGGAGAGCTTCGACTCGCGCTCGCAGTACACCCCATTCTACCACCACTCACAACAGGCCACCTGGGTCAACCCGCAGTTTATGCCAACAGGAAACCTGGCGAGCTTCCCCTACAATGCCCAGCAGCAGCAGCAGCAGCAGCAGCAGCAGCACCAGCCGAACCAGCCGAACCAGCCGAACCAACAGCCACACGGGGCGCAGTATCCAAACAACATGCAACCGCCAATTGCATACGGCACACCGCAGACCGCGTATCCACCTGTCGTTTCCAGCAACGGCCCTGTCCCACCGGCAAATGGAATGGCTCATGTATGTATTTATCTATGCTCTCATATACGCCCTTGCCCGTCTTGGAATGTAACTCTACTGACGCACCCTTCCAGTATCCCCCCCAACCTGGTCCGCCACGCCATCCCGGGGCGCAGAATGGACTACCCCCATATCTATACGGACCTGCTGGACAACCAGGCAATGCAGCACCTCCACAGCACTGGCAGCAGCACCAGCAGCCCCAGCAGCCCCAGCAGCCCCAAATGCAGCCGCAGCCTTATAACAACGGCGCTGCCTACCCATCGCCACAAGCGCGGTCGGTCGCTCCGAACAGTGCCCTCCCAGCTGGCATGACCTACGCGTACGGCCAACTGCCGGCGCATTACAATCCTAACGACCCAAAGGCGCAACATCCCATCCCCGGCAGCTACGCCGGAACGTATACCCGCCATGGCTTCAACCCCAAGACGCAATCGTTTGTGCCAGGAACGGGCCCGATGGCGATGCCCATGGCGATGCCCATGGCGATGCCCATGGCGATACCCATCCCGATGTCCGGTCCCCACGGCGCATATGGCGCGACCAACGGGCCTGGGCCTGTGCCAATGGGAATGAGCCCTGGGCAGAACCAAGGCAGCATGCCCTATAACACCGGCGGCTACCAGCAGCCCAGTCTGTCAACATCGCCGTACGGCAGCAGCACGACATCGAGCTACGGAATGATGCGCCAGGGATCAGGAAGCTCGACGTCCGCCTACCCGATGGGACAGCAGCCGTACCCAGGGCCTGTCGCCTACCATGACCCATATGGCAACACCCTGGCACACGGGCCGCCACTCCCCGGCGCGCCTGGCCCTGGCCATCTTCCGCCTCCGCACGGCCCGCCACATGCAGCTCCCCTTGGCGCTCCCCTTGGCGCTCCACGAGGACCATCTCATTACAAGATGAATGCTCCGCACAATGCCGCCCAGGGGCCCAAAAAGACAAACGGTGCACCGGCGCCAAAGGGGCCTGGCCAGTCGAATGGCACATCACAGGGCCAAAAGGGTTCGGGCCAGGCGTATGGAAACCTGCCCAACTACGGCAATCCGGCAACTCTGCCGCAGAAGCCCACGTCTGCATAACGGAGCCCAAGCCGCAAAGCGGAACGAGCCCCTTTGCGGCCATGCTTCCTATCTGATTTTATCAACTGTCATTTTTACAACCTTCGGAGTGCTGTGGTCCCTTTGCATCTCGCGGGAGTGGACACTGAGATTTGGCGTCATGGAAGGAGCGGCTGCATCATGGCGTTTCTACTCATTTTTCTGTCTTCTGTTATTCATTCCACTTCTTCTTTACTCATATTACTTTACCCTTTAATTTGACCATGTCGTCAAGACAGCGCCTGGCATTTGTTTGGTGTCACAAGCGGTCCGAGCGAGGAACATAGGGAGGCAGGCGGTGGTGTCTAAAATCGGCACGGCGAATTTGGCGTCTCAACGACACAAAATGAATCTGTTTCTACCCGGGATACAGGGGAAGACGAGACTAGGATAAACCTGGCTGCATCGCCGGACAGCACAGAGTAATGAAAAACAGCATAATTTGGCACAGTTCTTGTCCTTGGCATATTTTTATTTCATAAAGTAGTACGACATTGAGATGATGAATAGTTTCAATTGTTTTTTTTGTTTTTTTGCTGAGTCCGTAAGTTCTACCTCGTCCACTCAACGCCTTGGACACTGGCCCCAGGCCAGGCCCATCTGACCCCTGATGTGGTTGTAGATTTCTCCAGCCAGACCAAAGAGAATATCCGTCCAGTCTCCCATAGCCCGTATCATTTGAAATCGTGTATTCTCTCCGTTCTTCTTGCTTTTGTTTTGTTTTGCTCGTTGTCCATAAACATCGCAAAAGAATGCAAAACAAGCAAGAATGACGTAAAGAAACCCCCAAAAACTCTGGTTGGAAAAGAAAACGACATACAGGAAAATAGAAACTAGTAAACAGACAAAGAAAAGGCACCCAATGTAATTTTGACCCACACTTTTTATGCTCTTCTTTTTCACATCTTTCTTTTCGTTTATTTTTCTTCAAATCATAAACAAAGAAAAACACCCGCATACTCCGCATCCTTCGCCTACTCCGCCGGCTCGCGCGGCTCCCTCGGCTCTCTCGACTCTCGTGGCTCACGGGGCTCTCGTGGCTCACGGGGCTCACGGGGCTCGCGCTGCTGTCCGCCTCCCCGGCCACCGCCCCGGCCGCCCCGCTTGCCGCCGCGCTGGCCGCCGCTGCCGCGCTCGCCCTTGCCCTCGTCGCCCTCCTTCTTCTCGCCGTCCTTGTCGCCCAGGTTCAGTGTCGACGTTGCCAGGCGCTGCGACAGGTCGATCTGGGTGCGGATGGTGTTGGTCAGGTAGGACACCATCAAGACGTCCTGGATGTGGTTGTTGAAGTCGTGCTCGATGCTGGCGCTGTCGACCTTGGGCGCCAGCGACATGGCGTTCATCAGGTACTGGCCCAGCGCGTGGTTGGGCTCGCGCTCCTCGTCGAGCACGCCGCTGACAAACTCAGACGTGCGGTCCAGCAGGTCCAGCGTCTGCTCGATGCTGCGGGCGAGGGCCTCGACGTCGGCGACGACCGGGGCGGAGCGCGATTCGAGGTTGGCGGGGGCGGCGGCCGCAGCAACGGCCTCGAGGGCCGAGCGGTCGGCATCACCGTACAGCAGGCGGTGGGGCACCTCGGCGAAGAAGCAGGAGTCGGCGGCACGGTCCGGGCTGGCGGCGACGGGCGACGAGACGTAGCAGCGGGTCTCGATCTCGCTGCCGGCCTCGGTGCTGATGGTCAGATGCACGGCGGGGTGGGGGAAGGTGCCGGTGTCCGGGGCGGCGAAGAAGTTCTGGATGAGGGCCGAGAAGGAGTTGAGCTCGTGCGACGTGGTGTACCAGCCGAGCAGCGACTCCCGCGGCGCGGCCTTGAGGGTCAAGGCCAGCATGTTCTTCTGGTACTCGACGTCGACCTCGACCTGGTCGTCCGTCTCGGTGTGCGGGATGGCGAAGCACGAGCGCACCTCGGCCTCGAGGCCGTCCTCGGACCGGACACCGACAAGCGCGCCAATCACGCGCGTGGACTGCGTCGACGACGTCTCTCTCCGAACAGCATGGTCGAGGATGGACACGATGGCCTATGGAAGAGGGCAGACGTGGGGAGTCAGATACATATAGCCATGCGACGGGGAGGGGGGTGAGGAAGAGGGAGGAGAAACGACGGCAAGGAGAAGCACAAGAAAGGACGACCTACCTGGGGCTGGATGGTGACGGTGATGGGCGAGACGTTGGCACTGAAGTTGGCGGACGCCGCAGGCACGACGGGACGCGCCAGGTGGAGGAACTGCTCCTTCTCGAGAGCCATGATTGCGGTTGCGGGTCGGCGATCGATAAATGGAATGAGGGGCCAAAAGCAAAACACGCGATGCTGAGAGCGGCGGTCGAACTGTGAAAAAAATTGCGATGCGGGACGACAAATGACGCGAAACAATGGCGAACGTGACGACGACGCTTTTTGGGGCCGGAAAATGGGGGTTAAGGGGTGTCGTTGGAGAGGGCTGAGGGCGTCCCTTTTTCGCTAGCTGGCCGCTGTTGAACAGACGACGTTGGAAAATCGTGCAGAATTAATTTTGAGGGCATTCGCATTTGCTGGTGGGGTTTGTTGTGCGCGCTAAGATAAGGCAGATAAGAGAAAGTGTGGCGCAGATTGTGGCACTTTTTTTTTGAACGACGAGGCTGCAGGGTGTCGGTCGATCCTGCCCATTTATATGAGAATGCGCCTATGAGATCAGCGCTTGTGCAGCATTTTCACTGCTGTTGTGGAAGGTGCAAATCAGCAGCACAACAACACAGACTAGACTTCTCACCACCCATACATCAGCCATGGGTCCTGGACCGAAATTTCGCGGCCGCGGTGGCCCACGAGGAGGTGGTGCCCGTGGAGGCGGTGCGCGAGGCGGCGGTATGCGCGGCAGTGACCGAGGAGGCCGTGGCCGTGGCAGAGGTCGCGGCAGAGGAGCACGAGGACATGCCCGGGCAGCTCGTTTTGACAGCTCTCGTCTTGCTGCACAAGAGGAGTAAGTTTAGAGCGGCGATTGGTTTGTTCTGTTGATTTCATGATTCATGGCATGAATAAATTAATAAATAAGGATACAAATAACCATACTAACGTTGTTGGCAGCGCGGACGGACAAGAGTCTGAGCCCGAGTCCCTAAGTGAGGACGAGGTCGAATCGGAGATTGAAGAGTCCGAGGAGGAGTCTGACTCTGCAAAGAAAAAGGAGGCCTACCGGTCACTGATGCGCAGCTTCGAGAGCCGCTTAGCTGCAGCGCCGGCGGCTAAGCGGCGAAAGCTGGAGCACGGTTCCATTGCAAAGGTGGCCGGGGATGAGAGCAACGATGAGGATGGCGTGGAAGATGAAGAGGAGGAGGAGGGGGAGAGCCGTGGTGACGACGACGACGGTGAAGACGGGGACCATGTCGAGGACGAGGAAGGCAAGGACAAGGACGTCGAATATATGGACGAAGACGACGAAGACGACGAAGACGACGAAGATGCCGAAGACGGCCTAGATATGGACGGTAATGCTGACCACGGCGACGATGACGACGAACTGGTGGACACAACAGACCCCTTTGAGTCGCATTACTCGGCACCGGACCTCAAGGACGTCGAGTTGCGGCTGGAGGCCATCCAGGCCGACAACTGGGCCACGTCCAAGACCAAAACCAACGACACACGCCAAATCTTCACGCTGCCGCAAACAGCAGCGGCCGACTCGTTTTCTGCGCCTGCGCCAGTGAAGACACCACAGCAACTGAAGCTGAAAAAGCGCCTGGCAGACATCAACACAGCGGCGTTTGGCCAGGTCGAGCAGACCGTAGCACCTCTGCTGTTCAACTACTACGACACTCTATTTTGCGAGCGAAACCCGCAGAATGGCGATTCCCTGCGGAAGCTCGCTAGCTTGCACGCTGTGAACCATGTTTTCAAGTATGTCACTGCACACTCAACGGTTGGCCATTCTCCATTATTCGTTCGCAAATAGTCTAACATGCCAGAACTCGCGACCGCGTGATGAAGAACAACGAGAAGCTGGCCAAGATTGCACGCAGGAAGCAAGAAAACGGCGAGGAGACGGACGACGAAGACGACACGGAGGATGGTGCATGCCGCGATCAGGGGTACAACCGGCCCAAGGTGCTCATCTTGCTGCCAACACGCCAGTCCTGTGCACGCATGGTGGATGCCATCTGCGCCGTGTGCCGCCCCGAGCAACAGGAGAACCGCAAGCGGTTTGACGATGCATACGTCGACAAGAGCTCGACCATTCCGGAGGACCGGCCAGCCGACTTCCGTGACCTGTTTGAGGGCAACGACGACGACATGTTCCGCCTGGGCCTCAAGTTCACGCGCAAGACGGTCAAGTACTTCTCGCAGTTTTACAACTCGGACATTATCCTCGCCAGCCCGCTCGGTCTGCGCATCGCCATGGGCTCCGAGGACACGCTGGCGACGTCGCTGGCAGAGTCGAAGCGCAAGGGCAAGCCCAAGACGGACTATGATTTCCTGAGCTCCATCGAGCTGGTGCTGCTGGACCAGGCCGATGCGCTGCTTATGCAGAACTGGGAGCACGTCGAGCACATCTTCAGCCACCTCAACCTGCTGCCGCGCGACAACCACGAGTACGACATCAGCCGTCTGCGCAGCTGGTACCTGGACGACCGCGCCAAGTACTACCGACAGACGGTGGTCTTCTCCGCCGTGCACACCCCGGCGCTCTCGGAGCTGTTCCGGCGCTTCTGCCACAACTGGGCGGGCCGTGTGCGCGTGCAAGCGGCAGAGTACAAGGGCGTCGTGGGGCGGATCGGCGTGCGCGGTGTCAAGCAGACGTTCTCGCGCTTGGAGTCGCCGAGCATTGAGGCGGAGCCGGATGCGCGCTTCGACTACTTCACCAAGGCGGTGGTGCCGACGCTGATTGCCAAGACGCGCGGCGGCAGCGGCAGCACGGCCGCCCACGGCAGCAGCGGCGTGCTGGTGTATATCCCGTCGTACCTGGACTTTGTGCGGGTGCGCAACTGGTTCGCGACGTCGGTGGCCGTGGCCAACGTGACGTTTGGCGCCATTTCCGAGTACGCGTCGGTGCCGGAGGCGTCGCGGGCCATGTCGCACTTTTTGACGGGCCGCCACCGCGTGCTGCTGTACTCGGAGCGCGCGCACCACTTCCGGCGGAACCAGATCAACGGCGTGCGCACCGTCATCCTGTACGGACTACCGGAGAACCCGACGTTCTACACAGAGGTCACGGGCGGGTTCCTGGCACGCAGCCAGCGCAGCCAGAAGCTGGAGCCAGGCCAGGGCAAGGTGCGGGCCATGTTCTCGCAGTTTGACGCGTTCAAGCTGGAGCGCATTGTGGGCAGCGCGAACGTGGGCCAGATGCTGCGGGAGCGCAGCGACACCTTTGTCTTTGAGGAGGACAGGGCGTTTTAGGCCGGTAGAAGGGAGGTAGACATGGAGTCTACTGTCAGTATTTCCAGATTGCATCGCATTGGAACTTTCCGCACGGATCGAAGTGGATCTACAAAAGCATATTGGCGCGTTATTCGGTTCAGCATCTTGCCCGTCATTGTTCCAGGACACAAACAGAGTATCGCATAATCGCATAATAGATACATTGTTTCATAGACGGAGTTTTACTGTATATCTTACATGGTGTATCGAGTTGATGCTGTACAAATACCAAGACACCCAGTGTCGCTTTCCCTTACTATCGTTTCTTTCGTTCCGTCCGTCACTTTTTGCAATGCAATTCCCTCCCGGTCATTCTCCACCCCTATCCTACTAACGGCAGGCTCCGTATCCGATCTCCCAGCGTCTTCTTCGGCGGCGGTGGCGGCGGCGGTGGCGCCTGGTTCTTGGGCTCGCCGATGTCGTTGGACAGCGCCTTGGCCGACCTCCGGCTCTTGGGCGGACTCCAGTAGTCGTGTGCAGGCTTGGCCCGCTTCAGGAGCTCGTCGGCGTCGGGCGTGCGCTGCGAGATGATGGGCTCCAAGTCGGCCAGCTGCACGCCGGCCTCGTCGAGGCGCAGCCGCTGCGTCCTGCGGACCATGCGCTCGAAATCGTCCTCGCCGTTCTGGCGGAAGCGCGTGACCTTTTCGCGGTTGCGCTGGGTCAGGTCCGTGTGGTCGCGGCCCAGGGCGCGGTCACGGGCGACGGCCGCAGCCGTCATGGCGAAGCGCATGTCGTAGGGCCCGTCGACGAGCTCGAGGATGGCGGACTGGGCCTGGTCGTCCTTTTTGGGCTCGGTGCGCAGGACCCGCGTGTAGCCGCCGGGGCGGTCGGCGTAGCGGGTCTTTAGCGGACCGAAGAGCTTGGGCATTAGGAGATGGGGGGTCTACAGGGTCAACATGTGCGCATGGGTGTGCGTGTGTGTCATGTTGTCATGGCGAGCTCTGAACTGTCACTCACGTAAAGAATGGCTTGGGCTTTCCGGCGGGTCTCTTCGTTGTCGCGCTTGGCCAGGGTAATCAGCTTCTCGGCCAGCCGCTGGGCCTCCTTGGCCTTGTGCCATGTTGTGTGTATTGACTCGTGCTTGACGAGCGACGAGACCAGGTTGCGCAGCAGGGCCTGGCGATGTGCAGACGAACGGCTCAGATGCCGGTATTTGACGAGACCACCGGCCATGGCGACGGTGGACGGGGAGGGCGGTGCCGGGCTGCAGGTCTGGCTGTCTCGTCGTCTCGATGTCGTGCACGGCTCTCCAGGCCAAATTGGCGTCGTACGTCGGCGGGTGGCAGGGGACAAGAAGGCTCTTGTCGTCGAATGCCTCGTGAGGTATGAAGTGGACGCTGTGGAGCACTTTGGGCATCTCGAACTTTTTCTCCCACTAAAAGTATGGTCACGTGCGGCTGTTTTACTCGTTCCTGCCAAATTGGTGGGACAGGAATTGCTGCGTGCCTTCTCTGTTCGTACCTGCGTAATTACAGCTAGCACTCCATGCGCTGATCGTAGTCATTAATAGTGCATTCTCCAGCGCCTGTAGCACGCTGGAGTGCCGCAGGTACCGCTAGAGAGCCGAAAAAATAGCGCATGTGCCGGGGCCGAATAGCTGCCGATAACGAACATCATCTCCTGGCACGCGAAACCGAAATTCTTTCCGCTTTCGTTTCGTCACCAGAATCCAACACAACGAGACGACAACACACGACACGCGACAGCGGGCATCCAATTGGGCCTCCACGGACGACAAAACCGACGCCTCTCTCTGGCCGACTCAAGCCCTTGTTTTCATTGCCGGCGTCGACACTCAACGCACCGGAGCCATGGGCTTCACCACAGGATTTGTACGACAATTTGCACCTCCCTCCTCGATGTCTACGCCTCCCACTAACCTCGCAGACCGGCGGCGTAACGCTCACGCTCTCGGTGGCCTATCTCACGGTTCTCGCGCACCAGCGCAACCGCCAGCGGCAGTGCGACGTCCTGCGCGCCAACACGACCGTCCTGCGCGCGCTCGCGCTCGCCGACCCCATTACGGCCGCGCGCCTCGCCACGCCCCATGCCGCCGAGACGCCGGCCGATCTCTCGGCAGCCGCCGCCGCACAAGAATTCTACTACCCGTCCAAGGCGGACACGCCGCGGCAGCCACGGTCGTCGTTTGTCGAGGAGCTGAAGACGCGGTGGAACGCGGAGATTGAAGGCGCCGTGCGCAAGGTGCAGACGACCGACTGGGTGGAAGTGCGCGAGAACGCCGAGGGCCGGCTGGGCCAGATCTGGCGGCAGACGTTTGGCGGCGAGGAGGCCGCCGCCACGGCGGCCGCCGCGACAGCCGCGGTCAAGGAACGGGCGGTGGCCGTCACAGAAAGCGTCAAGGCCGAGGCCAAGGACATCCAGGCCGCCGCCATTGCGCAGGCCAACGAGGCGGCCGCGGTGGCCAAGAAGGCGGCCAGCCGCGCGGTCGACAAGGGCCGCGAGGTACTGGCCGCCGAGACGAGCAAGGCCCAGACGGCCGCGGCCCAGGCTGCGGGCCAGCTGTCGGAGGTGGAGCTGGCGCTGCAGCAGCGCTACACCGGCGCGGCCGAGGATGTGCGAATGAAGAAAAGCGTGGGCGAGCTGCTCGACGAGCGCTACAAGCAGACGGCATGAGTGCAGTGCGTGCTTTGTCCACGGTGTATGATCTGTATGGATAAGTAACGATAGGGACGGAAAACCGGATAGACGAGGGCGGCATGCATATTTCGCGGTTTCCTGTATATTTTTTATTCGTTTTCATGGCCACACTGCATGGCATAGAGTTTTCCTGTACAGCAGAATACATTTCCTTTGTTCATCCGTTGCGTCTGTCGCCGTTCATCTTGTCGTATTGTCGTTGTTGGCCGGCACACGCTTACAAGCATACACATATACTGCACTTTTCCTATATGCATAAAAGCGTATCTTTTACACTGTACGTTGGACACTGTCGCAGGCTCCACCAGAGCTGTGTCTGGCCAATCAACACCTCTCCTTTTCTGACCAACGCCAGAGGCGACAAAAGCCGCAAAATCCTCCTCCATACCGCATTGCCGCTCTCCGCAAAGAAGGCACCTTTTCCTTCTCCCGGCGAATTATCACCACTTTTTGCAGCCCCCAGTCCCCCTCGAGACTGCCCGATTCGCGACGCACGACCACGCACGACAGTGACAGCGACTCTACCGACTGTACTCAATTGATTGATTGCGACGACAGCTGGCCCAAACCGAACCAGAGACCGCCGAAAAGAGAACAGCATCCGCCTCTTGTTGTCACGACTCTTGGGGCGTTTCGTCGCACACCGTTCATCGCCCCCGCTCTCCGACTTGTTGGCCCTCACCCGCCAACGACGCGCATCTTCCCCCCCTCTCCTCTCCACCGTCACATCCACAGCCATGTCTGCCTCGCTGCGGACAAGGGCCACAGCAGTGCTGCGAGGTCAGTCCTGTCCCACATCGCCGCCCCTCGACGATGCCCTGTTTCCATTGGCCCACGCTGGCCGAGCATATCGATAGTGGACATCTACATCCATCGTTGTCCTTTCTTATCGTCCGTCTGTTCCTCGTCTCCCAGACTAACTCGTCCCAGCCAAGCCAATGCCCTTTGCCTCTAGCACGACCGCCCTGGTCCCCTTCCGCGCCGCCCCGGCCGCCACCTCCCTCCACACGACCTTCCCGTCCGCCGCGCCGCTCTCGTCGTCCGCGCGCCAGAACAACGCTGCCGCCGTTGAGCAGCACCACTCACACGGTGCCACCGGCCTGGCCCGCCGTGAACGGAAAGAGGTGCCGCTGCCCAGCCAGGAAGGCACAAAGGGCCTCGTCCAATACGCACTGTACGTTCGCCGCCGCTCTCTCTCTCTCTCCCTCTCTCCCTCTCTCCCCCTCTCTCTGTTTTCGCTTCTTCTCCTGACATGACAGAACCACCCTCGACATCATTGCCAACTGGGGCCGCCAGTCGTCCTTCTGGCCCATGACCTTTGGTCTCGCCTGCTGCGCCGTCGAGATGATGCACCTGTCCACCCCGCGCTACGACCAGGACCGCTACGGCATCATTTTCCGTGCCTCGCCGCGCCAGTCCGACGTCATGATCGTCGCCGGCACCCTCACCAACAAAATGGCCCCCGCCCTGCGCCAAGTCTACGACCAGATGCCGGAGCCCCGCTGGGTCATCAGCATGGGCTCCTGCGCCAACGGCGGCGGCTACTACCACTACAGCTACTCTGTCGTCCGCGGCTGCGACCGCATCGTCCCCGTCGACGTCTACGTCCCCGGCTGCCCGCCCACCAGCGAGGCGCTCATGTACGGCGTCTTCCAGCTGATGCGCAAGCAGCGGAACACGAAGATTACCCGCATGTGGTACCGGAAGTAGACGATCATGCACATTGCCACATTGCGGCTTGGCCTTGTGGACGAAACGTGTCTGCTACTGGCGGGGAAAGAATGAAAAGTACGAAAAACAAGAGCATTCTTCATCGGACGAGGATGCTGTGCTGGTCCGGCTTGGGATGCCCGGGCTTTTATTTTTGTTGATTTGTGACCGTTTCCCCCCCAATTTTTTCTTGTTCCTTCTTTTCCGCCTCTACCATGTCATTTTCTTGTTTTCTCGCATTGCCCACCGATTTCGACCACCACATTCGCAGTCCTCCATGTTACATGTACATATATTCTCGGCCCTGTTGCGCCTCCAGAGAAAACAAAATGAATGCCAAAAAATAAACAAATCACTTTGAATAATCATGCTGCGCCTTGTGGGAGTGTTGTGTTAATAGACAACAGCTGACACTTCACGTAAGGTAGCATCCATCACACTGGAGCATAGCTACACGCAGCCAGAGCCAGCATTTACTGCAAAACGTATGTAATTATTATGTTGGGAGGCGACGATTGAGTGTTTGAGTGTACACGGAGCGGCTGCTTTATACAACTGAAGTACAAAAACAAAATAAGAGATTGTTTCGACTAAGCCACCAACCGGCGGGCCACAGGAGGCAAAAGCAAGCAACAAGGGGGGCCAAAGTACAGAAACACAACATGACTGGATCCAAATTTTGTGCCATGGGCCGTTCAAAGACGAGGCTCTGCACGTCATGTGTATCGATACTTCCATTTGCTGTAGGCTGACAAGAAAGATGAAGGGTAAGGGGGACAACATAAAGGAACACGGAAAGTATAAAAATCAAATTGTAACAATCAAAGATCTGTGGATAAAGGAGACAAAGGAGAAAAAGGGGATAAAATAACATCAAGGTTGAGAAGCAAAAGCCGCAAAACATGTAAGTAACATCCGACGCGCAAGTATGATGGAAAAGCAGTAACGTGTAGCCCAAGAAAAACACGCGCAAGCAAGCGAACGAGTGAAGGAGAGAAAATCAAAATTTAGCACCAGCAGTATCTGAGGGAAGAATAGATATTTGCAATAAACGCAAAGGCACGCAAAAGGCGTGGCAACACAACAAGTAAGCACGCTGGTTGCATCTATTCCTGACCAAAACCCATTGTCTCCTCGACAGCAATCGTCATCTTGCCCTGGAGCGTTTCCAAGTTCTTGTACGGAGGGAGGTCCAACCGGTTGAAGCTAAAAAATTCTTGTTAGTAATGTCGAAAATGTGCGGACACGGGTGCGCGGAAAGGTGTATATTGCATACCAAGTGTGGGCTTTAGGCAAGTTGATGACATCGCCCGCCTTCTCAATTGTGAAGCGCCTCGGACCATCACTGCCCTGCAGGTCCTTGAAGCCGTTGACGGGAATACGTGAGGTTCCTGTCGTGAACTGCAGAAGGCGCGACTTTTGCTCGCCGTCCCAGGAGCGCACCGTCTGCCAGAAGAACTGGATCACCTCGTCCGACTCCGTGTAGCCGCGGTAGTCCGTGTGCTTCTTCCAGTCGTCGACGTCAATCTCCGCAATACCGCCAATCAACAGCTCCAGCTCGCGCTCGTCAAAGACGTTGATCAGGTCCTGCGGGATGAGCTCGTTGAAGCCTTCCCGGAACGACTGGAACTGCTCCGAGATGCGCTTCTCGATGCGCCACTTGACCATGAGGTCCACGTACTCCTTCTTGTTCTCGTTGGTCACCTCAATGTCCCGGCCGCCGGGGATCAGGTCCTCGACCGTCAGCACGCCGAAGCGCTCGTCTTCTGTCGAGAACGTCTGCTCGAGAATGCCCCCCGAAATGTCATTGTCCAGGATCCATTGAAGCGAGCGGTGGAAATCAGCGTCCACTCCCTCCATGTCGGCAAGGACGACCATCTTTCCCAGCACCATCTTGTACAGAGCGCCAATAAAGAATGCGTCGAGGAACCGTCGGTGGAAAATAGCCAGACCGACAACACGGCCGATAAACTTGAAGTAGTTGAGATGCTCGGGGTTGATGCCCGAGTGGGGGTTGATCTGCAGAGTGTAGTTGTCGTGCGCCGAGTACTCAAACAGGCAGTAGAAGGGGTTGAACATCTCGTGCGACAGGAGGAAGAAGAACTCGCGAGAAAGACCGCCGTAGTCCAGGCCGTCTTCGCCGTCAAACTTGATCATGAGACGCTTCTTCAGATCGTGCGGCGTCTGTCTCGTAATCTCTGCAAACGAGTCTTCAAAAATGTGCGAGCGGCGCACCTTTATGTGGCACTGCCCAGACAGGATACGCATGGCAGGCTGCGAGCGGAAGTAGATCAGCTTCCTCCGGAAATCACGCTTGTACTGGGGAACGTTCTGATCGAGAGACGACGGCAGACGCGGGTCGTCCCAGGTGGTCGTCTTCGTGTTGTGGTCGACAAAGTACACACGAGCGGTATTCGTGAGACGCATTTCCCAACCACTGGGCAGCGGGCCGAGCTGGGATACTGGCTGCTGCTGGATAACGCCATTGGAGCTGTTCTGGCCGCCGTACATGCGAATGTATTGCTGTCGGCGGGGGTCAACCCAAGTCGTGGTCCGCGTGTTGTGGTCCACAAAGTACGCTCTGCCTTCGGGAGTCCATCTCTGTTCCCAACCAGGCGGAAGCTCGCCGGTACCAGGGCTGGTAGCTCCCGTGTGCATAACCGTGCCAGAACTAGGGGCCGCCGCCGCCGCCGCTGCTGCTGCTGCTTGTTGCTGCTGCTGTGGATGGTCTTGCTGGAGCGAGGGGGAGCTGGTGCCCGTACGGTCTTCGGGAAGCGTGCGGTTCTGGTGGCGTTGGCGCTCTACCTGCGTCGCCGCTTCCTGGTTGCTTCTTTCGACCGATCCGTTCGCGGTAGGGCGTGTCCAGCTTGTAGAGCGCGTATTATGGTCCACATAATACTGTCTACCAAGGTTGTCCTCACGGCGCTCCCAGCCAGGGGGGAGACGGCCAAGGTGATCCTCGAACGGACTCATGGTGCTCGTAGTGCGTGCGTGGAGAGCGGCCGTGGCACCGGCTGCAGCACCACCTGCGGACGAGGCTGCTGCAGCAGGCGGAGCGCCGGCCGGCGGCGCTGCGGAAGTTGAAGGCGCGGGCGCTGCCGAGCCACTTGCGCCGGTGTTGGACGCAACAAGGCTAGCAGGGCGTATCGGGAGTGTCGTAGTGTTGGCGTTTGACGCCCCGTTCACAGATCCGGACATTGCAGATGTCGGTCGGTCGTGGGTTCGAGCGCCTGAGGCCGCGAGTGATGTACTATTGACAGACGCACGGCTCGATCCGGACGCGGCAGCAGCAGCTGGTTGCAAAGAATTGGATTGCGAGTTCTGTTGAGGCGCCTGATGCTGGCGAGGGGGAGAGGTTAAATCGGTCGACAGGTTCAGAATCAGCTTTCCGTGAACAACAAGGTTATCGGTCGATTTCTTCAAGTCGGGCGCGAGCATCTGGTCTGTAAAATTGAACGTCCTGGTTAGAAGAAATGAAGATTTTAAAAAAGGTCGACGCAAGGGCAGATCTCCATTCATCAATATTTCCACTCACCATCTGATTCAGCCAACAGTTCGACGGAGTCACCAACACGAATGTTCACGACGCCCAAGAAGCCCTGGTCCTTCTTCTTAAATTTCCGCTGGTCAAAGACTTGGACCGCGAGTATGCTGTCTTCGTTCACGCGACTAGAGAAGAGTGGCACCCAAGGGTCAGCAAATTGAGGTTCCCAGCAGGGCAAAATACGATAATAGGAGGGAATACGCACAAGTCGAAGCTTTCGTTCCAGTAGGGGTTGAGCGTTCTCTTGCAGACAGCAGTCGTCTTGGTCTGTTCGCTGTTGATCGTGGCGACGGCAAAAGGGTCGGGAAAGCCTTTTAAGAAGCAAATTGTGTCAATAAGGTTCAGATGCGTGTCTGGAAACAGCGAATATGTCAATATGTCACTTACGGAACACGTCGCGCTTGTACAGTCCATCGGCAGCGATGACTAAATGGATGTTGGTCAGAACACGAGGCACAAAAGTGACTTTCGGCGCCGCGGGGTACGCAGCCCAGGGGTATCGGGGAAAACTTGATGTTGTCACGATGGAAGAAACATACTTGTGACACGAAGGTTAGGTTGGCTGCAGTTCGAAAATAGAGGTTAGCACATTCCGAATGACGATCAAGGGACCGTTGTCTTCATCTACGTCCACGCAGAGCACAAACGATGCCAGACACCGACAGCGCCCGGGAACAGTGACGTGGCTGTGGGCAAGGCTGATCGCGACAAGGTACCACAGAGAAGAAAGGCTAAACTCACGCAGGAAGCCCGGAGTCCATCCGGCTGTTGGCCATGACGAGACTTGGCGTGGTCGATGCAATCGATGCACCTGCGAATGGAAAGGCGGCGGTCGAGTCGAACGCGGGCGGGGAGACCGATGCAGTTTCGATTGGTGATGGCTGGAAAAGCCAACAAAGAGACGATTGCTCAGCGTGCGGCAGGCGGTAGCGAAGGGGTCGGCGAAATGGTCAGGAGCAAGATGATACGCCAACAGGGCGTGGGTGTCGAAAGGAGGTACGAGCAACGCAGGGCGCAGATGACGGGAGGCCGCTGGAGGAGAGAGAGAGTAAGATACGGTGGAAAGCGGAGAAGGTTCAGAAAGTGGCAGGACGATGTGATAGGCAGCGAACAAAGGTGCTCTTTAGGCGTATTTCCCCCCACTTTCTGCAGGATACCCTCCTAAAGCAAAAGCAGTTGCTGGTCGAACTCGGATCTTCGCACTACGCAGACGCAGGGGAGAAGACACGAGAAATAATGCGTTGTAGACTGGTTGAAACGTCGAAAGTCCCGAGGCCCGAAAACGATGTGGTTTAAGAATGTTTGATTCGTAATTATTTCTCGTAGCAAGTTGACGATTCAGGGCCTAGCATCAGTTGGTGTGTAGTCGGCAAGATGTGTGTGGTGGGTATCGAATGGGTAGTAAGATAGCAGAGTGCTGGTAGCGTTGAGGCTGTGCTGCTGTCCAGACCTGCGCCTCGCTACTGAGCGGCAGCTCTGGAGGATCGCTACGGCTCTGATGATTCCAGGCCAGGAGATATGCCGTCTTGGTCGACGACGTGCGAGCCACAAGAAGAACTTCGAAGGCGGCTTGGTGCCCGGCGATCTGGAATTCGTCGTACTGTGTGACAACGCTGCTGTGTCTGTGGAACAGGCCAGATCGATTCGATGGCCAGAGCCAGGCCCAATACTTTCCAGCGCTGATGGAGAAAACTGTTCAGGGGCGATAGTCGATGTGGTGAGTGGCGAATAAGGCAAGGTTATGGGGGGGGAGCGATCAACGGAGCTTGCGGGCGGGTAGCCGGGCAATGACGAGCTGCGGAGACTGGCCAAAGAAGGGCTGAACAGAGCAGCCACGCAAAGGGTAAACAACACAAAGTTTTACATTCGAAATGAAGCCGAAACAATCGTCAATTGAGATCACGAAATATGGCATCCGCAGGACAGGCACAAGGGCTAGATAATAGGATGGAAAGATGGACGACAAGAACGACAAAGGAGCATAACAACTGTGCAACCAGAAGGAATTGAAAGGGGAAATGGACGAAGACTTTCAAAAGTGTGTGTTAAAGAGAGGCAGAAGATGGAATATTTCAAGTCAACGGGACACAGGAGAAGGACAAGAGGACTACGGGGTACATCACACAGCTGACTGAACGGCAAGATGCAGGAGCAGAGAACGAAGACTAATGAGGAAAGAGCAAAGGCGTGTCAAGAAAGAACACAAAGAAGGGGCGACGGGATGGAAGGGCGCAATTCGAAAGAGTCGTGATCTATTAAGATACACCCTTGCAGGGCAAGAACTACTGACGAGTGCAGAAGAAAAGAGGGGCAGTCCAGGTCGATGATAGCCCAAAACGGTCACGCAGCAATAGACCACGCGCTGAGGCACCCCGTAACAAAGCCAGAGCACACCAGTAATTACTCAGGACGGCGAGGGGGGAATCTGAGTAAATGTTGCCTTGTCCAAAGCCTGGCGTAAGAAAATTACGGGCATTCCGACGGCTGGCACAGTGTTAAAGCATGCTTTGGCACGTCCAGCGACGCCTTCCTTATCGGAGGCAGGCGTGAGGCCTTTAGAAGGATGTAGGATGGGCACGCGACTGCACCTATTTTTGTCACCTAAGCGCCCATGCGCCTTCCGTTTTGAGTGGCCACCACAGGGAGCGAGAGCGAACAACAATACGAAATAGCAGCACATGTGCCGAGAAGGCACGGCATTAGAAAATATAAACGATGTAAACCACAAGGAAAGAACACCCAACGCCTAATATACAACGGAAGGAGTCAACCAGGCCAGCTTTTCCTAGCACGATGGCTACGTCGCAGACCCAAACGTGTCCCAAACCCACGGTAGACGTCCTGGCTAAAATTGGGTCGAACCTATCTTGTTCAGAGCGGGCAAGATCGTCGACTGCCAAATTGACACTCGAATTGATATTCAAAACAGGAAAACAAGAGTCATCTATATTGAAGGAATAAGAGACTCGTAAAGGGTAGCAACGTATTGTAAGACGCGCAAAATAAATTCAAGGCAAGAAATTAAGAGAAAAAATCCCGACAAATCAAATGATTCCAGTATCGCCCTTTTCCCATCCTGTTTTTGTAAAAAGAAAAAGAAAAATACACCCTTCCTGAATCTTCTATTCGTATCATACAAAGCCGAGACGAAACGCAGCAGTGTCACAGAAATTGTGTGCCGCGTGGGAAGAGAGACTAACACAACAAGCAAGCAATTGAAAGACACGGGACATGACACGGAGAACGGAGAACGTGGTGGCATTGCTGACGAGCTCGGTAGCTGTCGTCGCCACGCTCACGTATCCTCGCCTCCCCTCTGCGTCTAATACGGGGCAAAGCCGCCACGGCCGCGGCCCCGGTAGCCGCCACGGTAGCCGCCACGGGGGTTGAAGCCGCCGCGACCGCCAAAGTAGCCCCGGCCGCGAGGGAAGCCACCTCGGCCGCGGCCACGGCTCATGCCTGGAACGTTTGTCCGCTTCGGAACAACCTGGGGTGGCGTCGTTAGATGGCAGTGCAACAAGAGAAGTCGAGGCGGGCGTGCAGGGAACGGGGGCTCACCTTAATGTTCCTTCCCTTAAAGACACTCTCGTTCAGGACCAGGGCCTGGGCGACCAGGCTGGGCTCGGAAAACTCCACATACGCATATCTACACAACGTCAGCGTCGCTGTCCTAGGAGGGGACTGATACGTGCCAAGCAGAGGGAGTGAGAGCTGACCCTTTCGGCTGGCCGGTAAACTTGTCCAGGAGAATCGTCACCCGGTTGATGGAGCCACAGCTCTGGAAGTGTGCCTGGATCTCCTCGGGCGATGCAGAGTAGTCAACGTTGCCGACAAAGATACTCCGCGAGTCGATGTCTTCTTTGTTTTCTGTGAGCTCCTGGCTCTGGTGGTTGAGGTCCTTTTGCATCTCGCGGAGCTTGGCGGCCTCCTCTTCCATTTCGGCCACGCGGCGCTTCATCTCTGAGATTTCCGTCTGCTCAACCTCCTTCGTCAGGATTTTGCTTTTCATTGTTTCCTTTCTTTCTTTTCTTTCTCGGATGGTGTTCCTCCCCGCCCCCCTCTTTCAACTGGCCCCCCTCTTCACCGCGGTAGTGTGGTTTCTCACCTCGTCGTTGCCGGCCACTTCATCGTTACCGCTGACGTCAAACGACTTGTCGATCGACTCGGTCGTCGGCTCCTCTGGCTTTGTAGTGTCCGCCATGGTGATGTATGTGTATGGTTGAGTTGAGATGCGTTTGCAACGACAGGTAGCCTCGCTATATGGCTCCGTGTAGTCGTTACGAAGAGAACCTTGGCGCAATGCAGACAAATCGGCCCCTGAAATACGGCAGGTATCGCTCGGAGAATGATTATGCGTCGGTCGATTCGAACGTCTGCTGCCGAGCAAGGAGAAAGAAAGGTGCGTCAGCATCAAAAGAATTATAAAACGAGACGAGAAATAGAAGAAGCCACACAGCTAGCCTTCCTCTTGCAAAGAAGTGCTTCTCGGTCTGCTAATTATAGCTGCCTGACATAGGGCACAAAGACTTGCCGTGTCGGTGCGCTACCCAACGGCTCAGGCCCAAGACGTGGCAGGGCGACAACCAAGGCAGCTCCGTTTTCGTCACAACAGAAAGCCGACACTGTGATTCCTTTGAAGTTCGCTTGCAAGGGGCGGCAGTCGCGTGAACAGCACGGTTGCGTCGCAAAAGAAAAACAATGACTTGTGGGTGAAAGTATACTCACGTAAGGGTGCCGCAGCTACAGCTCCGAAAGGTGCGCACGGTGGACTTGTGTCGTCGGCGATGGTTGCGGGCAGAGATCCGGCAAGCAACACAGATTACGACAGCCGAAAACTTTATGGCGCCTGGTACACAAAGGAAGGACGCGACCGCGATAAGATAAGCAGTCACGTGGGGCTCTGGCATAGGTAAATGCGCTGAAGCCTCATATTATACAGCATATTGTTGTTTTATTCGACACATCGTCCGCTTTTGCTGTTGAATAAAATAGTCAAGAGCGAGCACATATTTTTTGGGCTTTATTTCAATCTTACGCGTGGCTGGTACTTTTGCTGACTTATTGCTGACTTCTGGGATGACATTTCGTATATAAAAAGTGTGAGAATAAGAGTAATAAAATAAGAAGAAAAAAAGACTCCAACAGCTTCAGACATAACGTATCTCAACTTCACACAGAGGACGACATTGTCAACGTAATGTACCACGAAATTAAAAAACCGAGACTCTTCCCTTATATTTCTGAATAGTATTCTGCTCAACCCTCACAAAGAGCATTGCATTGCTCCTCCAACAACCGAAACTGTCACAGTCCATACCAAAGCTATCAGGACGAGGGCAAAGCCGACCGTTTCATTTAAAGGAAGTAGTCCGTAGATGTGGAAAACAATGAAACGCGCGCCCTCTGAGTTGGAGCTTCTTGGTACTCACATGGATCCTATTGAGAGAGATGATGTGATTTGGACGACAACACACCTATATAGGATGACGTAATTTGATATTTGGCGCTGTTTCGCAGCCTTCCAGAGCTGTTTCCGGGGCGATTTAGGCACCAGTCGGTGCTCCATACTCTTTCTCTCCGTCCGGAAGGCACCCACTAGGACAGTGGCTACGGGGGCAATTAATTCCTGACATTGGCTACGATAGTTTAGCAGTAATTAGTGACAGGGCACGCCAGGGCAAGAGCGATCCCTGCCAGGGCCTGGCCTGTACCTGGGACCTGTCGGGCTGCCCCGCAACAACAAGGTGCCCCTCTCAAAACAACTGCCCTCCCCTTTCTGACATCTGTATTGATACTGAGCGTCTCATACATCTCGTCATCTGCCTGTGGTGGAGCTTAGACATTGAGCTCCTAGCGAGATTGTACGGCAGTATTGTGGCCTCGTCATTTCCCAGGCAGCAGTTTGGCAAAAACAAAATATTAATCCGCTTGGCCTCGAAACGGCAGGAAGACGACCAAACAAAAACACGACAACACCGTCTTCCAAAACCAAGCATGGCTTCCATTTCCGTGGATCGCATTCTGGCGGCAGCCCCGGTCACGCTCCGCGGCCAGCCGACACCTCTCTCTGCCGATCCCAAGGGACAGCGCATAGCGTACGCGGTGAGTGCTTGGCCTGAGTTCCAGGTGCCATGAAGAGGTGCGTGGCTGACTCTAGGCCCTCGCCACATACGATACAGTCGGGCAAGTCCATCTTCATCCGGTCCATCGACAACCCGGCAGACTGCAAGCAGTACACGGGCCACACAGCCGCGACCACCGTGGCGCGGTTCTCGCCGTCCGGCTTCTACATTGCCAGCGGCGACGTGTCCGGCAAGGTGCGCGTGTGGGACGCCGTGGAGGCCGTCAACACCAAGGGCGAGTACCCCATCATCTCGGGGCGGATCAACGATGTGGCGTGGGACGGCGACAGCCAGCGCATCATTGCGGTCGGCGACGGCCGCGAGCGGTTCGGCCACTGCATCACGGCCGACAGCGGCAACAGCGTCGGCGAGGTCAGCGGCCACAGCAAGGTGGCCAATGCCGTGGCGCTGCGCCAGCAGCGGCCCCTGCGCGCGGCGACCGTGTCCGACGACGGCTCCATGTGCTTCTTGCACGGCGCGCCGTTCAAGTTCAACTCCAAGGCCGACGGCCTGCACAAGGGCTTTGTGTTTGGCACGGCCTTTTCGCCCGACGGCAGCACGCTCGTGACGGTCGGCGCCGACCGGCGCATCCAGCTGTACGACGGAAAGACGGGCGAGCCGACGACCACGGTGGGCAGCGACGGCGACGCGCACACGGGCAGCATTTTCGCCGTCAGCTGGTCCTCGGACTCGAAGCGCATAGTCACGGCGAGCGCCGACCAGACGGTTCGCGTCTGGGACACGCAGTCGGGCAAGTCGCTGCAGACGTGGCGGCTGGGCGGCTCGTCGTCCGTGGCGAGCGTGCCCGACCAGCAGGTCGGCGTCGTGTGGCCGAGCGGGCGCAGCGACGACCTGATTCTCAGCATCAGCCTGAGCGGCGACATCAACTACCTCACGTTTGGCCAGGACGAGCCCGTCCGAGTGGTGTACGGCCACAACAAGTCGATCACGGCACTGGGCGTCGAGTCGGACGGCAAGGGCCAGGGCCTGTGGACGGGCAGCTTTGACGGCCGCGTGTGCCATTGGGATCTGGCCAAGGCCGAGGCGCAGGTGGTGGATGGTCAGGCACACACGAACCAGGTGACCCAGTTTGCGTCCCTGGCGAGCCAGCGGCAGACGTACAGTGTGGGCTGGGACGACACGCTGCGCGCCGTCGACGAGGGCGCCCTCACGTTTACGGGCTCCGACGGCATCAAGCTGAGCGGCCAGCCCAAGGGCATTGCGTCGACGGACAGCGGCCACGTCTTTGTGGCGCTGGCGTCGGGGAAGATTGCCGTCTATCTCAAGGGCCAGCTGGTCACCGAGGTGCCGACGGCTGACTACACACCGACGGCCATTGCGGCGAGCGGATCGCTCGTGGCCGTCGGCAGCAGCCCCGAGCCGGTCGTGTATGTGTACAAGCTGGATGGCAGCGGCTCACTGAAGCTTCTACAGACGCTCAAGAATTCGACATCGGCGATTTCGGTGCTGTCCTTCTCCAAGGACGGCAAGTACTTGGCGGCCGGCAACGCGAGCGGCAAGATTGTGGTATACGAGACCGGATCGTGGCAGGTGGCGACGGACCGGTGGTCGGCGCACACGGCGCGCGTCACGACGATAGCATGGAACGACGCGGCGACACACGCGGCCAGCGGCGGTCTCGACACGAATGTGTTTGTCTGGAGCCTGGCCAAGCCGGGCAGCCGGGTCAAGGCGCTGAATGCACACAAGGACGGCGTCAGCGGCGTCGCATGGGTCGACGGCAGCCAAAAGGTGGCGAGCGCCGGTGTTGACGCGGCACTGAAGATTTGGACTGTCTCAGGGCTACAATAAGCAGCCGGAAGCGTTAAAAGGGAAGTGTAGGCCACCGAAACGGCGAGCGACACCTTTGAGAAAAACGAGTTTGGTGCGACAGAGCGTTCAGTGACGGGCAAGCTGAGGTGAATACGCAATCAGGAATTATAACTAAACGGCACACGCATGATGATCTCCTTTCGTGATATCTGTATATATGATGGCCGGCTTCTATGACCAGACATTTAGGGTATCCGACGATTGAATAATACATAAGAAAAAGACATATACGGGAGCCCGAAAAGAGGACCAAAACAACCCATAACGCCAACACCATCTACCGCCCGAATTGTAATATTGACCGCCCACCAGCACTCTCCTAGTCTAGTCGCAGCAGATTCGGTTCTGTTGACGCTGTGCAGGGGTCTTGTCCTGCATACACGGCTGCCCAGTCAAACAGGCCGCTCCGCTCGGCCTCTGCAGTCGGAAATGGCGGTTCTTGGTATGGAGGCAGACCTTCAGCCTGTGTCGCCGCCAGAGTTTCCTGCAGCTCTGCAACCGCATCGTCCAAGCGTCTGTTGGTCAGCAACAAGTACAAGACAATCAAGGAACAATCCGGGGGCAAACATGCAGCCTACCCCAAATCGCCTCGCACAGCCCATCCGGCGTCATGCACGGCATCGGCCAGCTCGGCCTGGTGGTTGCCGAGTAAGTCGGGGTTTGCCACGACAATGAGCGGGACGTCACACCGCACGGCCTCCAGGATGGACCCAGAGCCCGCGTGCGAGATCATCGCGCCCGGCAGTTGTCGGTGTGCCTCGCCACGGCAGGGAAGCATCAGCGAAGGCATATCGGTGGTGTAGGAGACGACCTCGATGGCCGGCCACTGCGGTTTTGGGGGCCCGTCTGTCTTGGGTGCGTCATCAGACTGCTGTCCCAGAGCCTCAATCTGTTTCAGAGCCCAGTCGTGGTCGGGGCCGGTCTGCACGACGAGTTCGCTGAAGCCTCTGGCACCGAGGCCGTCGAGGAAACGCGGCTCGAGCACCTCGCGCAGCAGCCTGATGAAGCTGGCGGTCGCGCCAACAGTCACAAAGCATCGCCGGCCATCTGCATGTCCTGGCTGGTTCTTGCCCGGGCTCATCGTGACGTGCACCTGATTTGGTCTGTCGGCGTCTACTTTGAGGTGATTAGTATCAGCTATACATGGGCGAGGCGACGCCTCGTCGATTTGGGAGTATGAAATGCATGTCAAAGCTTTTTAGAATCTGCATTGACTTACAAGATCGGGGCCGTTACAGTTGAACTGTAGGTCACGCAGTGTTTTGGTGATGTTCAAAGTGGCGCTGAGATGCGTCAAATGGGCCTGAAGCCACTCTGTAATACGGAGTACAGCCGCTATAGTAGAGCTTTGGGCGGTCTTTGGTGGGGCGCGGCCATCCCGAGCCATTACATAATCACAGTGGGTGGGTACGTTCCGACAAAAGTCGCCTAGCGCCGTTTCTCCTTCCAATTGCTCGCGAGAAAAAAACTAGTGCCGTGCGGAAAATCAGTGCCCACTGAACATTCGATCTCTCGATATTGAGACACGCGAGCCGACACACGGTCAATTGGCTGTTGTTTTCCACGGCACCCGTTTTGTGAGATCGATCAGCGAACGATGGCGAGCGCTTCTTCCCGGTCGCTGCAGCTCGGCATGCGCCGGTGCTGCGCAGCCGCTACGACAAAATCAGCGACGACGACGACCTTTTCCCTATCCTCCAGCAGACGAGCCGTGAGAGCAGCAGCCACAGCAGTCGCAACATCACCTACGGAGAGGGCACGATGCTTCTCGAGCACGGCGTGGCGCGGTGCTGACGACGAGGTGCGGTCGTCCAAGGGCCGCGAGCGGGAGCCTGAGCAGGCGCAGGGGCACAGGAGCTTTGAAGACATGATGCTGGCCGATAAGGACGACGGTTTCAAGAATCTCAGCCCACGGGAGAGGATTGAGGCTGAGCGGGCGATGACGGACCTGGAACATGCGTTATCCATCGCGAGCCGCCCAGACCGGAAGGGAAGGGACCAGTTCTGGAACGAGGACGAGCCGGAACCGGAAATGTTTCTAGAAGAAGGTCCCGAAGACGTGGACCACAGCGACGAAATGACGAGCATGGGCCACGGCAAGCTCGAGGAGATCCGCGACCAGCGCCACCTGGCACGCATCATTGCATGGGAGATGCCTCTTTTGGCAAGTAAGTGAAGTCGAGTGTCGAGTGTCGAGTGTCGAGTATCCATTTTGTTTCGTGGTTGTTTGTTCTACGTTGTCTTTTCTTTTTCTGCTTCTCCTTCTAACTGCTATCGCACAGAGTTTGCAAAGCCGTTTGAGCCCCCGAGCAACCAGCAGCCCCTGCGTTTCCGTTACACTTCGTACATGGGCGAGCTCCACCCGGCCGAGAAGAAGGTCGTGGTCGAGTTCTGCCCGTCCGACTTGGGCCTGACGACCGTCCAGGAGAACAAGCTCATGAAGCTGGCCGGCGTGCGCTACAACCCGGAGACAAAGATTGTGCGCATCAGCTGCGAGATGTTTGAGCACCAGGCGCAGAACAAGCGCTACCTGGGCGACCTGGTTGACCGACTGATTGCCGAGGCCAAGGTAGGTCCAGTTGCTGTTTCGCTGTTCCACCATGGTGATGGCCACCACTAACCCTCTACCCCCCCCCCGGCAGGACCCTACAGACACCTTTGAAGACATTCCGCTCGACACCCGCCACCACAAGTTCAAGTACAAGCCCAGCTTCCCCAAAGAGTGGCGCATGACCGAGGAGCGCAAGAAGGAGCTCGAGGCGGCTCGTGCCCAGTCCTACCTGCTGGATCAGACGAAGGCCGCCCAGGGCACGCTGATCGATGGCGTCCAGCGCATCCAGGCTTCCCTGGCCGCGCCTGCACCTGCCCAGGGCGCCATTGGCGACAAGGTCGCAGAACTTGCTCGGTTGCGGCCCGTTCATCCCCAGACGCCACTCCAGCGATAAATGCGGATGGATGAGATGAGCGTGAAAACATGTAACGTGATGAGACGGGACACGCACACGGCGAGAGCGTCGACTTGACGCGACGGGTTCAGCTTGTAAATACATAGTTTGCCTTGGACAAGCCATATTGGTGTCGGCTGTACGAATATTATACAACGATTTTATTTCCCATTCTAGATGTTCATGCTTGGGCCAACTGCAATACCGGCCAGTGGAAAAAGAGCTGTCGCACCGCACTCTCAGCGGTGAGGCCACATCTGCGACATCTTCCTTTCTGCCTTCGTATCTAACCGCCATCTTCTCTTGGCTGCCTGCTGTCTTGGAAACGGTATCTACGCGCTAGTCGTACCTGCCAGGGTCGCACATCGTTCCTTCCGGTACGTCCCAGGCTTTCATGTACATTATTCAGCAAACAAAGTGGACGATATACATCTTGTGAAGGCAGGCACGGTCCTGCCCCGACTTAATTTGTTCAAGAAACTGGGGGAAGGAGCAGCGACTGGCACTAGAGCTTCCCACGCGCCCTTGCCTCTTGGAGACAGTGCCTCGGCAGCCTGTGAACTAACACTACAAAAGCGTGTGGGGTAATTTGGCGTATATCTGGACTGGTGCTTCTTGCCCCCCTGGTGTCCCCGTCGCACCTGCCCTTCATTTTGTTTGCTTCTTTGTTTGCTTCTTTGTTTGCTTCTTTCCTCTGCTAGACTTTGTTTCTGCCAACTTCATCACCAAATCTGGACACATCCCTATTGCTGGTTTTGTTGGGCATCTCACAACGCTTCAGTACATCAATCATTCCGGGGCACAACAACGTTCCGTGCCAGCCAATCGCACACACCAGCGTCGCTTTTCCGTCGGCATTCTGTTTGGCGGCAATCGATACGATCCCGGAACGACTGTCTAGCGCACCGCAGCAACTCCACCACCACCTAAACCACCTACCGCCCCCAACACGGCATCTTTTCTTAAGCGACCACGGGCTGCACAGATCTCACCACTGCTTTCAGCCATGGCGACCAAGAGCATCGAGATCCCGCCCTTTGCGGCCACGGATCTCAAGAGCGTGTCGGCCAAGTGCAACACGGCTGCCGCGGCCTTCCGCACCAATCGCACCAAGGACCTCGCGTACCGCAAAACGCAGCTGCGGAAGCTCTACTGGGCCACCATCGACTACACGCCCCAGCTCATCGAGGCCCTGCGCCGCGACCTCAACAAGTCTGCGTACGAGTCTAGGATGACCGAGATTGACTTTGTCACAAACGACTGTCTCTTCTTGCTGTCGCAGCTCGACAAGCTGGCCGCCGACGAGAAGCTGGGCTCGCCCGACATCGGCCTCAGCTTTTACGCGGCCGGCCTGCGCACCCGCAAGGAGCCGCTGGGCGCTGTCCTGATCATTGGTGCCTACAACTACCCGGTCAACCTGCTTCTGTGCCCGCTGGTCGGCGCCATTGCGGCCGGCTGCACCGCCGTGGTCAAGCCGTCCGAGGTCGCACCCAACGTCGCCATGGTCCTCAAGGAGCTGATTGAGTCGGCTCTGGACCCGGAGGCCTATTCGGTCGTCAACGGCGCCGTGCCCGAGACGACGGCGCTGCTCGACTTCCGCGACCCCGGCGAGCTGGGCCAGATTGACGGCGAGGAGCGCGGCTGGGGCAAGATCTTCTACACGGGCGGCCGCCAGGTGGCCCGCATTGTCGCCGCCAAGGCGGCGCAGACGCTGACGCCCGTGACGCTCGAGCTGGGCGGCCGCAACCCGGCCTTTGTGACGGCCAACGCCGACCTCGCCCTGGCGGCACGCCGTCTGCTGTGGGGCAAGACGCTGGGCGCCGGCCAGGTCTGCATGTCGGCCAACTACATTCTGGTGCAGCGCGACGTCGTCGACGCCTTCATCCAGGGCTTGAAGGACGCGCACAAGAAGACGTTCCCCAACGGGGCGCGCAACAGCGAGCTGGCGCATATCGCCAACGAGCGCCACTTTGCGCGCATCAAGAAGATGCTCGACGACACCAAGGGCAAGATTGTCCTGGGCGGCGAGATGGACCAGAAGACGCTCTTCATGGAGCCTACGTGCGTCCTCGTCGACTCGGTCGAGGACCCCATGATTCAGCAGGAGAGCTTCGGCCCCATCTTCAGCATCCTGCCCGTGGACTCGCTGCCCAGCGCCATCCACATTGCCAACCAAGTCGATCCCACGCCGCTGTCTCTGTACACGTTTGGCAGCAAGGCTGAGAACGAGAAAGGTACGCCTGTATATGGACATTTCTATGGATATGTACGCATATGGTTTTATTTTTTGTGTACCGTTTGACTAACATAACCGATAGTACTGCGCGAGGTCAACTCGGGCGGCGCGTCCATCAACGACTCCTTCATGCACGGCTCGCCCAACACCGTGAGCTTTGGCGGTGTTGGCCACTCCGGCACCGGCGCCTACCGCGGCCGCGCCTCTTTTGACGTGTTCACACACCGCCGCACCGTCGCCGAGACCCCGTCCTGGATGGAGGGCCTGCTGCGCGTGCGCTACATGCCGTACGACTGGAGCAACCGCCGCATGGTGGACTTCTTGGCGGCCAAGCCCAACTTTGACCGCAACGGCAATGTCAACAAGGGCCTGGGATACTGGTTACGCCTTGTGCTTGGCCTCGGCAGCCGCAACGCCCAAGGTGCGTTACTCCGGTGGTGCAGCTGTGTTGTGGTGCTTCTTGCCGCCCTGGCGCATCGTGACCAGCAGGGTGTGTTGACATATATTCGGTCTCTTAGAGCCTAGCGCCACGCCGGTGACCAACGGCCACGCCTGATTGAGGCCTTTACGTTGGCTTCAGACCAACCTCGAGACAGAAGGAACCTTCATTTCATGGTTCCAGCTCTCACATCAGACATTTACGCATTTTGTTTACATCACGTCTTCCATTCTTTATGTGTTTTCGAACTCTTTACTTTCATTATGTTCTGCGGAGGCAACGGCCCGAGATACAACTTGGATATGGGATTCTGGGCTAAGAGGATGGGTATTCCAAAATTGACGCTGCAAACCGCAGATAGGGGGAGGTACTCTTAATTCATACTAACAATCAAATCCTGAAACATCAGACATGACAATCAGCCAACTAGAGGAAGTGCAAACAAAGTAGCCAAAATTGCGTACAACGTGGGGCGTTTATATGGGATATCAAACAAAGGGCTCAGGGCACGCAAAAACAAATCCGTCACACCGCCGGAGCAATTCCTCGTTCAATCAGTGCTAAGAGCGCCGTTGAGCAGTGCATGCAAAGCGTGTGTCTCCTTGACAAGACGCCGCTTCTCGGCCACCAGCTCGATCATGCGGCGTATGTACTGTGCCTCTTCATCCACGAGCGCCAGCTCCGCTGTAAGCCCGGCCAGCCTAGCGTCTAGCTGTCCGACAGTCGATAGGTCCGAGACCTGCGGCAGGGACTGGATGGGAGAGACGGGAGGAAGTGGTGCACCAATGGCCGGCTGTGTCGTAGGAATTGGTGTAGGAGGTTCTGTGACAACTGGGGCGGTTTCACGTGCAGTGTTGTTGGTCGGTGCAGGAGGTTGTGCGGGAGGTTGTAACGGAAGTTGAGTCGGAAGTTGAGTCGGAAGTTGAGTCGGAAGTTGAGTCGGAAGTTGAGTTGGAAGTTGTACCGGAGGCTGCACCGGAGGTTGCACCGGAGGTTGCCCTTGAGGCTGCACTGGAGGTTGCGCTTGAGGCTGCACCGGAGGCTGCACCGGAGGTTGCGCTTGAGGCTGCACCGGAGGCTGCGCTTGAGGCTGCACCGGAGGTTGCGCTTGAGGCTGCACCGGAGGTTGCGCTTGAGGCTGCACCGGAGGTTGCGCTTGAGGCTGCACCGGAGGCTGCGCTTGAGGCTGTGCGGCTGGCGCTGCTGGCGCCCCAACGGCTCCGTTTTGCGACTGTTGGGATTCTTCCGCGCTCTCGGCCCAGTTGCGTACGTGTACGAGTCCTTTGAACTGGCTCAGATCGATGCTTTGCAGCTTCGTCCTGTCCAGTCCCAGCGGGTTCCGGTCGGGAAGCGTAGGATTGAAGAAGAACGGAATTTTGGCGGCCGTCATCGGAATGGTGTCTGTGTCTTCCGGATCGACTTCGGGTGCGCCCTTGCGCAGCCTGCGAGCTGGCTGGTGACTGCTGCCACCCCTGTCGTCCCCCTTGATGCCGCGGATCTTGGCCCAGTCGCTAACGTGTGTGTGCACGTCACCCGTAATTGACAGAAGAGCCTGGAAGGGCTCGTTGCGCTGTGCGCTCGCACGCTTCAAAAGTATAGCTGTTCGGAAGAAGCTTGGCACGCCGCTTTTGGCCTGGTGGTTTTCGTGGAGCTCCCACACGGCACTGTCCGGGACACGCTTGCCGTCGGGCCGCTCGCTTAGCGCCTTGACCAAACCTTCAATCCACACATGGTCATCGATCTTGCGTGAGTCCGTCTGCTGCCACTGATATGACAACGTGCCCGTGGCCGGGCCTACGGCGCCTTGCAACGAGGGGCTGATGGTGTGGCTGCGCTGGCGGTCGATCGTTGTGGTGCCTGTCTTCCAACGGTTCTCAGGCTGGATCGTCAGCTCCGTGCCCGCCGTGAATGTCAGCGTAATGGCAATTTCGCGGAAGCGACGGCTGCGGCTGCGCGGGCAAAACGCAAACTGGAAGATAAACAGCGACGCCGGCTCGGAGAACTGGTCGTTTGTCAATGTACCGTGCACGACCGCCTCGACAAAGCACTGAACTGTTAGCGAGTCAACGCCGACGTCTTCATCCACAACAACGCCGCCTGCATTGGGCGTCTCGCCGCCGAGAGATGAGCCCTTTAGCTGAAATTTGGTCTTGAGCTCAGTGGTTGCAGTGCTAGGGTCGGTGCCGTTGAAAGCGTCGACCATCTTGAAGACGACCACATCGTCCTTTCGTCCGGTCGTTTCCATCGTGGATTGTGTGATCTGGTATTGCGTTGTCGAGTGTGAGAGCAATATTGTGTTTGTTTGTCTATTTCGCCGCCGATGTTGTCGACTATTGAGAAGACATCGGCCCGGCCATCTTTTAAAAAGCCTCGTCCATGCAGACAAAGCTGCAGCAGTCCTTCAACGATGTGCCGTGGCCATCATTGGTGCAGCTCAAACCCCAGCGTCTTTTGACTCCTGGCGAAAATAAACAGCTGCCAAGAGATTGCTTCGGAACTGGTGAGGAGGGGTCGGTCCGCATTTGGCCAGTGTCTTGGCTTTCTGCTTGTGGTACATCGTATTACTCCGCAGCGCGTGTTTTCGTGCAGGGGCTGATGGGGTCTCAATCCCGTCGGTAGAATGCTACACAAAGGTGCATTCAGCTGGCGAGGCGCAGCACATCCAATATATTTGAGTGGCTGCCTTGCTTTTGAGCATCAGCGTTGCATTGCAACCACAAAGCTGATGTGTTTTCCGAAAATGCAATATTGGCACCAATGGCCTGGACCTTTCCAAAGGCAGGTTTGTGTGGGGGTTATTCGACATGCGTGTCCCATTTGTAAAATATTTGACACAATGGACTGATTTCAGCCAAACAACGAGGAGCAGTGAATCTGTCAACCAAAACAAAGTGCTTGTACTTTTTCAGACCTCTTTGCTGCCGTGATCTGGACATTTAATTCGCCGTCTCTGATGGCACCAGGTTCTAGACAGTGCCGTTCATTGTCGACGTCCTTGTTAGTCGGCCGTTTGGCGGTACCGTGGGGACATAATCGTCTGGCATCTTTTCCAGAAACTTTTCCACCGTCTCCTCCAACACCTTCAGTTTCTTATCTGTCGAGCTGATGTGCGCATAGTTTCGTCCAGTCGGTAAGGACGAGGCCGGCAGCCATTGGCCCTCGCCTGCAGCCAATGCCGCGGCACCTCCGTCGGGGTACAAGCTGTTGAGCGCGCTCTTCATTCCATCAAATGTCCTCAAATAATCAATCTCGTTGTATGTGGCTCCGCTCACGCGGGAGCTGTGCAGGATCATCGCGGCCAGACCGGAAGCCAGTGCGCAAGCTAGCGAACTTCCACTCTGCTTGCTTCGCTCGCGCAGAGGCCGTTCGATGAGGGGGGCTTCCGTGGATATCAAAGGACTCGGTTGGATTACGATTGGTTTAGCAGATTCCTTTGCCTCCATGTGGATTTCGAGGTCGACGCCGGGTAGCAGATAGTCGCACGACTTGTCCCTGGCATCAATCCAGTCCCAGCGTTTGCCGTTGCGTCCAGCGGCACCGATGCAGAAGATGCGTTCTTTCTCGAGATGATATGGGTACGTGAGGTTGTTTGGGTACTCGGCACCTTTGTCGGGGTTGGCGCAGAAAATCAAAATGTTTGAATCGATTGCATGGCGGATGGCCCGGCTCAGAGAATTTTTTATTTCGGTTGGCATGTTGTCATCGATAGCCCAGCTCATAGATATAACGTCGACCTTCTTTGTAATGGCCCACCAAATTGCCTATTTTGTTAGAATTTCCCGCCCGAATACGTCCTTGCAAGAGAAAAGACAAAAGCGCGGCTTATGCAACGTACCTTTATGACAGACTCGACAGTAAAAGTGACTTTGTCATCGACGGTTGGCACTGCCGAGACAACAGGATCGAGCTTGGCGACACAAAGCTTGACGTTGGGACACATACGACGAATGTACCACGCCATAATGGTTCCGTGTCCCGTCTGTGAACTGTTGTACTTTGGAGACGTAACAACAAGCGGAACTTTGGTTTTCTGTGGAATGGTTTTCGGGGTTGGCCACGACTGGCCACAAAGAATATTGTCGTCGAGGGCACGGTAGTTTGATTTGACACCGTCGTCGATGAGAGCCACTTTGATTGGCGTTTTGGATGCGCCCTTTATAAGTCAGTTTATGCACCTGCCAGGACAAGAAGGTCGTGCTGCGTATCGACTCCAGAACAAACATACCTTTCCAATTTGGTCCATAAACGCAGAGAACTGGTCCATGCTGTGAAGCCACTCGTTCCTGAAACACAAAAGTCTGTTAAACACGCTTCTCCAACCGTTGACGAGGGCAGGTCGCACATACGCTTCGTGCTCGCTTGCACTGACGGAGCTGTTCCTGTCGTCCAGGGCGCGTTGTTCTGGGGTCTGCAGCATGGCAAACTCGACAGCCTTGAGACTTCTTCCATTCACTGCTTTGTAGTTCTTTTCAATGGTGGATTTGAAGTTCGAGGCAGAATTTTCGGCGTGTTCCTGTGACTCCAGGCCCTGCCCAGCGCATAGATAGATATACTCAAGTTCCGGCAATCGCGGCAGGCCACTCAGGGAAGCCCAGCTTTCCAAGACTGCGTCTAGGCCGCTGCTGTAAAGGTACAGCGTCCTTACTGTGTCCCCAGCAGCCTCCTGGATGGCTGAGCACGGGATGTCGAAACGCTTCCAGTCCCACGTTTCAACGCCGAGACCCTTTAAGCACTCAACAATGGCCTTGTCACTGTGCCGCCTCCAAACACATCCAGTCGACTGGTCGTCAAAGTCATTCACGGATACTTGGAAGACCTTCCTGACACTTTGGGTCTGCTTTAACCAATTGAAGACCAGGTAGAGGTCCGAATTGCCAGCACAGCCCCAGGCTTGGGCATCCAGGTACGGTTTGCTTGATTGATCCCACTCGATCAGCACATTCTCGATCGAAACACTCTTCAGCTGCCGGTCAGGTTGAAAGTGCTGGCAGAGGCTATCAAGTGTCGTTTTAGAAATCATCATGTCCTTTAATGGAAAGTCAATCTCCTTTTCTGTTTATCACCCGAGTTAGAGACGTTGCAAAATAAACATTTTTTTTCTTTTTGTTTTCGGAAAGGACCGTAAGCCAATGATGACAACAGGCATAGGTAATGACGAACCGTTACTTTCCGTATACATGAAACTGCGACAAATCTCAGAGTCTTCAAACGCAGCCAGACAGTGCAGTTTGAGATCGTCTTCTAGGGCGGCGAGCTTCGCATCCATGGTCGTCGTCAGCGCTGGAATATCGAGAATGGCCAACGCATTGTCCTGGCCAAACCGGTAGCTCTGAACTTTGATTCGCCTCTGTCGTGGCATCGGATCCAAAAACCGCTGCTCCGCCAAAAATTGAAGCGGCGTGGCCTTTTTCTTTTTGCTGTCAGTAACATAGACGTCGCAGGACTCGGCCAGAAGCCGGGGGCACATGCGAGCAAGGCTTTTGGCCCATTGTATCTTGGTATTGGTAAAGGGCATGCTGAGGGCGAGGTGCAAGCAAGTCCGCCCGAAACTGTCCACAATATCAAAGCAGGGACTCAACGCATCGACAACAACAGGAGGGAATGCAATATCCTCCTCAATAGCCGCGTGGACGGCATGGAATTGAAGGAGCCCACTATCCATGTTGGAGAGCTCTTGGAGCGATGCTAGAGCATCCTCCATGGCAACGCCGCAATCGCAAATGCAGCAAAGCATGTCGTTGTCGTCATAGCCGGCGCAGATTCCGCCAAAGACAGAACATGTCGTTTCCACAGGTTCATCGACACTCTCCACGTCACTGTCGTCCTGGTACGATGCCATCGGCACGGCCCGTTGACGTCTGTCCACGTGTCGCCATTCGCTAGTTGCTCTGTCCCCTCTCCCCGATTTTGATTTAGCCAGCCTGGGAAACTGGCTGTCAAAACCATTCTTCGTGCACATGAATGTGATGATGGCCTCTTTTGTCGAGTTGGGCAGTGTCGACGAAACCGCCTCGTCCTCTTCCGTTGTGGCCGAGAAAATGAGACAGTGCAGCGGAGTTCGTCGACTCTTGTCAAAAGAAACCAGGATTGAGGGCTCAATCTCCAAAAGGAGAGAGATGAAAGCGCGAAGACGGCAGAAATTGTACTTGGACGGGTCCTCCAGAAACTGGCTGGGATTCAGCAAGGTGTGGACGACGAGACCGTGTGAGCCTTCAGCCAAGAGCAGAGATGTATTCCACAGCCGCCCCGTCTCCGGGTCGGTACCATGCAAAAGCTCTTTCAGCACCTGCTTTCGATCCGGAGCACAGACCTCGCTGTTGAACCGGGTGGCCAGGCCCATATGCAGAGTGTGAGCCCGGATCTTCAGCATCTTGTTAGAAGCAGCATCGAAGCCGAGATACTTGGCGGTATCTGGTAGCCGTGCATCTCCTGTGCCAAGAGCCAAGTTTTCGAGTGCTGCCGTTGCCATCTCGACTGTGTTTTTCTTGTGCAGCTTGCCGGCGCCGGCAGTGGAGGAACCGGCAGTGGAGGAACCGGTGGTGGAGGCACCGGTAGTAGAGGCACCGGCAGTAGAGGCACCGGCAGTAGAGGCACCGGCAGTAGAGGCACCGGCAGTAGAGGCACCGGCAGTAGAGGCACCGGCAGTAGAGGCGCCGACGGGGGGCGCCGACACCTTGCGCGACGAAACCATCGTGGGCGACAGAAAAGCAATCGATGTCGCGTAAAGCTGGCAGCACTCCGTAAAAACAGAGAGACAGAGAGAGGAAATAGGAGACAAAGAAGAGGAACAAGAAAATGCGACTGCCCTCTTAGGAACGTGGGGGCTTGAGGAGGGAAAGTCGGCAAGCAAAATTAAAGGAAAGAGCGATGCAGTTCTCACTAATACTCCGTAAACAGGAGGAGCCAGGTGGATTGTTAATCAAGAAAGAGCACCAGGAGCCCAAAACAAAAGGAAGATGCAGACAAAATGGGGAAAGAGCAACGCAGCAAATGTCCGTCTATCCGAGGGGATGCAGAAAGTGGAAGCTGCGAGTTGAGTGTTGTCGCCATGCGGAAGGAACCCGGCACGACATGGGATAAGACAGGAAGTCGCGGCTCTGCAGAAAGACCCCAGCGGTCCCTTCATCGTCGACACTCCCACAAACTCTCACTTCCCCCGTCCTCCACTCTGGCTTGACAAGCCTTGCCTTGCCAGCCGCCTCCGAGCCTCCTTCATTACGGAGAATGGGGTGATGGGTTGCAGTGGGTGGTGTGTCAGCGCTCAGACGCTGCAGCATCGTCTGCCTGATACGACCTGCGCCCACCAACCAAGCGGCTGATTGTCCAGCATCTGCACGGGCGCGCCGCCCACCCACACTTCGAACACGACCAGAGGATGCAGTGTGACCATTGACAGGGAAGGCAAAATGGCGGGCTGAGGCTGCAGTTTCGATGGGGCAGCGTTTTGCCGCACCCCTCGTCCCTCGTTTCCCTGTGTTTTGCAAGGCTACGAAGACCCGATCAACATTTCACCAAAGACACAAGAATCGCGAAAGCAAACCACGACGAAAGCTCAGATCAGCATCCATATCTAGAGACGTGAAAGCGGACAGACGCGACGCCCAGTCTTTGCTGTCTGTCGCGTCCCTCGAATCGATTGCGTGTTGCGTTAGTTTTGCTTCGACCGGACCGCGTTGTACCACCGCCGGCGATGAACTGGGATTTGGCAACGGAGGCGCCGAACAGGGCAGAGCAGTTCGGCCAGTTCGGCAGCCTCAATACCAGCGTTGTTCGGCGAGAACCGAGATGCAGGTGAGTATCGCAGCGGCTTCTCCCACCGGCATTGTGCACGGCACGCGAACTGACATTACCAAAGACTCATTGCCGTCTCTGGCCTGGCCAGCAACCCTCGCTGGGAATGGACGGCGTATTCTCCAGAGACCCGCATTGCGTGTCACTGGCTGTCCGAACTCCTGGGAAAGCACACAAAAGGTGTGGCCGTCGAGGTGTTCCGGTACAATCTTTTCCCTGGCAGCGTCGGTGGTTTCCTCTCGGAAGAAGGTCTCACGAGCGCGGCCAATCGGCTCCTGAGCATGATGGACAGAACAACAGGGTCCCCGAAGGTAGGTCGCCGCAAGTACGACGGCTTTGGTCTTGTTTGTCCGTACAGCAATTTATGTAGCTTGCTAACCGATCAGCCTGCCGAAAATCAACAGTCGGCACCAATCGTGTTTGTGGCTCACGACCTCGGCGGCGTCGTGGTCAAGAAGGTGAGCCTCTCTGCGTCAACTTCGCCGCCTCCTCTCTCGTCTCTGTCGTCTCTGTCGTCTCTGTCGCCTCTGACTTCCCTTTTTTGGTGCATTTAATTCCATACTAATCTATTCGCCCCTATTAAGGCTCTCCTCATAGCACAAGAAAGTGAGCGCTTCCAGTACGTTGCACAGCAAACGAAAAGAATTGTGCGTGCTCATTCTCCTTCTTGCTCTTTGATCCTTCTTCCAAGGAGAAAACCTCGCTGACACGTTACTGCTCATCGCGCCTCTTTTTTCGTTAGATCTTTTTTGGCACACCACACCGCGCACTTGACGAAGGGTCGTGGGAGGACTTGCTGCTCAGTATTATTCTTGCATCGCCGGCAAAGTTGCGCATGGTCCCCAACCTGTCCACGCGCCTCGGGCGCCTTTCGCGTTTTCTCGAGGACGTTTCCCGTAGCTTCCTCGCGGTGGCAACAGAATATCGATTCATCAACGTTTACCAACAGGTGGATGAAGAATCAAAAGACCAGCCGGTATGGACGTTCTCTCAAGAATAGCCTGGCCGACTGGAAAGTGGAAATATGCACCAACTCTAACATGTGCCATGCTAGGTTCTGCCTCCGTACTCGGCAACCATGGGCGTCGTTCACGAGACCATACTCCCCCGCCAGAGAAATCATGAAGACCTGGGCACGTTTACCAGTGACGACGATCCTGTATTCCTCGACATAGCGAGTGCTATTCGCGCCGGTGAGTGGCACGACCAACTGAGCAATACCAACTGGGTTGTACAGCCATAAGATCAACCAACTCACGCATCTTGACAGAAACGAGCGGAATGTATCGTGGCACACTCAATTTCTTGGCCACCAAGTTTCCGCCCAACGAGCTGTTTCAGTCTCATGATGACGACCTGCACCGTTTTCTAGAGCTTAGTCAGTGGAAGCAAGCCAAGAACCATGCGGAGCCAGCAGCTCTGGCGTATCTCGACGAGCACTTCGCCAACCACGGCACTCTCCTTGGCGTCGGGGAGGGTGTTTTGGATGCCAAAGCCCTCTATCAATGCATGCGATCCAATGGTCGGCCTGTCCTTTACTTTTCTACTTCCCACTTCAGCGTCAAGATACGACAACCCAGCAGCCTGTGGGGTTCCCTTGTCTATCAGCTACTTTCCCACAAACCGCACCTCTACAGTCGTGTGAAGGACCTCGCCAAAGTCTTGAAGGCGACTGGTGCATGGACCACACTAAACGCTGCAAAGATATTTGGGAGGCTGCTCTCCAACGCGTTTCCAACGCCCAACGGGTTTCAAATATCAGACGCGGCAGGCAACAATGCAGTGACCTATGTGCTGATCGAAAACCTCCCCTTCAACGACCCGGAATGGGAAGTCTCGGCAAAATGTCTTCACTCCCTTCAGGGTATAGACAGTTCCGACGGACTCGAGGAGAGCAACAAGACAACGGTCATAAAGCTGGTCTTACTCTACGATCGACGCACACTAGCCGCAGGAGCAGCCGATGGCACGCCTTGGGCCGAAGCGAAAGTCGTTGACCCCGTCACTGTTTTTGGCAACGAACCCCTAAGGAAGTTCTCTGAGGCTCTTGCGACGACGTGGCCCTCCAAGGCGCATCGAGAACAGTATAAGTCTCTGATCCTGGATCAGTGTGGTTACAACGCCGAAGAGATATACGGCCTTCGCGCCGTTATCGAGAAAAACCTTGCGAAGCTTGATCTCGTCATACCAGACACCATTACCAGGGACTTTGTTTGGGAAACACTTGAAAGCAACGTCAATGACGCTTTCCGCTTCTCTCCACCATGGGCGAAAGCCGCCATCGGTTGGGTTCTCTGCTCAAAACGACCCCTGACGCAAGACGAGCTTTGGGCTGGCATACAGCTCTCGAGCAGCAACCGTTCCATTCCGGACATGGCTCGTGCTCTCAAAGCGATTTATGGCACCCTCATCTGCGCCACCGCGAAAAGGATATGTTTTCCAAACAAAGCCATCCGCGGTTACTTTCACGACTCCCTCTCAAGGGAAAAGGACCACCTGGGAGACGACTGGCCCAAGCTTGAAATCCCTGGCGACAGCGAGATTGTCGACGTCCTGATCAGCTGCATTGTGACCGAGGAAAATGATTCCGCGCCGCAGACAGCACTACACCTGAAAGCTTATGCGGCTGAATTTTGGCGACAGCATCTTGAGGATGCACAAGTGGACACCGCAAAAGTTTTGAGCTTGGCAGCGAACACCGAGTTCATGAGTGTCCTGCGAAAGCAGGAGAACGACTCGTACTGGGCGAGGTTCAAGAGCACAAAATCCCTTGACATGACCGGCCCTCTAGTACTCGCAGCACAAATCGGAATCCCCAGAGTTGTGACGGACATTCTTGAAGACACGACGAGCGCACGGGAGATCGGTAGCGCCGTCACCATGGCTGCCCGATACAACAACTCCAAGGTTGTGGAAGTCCTCCTCGCATCGACTAAGCTGTCCGACGGATATGAGGCGGACGATGCTGTCAACGCCGCCCTGGAGATTGCAGTTGTGCACCATTGCACTGCCGTCTATAACCCGATTTTGGGCTGGTTGGAAGGGCCCGCGAACGTCCGTTCAAGACGCGTTCCAGCGGAACTTTTACACCTTCTCGCATGCCATGCCGCCACTTTCGGCTATCTTGAGCTATTACAGCTTCTGGTGCGGTCGTACGGAGCAAAGGTCGACTTACCGACAGGGCAAGTGAGCCCGCTGTGCCAGGCGGTGCGCCATGGCAATGTGAACTGCACCAAGTTTCTTGTGCAGGAAGCAGGTGCAGTCATTTACAATGCAATGGCCACGGCATACAATGACGTATCGAACGACTCACAGAGTGCCACTTCCGATGACATCAATGAAGACATAATCCCCGGCGATGTCATTGAAGATATAAACCCCATTCTTGTCGCCGCGCAGCGGGGATATACAGATATCGTTGCCATTTTGCTTGACGAGACTGCCATTCAGATTGACGGCGACAGCAACGGCGAGAGTACGGCCTCATGCGAAGCAGACGGCTCAAGAAAAACGTGTGTTGTTCCTTGGTCCATGATGGAAGATGCCATGATTGCTGCCTGCAGTGATGGCCATATCGAGACTGTCAAGCATATTTTGCAACATCCCACCGTGGCGGCCGTGCCCCAGTCCCATCGGCGTACAAGCAGCGACCTTTTGTGTTCTGCCATCCGTGCAGAACCGCAAGCTGGTGCGGACTCTCTCGCGATGGTCATCCTGAAGTCATCCCGGCCTACAGAACACAGACAAGATCTCGTCCTTCCGTTCATCCGCGCGGCAGAGTTTGGCCAGCTGGAGTTCATTAAATTCTGCTTCACGCTCGACGACCCGAACGCAGAAGTGGTCTTTACGAACGGTAGCGACCGGAACGACCGGATGGCGCTGCATTGTGCCGCTGGGAATGGCCTTGATGAAATTGTCCGCTGCCTCCTCCTGCACAAGGCAGATCCGAACGTGACCGACGGGACCAACTTGACGCCTTTGGCCCTTGCGGTTCTGTCAGGACACGCTGACACCGTGCAAATTCTTCTGGAGAACCGGGCCGATGTATCGTGGGTTGGGCCGGCGACACGCGGCATCTTGGCGTCGGCAGCCATGTCGCGGAATTGTGAGCAGGAGGTGCGCGTGGTTCAGCTGCTGCTCAAGCACCGCGCCTCGGTCAACGCCCTTGATGGCTCAAAACACACAGCACTGCACTGGGCAGCACAGAGGGGCCACATCAACATCTTGGAAGTATTGCTGACGCACGACGGCATCGATGTCACAATGACGGGGGACCGAGACATGAACGCACTGCACAGTGCTGCACAAAGCCCCGCGCGTACGGCCAAGATCGCCGCCGAGATGCTGATTGCTGCCGGTATCAGCACAGACAAGGCCGATGTCGATGGGTGGCTGCCGCTGCATCTGGCGGCCGGCTGGAACAGCGTGGAGATGACAAAATTCTTGCTGGGAAACGACACGAGCCGGTTGCATGCGGTCACGACGAACGGCGACACTGTCCTTCACGCGGCCTACAAGACGTGCGAGGTGCTGATTTGGCTGCTGGATGAGGGCTTCGATGTGGACACGGAAAACCATGATGGCAAGACGGTGCTCATGCACGCCGCCAAGAACGGAGTGGACCAGGCCGTGGGACTGCTGCTGGCCTTCGGGGCCGACACCGACTTGCTAGACCGGTCGGGACGCAGCGCGCTGCACCATGCCGTCGAGACAAAGAGCCTGGAGGTGGCGCGCAAGCTGCTGGATGCCAACCCGGCCGTTCTCTTCCACGTGGACTCTTCAGGCGCATCAATCCTGCACACGGCCATTACGCGCGGCCTGATGTCATTCGCGCTGGACGTGCTGAACGAGCTCGAAACGTACTCGAAAGAAAACGACAGGAAGGACGACATGGTCCAGATCCTGAACGCCGCACCAAGCTCCTTACAGCGGTCGCCGTTGATCCATGCGGTGCGACGAGGCAACGAGGAGGTTGTGGCGAAGATGGTGGCGCTCGGCGCGGACATTGAGATGCGAGACTACCGGGCAGAATCGGCCCTCTCGTACGCCATAGAACGGAACAACGAAAACATTGTCAGGTTGCTGCTGGAGAGCCTTCTCCGCGACTCAAAGAACAGCGAGGGTGAAAGATCCGTCGGAGACGCGGCCCGTTCGCAAGCAAAGAAGTATGCGGCACCGTTGCAGGTTGCGGCAGGGACGGGCAACATGAGCATGGTGGATCTGATTCTCGGCTACGGCGTGGACGTCAACGAGGAGAGCGGGCAGCTCAACACGGCGCTCACGGCGGCGGCGGCCGGGGGCTGCAGCGAGGTAGTGCGCAAACTGCTGGAACGTCAAGCCGACCCGCTGCGCAGCGGCGGGTCGTATCCCAACGCACTGAGCGCGGCGGTGTCGTCGTCGTCGACGGGGACGGTCGACCTGCTGCTTGAGAAAAACAAGTCTGCGGCACTGGCGCGGGACGTCCAAGGCCGGAATGCGCTGCAAGTAGCAGTGCAGTCGCGGGCGCTGGATGCGTTTGAAAAGATTCTGAGCGTGGTCGAGGAGCTCAGTGCTGACGGCAGCCGGGCGGCTCTGATGCCGTTTGGCAGGGCGCTCGACCCGGACAAGCAGGGCCGGCGGCTGCTGCATTTCGCGGCGAGCTCGGGCGACGTGGACACGCTGAGGTACTTTTTGGAGCACCCACGCCTGCATCTCAGGAGCGAGATTGACATTTTGGACAATGACGGCTGGACACCACTGCACTGGGCGTGCCGGCCAGAGGGTGGCGCCGAGGCTGTCGGCCTTCTGCTGGCGTGCGGGTCGGACCCGAGCATGGAGACACGGGACGGCTGGACACCGCTCAACATTGCGCAGTACCACGACTCGGCCGACACACTGCTGCTGCTGGAGGAGGCGCTCAAGGACCACGCGGAGAAGGTTGCGGAGCGGAAGGCCACGAGACTCGTCAGTGCGGCGGCGGGCACGGAGGGAGATGTGGTGCTGGTGGCCGAGGCGATTGTGGAGTCGCAAATCTACGGGAGACCGCTGGCGCGCGGGTACTCGAACTGGGGCATCACGTGCGACGGGTGTATGTTGGAGCCGGCGATCGGCGCCTGCTACCAGTGTCTGGACTGTGCGGACTACGACTTCTGCTTCAAGTGCCACTGGAGCGCCGAGACGACGCACTTTAAAGGCCACAGGTGGAAGCAGCGCGAGGGCACGGTAGACCCACGGAACAACCGGCAGCCGCCGTATCAAGCACCCGTGGTCAACCGGGTGCGCTCGCGGGCCCGGTCACGGGAGCCGCCGATGATGGCATACACGACCATTTCCCGGATATACTGAGCATGGATTAAGGGCGGGTAAACGATGGGCAGTCCCAGAGGCCGGTCCATGAGAAGTCCATGAAAGTCAACGAGAAGTCAATGAGAAGTCAATGAGAAGTCAATGAGAAGTCAATGAGAAGTCAATGAGAAGTCAATGAGAAGGCCGATATGGTATTTCATGAAAAGAAAGCAGGGGTGAAATAACGCCGGCCAAGAACTGCCCATTTTGCAGCAAATACGACACACATGAACCATGACACCGAGTGAGACTTATGAAACCAAATGGGACCGAATCAAACCAGAATCAAACCGAAGCAAACCGAACGAAACCAAAAATGCTTTTAACCGCCAGCGACCGTCCGCTTACCGCCCTCCCAGCCCTGCCGCAATCTTGTCGCCACGCTCGCCGCCCAGGTACACGTCGTCCTCGCCGCGGTCCGACGAGTGGCGGGCGACGTCGAGGGCCTCGCGGTAGGCCTTCATGACCGAGGCCTCGTCGATGGGCAGGCGGTGCTCGACCAGCAGGCCGACGACGCTCCGCAGGCGGGCAATCTCGCGCATGGTCTCGCGGCTGACGGGGTCGTTCTGGCTCGAGTAGATGGCGGCGCTGACCGCCTCCTCAATGTTGTTGATGCCGACGGCGGCGGCAGCGGCAGAAGGTCCTGGCGATGCACCAGACGCAGCAGCAGCAGACGACGCCGACTGTGGCTCGACGTGGGCGCCGACAAAGACGTAGCCGTTGACGCCCAGGATGACATCGATCTTGCCAGCGCCCGTGCCGTACGCAGCAGCATGGCGGTGGCTGCCCGACGTGTCATTGGTGCCGTGCATGGCGGCGTCCTCGCCGTGCGCATTGTTGTTGTCGTCACTACCGCCATCGTCATCCTCGTCGTCACCGCTGACTGTCCAGACCTGCCGCCGCGCCCGCACGACACCCGCGCCTGCGCCCGCGCCGCCGCCCGCCACCGCAAAGAACACGCCGTTGCGCAGCTTGCCGTAGCGCAGCGAGCGCGTGTGCAGCACGGCCACGCCGTCGCCGAAAATCTGCTGCACCTCGGCCACGAGCAGGTCGCCCTCGGCAAAGAAGGAGCGGATCTGCAGCTCGTCGGTCTCGGTGCGCTTGCGCAGGACGCCGCCAGGCAGGTTGATGGCCGACAGCGGCAGGGCCGCCAGCTGCGCGGCGCCGACGTCGACGCGCCAGCGCTTGGCCTGGACCTCGACGATGCGGCCCACGACGAGATCGCCGACTTCAGGCGCATAGCGCGCGCGCAGCGGCCGCACGGACAGCAGGCGGTTGGTGCGGACGACGGTGCCCGCGAGCGAGGACACAATGCCGCCCGATGCGCCGCGGGTGTCGGCGTACGTGCCGTGGCCGCGCATCCACTGCGGGTCGTCTGTGATGACTTCGCCGGGCGTCACGATCTCGTAGCCGCCCGTGTTGTCGGGTGCGGCGCCATCGCTGTCATTGTCCTCATCGTTTTCGTCGTTTTTGTCGTCGTCGTCTTCGTCGTCGTCGTCATTGTGCCGTGCGCCTGCCGTGGCTGACCAGCCGCCCACTCTCCTTGTTGCAGTCGACTGAAACTGGCGAGACGCCGCCTGAAGAGGCGGCAAAATGGTGATGGGCATGTGTGATGCGGAGTGTGTATTATTTGCAGGATGCACAGTTGCGTGCAGATTCGTGTGGAGGTCAAACAAGGCCAGTCGGTCTTCGAGTCCGTTGGGGTATCGTTGTGTCGGTCGTGGAGGCTGATGATGATCTACTTTCAGAAGTTGTTCGTCTCCAAACTAACTTTTTTGAGGCTGTTGGATGGAAAAGTGGGGCCAGTTTTTGGTATCGATATCTACGGTGCGTATATTCCATATCACACTGTTTTGCACGGTGCAGCCGACTTACACCTCGAATATTGTTTTTATTTTCTGCAACGCTGACCACGAGCACAGAAATTGAATAAAGGCTTTGTACGTTCCGCGAGTTTGTAATCGAGAAGTTCATATCAGCTGGGTTATTTCTATTCACTTGTTCTTGCTTGCTTACTATTACTATATGAAGCTTTTTTTTTTTCATTTATTCTTTATATCGTCACATTTTCCCTGGATAGACATCAATCGTATTCATCTTCTTTTGAGTTACTTTAAGACCCTGGTTCACACGGAAAAAACATCAAACATTATAATTTGTATAGATTTCGCTTTCTACCGTCTTCTACCTCGTTATTTCCACACCTCTATCACATCAACCCCCCTGCACTCTAGGTGGCAAAGATAAAATGAGGACTCTTGTCGCCCAGTTCGCGGACCTGGTCGTCGGTCAGGCCAGAAATACGCGCATCCCGCTTGCCGGCTGTGCGCTGCTTGTTCTCGTAGACATAGTAGGCCCAGACGAGGCCGTAGGTGACGACGGCAAAGGCGCCCATGGCCAGCGAGATGGCGTGGCCCTTGACGTAGCGCGGGCCCTCGGCGGCCGGGTAGACGTAGCCCGACATAATGCCGGCGCTGTTGCCGATGCAGGCCTGCATGGCAATGGTGGTGGTGCGTTTGCCGTAGCGGGGGACGTTGGTGGGCAGCCAGGCGAGCGGCAGGCCGACGACGATGTAGAGGCCGGCGGCGACGAGAAAGCAGCCGGCGTAGTGCACGGCGACGCCGCCGTCCGAGATGAGCATGCCGTAGCCGCAGACGGTGATGACGCCGGCGACGAGGACAAAGAGGGCGCGGTGCTGGATGCGGTCGGAGACTTGGCCGACAACGAGGTAGGCGGCGGCGCCGACGAGGTAGCAGGGGATGGTGAGGACCTGGACGACGGGCGTCGAGAAGTCGGCATTGATGCCCTTGATGATGGTGGGAAGGTAGGCTGAGAAGGCTGCGGGGCGGTTAGAGAGGGAGGGACATCAACAATATACAAAAAAAAAAAAAAAAAACTCACCGTACAGCATCACGTCCGCCCCAAACTGGGCAAAGCAAAAGGCCCACACGGTCCAGTCGGCAAACGCCTCGAGCGCGTCGTTCCAGTGGAACTGCTTGGCGGCCTGCGTCATGCCGGGCTGTCTGTCGAGACGACGCACCAGGCGTGCGCGTTCGGCGGGCGTCAGGTAGTAAGCGGTGGCCGGCTCGTCGGCCAGGCCGAACCAGGTGGCGACGCCCAGCACAATGCAAGGTAGGCCCTCCAAAATCATGATCCAGCGCCAGCCGTTGTAGCCGCCGTGGCCCTCGAGGAAGCCGATGCCAAACGCCAGCAGGCCGCCGCCGGCGCCGGCGAGCGCCGAGCAGGCAAAGAGGACGGCGATGCGCAGGGCAATCTCGCGGCGCGTGTAAAAGGTCGTCAGGTAGACGACCAGGCCGGGCCAGAGGCCGCCCTCGAGCGCGCCCAGCAGCAGCCGGCAGGCCAAGAAGCTGCCAAAGGTCTGCGCGAACCCGGAAAACGTCGCCACAAGGCCCCAGCCGGCTGTGATAAAGCCGAGCCAGCGGGACGGGCCGATGCGCTTGACCATCCAGTTGGCCGGGATCTCGACGCTGATGTAGGTCGCAAACAGAATCGACACGAGGATCTGGTACTGGTTGCCCACGAGGCCGAGGTCGGTCTTGAGCCCGTAGAGGCTGGACTGCTGTCAGTGGGGGCGAGTATGGGGGCAGAATGGGAGAGAGAAAGCAGACGTACGCAGCATTGCCGATGTTGACCCTTGGAAGTGTTAGCACGACTGGTTTGGGCAGGCTTCACGAATTTCCACAAAGGAACGGGACGTGCTCACCGGTCAAGGACACTGAAAATGTATATCAGCATGGCGAGTCTGTGTGTGTTAGCTGTGTCCGTCGTGAAATGTACATAAACAAACAGCATTGGAGCCGTACGTCATAATGTGCAGCTATTCTCTGGTTAGCATTTCCGAGAACATGGCTCCGTTTAGTGCCTCATTTCTCTGCGTCGACGTACATCGAGCTTTCGGACAAGACGGCGGTCGGCCTTGAGGTCTGCGTCAGACTCGACATCGTCGACATCGTCGACACCATCGACATCGGCAAATTCGTTTGGTGGCGTTGCGGTTGCTGAAATGGCAGAATCGCCCAGCTTTTCGTCTGGATGGAACGACATGCTGTCAGGTAAGGAGTGATAATTTGGTGTCCCGTTGAGAGTTGTGGCCTTCCTTGACAGTCGTCTTGATCTTTGGGCGGTAAAATGAAAAAAAAAAAGTTCACCATGAACCTTGATACATGCGCGCAAAGCACGCCGACACCGTACAACCACTTGAATAAATACATAAACAGACATGCAGACATAAGAAGCAGTGCCGGTCACTGTCCACACGATGGCCATCCGACTCGTGGCTGATCCCTGTCACTATTGTTTGTCGAGCACGCCACTGGGACTAGACAGAGCCGTCGCCAAGACAGAAAAACGACAACGGCCAGGCACGTCCCACAAGCAGCGTAGCGTCTGAATGTTGCAATCGACGGCGGGTTCGACGCCACTAAAGAAGCCGATTTTAGTGCAAAACCGCGGCGACACGTTCTTTAAAGCCCGATCGGGATCAAGGTAACGGATGTAAGTGGAGGACATTGGGAAAAGAAACACCCTGCACCAAGGCTGGAAAAGAAATGAATATGACGAAAGTCAATAGATTCAGTCTGGGGTGCTTTTGGACCTCCATAATGCTCTGCACTCCTTTGTATCCATCTGTAGCTTTTCGTAGTAATTCAGTTCACACCATGAAGCTCACCATCGACGAAGCCACCGGCCTGGCACACGCCGTGCTCGTCCACACAGGCTACAGCCCGGCCGCCGCCGACACGATCGCGGCACATCTCATCGACAGCGAGCTGCGAGGCTACGCCAGCGCCGGACTTGCGCGCATCCTGGCCGTGCGCGAGCGGCTGCACGGCCGCCCGACGACAAAGGACGCGAATGGGCCTCACCCGGTCATCGTCGAGGCGTGCAAGGTGACCAAGGACACGGCCGTCCTCGCCCACATCGACGGCCAGGACGCGTTTGGCTACCTCGTCGGCCAGCGCGCGACGGAACTGGCCATTGCCAAGGCCAAGCAGCACGGCATCGCCATCGTCACGGCCAACAACACGTGGACCACGGGCATGCTGTCGTACTATGCCGAGATGGCCGCCGCCGAGGATCTGGTGGCGCTCGTGACGGCCAGCTCGACGCCCTGGGTCGCGGCGCATGGGGGCACCACGGGTGTCCACGGCACGAATCCGCTTTGCATCGGCTTTCCGGGTGCGTTTGCCGCGGACGCAGCCAGCAGGACGACGACACCAACGCCCATCATCCTCGACATGGCCACCGCCCAGCTGCTGCACGCCGACGTCGTCCTTGCCCAGCGCCTTGGCACGCCGCTGCCCGTCGGCACTGCTTTTGACGCCGACGGCCAGCCAACTACCGACCCAGCGGCCGTCTTCCGCGGCGGCGCCATTGCTCCCTGGGGCGGCTACAAGGGCTCTGGGCTGGCGGCCGCCGTCCAGCTGTTTGGCGTCCTGGCCGGGGCACCTGCGTTTCCGCCCACCCTCGAGCAGTTTGGCTTCACCGTCATTGCCATTGATCCAGCGCAGTTCCAGCCGCTGGATGAGTACCGCCACCAAGTTGCCCAGTATGTCCAGACGGTGCACGCCAGCGGCCCTGCGGAAGCCGGCGGACAGCCACTGCGACTGCCTTTTGAACGGTCAGCAGCACAGAGAGCCGAGGCGCGAAAGAATGGCACAGTGACGGTGGACGACGTGGTCTACAAGGCGTTGCAGGAGGTCGTAGGGTCTGGCGGCACAGAATAAATAGGCGTACTAAATATGTCAATATATGAACTGCGTTGGATGACTTTGTGACCGCCTTTGCTAGCGTCGTATTGATATTCGTAGACTGTTTTGCTTTTCATTTGATTCTTCTGGTCTTGTTTTGAGTTGAAGTGGATGATTGCATTATGGCAGGCCCTCCCGCCCTCACAAATGAAGCCGGCTTTCCAAAACTCGTTGTGGCCCTCGATTCCTCTCCGTTTTCTCCGTCCCTACCGCCTTCGTTGCCGTCGTTGCCATCGCTGCCTCCGCCTTTCGCCGTTCCCTCTCCCACCAGGCGAGTCGCAGCGCGACCACGTCGTTGAATGCGTCCGCCCACTGTTGCTGGAACGGCGGCAGGACGCGGCCCGTCGTGCCTGGTGCTGGGTCGCCGGCCAAACGGCGCAGGCCGTCAAAGTAGTCGGCAAAGTCCGGTGCAACGTTGAAGAAGCGCACGCCGTCACCACGCGCCGCAACGGTGTCGGCTTCCCACTGGCGCATCTCCTCATGCGAAGGCAGCACCGCCCGACCGGCGAATACACGCGCCGCTGCCACCGCCTGCCACTCAAACACGCGGAACGTCAGCCCGCCGGCGACCATGCCGACAAACGCCAGACAAGGGTCGGCCCGGCAAAAGACGTGCTGGTAGAGGCCCTGGATGCGCCTGTTCTTGACGGCAACGTCGACAGCGGCGCCCCCGGCCTCCGCCAAGAACGTAAACGAAAAGTCGTAGCCCGTCGCAAAGAGCACGACGTCCACCTCCTGCACAGACGACCCGTCGGCAAAGTCGATGCGGCCCGTGTCCGCATGGAACTGCACAATGGGCGGCCGAATGTCCACGTGCCGGTGTGTAAACGCCGGCCAGCCAAACGCCGCCAGCGGCTGCCGCAGCGACGCCACCACCGGATGCTGGGCCACGCGCCGGATCGCGTGCAGCGCATCAAACGCCGACACCGATCCGCCGACCACAATCACGCGCTTGTGCGCGAAGTCGTCGGCGTTTCGGAAATGCTTGCTGTGCCGAATGCGCCCCGGAAAGGCTTCGTCGTACTCGGCCAGGCCCGCGATCGGAGGCAGATACGGCAGCGAATAGTGGCCGGACGCGACCACCACGGCGTCAAACGTCTCGTGCCACCACGTGTTGACCGCTTCGACCGGCTTCGGCTTGCTGGTGCTGCGTTTGTTGCTCGGCACCGTCTCCGCACGCAGCGTCAACACCCACTCGGCTCCTCGCTTCTCCGCACGCTCCACGTACGTCCCCAGAGACACAAGCGGCCGGTGGTCGCCCGCCGCAAAGATGCCCTCCACCCAGCGCCGGATCACCTCGCGGTGGCGGAACGGCGCATGGGCTCCGTACTGCGCGCGTGCATGCTCGGACACCACCGCCGGGATCGGCTCCTGCGTAAACGACATGGTCTGGGGCGGCAGGTTGCTGTGCAGGCCGTCGTGCACGCCCGTTTCGGCGTACCGGCGAGACGGTGCATTGACGGCGTCGCTGTGCTCCGTCTCGACAGGAGACCCGGCAGCAGTTAAACTCAAAGCGGTCGGAACATCGACGGGACGGTCGGCTGTGCCGTTGAGCAAGGCTCGCACCGACGGAATGGCAGGCCTTGGCGTCGCCAGACTGGCTGGATCGTACACCCATGTTCCACCGAGCTGCGTCTTCCGCTCAAACACGCGGACAACATCAAACGCCTGCTCCTTGACGAGGGCGTCGGTGGCAATCGCTCCGGCCGGTCCGGCACCAATCACGGCCACGCGGCGGCATCGTGGTTGTGGTGGCCGTGGTGGTTCAGATGCTTGAGGGTGTTCTTGTTGTGAGGATGGCTGCGATTCGAGCGGATCGTGCATTCTGTCTCTGGATTGCGTGTCCCCTCTAAATGGACTGCAAGAAGTACAGAGTCAATTAACGGAAGGAGCCAACGTGCGAGAGAACCAGCTAAGACGGAAGGCGTGCTCTTGTACAATCAAGGCAAGAGCGCACGTCGGCTCTTGTACAAGGACAGCAGGAGCGAAGGTCGCCTGCCCCTGAACGTTGCCCTCCTCGTTTTTTTCGTCCCAGACTTGACAATCAACAATAACAATCGACATCCTCGACATCCTCGACACATTCGACACATTCGACACACGACTCGACTTACACAAGGCTGCCCAAACGCCGCTACGGGCTTCAACCCCGACGACTCCACATTGCCAAGCCCGATGTCCCGATGGTTAGAGCCCGTAGCGTCGACCTAAAACGAGACGCAACAGACAAAAAGAGACGAAAAAAGAGACAAGAGACGAAACCCCTGCATCTTGGACCCGACATCACGGACCCTAGCGATTGCGCCATTGTCGCGTCCATTGCGTCTCGACTTGGAGGCGTGGTCTCCATGTGCCATGCTCCCCTTGGCATTTGGAGATTGGAAGGGGGCTTGGCCAAGCTTCGTCTCTTGTGAAAGTCGATCTACAGCGCGGTGATATGAAGTGTGAAGTGCTCGCGACTCTTGGCCGTTGGACGGTAGGCCCTTGTTGATCTCCAAGTTTCGTCTCGGATTCATACGTTCGCCTCCATTTCTGTTCGTTTTGAACCAACTTCCACACGATGGCTTCGCAGTTTCTAACGGCCTTTCCTCCCCTTCCAGACTTGGGGTCTCGCTGGCCATTTGTCTTGCTGGCTACGGTGGCCGCCGTCTTCGTCATTCTCGCCACAAACTACTTTCACCACGGCTTCCACAAGTACCCGGGTCCCCGGCTGGGCGCCGTGTCCGACCTCTGGCGCTTCCTGAGTGTCTGGCGCGGCAAGCCGCAGGACGATCTGCGGGCGCTGCACGCAAGACACGGCGACGTCGTGCGCGTCGGGCCCAATGCGCTGTCGTTCAGCCACCCCGACGCCGTGCGGGACATTTACGGCATCAGCAACAAGCTGACCAAGAGCGCCTTCTACCCGGTGCAGATGCAGCTGTCGCGCGGCGTGGTGCTGCAGTCGCTCTTTGGCACGCAGGACCAGGACTACCACATGCGGCTGCGGCGGACCGTCACCAGCGCCTTCTCCATGACGGCCATCCGGCAGTACGAGCCACGCGTCAACGAGACGGTCCGCGTGTTTCTGAAGCAGACCGAGCGGCTGTACGCCGGCCGTGGCAGCGACACGGGCCACGAGGTGGTGTGCAACTTTGTGCAGTGGCTGCAGTACTTTGCCTTTGACGTCATTACGGAAATCACCTACAGCCGACGCGTGGGCTTTGTCGACCGCTGCGAGGACGTCGACGGCATCATTGCGTGGCTGGCGGGCATCTTCGACTACCAGGCGCCCGTGGGCCAGATGCCCTGGCTGGACCGGCTGTTTGTCAAGAACCCGGTGCGCACGCTGCTGAGCAAGTACGGCTTCATCGACAACTCGTCGGCCACGGCCAAGTTCTCGCGCGCGCGCATGGCCGAGCGGTTTGCCGAGATGGAAGAGAAGGTGAAGCGGGCGCAGAGCGGCGGCAGCGGCAGTGGCAGTGGCAGTGGCAGTGGCAGTGGCAGTGGCAGTGGCGACGACGACACGGCGGTGGTCGACAAGGACAGCATGGATCTGTTGACCATGTTCTGCCGCGCGCAAAAGGCGGACCCAGCCTTTTTCGACGACGGTCGGCTGCTGACAATGACGACGTCGATTGCGCTCGCGGGCTCGGACACGACGGCAGCCAGTCTCTCGGCTGTCTTTTACCACTTGCTCAAGAACCCGCGGTGCTACACCCGGCTGGTGGCGGAAATCGACCACGCCGTCATTGCGGACGCCGACATTGTCACGTACGCCGAGGCCCAGCAGATGCCGTACCTACACGCCTGTATCCAGGAGACGTTCCGCATGCACCCGGCCATTGGCCTCGTCCTAGAGCGCCTGACGCCGCCGCAGGGCATTGAGATTGCTGGCCAGTTCGTCCCAGGCGGCACCGTCGTCGGCTGCAATCCGTGGGTCATCCACGCGCGGCGGGACGTCTTTGGGGACGATGCCGACGTGTTTCGGCCGGAGCGGTGGATGGTGGGCAAGGATGCCGACCCGGCGGCAGAAGCAGAAGAGGAGGCGCGCATCAAAGACATGGCCAACACGCTGTTCCACTTTGGCGGCGGCTCAAGGACGTGTCTCGGCAAGCACATTGCCCTCCTCGAGATGTACAAACTCGTGCCGAGTTTTCTACGGCGGTTCGATGTGCAGCTGACGACAGACGAGGACTGGGACCTGCACAATGCGTGGTTTGTCAAGCCCAAAAAGTTTGACGTCAAGATTGTGCCGAGGTCAGGATGAGCTACGTACGAGTATTTGACACATAATGAACGCGATCAATGAACATAAAAATTGAAGGCCATATATGGAAGGCCTTTCGACATAACATGAGCAACGATATGCAGCTCAAGGGCATGAGAGCATCCCCGCATCAGCTACTTGACGGGAAATTGTCATAAAAACGATGACAGAAAAGCGACGCAAAGAAAACATTCAAACAGAGAGTCTCGTCAAAAGCACAACAGTACATGCCAAGCCCAACACTGAGTCGCTCTGGCCCCACTTCTCCATGTTATCTGAATGGTGTCATTTAGGGTGCAAGCACGCCAGACGATCCATCCTTGGCCGGGACTAATACGGGACTCCACTGTAGCTTCGAGAGCGAAACGATGCCGTACAACAGACTCTCTATTTACGTTTCACGAAGCTGTTGTGGACACACACTGTCACTTCGACTTGTTGTCTGTCGTGCAACAACACAAGATGGACGTATTGAGTCACATTCCATCGTCCCATGCGTCGCCATCCAACGCATCGCCGCCTCTCCCTCTCGCTCTCGCACGGCCGCTGCGCACATCGTCGTTGGCCTGCCTCGAGTGCCGGCGGCAGCATCTCCGCTGCGATGCCGGTCAGCCCGCCTGTCGACGGTGTGTATCGGCCCGACGGCCGTGTTATTATGCGCCGTCTCGTCGTGGGCGGAAACGGCGGCGCGAGGACGGCCACGACGCGGTAGCCGTGACCATGGCTGCAACAGCGACGACAGAGAGCCAGCCGGTATTTCCGGGGCTGTTGCATGTTGACACGAGTAACGTCTTGGTGCCTGATGACAGCAGTCTCCAAACGGATAACATAAGCGACGTCTTCACTCCTGCCGTCCACTACGCGTCCGAGAATGGGAGCGACGACCACCTGGTGGACCTCTACTACGCCTACTTCCACCGCGCCCACCCCTTTCTCGTGCCTCGTCCACTCTACCATGCACAACGATATCCACGCTACCTCCAGCTGGCCGTCCAGTTTGTCGGCAGCCACTATGCGTCGACCAAAGAGGCCAGAAGTGCAGGCGCAAGCTCATGCCAAGGCACCGAAGTCTTGCGCGACCGCGCCACCCAGATCCTGGCCATGGCCGACTCGATGGCCGACTCGATGGCCGACTCGATGGCCGACTCGATGACCGACTCCGCGGCAGAAGTAGATACCCACCGCATCGTCGCCATGGTGCAGGCCCTGACAATGCTGGCCATTGCTCTGCATGCACGGCACGAGCTCGCCGCGTCCGACCGGGCCGTGGCGCGTGCTCTGTAGCTGGCCGTGGATCTCGGCATGCACCGGCGGCCGTTTGCGTCGTCGTCACGGACCGTCCAGCACGAGTCGTGGAGACGCACCTGGTGGGAGCTGTACATTGTCGACGGCTACCTGACGGCGCTGCACCACAGGAGCATCTTCCGGTCGGGCAGCATCGGCGCGAATGTGCTTTTGCCCTGTGAAGAGGATGTCTATGTGCGAGCAGCCGGCGGAGAGCGTCTTCCGCTCCCTCTTTCACTCGATGACTTTGACGCGCGCCTGTTTTCCAGCTTCGACAGCGACTGCGACAATGACAGTGACGGTGGCAGCAAGGACGTCGACACCATGCACCGCGGTCGTTTCTCCTCGTTTGCCTACCGCATCGACGCCGTCCGTCTCCTTGGCCGTGTTCTGGCCGTCACGCGAACAAGCCAGGCCCAATTCCACAACCAGACCGAGACCCGGACCCGGACCCAGACCCAGACCCAGGCGCAAGACTCCTTCTCGTCCGTCGACAGCGCCCTCGCCGGCTGGCAACACCACCTGCACCCATCCAAAACCGACGTCGTCCGTCTCGGCGTCGGCCGTGATGGCAGCGCGATTGACGAGATGCTCTTCCAGGCCCACATGCTCGTCCACTACGCCACCCTCGTCCTGCACTGCCCCCGCAGCGACCTCGTCGTCACCCTGCCGGCGGCCGCACGCATCTCTTGTGGACAGGCGGATGGGCTGGGTCCCGGGCCCGGTGCCGCCGCCCACGCCGCCCGCGCCACCCCTGCGTCCACAAGGCTGTCGGGTCTGGCTGCCCTCTGCGCCCCTGTCGTCCAGGAACACACCCCCTTTTTCGTCTGCGGCCTGCTCCTCGGCGCCACCGTCCAGCTCGCCGCCTGTGCGTCCCGCCCCGCCCTGCGCTGGCCCTTTCGCGACAGCATCCTCCTCGCCATTGGCGTCCTCAAGACGCTCGGCCGCACCTGGGCCCTCGCACACAATGCACTGCGTCTACTTCGGGACGTCGCTGGCGAAGTCCTGCAACAGAGCGTCCACAGCAGCGACAGCAGCAGCGGCAGTGGTGGTGGTGGTGGTGGTGGTGGTGATGGTGGCATCCATGCCGGTGTCAACATCGCCAACAATGTCCTTGGCAACGTTCAGGACTGGCCGGCACGGGCCATGGTTGATGCCCGCACTGCCACGTCGGGGGACGGCGATGCAGCAGTCGCTGCCTTTTCGGACCTTGTTCCGTCGCCCGGGTTCTTGCAGACGCCGAATCGACTCGACAGCCTAAATCAGATGGACCAGCTCGAGCAATGGACGTTACCTCTGATGCTGCAGCTGAACGACCACCAGAGCTCCCAATCGACGTCTTTGTGTTGATGGAAAAGTCGCAAGCGTGCTCATACTGGATATGGTATGTTTGGATGTATGTTGGATGTAAACAATTATGAAATAGATAATGTAATATGACGAAATCTAGGCGCAAATAAATTAAACGTTTGTGTTATATTCATTTTCGCATTTTTTCTTCATATATGTTTTTCACATTGTCTACTTTTATATTATTGCTCGAACGCTCTATCTAGATTCTACTTATTTGTAAAAAATTTACCATTTCTTTTCAAGACTACCCCTAACAAAGACCAAGCTTCACCTACCCATTGCCTCTATTCACACTGGCTGCCTGTCTTCATCCATGCATCACACACAGAGCGTATGATGCGCGTAGATGGGTACGATGCAAACCACGATCAACCACAACACGGCTCGTTGACCCTGTCCACGTTCTGCCAAGGTTCGCACTCATTGGCAATGCCCAGACTCATGTAAACAGAATGCGCCGCATTGATTCCATGCACCGCCGCTGGTTTCCGCATTTACCAGGTAACCACTTTTACGACGTACAAAGACGAACGAGTTTATCCCGTCATCCAATTAAGCCGTACAACCTGCTCGTCCCTGTTTTCTGTTCTCGTTAACCAACCCGGCCGATTTCCATGCAGGTCAGGCTTTCCCAACCCTTTTGCTCTTGTTCTTCAATGCCGTCCCTGGCTCCGCCACAAATCCTCCTTTGCCTTTTTCTCTCTGCCCGCCCTGCTCTCCAATGTACTTTCCAGCGCGGCAAATTGTGGCCACAAATCCGCCCTTCCTCGAATGATGTATGTCCTAATGTCCCACAGCCTCGTCGATTTGCAAGCGAGGCGAAAGTACCGTCGTACGTTGTATGGCGAGGCTCAAATGGCCCTTTTTGCTTCCACCTTCCACGCACCAAACGTCTTTTTCCGCTACCAATTCGCTTTTTTGTGGCCGTTGTCTTCCTCTCCAGAATACCGCTCCAAAGGTGAATGAAGCGCCATCAGTTACATGGTGTTCAGTAAGAATTTCCGCAGGTATTGTTGCACTGTGTCACATCTGCACAGTCATTACGCCGCACATTCCAGTTCACTGTAAACGGTTCCTGCATCCCTCGACCTCGCTTCATGCAAGTCGCAAACCAGCTGTCTTGAAATCACGGGTCCCGGCCAGGTCTGGATCGGTCTCATGTAGCTTTTCTTCCCGGCCGTTTTTTTTTTTTTTTTTTTTTTTTTTTTTTTTTTTTTTTTCGTCCTCCTCCTGACGCCAGTCTGTTACGAGTTCGCTATCGCTGGTATAGTGCAACCATTCACGCTGAAAGACGGGCGCTACTCCGACTAAGGAAGGCGAACCAAACCGTTGAAAGACAAAGAACAGACTCAACACGCAAGACACAGCGCCCGGCACAGCCTCGAGAGGCAACTTTTTTGGGCGACCGAGATCGCAGGCGTGCCCACGTGAGAAAGCAATGGAAACGAACGGTAAAATCCGAACAATAAAAGACAGGAACAAAGGCCGTGCGAACAAGTCACATTGTCGAAGAAGAAAAAAGAAAGGAAAAAGAAGAAAAAGGGCTTGAGAAGAAAAGGGACCAAAGACAAAGGTGGATCCGTTTTCAGTTGGACCCTTGAAGCCTTTGGTAGCGCCTTCCACGCACTGCGCTCGCTCCACTGGGCTTGCTCCTTCCAGCGATCTTTCACCGACCACATATTTACTTTACAACACGTGACCACGTCTTTCATGTCGACGACTGTATCCGTATACATTCGTATATTACTTTCAATTGGGGTCCTATCACAAGGAACACGAAACAACAAACACGACAAATAGGACCTGCGTGGGCGTCCTATGACCAAGTTTACGTACAGGATGACATACGTGTTGAGACGAGACATGGCTTGAATCGATGCTATTCGCAGTCTTTTGGACGAAACGGTAGACGGCAGGATCAAAGTCCACTGTGAACGGTATTTCCTGGAAAAACACGTACTCTTAGTCAATTAGACACAGAGTACAACATACGGAGTATTCCGTACTTCTTAATGAGCTCTCTCATGTTGCTTTTGCCGCCGTTTGGAAACACCTCTTTGATTCGCCTACAAGACCCACTCACTGCAAAGGCCGCGTCCCTCTCGTCCCCTCTTTTCTCCCCTTTCTTTGGCCGAGCAGGGAAGCGGCGTTTGGCTCTTCCTTTGCTCGCTGTGAGGAAGTTGCGGGTGCATTGAATGTCGTGGCACGAAAACGAATGAGGGAGGTGCGGCGGAGCCCTTGACTGGCTGGCACACCTCTTCCTTCCTCGTTGCTTGTCACAGACAGCGTTCTGGGCCTAAGACTGGCCAGCGTACCGTCGTACTCACTTTGTACGCGTGACTCGCCTCTCTGCTGGCTTACTGTCGTACGAGCAAGACCTATTGCCTCTTTTGCTTCTGTTGTCATTCCGACTTTTCGATTCCATCTTGTCCTCTTGCCTTCAACCTCCGTTACTCTCCTTTCACCCAGCCACCTCAACGGCGGGCCCGCTTTTTATATGCCTTCAAAGACGAACTGGGGAAACCAACGGGAACAAAAGCAAAGGCTCCACTCGGCGCTCTTTCCCAATTGTCGTCAAAACCGCCCGACATGTGCGATCTCGAAGAATACAAACTAGGAAGGCACGACGAAGTACGATTTACAGTTGGACGATCAGGAAGATACGGCAGGACTGTGAAGGGCTACAGAAGCTTGCTGATTTTGCACCGCAATTACAACATGCATCGTCAATAAACTGCCTCAAGAGCACATGCACTTCAATGCGTAAATGCGGATATGCGCAAACGCTGGACAAATGCGTACCCATAACCAGTAAATTAAGACGCGGCTGCGACAACGTAAACAACAGGGGCAAAATGAACAAATGAACAAATGAACAGTTCGACCGCCATCGTCGAAAACAGGTTTCCAGGTATCAGAGAGGCCCTGTATTATCGTCCTTTTGCCATTCTGGTGTCTGACGACAGGCGAGGCATGACGACGTTGCCGACCTCGTCACAACCATTTTATCGATTTTATCGTGGGTCAGATGCCCTGATCCTTGCCCGCTCGTCGCTTCCCTTCCCGTATCTCGCAGTGCCAGATGCTGCCCGGTCTTTTTCGTTCTTTCTCCGTTGACTGGACTTGGCTTGCGGCGCGTCATGCAGAATGCTTTTAGTCACCGTCGATGCCAAATTCGATCTGCTGCAACGCACAGGCCGACAACATCCCAAAGGAACAAGGCTCGAATTGGCCTTTGTTCCACCCTGACCGCGACTGTGCTCGCCCTCCCTCTGTTCCCAGATTGAGCAGGTTGACTTGCGTGACTTGATCGTTGACTTGGCTGCCTCTACCTGCTTGACGTTCGCTCTTGCCCCATCTTACAGATACCGTCCCTTCTTTCCAAGTTGTTCTGTCAAGGAGATCATGCTTGTCCCTCTTCCCAATTCGCTCCTTCCCTGCTCATGTCTGGCATGCTCGCAACGGTTGACCTCGGGGCAACCGCTTAGGGAATGCGGATCGACTGCTCCTGACCGCCTATTCGCTAGGCGCTACTGCGCTTTTCGGGGGGCGCTTTTGGTGCTGTATGTCGCAAGTCTAGTGTCTCCTCCTTTTGGCGCTCTCTGTCCTGCAGCCCAGCGCCCGTGTCCCCAGCTAAGGCTGTCACTCCGCTTGCGCCCTTATCCACTTTGGGTGATTAAGACCAGAGAAAAGGCCGTGCCTCGACCACCACCCACCGCCCATTCTTAACTACTAGGAAAACCTCCACTCATACGACCTATCCAGGCGTCCACCTTTTAGTTGGCTAGGCCCCAGTGAATAGGCCCCAGTGGCTCGAGTACGACAAGCTGTCGCTCTCCATCGCCCATCGTTACTGCCGCATTTTGCTCAAACCGTCCCTTGCCCGTTCTGTGGCAGCCCTGGGACCAGTCCCTGCGGCCAACTCGCCTGGGCTGCACCTCCCCCTTTTGTCCCTTTCCCTCTCCTACCGCCTGCCTCGCTCATTTCCCTCCAATTTCCTTCGCCCTGTGTCTTTCTTCGGCCCCGTAGCACAATCCACCCCCCCCTTCTTTCCTTTTTTCTCTCGTTTCCTTTCGGCCTTTCGTCTCCTTCCGTTTCCCTCGTGTCTCGATTTTCGGTTCTCGATCTCACTTTCTCTTTTTTTCTCTTTCCCTCGTTTGTTCTTTACCTCTCCTCTCGTTCTCCCGTTGTCGGCTCCTTCCGTTTGTGCCCAAAGCATTACTGGCTGCTGCCTCCGACGCAGCTTCGCAGCTGCTCTTTCCTCCCCCTTCCCTCGTACCGAGATCGACCGACTTCCTCGACCGACTTTCGACTCACTTTCGACTCGACGTTGTCAGCCGACCGATTTTCCCACCATCCTGAGATCCAGAAAACGAAAGCATTCATTCACTGGCAATCCCTTTCCATCCCAGGCACCCAATCCACCGGGGGCCTTTGTCGTCGCCTCTCGCCAGGTCGACCACCCGTCCATTCTTATCCACCTCTCTTTCCCGCCTCTCTTTCCCAGGCGAGCTGTTGACAGCGGCAGTCGCTTTCGTCCCCTATCCTCCTCCTCCTCCTCCTCGATCGCCATGGCTTCCTCCTCGTCCAACGTCGTCGGTGTGCACTACCGTGTCGGCAAGAAGATTGGCGAGGGCTCGTTTGGTGTCATTTTCGAGGGCACAAACCTGCTGAACAACCAGCAGGTCGCCATCAAGTTTGTACGTCCGCCTCTTTGTTTTCCATGTGACGTCCTACCAACCGCAACCAACAGCCCCGACCGCCCGCTAACATGCCCAGGAACCCCGGAAGAGCGATGCTCCCCAGCTACGAGATGAGTACCGGACGTACAAGATCCTCGTCGGTTGCCGTAAGTAATATTCCGTCGTGTTTTTTTCCTCCTCCCCCACGGGCCGTACCGATCTTTTTTCCGTCCATTGTCTCACCATGTGTCTTTTCGGTCTCTCTCTCCAGCCGGCATCCCGAACGTGTACTACTTTGGCCAGGAAGGCCTGCACAATATCCTGGTCATCGACCTGCTCGGTCCTTCACTAGAGGACCTGTTTGACCACTGCAACCGGCGGTTCAGCATCAAGACGGTGGTCATGGTCGCCAAGCAAATGGTATGTCTACATGTCTTCCAAGTCCCATTCACATGCTTTCATGCATGCTGTTGCATACGGTTGCCTTTGGTACGCTGTCTCTAACACACCTAGCTGTCCCGCGTCCAAACAATTCACGAAAAGAACCTCATCTACCGTGATATCAAGCCCGACAACTTCCTCATCGGCCGCCCCGGCACAAAGGCCGCCAATGTCATCCACGTCGTCGACTTCGGCATGGCCAAACAGTACCGCGATCCCAAGACGAAGCAGCACATCCCCTACCGCGAGCGCAAGTCTCTGTCCGGCACCGCCCGCTACATGAGCATCAACACCCACTTGGGCCGTGAACAGTCCCGTCGTGACGACCTCGAAGCCCTTGGCCACGTCTTCATGTACTTTTTGCGCGGTGGCCTGCCATGGCAAGGCCTGAAGGCTGCGACCAACAAGCAAAAGTACGAGAAGATTGGCGAGAAGAAGCAGACCACCATCATCAAGGAGCTCTGCGAAGGCTTCCCCATCCAGTTCGAAAAGTACCTCACCTACGTCCGCAACCTCGGCTTCGAGGACACCCCCGACTACGACTACTTGCGCGACCTATTCACCCAGGCCCTCAAGGAGACGGGCGGCGTCGAGGACGGCGAGTACGACTGGCTCAAGGTTGGCAAGGAGTCGTCCAAGAAGACCGACTGGGACCGCCTGCACAACCCCAACCAGCGTCCCGGCCCCTCCAACATGGAACTGCACGCCAACTCCCGCGGTGGCACCGGCACCCCGCACGCCGGCGACCCTCGTGCCCGTCTGACCGCCGACCGTTTAAACGCCGCCCAGCCCCCGCCTCCTTCGCCGATCAAGCAGAACCCCAGGAAAGATCGGCAAAACGCCCCCGTCGCCGCCCTGGGCGGGAGGGGCAGCGGAGCCGGGGGTCTTCGGGATATGGCGACACCGACGGGTTCTACGCAGGCGCAGTTCCAAAACAGCTCCCAGAACCTGCCTCGCCCCATGCATAGCCAGCATGGTGGCCTGCAGGCACAGCAACAGCAGGCCGCTGCTGCTCGTGCCGAGCCCCAGCCGTCGGGCTTCTCCAAGTTTATGAAGTCCTTCTGCTGCTGCTAGACGGGAGGTATTCTATCTCGATCCCATGTTTCCTGTTGCGGTTTTCGGCCCTTCACGCCTTTTCATCCTGCTTTCTCCCGTCTCCTTCCTAGCGATAGACAGATCTGCCCACGACGATCTTGTGATCTTTGCATAGCCATCCCTGCCAGCCAGTGATTGCCGGATCTTGAAGCCCTAGACTGCGTCTTTTTCTTCCCATACTTGCGCTCACAAGAAGCCCCTCTACTTTTTTGTTCTTGCCAACTCTTATCTGCCGATTCTCCTAATTGCCCCTTGTCTATTTGTCGCCTTTGCGGCGTCCAAGAGGAAACGTCGTCCTCTCGATTGTTCTTTGCTTCCGGCCGCCAAGGCACCCCGTTGGCTATGGCCGGCAACAAATAAAACAAAGAGTGTGCTTGATCAGCAACGAAGCGAGAATCTGCGAACCCGTAATCCGGCAATGGACCGGACGAATCCCTTCTGGCGACCAACACCATAGACGAACCCTACATTGCCAAACACGCCGGATTCGCGGAGCCGAACGTTGAAAAAACAAACGGAAGGAGAGACAAGATGGCCAAAGGGACAGTGCATCGCACATTGCAGTGCGTAACGGCCGTTTGATTTGTTTATTTATCATAATGACGAGCTCAGGATCAGTTTCTTTTCTATTGTTTTACCATCCTTTTCCTTGTCCGTTTCCGTCTTTCCGTTGTCGTGTCGATCGCGTAGCACGGCGCCAGGGTATTTTAATCTTGTTTTCTCCTCACCTGTTCGTTTCGTTTTCTTTTTCTACTCTTATGTCCCCTCCCTCTGTCATTATTGTCCATTGTCTGTTGCCACCTTTCCTGTTTTCTTTTCCTTTTGCGTACTTGCAATCATTGTTATTTCGTTTTTAGCTCTTGTGTCTTACCTTTTCTGTCACACACTTTCTCATACATACACTCGCTCTCACTCTCCTTTCTCTGTAAAAGAGATATTTGCATTGGGCCTGGCTTTTCTCATGTTGTTTCATTCCTTGCCATCTCTTACGGTCGTATATTTAATTAGTCGTGGTGGACCAAAAACGAGGAGTTTGCGATTTTTGTGTTTGTTTTCACGCTGTGTGTTCCAACTCTTCTCTTTTTTGCACATTTGGGAAAGCGAAACGGTAGCCGATAGCCATAACGAAAAAGAACAAAATTATATAGACCCCATTGTCCCACTGTTGTGCGTGTCGTCGATTTATTTTCTTGTTGATATGCTCCATTTTGCCGTCAGTGAAATGGATCACCCAAAATGGATGCGTACAGAAACCCACTGCGTAGCAAAAGTAACGGAAAACGCCATGCTCGGTGCGTCGATTACCATATGAAAAATGTATAATAATGATTAAAGAGACGTTTGAAACCAGACAAGGGAGAAAAGGAAACCAAGAAGAAAGAACCCCACAAAAACGACAACCCGAACAGTGAGTGAGAAGCAGTTCGCGTGTTAAAAAAGTCGTTCATCCCAGCCTTGCCCGGCACAGTCCCAGAGTCCCAGTCTTTATTTTTAATGTCATTTCCCTCCCCATATTTGTGCTGCCCACCGCTTCTATCTGTCACACAGCCAGCGTCCCTTTTCCTGTTTCTTTTTCTTTTTGTAGTTTTATGTCGTAGATGATGTAAGAACAGGAAGCAGATCGATGCATCCGTCCTCCTTATTTTCTGGCCAGTCGTGTGTGTTGACCATGCCAGCTAACAGCCTCTGCAGATGGGACGACGCACACAAACGAATATGCCCCCATCTATGTCAGCTTCTGCTTGATGAAGAAGGACCGCAGGTGCGACAGCTGCCAGGCACAGGTGACACCGAGGACGATGAGCTGGATAAAGATCCAGCGGACGACGCGGGCATTGGTGGACTCGGACTGGTCGCGGAAGTCGGCCTCGCGCTCGCGCTGGAAGACCTGCTCACGGCGGATGTCGCTCAGGCGGTTGTTGAGGTCCCGCACACGGCTCTCGAGGTCCTCAAGCTTGTTCTTGTCGGTGCTCTCGAGCTTGCTTGACTCGCCAATCGCCAGGTCGAGCTCCAGCTTGATGCCGACGTGGCCCTTGTGGCCCTCGTGGCCCGTCGCCGACTGCCAGCCGGGGCGCCCGCTGTTGGACGTGGGCGTGAAGCAGATCTTGTGCTCGCCGGCCTCGGCGGACGTGAAGGTGAATTTGCCGCTGGAGGAACCGCGCTGCGACACCACGCGGTGGTCGTTGTCAAACGTTTCCTGGAAAACGTGCACGTTAGCTATAACGCACGAGGTAGTTTATGAAACCGTCCCAGCCGGCAACTGAAGTACTCACATCAACGGAAATGTAAATGCTGATGCCGTCGTGCTTCGACCAGGTCTGGATGTGGTCGTCCCACTCCTCGGCGTTGTAGTGGCCAACGACGAGCGTGTCCTTGGGCAGCTCCTCGAAGAAGCACTTGGGCTTCGAGGCATCAATGTACAGGTGCAGCGCGCTAGCAGCGCCGGCCAGGCTCAATAAGGGCAGAAAAGACTTCATTGTCAATGTGTAGGAAGGGCTGAAGAATCGCGAGGTTGAGAATCGAGAAAGGTCGCGTGGGCGCAAAGGGAGCAGAGAAAGAAGGTCGTCGATGTCGTGTCGTCGTGAGAAGGGCGGCAGAAGCGTGTCAAAAGTCGACGGCACACTCGAATATCGTCGCAGGTCGCAGTGCAGGGGAAAGGATGATGCGTGTCCCTTGTGCAGATGCAGAGTGTCGTGGGAGTCGTCGATTTTGCAGTTGCGGTACAGAAGTACGGCCTCGTGTTTTTTGGGGCCAGAAGCTCACCGGCCGCTCTCTCCTTTCCAGGTGTCCTCCTTCCTTTAGGGGAAGGCCCAAGCTGCCACGTCGAATAAAGGGGCTTTTGCTCCCCTGTAGCGTGATCACGTGTCAACTTTAGAAGCGCGACTGCCAATTACGCGCGACTTATTGGATGGCACCTGCACTCCACAGGAAGAAGGTGCTCATGGTTAGCTTGACCTTGGAGTAAATTAGTCATCCAGTCACGTGTAGACACAGGCCAGGTACCATCGCAAAACGCGCTGTAGCGACGACGTCTCATTGACGTGGAAAAAAGTCGAAAATGAATATCGACGCCAGCACAATTGCTCCATCTTCTGCCATCACCCACCACCCTCCACGCCATCGGTACCCTGACGACGGACGATCCGACATGAGCGCAAACGACGCGTAACGCGGACCGTCGAATACTGCTATCGATTTTACTCGCCAAACATTCCCTACGGTGGAAAAGGTCGAAACGGGAATCATCAGAACCTTTCCCGACGACACCCACTCGCACAAGCTCACATTCGCATCGCACAATGGCGACATCACTCGACGCACGCGATGTGCTGAACCTGCCGCAGGATGGCAGCAGCGGGGCCGGTTCGCGACCGACGAAGAAGCAGCGGACGGGCGGCCACGCACTGGGTGCCGGCGCACCACGGAACCTCAAAGGCCTGGCGCGCGAGGTGCAGAGTCTCGGCGGCGAGAGCCCCATCTCGATTGTGCCGCAGCTCTCCAACATTAAGAAGCGGCGGCTCGCTAACCGTAAGCCGGCGGCGCGCTGGGAGCTGCGGGCCTTTACCAACTCGGCACGCGACGACAAAAGCCTTGTGCTGCGGCACTGGCGGCGGAAGGTACCTGCGGGCAGCAGGGGCGATGCACGGGCGGCGGCACAGGCCGGCGAGGCGGCCGGTGCTGACGCTATGGAGACGGACGACCCGAAGGCACAGGAGGGACAGCCAGGCGAGCCAGAGCAGCCCATGGACGACTCGGCATTTGCCAAGTTCAACGTCCGCGTGGTCGTGCCGCAATACAGCGACGACCAGTACGCGGCCAACCTGCAACACCCAGACTGGACCAAGGAGGAGACGGACTATCTGATGGAGTTGGTCAAGGACTTTGATCTCCGCTGGCCGCTGATTTGGGATCGCTACGACTACCGGCCTGCCGACGGCGCCGCAGCATCCTCCCCTTCTGCCTCGGCCGCCGACGCGACGGCTGTGGTGCCAGCGTCGCAGCCGGCGGACGGTGCGTCCCGGACGATGGAGGACCTGAAAGCGCGGTACTACGAGATTGCAGCCAAGATGATGGCTGTCCAGAAGCCGGCACAGTACATGACACAGGCCGAGTATAACCTACACGGCATCATGGCCAACTTCAACCCGGAAAAGGAACGCCAGCGCAAGGCATTTGTGACCAACGCGCTGATGCGGTCGCGCGAGGAAGTGCGCGAGGAAGAGGCGCTGCTGTTCGAGGTGCGCCGCATTATGGATCGCACGGAGCGCACCAACGACGAGCGGCGCGACCTGTACCACCGACTCGAGTTCCCGATTGCCGACCAGGACATTAGCAGCTTCAAGACGAGTGCCGGTCTGCAGACACTGCTGCAGAGCCTCATGTACAGCAACGAAAAGTCCAAGAAGCGCAAGAGCTTGGCGGCCGGCGAAGCGGCGGGCGCAGCGGGTGCGGCGGGTGCCAGTGGTGGTGCTGCGGGTGCTGCTGGCGCCGATGCTGGCAGCCGGCGCGATAGCATCGCCGCTTCGGGTGCCGGCGGCGCGAACCGCCGCGAATCGGCCAACCCCAAAGACGACAAGGCGAATGCCGCCGACGCCGCCACGCCGACCGCAGCGGCTGCGTCGTCTGCAGCAGCCGCGACTGCGACGGCGCCCGCGACGCCTGTGGCGGCGACACCGACCGCCAGCGGCAAGAACAACAAGAAGGGCCAGCTACAGATGGAGCGGCGCAAGCTCACGGAGCAGGAACAGGACGTGTACGGTGTAACGTACCACGAGCGGCTGGGGTCGGGCCCGACGTTCCGGTACGAAAAGATTAACAAGCTGTTTACGCACAAGAGCGGCCAACAGCAGCTCCGCATCAGCAACATTCTTAACGAGCTCGAGATGCCTGCTCGGCTGTTTATGCCGACGGCGTCCGTCACGGCCCAGTTCGAGCACCTGGTCAACTCGGTGGTTCAGCTGGTGGACCTGCGCAAGGTGAGCGACAAGCTGGACGGCGAGATCAAGATTGAGGAGCAGAAGAAGGCCGAGCGCGATCGGGCGAGGGGCATTGTTCCGGGACAGACGAACGGGGCGACCAAAGGCGCAGCCGACGCCGACAAGAAGGCCGAGAACCAGACCGAGGAGGGTGCCGGTGCGGACAAAAAGGACGGCAGGGACGGGAAGGACGGGAAGGGCACGAAGGAGGGTGAGGACGACAAGAACGCAGAAGAGGCCGACAGGTCCGACGACAAGGTGGCCGACGAAGCAGCGGCGACATCCGAGCAAAAGGGCGACAACGAGAGTGACAAAAAGACTACGGTCACAAGGACAAAGGACGAGCTTGTCCCGACCAAAGAGGAAGACGGCAGTGGCGATGTGCACGAGGCCCGGACGACACGGTCGGGCTCGCGGCCTGGGAGCAGCAGCAACAATGCTAGCTCGGCACACAAGCGGAGTGCGAGCGTGCTCAGCGTGGCGAGCGACAAGAGCTCGAAGCGGCAAAAGAAGTGATCTCGCCGTTGCTTCGTTGTTTTCTTTTTCTCGGACTACTACTCTTTACTGTACACTCTTCTAGTATCCATACTGTAATGCAAAGCCAACGGCATTTTTAGGGCTTGAGACGTCAAAAGTAAACAACTCCATCTGCCCCAAACGTGAAGGGGGCATGTAAACGAGTGCCAAGACTGTGCAAGGTAAAATTCAAACCGGCACGCCACCAAAATAAAACAACAGCAGCATCACTGTCGACGCCATCGGGGCCAATGGATGTTGTGAGTCCAAGGCAAACCAGAACGGGCGACGTCGGACGTACGTGGCCATTGTCCGGGATCAAGAAAGGCTGCCTCAGAGCCTCGTCGCTGTCGACGAAACAAAATCCAAAAGCCGGCTTGCCTCGAACTTCTCCACATCGCTTCTAACAATAGATTTTGGCTCGCGGCCCAGTGGTCACGATCCAAATGCCAGATCGACACCCTAGTTTTCTGCGTTCGGTTCTTGCTGTGATCAAAACGAAACTCCAATCTCCGTAGGATGCACCGGCGCTGTCTTCGCACCGGCGCTATCTTCATTTTTCTTTTGTTTTCGTTTTCAACTGTCAAATGCAGGGCCATATGCAAGAATGACAGTCGCATTTTCGTTTAAAATAGAAACATTAAGGTTGAAGGGGTCGAGATGGCCAACGTGATGGACCCAGTGCGCGTGTCATGAGGGAGGGGGCGTGAAAGAAACGACGAAGATCTCCGTGTTTTCCCTTCTGCGTCGTCTCACGTCGTTTCCAGTTGATGCTAAATTAAGCAGCGGGAGTACCCTTGGGAGATCCGCCCTCCTTAAGCGACCGGGGCCACTGACGGCAAGACTAGAAAATGGCAGGAGCGGTCTTGCAGGGGACAGCCGACACCCAAACTAGGAAAAACAAGAACGTCATCTCTTTCAACCCTTCCCGGCGGTAAACGGATGTACGTCGTAGAAGGTGACAATAAACATCATCGGCCAACAAGGGCCAATCTGTCGTCGATGAACGTCGTAATGAATGGAGAAATGAAATGAGGTGAAGGGGGTGACGTTAGGTGACGCCGGGTTGCAGGCAGGAACCGCCCGGTTGGAGCGCGCCTGCCCTGTGTGATTGCAAAAATAGAATAAGGTTTCTCCAACAAATGGCTGACCCGAATGAGGAAGGCACAATGTAAGGCAAGCCAGAGGGAAGGTACAGCGGAAAATGAACCCCCATCTGCATTGTTTTGGCGTCATTTTCGACATAGCATGCAGCTATTCACAACTGTTTCTAGTCCTGTTCCTGCGCGGGTCTTAACACCGGACATGGACATCTTTCTCGGTAACTGTGGTTTGCGCCATGCTGGTTTTCTTTTCTTTTTAGCCTTGCTATGCAAATCGCTCTCCATGCCCAGTTCCTAGATATTGATTCTCTACAAATTGTGAGGAGGGCCTACAAAGAACAGAACGGACAGTTGAGGGCATGGACATCCAGCAGGCGGCGATGCACAGGCGGTTGACCCGTATCATAGACCTGCACACTCAGGCTAGGACAGTCGTTGTATTAAGCTTGCCGGATCGAGAGCTGCCGTGCCACCCGCGCTTAAAGATATATATACAGAGATGGTCAGCGAGTTGGGGGTTATCACATTTCATATCACATAAGATGTCACAGCCGCTGTATGATTTGGCTGCAGATACACGTGCCATGGCTCCGAATAAGTGAGGTTCTGCTTCTGCACTTTTACTCCACAATATAGAACGGAGTGATGCGAGACAAGGCCAAGGGCCAATTGCAGATGGTAGGGGCAAGGCCGAAGACACCTGACCGCGGGTGATGGGTCCAAGGGTACGTCATGGGCCGGCGTATCGTAGCCCGACTGTTTCGTCGTTGTTGTCGATTCGTTCCCCAGGGGTGTGTCGATAGACGTGGCGATAGATGAGAGTCGAAGACAGAGTGGCATTCCAGAATCGCAAAGAAGCATCATGTTAGTGAACCAGGATGGACCGCCGATACTTCGGCAGACAATATGATAAAAATGATAAAAATAGCTTTCAACTGCCTTGGGCACGGCGGCTAGCCCTTTCCACGGTGAGCTAGGCTGCCGGCGGTGGTAGGATATCCTTGCTGTGCTCTGAGTCGAGACACGGCGGCGGCAGCGTGACGCTGAAGGCGACCGGTACCTGCATATGTGATGAAGATGATCTCTGTCGCCGCAAGCTGCTGCGCGTGTGCTCCATGTGCTCCATGTGCTCTGTGTGGAGGTTGCTGTGTGGGTGCACGGCGGCTAGCCGCATTGGCGTTCCCCTTTGGTCAGTCTGCTGGCGCTGCGAAGGGTGCAAAGTGTCGTCGTTTCTTTCCATTGTGATTCGTGGACTGCGAACATGGACAACTGGACAGCCTTGAGCGCAAACAGGTGCCGTGAGCTGTTTGGCTGCGACAGGTGGGCCGACATGTGTTTTGTTTGTTCGTAGGGCTTGCCGTCGGCGCCTCACCCCACGTCCTCGACGACCCCGGAGAAGGTGACAGGGGCTTTCGGTGGACGATAACGTCAGGGCAGGGGCGTACTGGGACGAAGAGAGGTGTTAATGTTGACGTTGGGGGCCATTCGCGACGCCAAAAATAGATGATCAATGATCATGATCCTACCCCGTAGCCTTGGCGGCCGCTGGCCCTGGACGTGAGCTACTCGCTGCTACCCTCTGCACATACCACAAGACTGCATCCCAGAAGCCCCTTTCTCTCCCTTGACTGGATAGGAGCTGAAAAGCAGCCGTCGACTCCGGCAGGCGAGTGACAAAGCTTGGGGTTTTCGTTCAGGCCATTGTGAGTCTCAGATAAAGCAAAAAGAAAAGTGAAGCATGGAATGCGGGGATGGACCCATTCGACGATAGCGTGGTAAACGGAGCCCTGATGCCGTGGCAAGATCCAAAACCAAAAATAGAAACGAAAATATAAAAAAGAGAGAAAAGCTCGAACCAAATGAGCGACCTCGTCAAGATGGATGGGCTCGGGATCGATACTGTCGTCCATGCAACTTGCTGCTTGTGTTGCGTTGGCCAGTGTCGTACTCCACACATCACGCCTCGTTATTTTTGCCCCTATGCCAGACCCTGGTTGGTTCGTTGGTTCTGTTGGTCCGTGTTTGATGGATGGGCGCTTAGAGCTGTTGAACGAGCGGCTATTTGGTGCTGGAGGCAATGGTGGTCTCTGATTCGTGAATGTTGACAATAGTGGGTCGCTCGTCTAAGTCGCAACTTCAAAACTCCCAAAACAACGACAAAAGAAATGACAAAGAAACAGCACATCCCTCTCGAAGCTGAGATGCAGGTCATATGCTTACCTAGAAACAGCGATAATTGTCATATCCTAAGAAGGACTTGGCTTTGTTTGGGATAATGTCTCGACGAGTTGCTGAGCTCTGTGGCCCATAGGTTGACGTCGTCCAGAGTTGACAACCCACTCGCCTTGACGACGCGGTTTCAGCCGGTATGGATGGGGTCGCAAACACGAAAAGAAAAGTCTTTGCGGAAGGCGGCGGGAAGGGGAACTGGCTGACAGGTCATTGCAGGTGCAATAGGTGAGAAGCCTCACTGGCCCTGCACAAAGGCGGGACTGCAATGCACCATGTCTCGTGTCAATGTTGAGGGTTGTAGGCTTTGGACAACAGACGAGAGCGAACGACATGGAAGAAACGACGATAAACGAAATGAAAGACGGCCGCATTTTGGGCCTCATATCGGGTCCCCGTGCATCGTAGTTTATCCGCCCGCATGACGAGAAAAAAACAAAATAAACAGCAAAAATTTGTATGCGCATGGAACCGAGTCAAACAAGGACGGTATGGGGCTCTATATGTGTACAATGCGCAAAGACAACATGCGGACAAGATTCAGTCAACCAGGCAGTTGGGAAAAACGGCCCCCAAAACAATATCTCGACGTCGCTTCGAGTGGAGCAGACCAAGTGACCAGAGACTGGCCAAGGACGAGCCTGAAGTAGCAGGTAGCAGGTCGTTCGCCAAGACAGCGACAGTGGTGAACGGTATCAATCTCGTAAAGCAGAAGCACCATGTAGGGCAAGATAGAAGACAGAACGCGAACAGCGATGTACGGAAACGAGAAAGGAGAGGCAGGACACAAGGCAAGAAGCAACAAAAGACGGAACCGAGAATAATGCAACACCGTGAGTAAGCATGCGAAGCGTATCTAAAAATAATACTCTCGCCATCCTCGTCGTGGCCCGCAGCTAACTGCGAGGGGGCCAGATAGATGAAGTTTGGCAAAAACCATAGCTGCTGGAATTCAGCCGGGCCCGACCATTCGTATTGTGTGTCGTGCTAAATTTTTTCATGGCGGCGCTCGCCATGTTCTCATTTGCCCCGGCTGACCAGTAGACGTACTCTGCAATTAAAAGATGTTGTGCAGATGGCTGTATCCCAATCTCGTCCCAATCTCGTCCCAATCTCGCCATGGAACGAAAGGGCCGGGCACGTATGGAGTGGGTGTGAGCGTTTGCGCCGTGTTCGACAGGCGCCGCGCCCTGCATTTGGCAGTTCATAAAGCCGACAAAAAGGGGGTGTGATGTTGCAAAAACTGCCGGTTCAAAATGAGCTTTTCACCCAGTCGTAAATTTGCTGGCCGATAACACAAATAGGAAAGAAAGCCGTATTGCACTTTGTCGGTGGTGCTGTTGGTAAGCGTCATTGGACCTGTTTGTTTCGCGGGTGCATGCTTCTGTCGATAGTCTTTCTTCGTCCATGTTGTGTGCCATTGCAATCTCGTTTCTCCCGCTTCGCTTACTGCTGTAGTTACTCTTGTTTCTATTCTTGTCGTCGAGACCCGGTTTTGTTGGTCCGGATTTTCTCTTCACAGAATTAGAAAATTAGAAATACCACACGATCGATCCCCTTGGTCATCTCCGTTCTGTTTGAGAGTGTGCATGTAAGCAGTCAGGACGAGGCGGCCATCCATCCTTCGACGTAATACTCCGCACGTCGTACGTCGTACGTCGTACTTGCATTGAACCGTTTTCTCTCTGCGGAGCAGGCTTACAAGCACGTCGTGTTCACCAGGGACCCCTTGAACGCACACCGGTTCTGGAGAGAAGCGGACGCTCGAGGGCGAAAGCATATGGCGGCCATCGTTAATCGTCCCCTTTGCAGAAATGCTACCATTCTCGTATTGGGCTGTCTGGTCTGTTGGTGAGGGATATGCTTCTAAGGAGTGTGTTGGAGCAAGACGACGATCACTGCTGCTCTCCGCTGTGGCGCTTGCGCTGATGTATGGAACTTGTTACGTGCCTGCAGCCGGGGCTGTACGCCCATGTTGCAAACCGTTTCCCCATTCGTTTGTTCTTCTTGCCCGTGTTCTGATGCATTTTCTTCTTCGGTCACTGTTGTTTGGACGCCGATTATGTTTTCTTTTTTTTTTTTTTTTTTTTTTTTTTTTCTATTCCGTAGCTTGTATGGAAAGGCGACGGACTGTCGACAAGTCTGTGTTGAAACAAGCCCAGGCAATGGGATGTCATCCATTCCTCTCACCGCCCCTGCAGAATATTACGACGTAAAACTGTCAACCTGCAGGTGCAATTGGACGATAGACTTTGATAACGCACTTGTGCTGTATTTGCCATTGGAGAGCGTCATTCTTGCCCGTTTCCGTTGGCTGCCACGAGACGTCGGAGCCGATGCCTTTTGGACTTGACTCTTCGAACTCTCTAGTTCCGAGACAAGCGCGTTGAAAACAAAAGATTTGCCAGGAACCGATAAAAGGCAGGCCAGGGCCATTGCCTCTTCCGCCATCCGCGCTCGGCCTTCGTTTCTGATTTTGCATCCAGCTCTTTAGACACACTTTGTTTTGTAAATTGCATTCTGAGCATGCTGTGTGAATGACCATGTACTGTGAGGCGTTTGCCTGTTGCCATATTCCCAGCAATGTTGGTCTGTTGGTTGGCGAGGCTTGACGGAGCACGGTTCGTAGGCCGCGAAGGGTGGTTGAAGACACTGGTCTTCAATTGGACCCCTGTTGGAAACGGCGGTTGAGCCCTTCGGCTTCTAAATATAGGTCGTCGACAACCACAGTCAGTGGCCATGTTTCGACTTGTTTTTTTTTTTTCTTTTTCTCTTTTTTTTTTTTCTTCTTTTGGGTAGTACTCGCTTTCCCACGTGCAGACAATTTTCCGGCTACATTTGTTTCGTGGCTGTTTGTTTTTTTGTTTCCCAAACTAAAGGTTTGCACTTCTCTTTGACCTGGTTGTTTCGCCATTCCTGCAAGATGATAGTGATAGCGGGCTTGTTTCGAGGGGGGCATGCGAGAGAAGACGGTCGCGGCTCGGCCACGGGTACGAGCGGGAGCAAGAAGAAGACGAGGCCGAGACTAGCTGGTACTTTGAAGGCCTGGCTTAGGGGGCTTCAAGGAACGGGTTTATCCTGCAGTATTGTTGCCTGACAAAAGTGGAAGTGAGAAACAGCTTTTGTTGGCTAGTCCTGGTTCAGCCTGACCTGGCGTTGGCGGTCGACTAACATCGTTCTGTTGATTGGGGGCGGGAAAGAAAGCCTGGCTTCTTAGGCAAAAGGGACCAGAAAGCGCCAACCGCTTCGTTGATCGGCCGTCCGGTTGTTTATTGTTGCCCGAAGAGCCAACCTGCTTTACTCTTTGTTGCATCAGTGGTCTGTCTGTCAAACGAAACTGATGCACAGTATGGCGACTACTGGCTCATACGGACCGTTCGCATACAGAGTACGAATATACGGGAAGCTTACCGTGTTGTGAAGCAGCTTTTGAGCTCGTTCCCCAATTCGGAAACATTACCCGCCGCGCTACTCGACAGCATGGTTGTAGCGTGATGGATCGCAAGGTTGTGACCAAACGCCCATGGCGTTCCTTGGGTGGCTCGCCGCGGCCCTTTGGGGCTCGTCCCCCTGGTCCACTTGCGTGTACCCCGTAATACCTCGTGGAATAATAGTTAACGCAGTCGAACGTCGTAGTTGTTGCCTGCCTGCCTGCCTGACCGTGAGTCTGCGCCGTGTCGACTGTGGTGCTAGGTCCAAAGTAGTTTGTCAGCTTCTGTAATACGGGGCAAGCAGCTGCGGGACGCTTAGACGAAAAAATGCCTGCCCGAGTTCCTGCCTCTGGACAGAGATGGCTGACTCCAAGAGTGCGCAGTGCCGTTGGCGGGCTCCAGTTGTCATTATTTAGCACAGGCCTGGTCGGGGAGAGGTCGACTCAGTACAGGGATGCGCTGGAGAGCAAAAGGATGTGCACATTCGCTAGAAGCCTCTCAGGTTTTGGCTTACACAGTGGTTGTGGTCCTGAATTCTAAACGGGGATTGTGCCGTAATGTGCTTCTCCGGGCTGTTCCT